CAACCGTGGTTATGCCAGAGCAGTGTTTCCAAACTCAAACACGGATTTGCATTTAGACGACGTGCACCTGCGAGTTGGCCGGCATGAAGAGTCGTATGAGCGCACGAAATTTCCAGAAGAAGGTGGTTCTCCCTCTTTTGATTGCGTTTTTTTTTTTTTGCTGATTGAACGTGGCAGATCTTGATGTCGAAGCCAAAGAAGTTGTTCCTCCACCAGCACGCTTTCGCTTTCACCAAGGTGACGACCCTAGGTTTCAGGCACCGGTGACACCGCAGAATGGCAATTTGGCTATGGTTCCTGCTCCTCCACGCTATCAACATGGACCCGGTATGGGAGAAATAGAAGAAATCGAACGTCGAGAGGCAGAAGAAGACCAGGTGCAGCAGGCCACGTATCAACTTAACCACATCCCAGTGTTGCCACCAATCATTTGGGTCAAGCGAGCCGACGCATACACCCGTCTTCGCTATGCAGTTGACGTCGTGACCGTCCACGGCGAAAAGTACATCAGAATCGATGAGATACACTTTCTGTGTGCTGTGAACGCGGGTTGGCTTCAGACCGGCGAGGACGTCACCATCCGCCGAGTGCAATACCGCCATTGGCAAGCCGGGAGACGCGTTGGTCGTCCAGAGATTCTCTTCATGTTGTATCCGCTTGGGGAATGGGCGTATACTCCCACCAATAATCGCCGCAAGAAGGCACCTCTTGATTTCCGCCCTCAGCTGGACAACTATGGCCGGGTGCTTCTGAATGCGTTCGATCGCCCTTTGAAATTCTCCAACGTCATGCCTGGACAGGTCAGCACAGAAATCGAAGGGTGGGAAATGGAGGCCATTTGCCGTTTGGACCCAGACATCTGTCACCAAGATTTCATCGATCGCATGCTCCCAAATCCTGGTCCTGGCAAGAATCGACCCAGCAAAGGCACACTGAACCACCGTCGTCGGCGGGATCGCATGAAGATGAGAGTCGTTCCCTGGCCTCTACCTCGGCAACTCAGCTATTCAGATCAACAAGTCATCAATGAGCTGACGGTGTGGCAAATGGAGAATAACACGACCATGGGGTTGAGAGACCTGTCAAGGGAGGAGATTGAGTTGCAAGAGGCAATCATGTACGGTGGGCATTTTGAGCGGTCAGGGGCCAATGCGCAGAATGACAGAGCAAGATTGGAGCAGTTTTGGGTCAACCTAAGACTTGTGAGGACTAAATTTGCAGAGGATTCGGAGGAGGTGAGGACGATCAAGAATAGGATCGCTGTGCGGCTGGAGAAGATGGGGCTGGAGTACGACCATCGTGTGTGGGACGCCTAGGGTGGTACATGGGCGATGGCGATGGGCGATGGCGATAGGGCGGTGCTCGTTATCAGGTATGTAGAGTATGTGACTCTGTCTGGTGCCGAATAGGCACTTGAGGCGACCGGGGGCGTCAAATCCATCGATGATGAGATCCCACTGCTCGAGCTCTTCCCGGGCTCCCACATTGAGGCTGTCATGGAGGCCGTATCCAGCACATGCGTGACGACAAGTTGCTATCTCGAGCGTCCATCACGCCGCCAATCGCTCCTCTTTGCGAAGGTGGGACACGTCAATGAGAAATGCTGTGTCTATAGCTGTGAATGCCGGGTCTCTAGTCGTATCTGTGAGCAACAGTGACACTTTGGCACCGAGGACAACCGATACTGTGACTGGACGTTAATTAGCGGTCACCTTTTCTATCAACGGGGTCATAGGTAGTTGACGCTGATGTCGTGCGTCGCCGGTAAGCATCCATTATATCTTTGTATGGGGCTCCGACCGTCTTTGACAGCATCACTCAATGGCGTCTTTCTGGTGCCTATACTCATCGATGGTCATGGCATGAATGAGGACGTCTGAACAAGCATAGCACGAGGAGAAGATGAAGTGGATGAGGCGCCCGAAGAGAAAAAAGGGCATTTGTGCACGTGATCTCGGATAAACTACGGATAAACTACCGCAACGCATCGACCGCCTTTGTCAACTCACTTAGAATTGCACTGTTCCTCCATCTTGACAATCTCTCCATGCCTTTGCCTCTTTTCGATCTTTTTATTCAAGATCATTATTTGTTTAGATACTGTCCAGGGACCGCTGACACCTGTGTACACTTCTCAACCCTCGAAAGGGCTGTAAGGTTTTCCGCAGAACGCCCGTGTGCAGTGCGAGCAGATGTGCTTATATCTCCACACCCCCATGATGGCTGTCACCCACATACCTGGCCAAAATACAAGACATGGCGGTTCTTACTGTCGTTGCCACACGTCAGAAAAACCACTGGCAAGCTTACTGTTGGAAGAGAGACAAAGACGACTGGATCTAACCACGCGATCCTTTGTCTTTGGTTATATTTCCGCCCTCTACTTTTATGCTCTGGCGCAGGATGCACACTCCTTATAATGGCCAGTCTATTTCATTCACACCTACATCCGGTGACGCTTTGTTCACTGCTCTATGTGTGATCTGTCGCAGTCACCTCCCAGTCACCGGATACGGCTATTCGTGGTCCTTTTGCGTGACAAGTCGCTGCCTCCGTCACTAGCGACACCCCATGTTTTGTGTACAAATACTTTTTTCCCCTTGTTCAGTCTCTACGTTTCCCTTGACACTGCACAGCAACTCACTAGCTAGTCGATACTCGGATAGCTATCCACCTAACCAACACTACCAGTGAGTCACCATGGTCCATGGGACACCCTACATTCATGAGCTGACCACCATTGTCTAGTCACAAATACTTCTCCCTGCTCGTCTTCACGATGAAGGGTATCGCGACTGTGGCATTTCTCGCCTTGGTCTCCACCTTGGCAAACGCCAGCAACGGCCATGACGCGGACGATTTCTGCATCACGGCATGCCAGAAGATCAAGGGAGGCTCCATGTCCATCTCTAGCCCAACCTGCTCTGGAGTGACCGGTGAATACTGCGAGGACCACTGCACTTGGTAAGAAAACCAGGCCCATCACCTCGCCCCCCGCCTTGATGTGACCAGAGGTCGCTAACATTATCCGTTCGTCGTAGCTCTGGCGACGGCGTCATGACTTGCAACAACAAAGATGTCAAGTGCTCGGCCGATGCAGTCACCAAGACGTGCAAGCAAGGACTGTCCAAGCAGTGGGAGTGCTGGTGCCAAGATACGTCGTTCTTTTCTGATGGATGGGGTCCAGGCGTGGGAGAAACCTGCGCTAGCTTGTGATGCTGCATTGTTGGTTTCTTGCCAGTCGCTTGGAGGTCGCTTTAGTGCACCGAGTAAGGTGACTCGAGTACCGCGCAAGGATACAACATTGGTTGAGTGTGGCATACGGCATATCAATTCTCTCTATCGGAGGCTGTAAGGAACAAGTCAAGTCTACCATGCAGCCACAGGTCGACTATTGATCGAGCTAAATAGTTAGTTCTAGACAAAGGCGTCTGCATCATTCAGCAGCGCAAAGAAAAGCAATCTTCATTTTCCCACACAATTTCCCGTCGTCGGTACCTTCATACAGTTGTATGGCTACCTAGTATGGAATCCCCAAAATTACGAGGCCGGGTGGACAGGCTTGCAGCAAGGCTGAGGTCAAGAAGGGAGAGCTGGGCTGGCTGGGTAACTTACCGCATCCGGAGTAGTTCATCTACGTCATTGTTGCCTTTCAATCCCTCAATGTCTCTCTTCCGACAAACTGGCACACCCGCTGCGGGTCACATCTTCTTCATCATTCTCCAGGGAATGGCATGTTGACTCCTCGTCTACCCTTTTTGATACGACAGGGGGGTCACAGATTGGTACTGGACGTCTGTCGCCTCCATCCACCAAAGATGGCGAGCAAAATGTCCACGCACTCGCCTTCGATGGCCAAGAACCTCTCTGTTGAACCGATGGTAAGGGGATTGAAAATCTCTCGGTCGCAAGCCAGCACCATTACAAAGCCGCGTGGCTGATCGCTGAAAGGAGCCCAGAATACCAATGACGCGAAATGGATCACCCTGAAGAAAATCACATACGAGGACCCAGCGGGCAAAAAAAGGCTTTGGGAATCTGCGGAGCGACAGGTCAATTGAAAATCCCGCGGAGTTTGCTGTTGGAAAGGATACGGGAAAGAGGTTGACTCGAGCTCTGCAGACAAGACCCAAGGACGCCGAAGTCGACGCCGTCGGCGTGGTCGCCATTCTCAACGATCCCAAATCCTCAAAGGGCCCCGCCCTGCTCCTCCAGAAACAATTCCGTCCCGCGGTCGACAAAGTCACCATCGAAGTGCCGTCGGGCCTCATCGACGCGGGAGAGTCGCCCACGGAAGCCGCCATTCGCGAGCTGAAAGAAGAAACGGGCTACATCGCCACCATCCCTTCGGATGCCAAAGCCGCCGAGGGTATTCTGATGTTCAATGACCCGGGGTTCTGCAATACAAACACGAAAATGATCTTTGTCGAGGTGGACATGCGCGACCCCCGGAATGCAGACGAGAACCTCAAGCCCGAGCTGGAGGAGAGCGAGTATATCGAGTGCTTCACCCTGCCTCTGGATAACCTGTGGAATGAGCTGGGAGACCTCGAGGCCAAGGGCTTTGCGATCGATGCGCGTGTCGGGACACTGGCGCAGGGCATGGAGATAGCGAAGAAGTGGAAGGACGTGCTCAACAAGAATCCCGCATAGATGGATGGCATTGCAAGGGACCAGACGGCCTAGGAAAGTGCTTCCTCCGTCTCTGCGGTCGTTGTCCACGTCTCTTCAACATGCTCTATTCTATCCATGTTTGAGCAATGGCTGATAGATACGCTACCTTCCTCGTGACGGCCGCAGCGCGTGCCGTCGAAGATCCCAGATATTTCTCACGTACATTCGTCCCTTTTACAAGATCGAATGGTGCAAAATACGATGTTCTGCGCCCATGACAAAACTTTTCTTTACTTGCAAGTGATCCCCATCCCAACCGAAGAGACACCGGCCCCCACACAAGAGGAGTAAATAAGTCGTCAAGACGCGCCCGCCGTCTGGGTGACTCACCGCCTAAAGATGCCGGTGGCCCAGCAAAACCTCAAGATGGCCAGACCCCACGCCATGCCCAGGGAGTCCCTGACCAGATTCAACTTGCTGCCCGTCACCTCTCTCCAACCCACCGCGACCTCGGCGACGGGGATGTCTGCGAACTCGGCCAGCATGAGCATCTCGACGTCGAAGATCCACCCTTCCATGTGCATGTGCGGGACGATGTACGGGAGCGTCGGGCGCGAAAACAGCTTGAAGCCGCACTGTGTGTCCTTGATCCGCGCCGTGGCTGGCGGTGTCATGAGCCAGAGCAACATGTGGAAGCAGCGCATGAGGAAGTTCCGCACTTTCGACCGCTTGACCACCACTTCCGAGTCGACCAGGTGCGCCCGCGACCCGACCGCGATGCCCCTGCCCTCGGCGTCCTCGACCTCTTGACATGCCCTCACCAACTTCTCGAGGTCGGAGAACTTGGATGCCCCGTCCGCGTCCGCGAAAACGACGTATCGCCCGCGGGCGTGGCGCATGCCGTGCGTCACGGCGCCGCCCTTGCCGCGGTTTTCTTCCAGCGAGACCATGCGGATGGATCCCTGAGGGATTTTCACACCCATTGGAGACCGATGGGTCCAGGGGCCCGAGTCACGGCGGGGGTGAGGATGGAGGATGTGTTTGCGAGAGAAGGTCTGGACGATGAGGAGCGTGTCGTCCGTCGAGCCGTCGTCGACCAGGATGATTTCCCAGCCACGAAGGGGCTCTTGTTGTTTGGATTGCGAAGCACCGCCGTTCGCTTTCCTGCGCCGCGGACCATTGGCCTGTGTTTGTCCTGCTTCTTTGTCCACCCTGGACGTGGTGGAAGACGTCCCATACTCTGTCTCGAGAAAGTTCACGGCCTCCTCCAACATCCCCGTCAGTCTATCCTCCTCGTTGAACGCTGGAATGACCAGGGTCACAAACAATTCCGCGGGTTCAATCTCCTTCTCCACGTCGAGTTCTGTGTCTGGGTTTTCTTGCTTCGCCTTGACATACTTTTGTAGGGCTGCATCGTACCAACACGGCAACGGTTCTGGATCTGTCACATCGCCCGTCTTGTCAACGGTTGTGAATGTCTTCTCGGACGGGCGGGGTTTTCGTGGATGAGGGACGATGAAGGTAATGAAGATCCATATCTAAAACACCGCGAAGCGAAATCTCAATTGTCAGTAGGAGGTCGAGGACATTGCTGGGAAGCCGCAGGAGGAGGGGTGTGAGACCCAGGCGGGTTTTCAGGAAATACACACCAGCAACAAGACTGCAAAGGCCACCCAGACCAAGATGAAAGGCACCAGGCGCCATTGTAGAAATTTGTCGTCTTTGAATACATTGGTGAAGTGACCACCCATCCCAATAGGTCGTTCCATGGTGACCGCGACTGCATGCGCCCCTCCCCAAAGAGAGGAGGCTTCAGACGCAAGACGAGGAAACACGAATACGGGCTCCTTTGGGACCTCAGACCTTTTGGAAGAAGACAACAAGTCTCAAGGTAACGTCAAAGCCATAGTAGTACTAGGGATATTGGTACGCAGGCTCGTCGTCATTCGTCGTCGAGCAGAGCGTGAGTAGAGCATGCGGCTTTTTGTGTCTCGCACTTGTCCTGCGCATTGACATTCGAGTAAAGGCAAGATGTCAACAATTTTTGGTGGTCGGCAAATCGGCGCAACCATCAGACTCCGCGACCAGGTTTATTCCACACACGAGTATTAAAATAAGCAACTTAATAGCAAATCACACTCGAAGGAGCGGCGCGTGAAACAAGCAAGGCTTTTCGGCTGCAATGTGAGCATTGGGGCTGGTGTTCTTTGCTTCGTATTGCGGAGTCCTGGGATACCATGCATGTGGGATGCAAGGGGTTCCAAAGTTTGGCCATCGGCCACGCTTCGAGCTTCGAGCTTCGAGCTTCCTCTACGAGTACGTAGCTCACAATGTCGTAGTATAGATCAGTTTCTGCCTCATTTCTGTAGCCATCAGAAAAGCTGAGAGAAATTCCTCTTGATTCAACAAGACCATGACCCTCACCATAACCGCTGCAACACAGAACTCGCTTTCCCATCCTGGCTCTCTCAGGGTATTCAAGACCGAATCTCACCAAGTCGATCACCGCGACGAGAAGATTGAACTACCCGCGACCTTTGTCCATGCGCTTTCCAATTTACTCTCAATCAATTCGTCAACAGGCTCGGCGCCGACGTCACTTACGCCGACGCCACCAGCCGCCTTCAACCCACTATCGCCAGTATCTGGCCGGTTCTCCTCCAGACTCTGATCCAAGTTGCTGGCATAGATGACAGCCGCGAAAGCTTCGAGCTCCCTGACCTCGGCTTCTGCCGTAGATACGTATTCATTGGGTGGGTTGTTACCATTTCCGATCGCATGTGCCTGGCGTGTGATAATCGCCAGAATGTTGGCAAGCTTGACGCGGGGGTCTCCCGGCACGACTGTGACGGCAGAGTCAAGCTCTTGAATGCGCGGTTGTTGTGCGCTAGACATGGATGAAGATGGGGAGTGTTGCCTGGGTTGTGGATATAGTTGGGCAATAACCCGAGTGTCGAGCAGATGCGAGAACATGGAATTGAGAAGCAGGGTGTGGATCCTCGTGAATGTTGGCGAGTCAATCAGATCGGCAGTCTCATCGAGAAGCTGCCGCAATGGCCCTGTCGACGTATCGATATGCATTGTGGGTTCTTGACGTTCGCCCTTCTCCGGATCCTGAGTGTGTGAGCCGGGAGATGTTGCGGGCGGAGTGATCACCCCAGACTCTATCAGCACCGTCTCTTCCTCCTCTTTGGGTGGTAACACATAGGGTAGCCATCGGGTGGCATATCTCTCCTGTTCGGAACCGCCCTCGACGCGCTTTCGGACATCAAGAACCAAATCGCTGAGCCGGGCGGCGGTGATTCCTTCACTGGGAGAGATGCCACCAAATACTTCCTCCACTGCTTCCCTGACCTTTGACATGATCTTTGCATACCCCTTGTGCAGCAGAAACCAGGAAAATGTTAGATATCTCCTATTGGTTTCAAAGTCGTTTCCGAACGCTGCGCCGGAGCTTCCGTCGTCATGATCCTCCAATGAAATCGAGTCCGCTCTCTCGGGTGGTGGCGGCTGGGCCAACGAAATGACCGACGACAGGTAATTTAGTCGACCCAAGAGGTTCAATTGTATTCGTGTGAGGATTATGAGGAGCGACAGACTGTATATCAGTGTGAATGCTCTTGTGATCGAAGTTACTTTCAATTCGTTCCAAAGTTGGGCCTTTGTCCGGCGAGGCCCCGTTGACTGACTCGCATCTCCTTGGAACTGGCTGGCATGTATAAAACTCCCCGTCTGGAAGCTGGACATGCTTGCCGTGTCGCCGTCATACATACTTGAGGCTTCGGATTTCCCTTCTCCTGAGGCACGTGCCAATCTTTCGGCCTTCTTCTGTTGCAGTTCATGAGTCAATTGTTCGACCGGAAGATCCTCCAGAATGTTCTCGGTCAGAGTAGGGAGTAACGCGAGGACCGTGATCGTACAGTCTGTCTGATTTTGCTCGAATCGTCGACGGATGCTGGGCAAGATGAAATTAGTAGATATTGCGCGAACGAAGGTGGTATTATCTCACTTCTCCTTTGCGATCTTGTCCATCTGCATGCGCTCTCGCGCTTCATTAATCTTCCCAAGGACATACTGGGCTGCCAGATACGTAGCGCCGATAACACCTGCGCCGATGGCTATACCAGTGCGATGCCGCCTGAGCCAGCGACGTGTGGCTGATATCATTTTGATTTGGACCAATGTGAGGGAATCTGTGCACCTTATCTCAGGTACAAGTTGTCCGCTGGATAGGACATGATCGCGAATGGCACAGAGGAAGAGATGGAGGGCTCTGGCTGAGCGTCCCGAGCAAGGTCAGGTACAAGAAGGGAGCTGGCACACTGAAGACGCAGTTTTAGTATTGAGTCAATTGATCACAATTGTCGATGGAGCGGATCAAACTTGTGGCGGTGCCTCGGCTGAAGGCTGGCAGAGTACCTCGTATGGAGTATAGTACCCGAGTAAGAGCATGGGCTTTTTCGGTGCGGGATGGGCTTGGGGGAGAGTCAAGATACAACTGAAGAGCCAATAAATGAATGAGAAGACGAGCCGTAAGCAGGTCGGTGGCAGGTGGTGACCCAGTGGTGGCAGGGGATCTGACACGTACAACTACGTAATAATGAGGGCTTTGCTTGGGTCGTTTCAAAGGGGGCCCCAAGGGGGCCTTTCAGCCGGAAGAACGAGGTACCTCGTTGTGCCTACCTCTCCTAGCCGAGAATGGCCTTCCCTGCCCGGCTGGACCCCACCATCGAAGGAACATTCAAAGACTCTAGGGTGCACCTCATCGTGGCTTTATTCAAAGAGTCATACCGCTGCGACAAGTCCACCGATGCTGAAGGCACAATTGTTGGAGCCTGTATACAACCATGTCTTGAATAGTCGCTCTGTCCGAGGCGCCACTTAGCTGGCTGCCACCCCCTTTGCTCTCTCCTACCAATACTCCGCTGAGCGTACCACTTGCGAAAAAACCCCCACCATCTTGAAGTCGAAGTTGATTTCAGTACCGAGTATACTTGCGCACGAAGATTGCTAGTTGCGATCATGGACCAGGGTCATCGCGAATACATCCTGGAGGTATTCGCAGATCAAACATTTGTCAGGGACATAGTTAAAGGTACGGTGTAGTCTGGCCCCATACTCATGGTTCAGAGGAGCCAGCTCTGCTTCTCTCTGCCTTGGTCGCGAGGAAGACTGGTACGACTAACAATTGGTCTCTGTGAACACAGGAGTCCTACACACGATATTCTTCCACCGTTACTTCCCACCAATCCGACCTTCTCTCTACACCCCGAATGCCTCCTCCCTCTCTCACACTCACACTTCGCATTCAACCCAATCTCTTCCCATAACGCTCCCTTCAATCCTCGAGCCACCTGAAATCTCCACAGCAATCGATTCTCATGCAGACCTACTCATATCCCAATTGACACCACAATTCTCAGCGAGCACAACCAGTCCGTCAGCCGCAGCCGGTGGCTCTCGTGGTGAAATTGTAGTGCGATTTTACGATCGCAAGAGAAGAAAAACAGGTATCACGACGGGCTGGTTGGGCCGCTTAGGAGGTGGCGGACAGACAGACGAGGAAGTATGCTGGGAGGAGTGGTGTGTTCAGGTTATTGTTGCAAGACCTAGAAGTGAAGCGGGTAAGGCTACCCTCCTGGCTTTTTGCCAGATGTTGTGCGACACAGCTTTCTGTGTTACTAACGATTGAATTCACTGGCAGACCGCATCAAAGTCCGCCGTGCAATGGAATCTTCTCTACAGAAGACAGCGATGAAGATTGTCGCAATAGTGAACAGGGACAAGGATCATATTCCTCCAATTACCACAAGTGATCAGAATCCTTTTCCGTACAGGATATTTGTCAATCCCAAGCAACAGGAAAGTGCGGAACGTGGATTCGTGGGAGGGTGGAATTGAAGCTAGGGAGGTGCAGATTATATCGGCTGGACAAATGCATTCTCCTTAGAGATATAACTTATAGAGCGAACAAAAAGTTGGCTGTTTTTTTGGAGTTTTTTTCGTTGGTTCCAATTTCCATCGACACCTTCCTACCTGCGATCAATAACTAGCCGCAACTAATCTCTTGAGAGCCATCGCCACCACCCAAGACGTAAATCAACAGGTCTATCGAGAAAGTTCATAATGATAGGATTTAGCCTTCTTGAGCAACTCGTAGGTCATCTCCCTGCAAACCGCAGGGAGCACCAGTTCCCATGACTCCACCTCCCACCAGATCTCATTCTGGAACATGTTCCAGGTATTGTCATAATACCAAAAGACTTTCCCTTGTGTGCTCAGATCGCATCAAACGGCAGCGATCGCTCTTAACTCTCGCACGAAGCTACGGTGAGATTCTTTGAGCCGTTTACTGGCTTTTGAAAGCAGCATCGGCCTTGCCTCGGACATCGGCAGAGGTGGAGGCTGCTGGTTGCTGGAAGAAACGAGAGAAGATCGGGTGGAGGAAAGATTTGAAGACGATCTGCGCGCCGTTGGTCATGGGGAGGGCCATCCACAAGATGAGGATGAATTTGAAGACGTAGTAGAAGGCTATTGATGACAGGTGGTTAGTGTGGACATCGAGTGAGGGGCTACTCTGCGCATCGACTTACGGAACCAGTAGACGGCATTGACCAAACTCTCAAGGACAGTAAGGAAGGCGTACACCACCCAGTACTAGAAAGACGGTCAGAATAGCTGATATCGGAAAGTGTCGGAAAGGAGGCATACCGTCAACCATTGCGTATCATCAACTTTACTGCTACTGAACAGAGCTTCCAGCGAGTAGTACCCCGGGATGATAAAGCCGGCGAAGTTGACCAAGAACTCGCCGCCAATGTTAAAGAAGACGAGGAAGAAGTAGAGGCCGATCAGGCCGAGGAAAGCGTAGACCTTGGGAACGTTGGTCTGTCTCTCGAAATTGTTGAGCATAGGATACTTGGAGAGCTGTAGACACCATCAGTTAGCTCAACCGCGCCAGTCGACATTGTGAGATGGAACGATCATGATGCACTCCTAGAAGGCTGAATGATGGGAAACGTTGAATTGCAGCAGACGTTGGGAAAACTGGGAGCCTGGAATTGACATGTGCCTCACATACTTCCTTATCGATCTGCGAGATCTGATGCTGCGCTTTGTCCTGGAACGACATCTTGACAACAATATGTCGGTATCGCTACGACGAAAGTAGATTGATGTAGTGGGAATGGGGAAATGAAGATGTGCAGATGAATCTGGATTGCTGGGAATATCTCAGTGTGAACGAAATGTGTGAGTGGGAAGAGAGGTGCAGTAGTGGGAGAGGTGATGTAGTTTAAACCCCCAGGGGCAGGAGGTGACGTTGGTCCGTTTGGGTGCCACGGTGCATAGGAGAGCTACGAGTTACGAGGTGCCGGCGACTGACTGGTGGGCAATTGCTTCGTGGCTCGGTGGGTGCGGGAGGTGCCTGCAGACCCAACACGAGGGTCACTCGCAGTGGTGACGGCGCCCAATGTGACAAAAAGGTACCGCCTGACCCTGGCACCTGCACCTCACCACTCACCTGGGTTGCTTGTACTCGTAAATCCAGCTGTGGCTGCACAATGAGGCGTCCAGCACCCAATCCAACTGATTGACGTAATACCAAAGATATGAACCCACAACCCACAAGCACCTCATACATAAGGTGAATTCCCGCTGTGCACCAATGAGGAGATGGGTCCCGTCTGACGGAGAAATATTACAGAGTTTTGCCGTATCCGCTCGCTGTCAGACCGGAGCTGAATGTTTGTCTTGGCGAACTGTTTCTCTGGCAACAACCTTTGTCGAACTCGAATTGGGCTGTTACTCTCAACACAAACCAGCGACATGGACTGACAGCCACCGCGCGTGAAGTGATCCATCGCTGTCGAATTCGCCTCCTACAAAGCGTGACATCTTCCAGCGGCATCTAAGGTTGTCCGTCTATTCTTGCGCTTGCCTAACAGTCAAGATACACGTTCGCGAACTGCGATAACAGACCCGATCCACGAACTTCGACGCTCGAAAGCCATGTTGTGATCTGTCAAATTACCGAGCGAGGTTCCGTCTCAACATATCGATAACGAGACATCCGATATCTTCATCCCGTACACGTGTCAGAGTTTGGGACCAGAACATGTAAGATGAATTGTTTGTTTTTCTCGTGACGTCGTGCTAATTAGCGCACAGTTCCGCATGGCGCAGTCGCCAACCCACATTATGGAGGACACTCCCGATCAACAAGATCCTACACATGCAAATAATGCAAACAATAGAGAAAGACAACGTCCAAAATCTAGAGGCTCGACAACTAGCCTGCAGTCCATCGGCGTGGGCAGCGCCTTTCAACCATCTGCGCAACGACAACACCCACAACAACAACAACCGGACGAGCCGAGCATGCCTTTAGACCAAGGCACCTTCTTTATACAACATGGCACTCACCCAGCTGCTGGGATATATGGCCCTAATCCCGAAGACATGCTCATGCACTATCAACACAACATGCCACCGCATCTCCATCAACAACCGATAGACCCTAACACGACAATGCCGCAACAGCATGAGATGCGTCCCATGTCACAGCAAGCTTTCCAAGAGATGCAACACTACCCTATGCAATATCCCCACGGCCTACCGCCATATGCTGTCGCTCCTCAACACATGCATCATATGCGGCATCATTCTGAACAGTTCGAAGGCTCTCCTGCGCCGGAAGATTCAAACAACGAGAATGGTGGGGCCAAACGAAGAAAGGGCACAGCTTCCAGCGTGGCTAATGACCAGGAACTGCGGCGACTGCTAGCTCAGTACCAGGGAAAAACTCTGAAAGAAGTTGCCGTGGAAGTACAGAAAAACGAAGGTGCTGGGGGCAAATCTGAGAAGGCAAAACAAGTCTTTGCTATGCTCTGGTAAGTTTTCCGCTGAGGAAGCCTGCGGCGCCTGTACTTATGTTTGTAGGCTCCAAGAAAACTGTCAGCGGTCAACAAACTCCGTGCGCCGCGATCGTGTATTTACAAGATACACGGAGCGCTGTGGCAATGAGCGAGTTCCGACGCTAAACCCAGCATCATTCGGCAAACTCGTCCGCATCATCTTTCCAAATGTCCAGACAAGGAGGTTAGGAGTCCGAGGTGAATCGAAATACCACTACGTGGATCTATCGCTAGTGGTTGACGATGATGATCGACAATATGCTTCTGCCCCCGAAAGACCCGGCACATCGAGCGGGAGCCAGCATGAAAGGCAGGCATCAATCCAGGAAGCAAACAAAGTATTCAAGGCTACCGTGACTCCTCCCATCGATCGGCCCATGTCACGAGCAACCATGGAGATAGCCGACTTCCCGGCCCCGAGTGCTGCGTTCCTACCCAAGGAAGCCGACGTCGCTGGAGACGAGACGCCAGCCCCTATAGAGTCTCAGACTCAGCGGCTGGATTGCAAGTATATTAACACACCGACTATCCGCTTCCCCATCAAATCTATGCCAACGAATGTCGTTGTGGCGCTTCCTTCGATTCGTCGCCATCTCCCTGGCAGCATGGCGACTTACCTGGGAATGCCAACGCTCAATTCCCTTTCTCAGCCACCTGCTTTGTCGCAAGATACACCTATTGACTTTCCAGATATCCATACTTACCTCGAGGGAGAGAACTACGACGCATCTATAGCCAAGGCCTTGTTCCACCTCTACCGCTCATACTGCATCGATGTGATCGACGCCTTCCGCAAATGCAAGGAGAAGCCGTTCTTCAACCACCACTCGGCTTTCAATGGGAAGATGACTGTTCCAGTCTCCAAATTGTTTTCAATGCCCTGCTTGGCTCCCTGGATTCAAGAATGCGATATGCGGATGTACAAGCAGATTGTCCGATTCATCGCTCCTTTGGCAATTCAGAATGTGCCCGAGGTTGTGTGGAATGTGTTCGACCGCATCGGATCAAGACTGGTCAGCCATCTGATCTCAGCCTTTGAAGAAAAATGCCCTGTCCATGTTATTGTTGCGAAGATTGTACCTGCAGCCAGATTTGTGCATGTGCTGAAGAAGCTCAAAGGCGCAAACGCAGCCACATTGCAACTGAGTCGCATGCTGGAAGATCCGCAGCAGAGAACGCAGATGTGGCTTGATTTGATGTCCATTGTCGATCCAGATCACCTGCTAGAGGACAGTATGCCACCCCCAGAAAGCCTTGAGAAGATGCTGGGTATGCTCAAGCACGACATGAGACAGCTCGTCGATCCCATCGATGACGCATTGGTCCATGCGGCGGAAGAGGACCAGGCAAGCGCATACGCAACGTTTATCAACGACAGTGCCGACACTTTCGACGGCATTCTCCTTTCGGAACCCAGCGATGAGCCTATTTCTTTGCTGGAGCGGTGGATAAATTGGCTGGAGAGGCTACCTCAACTTTTCGAGGGTCACCACCCTCAGTGCATGATCAACTGCCACACGAGATTCTGGAGAAGTGTCATGACGCAAATGGGACAAGGTGGTGCTCACAGCTATCAATCATGGTGGTTCGTGGAGTCGTTTACCACGCAAATGCTCGACTGGATGACGCAGATGGAAGGACTGCTGCTGGACTCGCAGAGTCAGAAGTTTGCGGACGTGAGAGAGCAAGAGAAGTGCAAGGAGGCTGAAACACACCCAGATGCACCTTTTCGTGGCATGAAGAGAAAGAGGGCGGTCCAAGACGTCGATGGAGAAGCCAACGCTCCCGCTGGACCTGAGCCGCATAAGTTGGTGAAATTGGAAATGCCGCCGAGCAATTCGCCTACCCTCCCAGCGACAAGTGTCGAGCAGCAAGCAGGTCAGGAAATCGACGACGACGAAACCGACGCAGAACTCGATGAACTCCGACGCGGTGGCCCTTTAGACCTGCCTAGTTTCCACACTGGCCTTAGCAGTCCAGTCAAACACCGCGCAGCCGGCAACCACGACGATAGTGGGATTGACCTTGGGCTCGATGTCGACGTCGAAGCCGAGAAAGAGGCTAGGAAGTTCAACAAGAGAGACTGGCTTCTCAGCAGCGATCCGGCGGACCCAGCCCTGGGATTGGTCGTGTTGGCTTGATGGTGATCTACTTAATATGTTGAGCGACCAGGCGCTGTCAACACCTAATTGGATTTAATTGGAGGATAAGACGATTTGAACGAGCTGCACGATGAGACGACAGGGACGGTTTTCCGGGGGAACGGTCCATGGGTATTCCTAGTGGCGGCATGGGATGTGGTTTTCAGGGTACATTTCTTCGCGGCGAGAGATTCCTGCTCGAAGCACTTGTTGGTTGACCAAAACATGGTTGGTATGATGGAGGTTGGCTTTCTTTTCCTCTGTCGTTTGATACCCGGGATCTGCTCTAACGGGTTGGTTGTATCTTCTTGCGCCTGCGACTTGATGGCCTGGTTTACATTTCAGTGTGTTGGATTTTGTGAATTGGTTCTTCATGGGGTGGCCAGATCCTTTGTTTTTTTGGTGGCAACTGATTGGAGAGCGAATTCCCTCTTTGTTAGTCCTGAGGTATTTAGAGGCGTTGATTGCAGGAGAGTCGTAACGATGGTGTTGCTGGCGTTGAAAAGGCTGAGATGAAAAGGGGAGTAGCAGATGCAGTTAAAGCAGCGTGTGCGACTTTCTACTTTTACAACACATGTAATAATCGACCGAGTCACTTGAGTCACTTGAGTACCGTCCACCGCATCCTCTCATCGTCCATGTCCACTCACCAGCTGCTTCACTAAACCTGTGCATCCAACGCCCTGGAACCTAGGTATCGTACTCCCTGTGCTGAGAACATCTCCTCCTTGTACCTTGACGCCCTCTGCACCCAAGACCGTGGCTGACAGTAATAGCAATGGCCAGGAAAACAAAACCATCCAGCAATGCAACGAAACAGAGAACCACGGCCTCTCACAATTCTCCAGTGCCTCCTTCACCACAGATAGACCTGTCTTCGACAGACAAGCGACCTAGATCCATTGTCGCAACATTGACTGACACACGGGTGCAAAGGGCACTACAACTTGTTCTCCTTGCGGCCCTATATGCTCCGCTATCCCAGTTGAACCTATCGCCTGTCTACGGAGACATACCAGCGGCTTTGTACCATCGATATGGCCTCACTGCTTCCTTCATGCTTGCCTTCGCGGTCCGAGGTTACCTCCCATCCTGGGTTGCACGGTTCATCACCCCGTTTTGTTTCTGGATCCCAAGCATCCAATTCATCCTCTTCAGATTCAGTTCGACTCTCGGTAATCCGCTAGGTCCTCTGATTACCGAGCTTCTGACTTGTTATCCTCTTGCTTTGTTGTCCACATACTTTGCGATGCAATACCTTGACGAAACCTTCAGCTCCGGCCGTTTGGACTCGTCGTTGGGAGAGGCTGTGCCATCGATGGGATTGTTCATGCTCTTCTCCGTCCTTCACAGAGCTTGCAAAGGATTCGTCTCGTCACTTCTCGGACGTGGTTTTCTTACTTCACGGATCGGAATGCAGCTGGTAGTGGCTTCGCTATATGGAATGGTCCTGCCCAACAGCTTTCTGTGGCCCTCACTCCCGTCGGTTGCTTTTACCATGGTGGCAAACCCCCACTGCTCCCTTTCACGGACTACCGAGGTGCTCAATAACACCCTGGCGCTCTACAATTATACCTTACTGGAACGGAAAGAGTCGATCACAGGCTATATTTCAGTCTTGGAGGACAACCAGAGAGGGTTCCGTGTGATGAGGTGTGATCACAGCCTCCTAGGCGGACAATGGAAGCTTCCGCCCTCCAAGAGGGTCCAGAGAAGAGTTGCGGAACCCATCTATTCCGTCTTCGTGATGCTTGAAGCTGTACGACTTGTTGAGGGCACATCTCCCAGCCCATACAAAACCGCCCTGAACATCGGCCTCGGAGTCGGAACCGCACCCGCGGCCTTGATTCAGCATGGGGTGAATACAACCGTCATGGAACTTGATCCGGTCGTCCATGACTTCGCCGTCAAGTACTTCAACTTTCCCCATAATCATACTTATTATCTCGGCGACGCCGTCCACGCGGTCACTACAGCGAACACGACTGAGGCAGACTCATACGATTACATTATTCACGACGTCTTCACTGGTGGAGCTGAGCCTGTGGAACTCTTCACCGTTGAATTTCTCTCGGGTTTGCATATGCTTTTGAAACCAGATGGAGTCATAGCCATCAACTACGCAGGAGATCTCGCAATGCCTGCATCCTCGCTCATCTATCGGACAATCACATCAGTCTTCCCTTCCTGCCGAGTTTTCAGGGAAGACGAAGCACCCACGCCAGGGGCCAACGCAGTCGACTTCACGAATATGGTTTTCTTCTGCACGAAGAGGCAGGCAGCGATCACATTTCGGAAACCCGTTACAGCAGATTTTCTGGGGAGTGGTGCCCGGCAGGAGTTTTTGGTGCCGCAACACGAGATCAGCCCCGATGAATTTGATAAAGAGGGCGCGGTTCTCAGGAGAGGACAGACGAAAGAACTCGAGAAATGGCAATCGCAAAGTGCATTGGGCCACTGGACGGTCATGAGAACAGTATTGCCAGATGTTATTTGGGAGAACTGGTGACTGGTGCCATGACGAGTCAGGGAGCTTATTATTCACAAAACAGCGCGACGGTGGTGACGGGTCCATCATATCAAGCGAACTCGACGACGGTAACGACGCCTTGATCCCTATTTCCCGGCTGACGGTCACCAGTCGACCACGTTCTAACGCTGTGACAGATAGCCAGCTCATCAGTGGTTATGCAGAGGAGCAGGCCATTTCTGGGCCACCCGCTGGTACTTGGGAGCATTGTGCAACACCATTCCCTCGTTGAGCTGCCCAGTCTCGCGGCGGAAGATATCTTGCCAGGGGGTCTGAGACTCTGGAATCGGATATCCGCCCTTTGCTTCCAAGTCCTGCCGTCGCTTCTTCAACTCATCATCGGAGATCAACATCTGGACAAGTCGCTTGTTCAGGTCAACCCTCAAGATGTCGCCATCCCTGAGCAGTGCCAGGTTACCACCTGCGGCGGCTTCAGGGCTGGCATTCAGAATCGACGGGGAACCTGACGTGCCAGACTGTCTTCCATCTCCAATGCACGGTAAAGAGGTCACGCCTTGTTTCAAGACGTGGCCCGGAGCATGCATATTGACTACTTCTGCCGCGCCAGCTGAGATGAAAAATTAGCATTGCGATTCGAGACATACCCGATGCCAGAACGGTCCACAAAGGACGGTTTCGGACAGAGGCAGAAGGGCTACTCACGATATCCCAGCGGTCCAGCACCGCGCATCACCAAAATTGTCCTCTTATCGACTGGGGTCTTGGGGTCGTCAATGCGACTGATATAATCCTCTCGCCCGTCAAACACCACCGCCTTGCATTCAAAAGCATTGGGATCCTGTGGGTTTTCCAAGAACTCCCGGCGGAAATCGTCGGAAATCACAGAGGTCTTCATGATGGCGGAGTCAAAGAGATTACCTGTCATGTGGAGGAAACCTGCTCGATGTTTCAGGGGCTCACCATAGGTCTTGATGGTTCGTCGGTCCCAAGAATGCCTGCCATCCACATTCTCCTTGACGGTCTTGCCGTTACAAGTCAGGGCTTTTGGCTGGAGTTTACCTTGATCCAGAAGTTCGGCCATGACAGCTTGGAGCCCTCCGGCTTTATAATACTCCTCACACAACATCTCACCTGCCGGTTGCACATTCACCAGCAAAGGGATGTCAAGTCCAATGCTATCCCAGTCATCCAGATCAAGGGGGACACCAATGTGTTTCGCCACAGCGTTCAGATGGATGGGGGCATTCGTGCTTCCCCCAATGGCACTATTTACGACAATCGCATTTTCAAAGGCCTCCCTTGTCAGGATGTCGCTCGGCCTGCGATCGGCGTGCACCATCTCGACAATCTGCTTACCGGTCCTATACGCACATTGGGCGCGCTCACGATACGGGGCGGGAATAGCCGACGAGCCAGGTAGAGCCATACCCAGTGCTTCGGCCAGAGCATTCATGGTTGAGGCCGTGCCCATGGTGTTGCAATGGCCCGCCGAGGGCGTTCCAGCCGCGATCATCTCGACCATCATATCATCGTCAATCTCCCCTGCAGCATGCAAATCCCGGGCCTTCCACAGAATCGTCCCCGAGCCAATTCTGTCTGGCGACCCCTTCAGGCGACCGTTCAGCATGGGGCCGACATTGAGACAGATGGCGGGGATGTTGACAGTAGCGGCGGCCATGAGCATTGCCGGGGTCGTCTTGTCACAACCGGTCAAAAGCACCACTCCATCCAAGGGATACGCATGTAGGATCTCGACCAGACCCAGATAGAGCAAGTTTCGGTCCAACGTTGCCGTGGGCCGTCTCACCGACTCCTGGATTGGGTGCGTGGGGAACTCGAATGCGATGCCACCAGCGGAGCGGATCCCTTCGCGCACCCTTTTGGACAGTTCGAGATGGTGTCGGTTGCAGGGGGCGAGGTCACTGCCAGACTGGGCAATGCCGATAATGGGCTTGCCGGAATTGAGTTCGGACGTGGTCAAGCCGTAGTTGAGGTAGCGATCCGTGTACAGGGCCATCATCTCCGGGTTGTCGGGCGAGTTGAACCAATGTTCAGACCGCAACTTTCGGGACCTGGAGGACTGCGAGTCTTTGACGCCGTTGGCCGTCTTGGACAGCATCAGTTCGAGTTCCTGGGTCCTCTTGCGCAGGCCTTCGAGTTCGAGTTTGTAGTCTTCCATGTCTGGCACGGAGGCGCCATCGTGGTGGTGTCCATCACACGAGCCACAAGACTGTTGTTGTTCCTGCTGCTCCTTTGGACAACTCATGTTGACAAAAAGCCCTCCTTTGCTTGATTGTTTCAGTGCTTAGTTTGTGAATCTTGTTTAAATTCTCCGGGTGGGAGACCCCTTTACCCAGTTGCTGTGAAAAGGGAAGTAGTTCTCGTGTGTGTATGTGTGCGCGTGGGGAAAAATAGTCGGCTAGGATAGGAAAAGCCGAGCACTCGAAAAGAAGAGGAGGGAAGGAGAAGGCAAAAACGAGAAGATACGATTGTTTATTTAAAAATTAAAAACCGAAGAAGAAAGAAGGAACATCCAATATTAAAACAAAACACAACGCCTGACACATGAACACAAGACATGACATAGATTTGGGAGAGGAGTCGAGACAACCACGGGCGTGGTCGGTCGAGGGAGCCGATGGCCTTGGTCGTTGTTAGTCCTGTACTCCGTATTGAGTGAGAGCATTGAGGACTGTAGGAACTTGAAATAATTGGACGCCTTTTGATTCGTCGGGGGCTTGGGTGAGGAGGTGGGGAGGTGGAGGAGGAGGACTCTGGGATTCATTCCCCCGCGCCCCTTCCCTTTGTCGGCAATTGGGAATTGGCAATTGGCAATTGATAGATGGCGAGATGGGAAATGACGTGGTAAATGTCGGCTATTGAGATTGTCAGGCCCCAATACCTGGTACGAGGTACCGAGTATTACATACCAAGTATACATGTCCGCAACGCACGGCCTTGTCGCCGAAACTCCCAAAGCTACTACGGACCATGTACCACGCTCCTTTCCTTTCCTTTCCGCTCCACAAAGATATTCTCCCCAACGAAGGGTGAAGAGGGAAAAACTGGCGTATTCGGGAGACAACTCCTCGGTACAGAAGAATGGATTGGTTGGTATGACCAGCCGGGCCAGCACCAAAAGAGCATTCCTCCATTGCATCCTGGCCATATACCTACCGAGTACTTGTGGGTAGGTTGACGACTGGATATAGCTGCATGTAATAGCTAAAGAGTATCCCCGAGTGAGCCAGCTAGCTACCTAGCATCTAGATGTCACGCAAAAGAGCCCAAATACAGGTATATTCCATATTCCACAGGTAGTAACAAAGAAAGACGACGGCGTCCTTCAGGACATCAAACACAGCTGTGAGGCAACAACAACACAAACCCGAAAGTCACGCCCATTAATAGTAATGGTATATAATCTCCCACAAAAAACCAACTTTTCCCGTCCGACTTCCCTTCCCCCTGAATAACCAAGGAGAATAAAAGTCATGTCTTTCGTAGGCAAGAGATCTTGTAGCGCCCGTTGTCGGCTTTGAAACCAGAACATCCATTGAACGCACCAACGCCGTGAACGATTGACTTCAATCGAAATGGGTATCTTCTTCTTCGTCTTGTTCTTCTTTTTCTCCCTCTTTTCCTTCTCCCCCTCCTCTCCCTGCCCCTTCTTCCTCCTCCTCTTCCTCGTCCTCGTCCTCCTCTTCAAAATGTTGTGGTACATAATCCATAGGACTGCCCGTGATATACTGAGCTACTGTGCCGCAAGCACTCTCAGTCTCATCACTGCTATCCTCATGTCCATCCGAAGACTCCAAATAAACAAGGTCCGCCCAAACCCGCCAATGCACGGTTGCAATATGTGCTACTCTTCTTGCGATATCTTCAATCTCGGGGAGGGAGCGCCATGGTTGCGTTGATACTCGAGACTGTTGCCACTGCTTTTGCGCCTGTGAGATGGCCAGTATGGTCATGGGTTGAAAATCATTCATGTGATCGTTTGTTGCGCTTTCCAGTACTCGTACTACCGTCCTGGCACGATGTTGGCTGTGATGTTCTGCTTCAAACTGTGCGACCAATCTTGCCGTCGTCTTGCTGACAATGGTGTCGGGTATGGGAGACGTGGAACCCGACGAGATGAGGAAAGCAGCCCGCGCCAGCTCAAGAGCAACTGCGCCGGCATGCCGCAACCAGATTTCTTGCATGGGAGTGCCCTCAAGATCGCCGTCGGTCAGATCCATGATTCGGTTGCGCAAAAGCGTATGCATCTCCGACACCCGGCTTTCCAAAGCACCGGGCCAGGGCGAGGCAGGATCACGATCCATCTGCTCCCGAAGCAATTGCTCAAAGACGGATAGAGAGATCTCGAGGTGAATCAGGTCTTGAAGGTCCATTCGGATCTCTTTCAGGCGTTTGCGGTCATACGCAAAAGTGGCTGGGACCTCCAGATCACGGCAAAGGCAGAGTTCGAGTAGCCCATGCACCAACGCAGCCGATGGAAGCGGTCTGGTGCTTTTGCTATCGAGCTGACACTGTCGGTGTTTTTCAAGAGCGTCACAGTACCATGCTCGTGACTCCTCGCTCTTGAACCCACCGTGCCGGACCCGCGTCTTGAAGTAATCTTGCTGAAACGTGACGGTATCATCGATCAAGAGGTAACGAAAGCTCCGGATCTGATGATTGGCGACGTCCAGCTTCATTGCCTCGAGGAACTGAAACAGCTTTTCGATACCGAGAACAAGAGTGTGTAGATCCCCAGTCTCTGCACCCTGTACTATTTGTTCAGCCATCTCATGTGCATAGATATCTCTCATTGGCGCACAGTGGCTCGTGAGGAGGCCATCGAGCCATCGAGCCAAGCGGACAATGTCTAAAAGGCCGTGGGATACCTCTTGCAGGAGCAGAGGTATGTCAAGACATTGACTGATCTGATACTGGTCCCTCTCTGGGATCAGGATGACGAGCAACTCTTTCAATTTCCGGAACAACACAGGTAACCTTCGCTTGAAGGTTACTGGCGGTGCGGAGCTCAAACGGCGCCTGCCATCACATTCAGGGCAAAACCCCAGGGGTTTATGTTGGGAGACTATCTTCAATTCAGTCTCCAGACTATCCCAATATCTCCTCGCTTCCTTCTTCTTGAACTCTCCCTTCTCCCCCGAAATGGGAGTAAAATGGAGGTCATGGTCGAAGTTGATGTCGATGCGCAGATTGATATTCGACTGTATGAAAGCTAAATCGAGCTCTTCCAAGGTTTCCTTGGTCACTGGCGGGTACAACATGGCCTCGACCAGTGCATCAACTTCCACATCTCTCACACACGGAGGGACAATGACAAAGTCTTCGGCGTCATGGTCTCCGCGGCACCACTGCTCGTACGTTGAGGATCGTAACTCTGCTAAGGGTAAAGGCTCGGCCTCTGGAGGAGACTCCTTCCGAGTCTCAGAGGGCTCGTCCAAGGCCGAGTCGGCAGAGCGAGGCTCGTCGTGACGTTCTTCGGCTTTGATGTCCCATTTGGGCGAACCGCATTCGGCACGCCCAGGCATCTTAGATTCGGCGGTGGAGGATGTGGACGATAGCGAGGATGGAGCGGTCACGTCGTCTTTGGCGGCTGCAGCTTGATATTTCTGGACGTTTCTGACCTGTTCCGAGGCGCCCCGAGCATCTTGTTTGTCTCCGGCCATCTTATTACCGTTGCTGTCTTCGTCGCATTCCTCTAGATCCTTCTTCATGCAAAGCTCGTGCCCCGGAGTCTCGACTCTTCATTGCGATTGGCGCATGGTTTCGACGAGTTTGATTGTGCAAGCTGGAGTCTAGCAAGGGCGGGCGACGCTCGAGTAACTGGGAAAAGGGGGGGGTGGGGGAGGAGGAGGAGGAGGAGGAGGAGGAGGAGGTGGGCAGGCGATCTGAACAAGGTAGGCAAGTAGGACAGGGTCCAGGAATGTTGGATCTGGCGCCTCAAGGTGCGAGTCTGGAAGATGGTCTCTCAGTATGACAATGCGCGGGTAGACGAATCGTGATGGGGGAGGATTGGGCTGGCAGGCGTGGGTGCCCGAGCAAATGAACAAATCCCTTGCCTTGATTTTGAGAAACGTGGGAAGCAATCACGAACCGAACACCCACGGTCTGCACTATTCAACAAGAAAAATCGGACCAGGGAAGGGTTGGGAACAAAAGGTGTGTGTGGGAGAGGGAGGGATGGAAAGGTCGGTAAGCGTGGGAGAGACCGAGCATACAGTAAGGCGTTTTTTGCTGCTTTCACTTTTCTTCTCTCTTCCTCTTGTTCTCTCTGGCCCTCTTTCAATTCCTCCCCCAAATGCCGCAGCCCACTGACCAAAAACAGGGATTCTTACGAACAAAGCACACCACACCTGCACACCCGGATGTCTGGGTCGTGTGATGGAGACAAGCGGCAGAGTTGGCACTAGGTAAGCCTCATGTTTGTTTCGGGGGAGAGGAAAAGGTGTTGGATCTTGACTGGAGCAGATCTAAGAATTCGGATACCTATTCCCCTGAGCCCGCAAACTGCCATGGGCTCAACACCCTTGCCTCATCCGTGCTGAGTGTCTTGTACCGGAAATTACGAACCGTGCGCCAGGGGGTGTGCCATTGTCCGCTCACAGGGCCTGTTCTCATTGGAACTGCAATTTGTCGTTGACCGACGCAAATAGGGCTGGGAAGTCCCCTCGATCGGATGTGAGGCGCCGGACTACAGAAGGGGAAAAAAAAAGAACAAAGTCCATTTGGCTTTTTGAGCAGAAGATGCAGCCTTGAGCTCGACAGAAGTGGAACCCTTTCGTCGCCTCCCATCTGCGGTCCCCAAGTTTGCTCTCACAATGATTAATTGGTGCATTGGGGCTTTGGTGCTTCGGGGCGACGGACCCTACTGAGGACCAGCTTTGCCAATGAGGAGGGACGGAGCCTTACCAACTCCATGCTTGCTCCGCATTCGTCGTTCAAGCCTTGAAAGCAAATGGCGCCGGGTGGTCCCCCTACTTTGGACGATCAGGCTGGTGGGCTCGCTACCTAGGCCGTCTCGCTCCATATCATTCCCGGAAATTTCTATATAACTGGTACCCAACCCTTCCCTTTCTCTCAAGGTGAGGCGAGCTCGACTGACCCTGTCAACCTATATAGTAAAGATCTTCCCGTCTCCTACCGTTCATCACGTCTACCATCAGAAATCTCGCCTCTAGGCCCGTGGAGGAATGATGCTAACATGACGCATGGGCCGAGACCAAGATAACTGCACCACTCTCCAATGCACACTGCCGGGCTTCAGGTGGCACTGGGTCCAACAGCCCCCTCCGAGTTTCGTTCGAAACACAAATGTCCAGAGATGCTCGCCGTGGCCCAAGACGGGTCGTGCGACTGCACCACTCGGCCCGCCGCTCGTCACAAAGCAAAAATACCCTTTCTAAGAGTCGCCCGTGTCCCCAACACGGTCTCCGATGCGGGCCCGCTCTGTCATGGCGTGTGGTCGTCAGTTGAGCTACACCGACTCGACTTACCCTAAACAACCAGCATGGCAAAAAGCAGCTAATCAAGTTCTGGAGACTGAGTGGAAAAGGAAATCCTTTGATGCAGTTGTGAGGAGCAGAGTAACATCCCAACGCATTGCTTTTGACAACGTGGTTTCTTATGCGGGCTATTGGGTAAGAATGGGGGATTCGGTTACTCGTTCGCTACTAGTGCAAAGCTCTGTGTGCTGGCTCCTCTCTCTTTGTCCCCAGACGACTGACCAGACCGTTCTCCTCTGTTGTGAGATGAAATCCTGTCCATGCTATCACCCAGCACGATAGGGTCGCAGCATAGTACTTTACCCCAGAGCCCCCTTGGGTGGCGGCATTGTCGGTATTGGTGCCCAATACCAGGGCTAACAGCCTCACTGAGGCAGCGGATGGATCGACTAGGTTAAGACAGCGGTAACCCGCCTCCTTACAGGTCCCGGCACAGCAAGACTAAGGACTGCATTGGCACCACCGCGGTGATGTTGGATATTGCATTGGCACCACGAGTGCGTGCTTTTCACGCAGCACCCGAGTCTATCCGATCAGATGGTAACATTATTATCATTCTCGGTGACTGGCGAGCAACATCTCGTCGTCACTCGTCTTGAATTTTGACCACGACCTTGCGCGAACCACCCGCGCCGGAGCGCTGGTGCTCATACGCTTTGATGGCATCCTCGAAGCCAGTGCCGATCACTTCATATTCAGCCGGGACTAGCTTGCCCGCCTCAATCAATGCCGTGATAAGGGGAATGTATGCCTCGATCTTTTTGTTCAACTCGTCCTCCTCGGGTCGCCCAACGCCGCCAAATTTGATGGGATGGGATTTCGCCCCTTCAAAATCAGGGATTGGAGTCCAGTCATTGGTGGTCGCAAAGCTCCTCTTGTTGCTCTTGGATGCCTTGAACAACTCTTTGGCCGTGACTGGGTCATCTGCCGCAACGGCATCAAAGATGCGAGAAATCTCGCCCGAGGTGGCGTCCACAACTTCCTTGACCTGTTCCTCAATGGGCTTCTTGTAGTCGAATGTCACAGCACCCAAACCCTTCACCTCGGCTGCCGACTTGGTTGAGCAAGAGGCAGCGACCTTGTAACCACTTGCCTTGGCCAGCTGGATGGCACATTTACCGACACTGCTGGCGCCGCCCAGGACGACGATCCATTCGTCCCGAGGTCCAGGAAGATTGTTTGGATCAGGGAGAGGGACATCGAGACTGTCGAACAATGCCAGACAAGCAGTTTCAGTTCCCACTCCCAAGGTAACAGCTTCAGGCAGGGAGATATTCTTTGGCTTGGGAATGGTGACAGGCGCATCCATCAGGAAGTACTCTTGACCAGCAGCATATCCCGGGGTTCCAAGTCTGGTGCAGCCGAACACATGATCCCCTGCTTTGAATCCATATTTGGATGCTGCCTCACTTCCCACCTCGATCACAACGCCGGCCGCGTCGACGCCCAGCCCAAGAGGCCAGTCGACCACGAGAAGACCATAAGCGGCCATGAAGGTGTCACTATAGCCGGTTGATCAGTCCACGAAAGAATACTTCTGAGGCAGGGCTACCTACACAGGGTTAATGGCCACCCAGATGGACTTGACAAGCAGTTGATTGGGCCCTGGGGACGGCTTTTCAAGAGTTTCGACGACCTTGGGCTGGGCGCCGGCGCTTTCAAAGACTACACCCTTCATGATTGAGGCGTGGGAAATCTGATGGCAATGTTGGTAAGAGAGAGTATGTAAGTTCGGTGGTGGAGGCGATGTTGGAGGATTCTTGACATCAATTTACAGCCCGATGGTTTGCTTACCTTTATAGGGCGACACGCTGGGAGACAGGTTGGTTGTTCTCTCAACAGGCAGAAACAAACATACGTGGGATATACTTGTTCCCTGCAACGAAGAGCAAATAGAAGGCTGCGTTTGTAACGGGCGGTTTCCTTGCAGAGGGGTGTCTGGTCGAGCAGATTGCAGCAAGTTTATCAGAGGCGAGGCTAGATCTCTTGATACGTCGGCTACATCACCATCTTGCTGAAAGCGTGTTCTGGATTTGGCTATCACTGAATGACTTAGCGACATAGACCGCGGTAGCGCGAGGCATTCAACGACAAGACGCGGCACGCTTCGTATTCATTGAATACGAGGCAATACCAAGGAGGGGCAAAATGCCAAAGCTTCTTCGTGGGTTGGGTGCACAGTCAGCTTGACCGAAGCTTGCATTTGTGTACCAATTCGGTCTTTTGGGGAAATGCCTTCCCGCTTGCCAATGGATATGTTTTTCGGACTTTTTCTGCCTCGTATTCGAGGTGCATGAGGAAGTATAGTCTGTTGCAGAGTCGCTGGTGTGAACTGAATGGAGGTATTCGTTCAGCTCTGATAGTCTAAATTTTGCTGAGGCATCTTTGTGCTTGATCAAGGGTTTGTAAGTTGCATGTATCGAGGATGTAGTGGAGAAGAGTAAAGACGTTGAGCGGCGACGAGGTACAAATATGGAGTCTGTAAACCTCGTATAGGTGAGTGGAACTAAAAGCGGCGGGGGCTGATTACCCCAAGCGACACTCCGTAGCAAGCTCCGCTCGGAGCTCGTCACTTGTTCACCTTGTCCTCAACAATTCGCCTTCCGCCCATTTTCCTCAATCACGTCTGTCTCGTCCATTATCCTTTTGACGCTGCGTCGCGCTTCCTGGAGGACATTCGACACAACACCCTTGGAATCCACCTCCCGTTTGTCAGAGACGCAACAATTGCCTCGCTATGGCTGGCCGACAGTCAGTCCGACTTCTGGCACGGCAGGTCACCTCGACCCAATGCTCCTCCTTCTCACGCTCCCAACACCATGCCCGGAGAGCATTCTCTTCCACACCTGCCTCCCTCACAGCCCATAATTTCACCATGCCCGCCATGTCCCCGACAATGACCGAGGGCAACATCTCGAGTTGGAAAGTCAAGGAAGGCGACTCCTTCTCCGCCGGGGACATTCTCCTGGAAATCGAGACGGACAAGGCTTCCATGGACGTGGAGGCTCAGGACGACGGTGTCATGGCCAAGATCTTACAAGGGGACGGTTCCAAAGCGGTCAAGGTCGGCACGAGGATAGCTGTCCTCGGTGACCCGGGGGATGATGTCTCGAGTCTAGAGGTTCCGCCGGACGATTCGAAGCCCGTGCAGTCGGAAGCAGATAATGTGAAGGGCGGAGCAGATTCGAAATACGAGACGTCTGGAGTAGAAAAGGAGACACCGGGCACACCGCAAAACAAGAGGCCGGCAAAGGACAAGCCGAAAACGAGTCCAACTGGGCCGGGCCAGAACCCCAAATACCCTCTGTATCCTTCAGTTATCGCTCTCGTCCACGAGAACCACATTTCAGACGACGAAGTTGCCAAAATCCCAGCGACGGGGCCGAATGGGAGACTGTTGAAAGGCGACGTGCTCGCATACTTGGGCACTATCGACTCGGACTACCCAGCCTCGCAATCCAAGCGTATCGAGCATATGGCGCATCTTGACCTTAGCAACATCAAAGTTCTCCCTACCACCCCTAAGACGGCCGCAAAAGCCGCTGGGGGAGCCGCAGCAGTGGCTGAAGAGAAAATTCCACAAGTCACTGGCGTCAGCATCACTGTCTCGCTCGCCGAAGTGCTGAAAGTGCAGAAACGAATCAAAGACACCTTGGGCGTGACTGTGCCCCTCTCGACTTTCCTCGCCCGTGCTGTTGATTTGGCCAATGATGATCTCCCTAAGCCCAAGCATGCAAAGCCGTCGGCAGATGACCTCTTCAATGCGGTCCTCGGGCTGGACACGATACCCACGACATCTAGAGGAACATATCTCCCACAGATCGACGCCTTTCCCGTTGTCCCTCCCAGAAAAGCCCAGGCTACATCACTCGCACACTCACCTCGCGTTTCCACCTCTACAGCCAAGAAGATTGATATCATCGATGTCCTATCCGGCAAAGTCACCCCTAAAAGAGCGGCCCCTTTTTCGACGTCTTCCGTGTCGATCCCAGGCCGGACACTAAGCACAGCCGACGGTGCCGTGAATGTGTTTAGTCTGACAGTCCCCGTGGGCGAAGAGAAGAGGGCACGTACCTTTTTGGAGCGGGTCAAGACGGTACTGCAAGTCGAGCCAGGCAAGCTGGTGCTGTAATTGTACCCACCTACCTAGCTCCTATGTCTTTTTTTTTTAGGTCAAGTCTGAGCCAAGGCACCCGTCAAGAATTGCTGTTTTTCAACCAGAGTTTCACAATAGACCCATATCATTTATTTTTTGGGAGGGGAGGACGCGGCTGCGGACTTGGTCGTTTGATATGGCTTCTTTTTGTTGTGCTGTAGTATAGCGATGGGCTTACCGACATCGATGGGGAAAAAAAGGGACTTTTGAGCAAGCGGATACGTACGGAGCAGGAGTATTGGGAACACCTTAGGTACCTACATAGGTATGTATGTACTCGGTACCTATCGGGTATGTAGGTGTATATGTACAGAGACCTTTTATAAGAACCAGAGAGAGAAAGAGAGAGACTGAGAGAGAGAGAAAGTCTTGGATGCCCTTCCGCTTACCCACCTACATCTACAAATATATATATACCCACCCATGTAACTATACAGATAGGTATGTGTATATATACTCGTACGATACATCCCGAGTCATAACCAGCTGCCGTGCGGTGGTCACGTACTGGTCACTCATCACCTACTCTACTCTAGCCAAATGCTACGAGAAATACAATTACTGCTTGGTTGGCTCAATTCGGTTTTGGATTTCTCTGCTCTGTCTTCCAAGGTTTGTTACCTATGGTGGCCCCCCTACAACATGGTCGGGCTTTTGTGCCTCAATCCTGGAGCACCTCCTGAAGAGAGCGGCTTCCGCCTCCTGAGACCTGAGAGACGCCTGCGTTCCCCTCCCAACCATATGAACTCGCTTGACCAATGATCCCGAGTAACCGTGGGCGCCGCGCTTGCAAAAAAATCAATGGAATCCCAATTCGCTCAAGCTAGTTCGTTGAAGCCAAGGTAGGCCCCATCATTTGCGCAAAGATTTCCGTCACAAAGTCCTCCACCATCAGATCGTGGTAAAGTCTCATGATACTGTCCAGCTTGGGCAAGATTGGTCGCTCGCTGGCTCTGGTGCTGATTTTGATTCTGACATGACCTTCATGCTCGCTAACAAGAAACAATATAATCATCGCCGTCATCCCATCTGTCTGTAGAGATTAGCTCGTGGGTTGTATGGCGTAAAAACTTTCTGCTGTACAGTTTTCTGTCGTGTGGATTCAAGACGTCGTAACAAATTCGAGTCGTTCCGGGACGGCTTCGTAAGAGGTTCACCTCAATAGGAAAAAGAAGGTCGGTTCGGTTCGTGGGTATGGCCAGGCATGATCGTCATATAGCTAGAACAGTGCAGACAAGGTCGTTGCAACGACTGGGGTGAGTAACTCCTTCACCGAATCGCACCCCAGTCGCCCAGTCGTCCAGCAATGCCGTCGCTGTTCCTCCCTTCGTTCCCTTTCTTGCCAAACACTCTCCAGAATCGAAGTGTCTCATCACCGGCTCCAGTCACAACAGTGGTCCCATCTGGACTCGTGCTCAGGTAGAGGACACGGAAGGTGTGTCCAGTCAGACTGACAACCTGCTCCATCTTTGGATACTTCCACACCACGATCTGGTTCTGGCTGTAACCGTGAGTGCTGACGATTTCGTCACTGTTCTTGCTCCAGGCCAAGTTGCACACTTGACTTCCTGTGTCGACCTCCTTGATGAGAGACCCATTTGCTGTGTTCCAAAATTTGATCGACCGATCTGCCGTTCCACCACCAGAAGCCAACAGGTGATGTTGATGGGGGCTCCAAGCAATTGCCTTGACCGCTGCAACGTGGTTCGAGAATCGATACAAGGGTGTCTCGGAGAGTTTATCCCAAACGCAGAGCTTGTTGTCGTTACCGCCTGACGCAAGCTGACCATCTTCAGTGTTCCACCGAAGACCGCAAACTTCTTGCTTGTGACCTGCCAACCTTCGCAGATACTGGTCGGGACTGCGGACATCCCGATGGTATATTAGTCGATCGCGCGACCCAGAAGTCAAGATGTGATCATTCCATGCTAGTGCTCCAACTCGCGCCGAGTGGCCAGTCATTGTCCGTAGCCTTCTGGACTTCTCAGCATCGTATATCTGGACGAATCCCTTGTGTGTTCCAATCGCCAGATGTGACCCTCGCTGGATCCACGCCACAGATGTCACCAAATCATTGTCAGGCAGCTTGCATAACTGTGTGACTTTGCCAGTAGCACTGTTCCACATGTAGACACATGATCCGAGCCCGACACCGAGGATGTTCGCCGATCCCCAGTCCACCAGATTCAGATAGAAGTCGTCCGCCAACTCGGGAGCGTCCAGCACTTTGTAGGGGACTTTGGCAATCGGTCGAGGCTGCTTCCGCGGTGTCTGCAAGATGGACTGTGAGGAGTAGTTGATGGGCGATATCGAGTACAAATCCGATCTCGCATTCAGGTTTATGATTCCAAGATGTTTTCCGGTTCGAGATGAGGGAGTGGGATGGCCTGATCCGATCACTTTCTGCGGAGACTTGTAGGAGAACATGTTCTTGTGGGGGGTAGTAGGGGTGATAGAGGCAGGAGGCATGGATGATATCGAGGGTTGGCCCGGAGGGGTTTGACGTCGGCCAAACAGTTCATCTGGGGATAGAGATCTGTAGTCTTGCGGAACCGAATCACCCATCAGCTCGTTGCGTAGGACTTTGGAGTATGTTCTGTTCGCTTCTTCCGTCCGCTGAAAGTGGAGTTCGCCATGAGGGGTCTTCTTCTTTGATCTCGAAGGCGTCGCCGGTGAGGCATCGTCATGCAACAAGCTGTAACTTGCTTGCAGGTCCTGTCCATCTCGGTTTGGTATGAATCTAAGAACATAATCAGTTTCACCATAGCAAGCGACCGCGTCTCTAGAAGCTCACCGATCTCCATAAATCCGCTGTCTCTTGCGGCTAGGACTGCGACCTGGAGTTCTGTCTCGCGGTCTTCCAGCATTCTCAAGTTCTTTTAACCTTCGATTCAGGGCATCGGCTTCCATGGCCTCAGTGGCTCGTTGGATGGCAGACATTCTTTCCGCGGTATGTCCAAAGCGCTTGGATGATATTGTCGGTGGAGTCTTGGAACCAACTGGGGTTGGTAATGTTGGAGTAATGGGACGTTCAGATGTGTCAATCACAAGGGAAGCTGTAGAATCGTCCGCCATGATGGGTGTTGTGACAAATGGCAGTGAGAGGTGACGACTTGGGCGGTGATTTTATGATCGGGTAACGTTGTTGGAGTGAAGCACCAAGGTGACGGACATGTGACGTTAGGTAAAGCAGAGGACAATAGTTCGCAAAGTCGACGCCAATGTCGGTGGTGAGAGTTGTTGATGGCCTCCGCAACCGCGACCCGTTTGCTGTTTTGTCGCCCTGAACCAATTGTCTCCCTGCGCGGGATCGCAAAAGAGGGGGTCGTGGTCCAACTAGATACAGAGCATCGTGAGGTAGATCCAGGGCAGTGTACTGCAGATGGTGAATGTCGTAAATGTCAATTGTCGTGACTGAGGCAGGGGACGGTAGTGAAATTGAGATGCGCAATCTGTGATGGACTTTGACGTGAGGATGAATGCGGACAACTAGGGAATCAGGGACAAGGACTTGGGTCACCCATGGGTGACTGGCCACTCGCAGCTCCCGCCGCTTCTGGAGCTTGCCAAGCGACTGACACCCCCGAGCGCGTTGCCTAGATCGGGTTTTAACTGGGCTCGGTGCCATTTAATGGGGGGCTTTTGCGGGTAGGCATACCTAGGCTCTCTATACGGCCCAGGTACACGGGCAAACGGGCCAGAGGATTTTGTATGGGGAATATCTCGTAGAGGTCACTATACCATTGGACTCCAACGAATTGCCTCGATTATACATGCACACACCTCCATGCCAAGTACATGAATTCAGCAGTTTCATTCACCCCTATGAAGCTACCTATGTATGTACTCCGTAGGTACCTAGGCATTGCAGCAAGGGGGAAGGAAAACCTCTCCTCCTGCGTCTAGCTTCCTGCAGGACAATCCTCGACCAAAAGCACTTTACGCGGCCACAACATTGACCCTGCACGAGATGTCAACAATCGCGTCTCTTTGTGATCGGGCGGCAAGGAAAGCACAACACTTAGTTTGACAGTGTCATCATTGTTGTCATTGGCATTCATTGTATCATGGTCTCGGAGTTGCCCCTTGGGATCCGATCCTTCTTGTCGCCTTCCAAATGGCTTCTCCCTGTTTGGGAATCCCTTGCGGGCACGAGATTGATTCGACCAGAGCCGTGTTTCAGGTGGATAAGAAATCCCCTAAGCTGGACCTGGCTCACTTCGGTGCGATTGGCATCTGCAAGGCTCGCGGGCGATCAATCCACCAGCGGTGAAACCGGGAGCTTGGACCATCTCGTAGTTAATCCTCGTACATGCGCCCAACTGCGTACGAGTAGACGCCCTTCCCCAGATTCACGAATCACCATACGATTCCTCGGTACCTCGTAATCAGTTGGACTTGAAGCTGTCGCCAGAACAACCTCATCAGCGGCCCACCGTTGGGACTTTTCGCATGCTTCAGCGAGTTATCTTTGGACAGGGCCCTTCAACCGCTAGACACTATTCAACCATGGCCGCCGTCAATGTCAAAGCTGCAGCCACCGATTTCCTTGACTTTGTCAATGCATCCCCGACACCCTTCCATGCTGTCAAGTCCATCAAGGAACGACTGACCTCGGTGGGGTTCAAGCAGATCAAGGTCAGTGCAGTCTACCCACACTCCATTCTACCCTGCTCACTCATGTCAATAGGAAAAAGAGTCCTGGTCCTCGACGTGCCTGCCTGGTGGGAAATATTTCCTCACACGAAATGGATCGACCATCGTCGCATTTGCAATCGGCAAGAAGTGGAAGCCTGGCAATCCCATTTCGATGGTCGGTGCCCATACCGATTCGCCGTGTCTGCGCATCAAACCCGTGAGCAAGAAACAGGGCGACGGGTTTCTCCAAGTCGGTGTTGAAACATATGGAGGGGGGCTATGGCATACTTGGTTCGATCGCGATTTGGGTGTCGCAGGCAGAGTAATGGTCAGAGGCAGCGACGGCAACGTTGTTCAAAAGTTGGTTCATATCAAGAAACCCATCCTCCGCATTCCCACACTCGCTGTCCATCTCGATCGACAGGAGACGTTCTCCTTCAACAAAGAAACTCAGCTTTTCCCCATTGCTGGTCTAGTAGCTGCCGAACTCAAACGGCAGGATGACAAGAAGAGCAACAGCGACAAGGAAGAGGAAGAGCAAGATAAACCGTTCACTCCTTTGAAAGCAATGACAACAAGACATCACCCTCACATCGTCGAGGTGATTGCCGCAGATGCCGGTGTTTCGGCTGAGGAGATTATTGATTTTGAGATTGTGCTCTATGACACTCAAAAGGCATGCTTGGGAGGTCTCTCGGACGAGTTCATCTTTTCCGCGAGGCTCGATAACCTGAACCAAACCTACTGTGCAACGATGGGCTTGATCGATTCGCTAAAATCTGCGTCGGCGCTCGACGACGAGTCCTCAATACGCCTCATTGCATGTTTCGACCATGAGGAGATTGGCAGTATGACTGCCCAGGGAGCCTTTTCCATGATGCTGCCAGCCATCATTCGTCGACTCTCTGTCCTGCCATCCTCATCATTTGTGGGAGAGGATTCGGAAGAATCTTACGACCACGCCAGCGATCCAGAGCTGTCCACTGCGTACGAGCAAACTCTCTCAAGCTCATTCCTGCTCTCGGCAGATATGGCTCACTCCGTCAATCCCAACTATGGGGCCAAGTATGAATCCGACCACCGACCAGAGATGAATCAAGGGCCCGTTATCAAGATCAATGCGAATGCGAGATACGCCACTAACTCACCCGGTATAGTACTGCTTCAGGAGGTCGCGCGAAAAGCGGCCAAAGTCATCGACAGCGATCCAGAGGGAGTGCCGCTGCAGTTGTTTGTTGTGCGAAACGACTCCAGCTGTGGAAGCACCATTGGTCCTATGCTGTCTGCTCATCTGGGTGCTCGCACGCTCGATCTTGGGAACCCACAACTTTCGATGCACAGCTGCCGCGAAACTGGAGGCGCAGATGATGTTCATCATGCTATCAGACTGTTCAGCAGCTTTTTCCAGCATTATTCTGCTTTGGAGAAGACAATTCTGGTCGACTAAGTAGCTTGAGAAGGCCGTTTACTCAAAGGCGAAATTCAGTGACACACCTGTGTCAGAGGGCGGGGGATGCTACGATTCGTCCATGGTGTAAGAGCTTGGGGCATGAGAAGTCGCCGTTCAATCCCGTGCGAGACAGGTTCTCGATTTCGAGCCGCAAGCCGCACTACACAAAACATCTGTCAATCCTGGACAGGCAACATGCTCGGCTCCGCGGCTTGGTTTCAGCATTGTGTCGGAGATGCCGGTGACTGTCTGGCTCTATCTGCGCCTGGTCGCAGGATGGATATGGGCCGTCTAGACCACTTGGTTACGAGTCTCCGTGGCATCCTCTAGGTTCGGGAGCATGTATCAAGTAGACCTTTAGTTTCCTTTAGGCAAAAGGAAGAGGCTGTGAGGAAAGATGCGGGGTTTCCGGTGTGCATCTCCAACCCAAATATTTTCTCAATGATATAAATTCTGTACCGAGTAGATCACCCGCACTGCCCATTGCAACCAAGATTGGTATTCAACCTTTGCCCGTCCGACTCCTTCTCGCTCCCTCCCTGCGACCACCTCCTGGCCCCTGGCGCAGACATGACCACGCCTGAATACATTGCGGGCAACAAGGATGCAATCCGCCAATTCATAGACAGGTTCGATGTCCGTGCCCGCTCTTCGTCGGCGAAGGTCGCTTCAGTCCTGTGCCTGAACTCCATGTTAACGCGAATGTCGTCGACATAGGTCTTCCTCATCGACTGCGATGGCGTCCTCTGGTCCGGAGACCACGTATTCCCGGGGGCCGTGTCAACGTTGGAGATGCTGCGGCAGAAGGGCAAGCGGGTTGTCTTCGTGACCAACAACTCGACAAAGTCCAGGCAGGACTACCAGAAAAAGCTCGAGGGCATGGGCATCCCGGCGAGCGCCGAGGAGGTGTTTGGCTCGTCATACTCGGCCGCCATCTACATCTCACGGATACTGCCCCAATCGCACCCACAGCTCAAGCAGAAGAAGAAGGTCTTTGTGGTGGGCGAGGCTGGCATCGAGACCGAACTCCGGTCCGAGGGCATCCCGTACCTGGGCGGGACAGACCCGGCATACCGGCGGGACATCACGCCCGAGGACTACAAGCTCATGGCGGCGGGCGATCCCAAGGCCCTCGATCCCGAGGTGGGCGTGGTGCTGGTGGGCTTGGACTTCCACTTCAACTACCTCAAAATGTGCTACGCGTTCCAGTACATCCGGCGCGGGGCCATCTTCCTGGCCACCAACATGGACTCAACCCTGCCGTCGGCGGGCTCGTTCTTCCCGGGCGCCGGGTCCATCTCGGCGCCCCTGATCAAGATGTTGGGAGGCCAGGAGCCCATGGCGTTTGGGAAGCCGAACCAGGCCATGATGGACGCCATCGAGGGTAAGTTCCAGTTCGACCGGAGCAAGGTGTGCATGGTGGGTGACCGCGCCGACACCGACATCAAGTTCGGGATCGAGGGCAACCTGGGAGGCACCTTGGGCGTGTTGACTGGTGTCTCGACGAAGAAGGATTTTCTCGAGGGAGACGTCCGACCCGCTTATTATGTCGATGCCTTGAACGATCTTTTGGAGCTTGCATGATTGTCTTTTTGTACCTGGTCGCCCGAAAAGATGAATCGTCGCCGGGCTTTCTCTACGAGGAGGAGGGAGAAAACGAGATCGATTAGATGTCTGCAGGACAACGGCATGCTAGCGGTAGAAGCGATAGACTAGATGTTACAACACACACGCACACAGAGTCTGCCCTTCCCCATGGCGTTTAGACCTACCGAGACAGCGGTCAAAGCTCACAGTAGAGTCTCGACACTCTCGTCAAGCGTCTTCCGTCTGTAGCCGTCGCATCCTGAGTCGCATCATCCTCTGTGAAATTGCTCGCCCTCCCCACCCAAGCGCCAACGTCCTGATTTCCAAAGTAGGCGTAACGCTCGATCCACGGGCACGCCTCCAACCAAGGCACCGCCTCCCTGATGAACGCCTCGACCTCGTCGACGCCGGCCTCCCCATCGCCCATGCGCGAGCAGGCGAACTCGTTCACCCACACGGGCAGGCCGTACGTGGCGTGCATGTCCTCGAGGAAGGACCTCATGTCCGCGAACCGCGGGCCGTACCAATGCAGCACTAGGAAATCGATCTCGTGCGTCCCGCCCAGGAGGGAGAGGAAGGTGTTCAGCCAGGGCTTGCTCCTCGACACGTCGCTGCTCATGCCGGGGCTGCCCAGGCGGAGGTTGAATTTCTTCTTCGCGGGCACGACGACGTCGGTCCACAGCCTGGCCGCCTCGTCGGCGGGCAGGTTGGCCTGGTCGGGGATCTCGGGCTCGTTGAACCCCAGCAGCGCCGAGGTCTGAATCCCGCGGTTCTGCACGATGTCCGCCAGGAACGGGTCGAGTTGGTCGCGCGCCGTGGCCGCCGTGCGCACGCAGGGCACCCATTCCACCCCCGCGGGCACAGAGTCCGGAACCCAGCATTCCCAATTGAACATCCACGAGATCTTGCCCGTCCGGGCGTGCGGCTCGTAGAGGGCAAAGTGCGTGCTGGGCTGGTTCCAGGGCCATCCTAGTCCGCGCTTGCGGCTGCGTGGATGGTGGAGAGACGCTACGAGGTTGGATGAGAGGGCTTTGGGTTTGGGTGGAGGGGGTGGAGGTCTTGCTTTCTGCATGGCTTGTTTGCTCTGGTATCTCGAGAGAACTCGAGGTGTGATAGAGGGGGGGTGTCGTGATAGAAAGGTTCGTTCGTTACAGAAATATGTGCTTGGGACGTACAGTTACAAGGACGAGGATGTGTGGTTGGTGAGTTGAGAGGCTGCACTCAAGTGCCTTTGACGCGTTGTACGCAGCCTCGTCATTTTTCTCTCACCATTGACCATCCATCACATATAAATAACCTATCACGAGCACAAACGGGCGACATGGAAACCCCCTCCTGGCCAGTCCCCGAATCCTCCATGCCGGTTCGTTATTTCGCAATCGGATCGAACCAGTCAGGACCGGTCATCTGAGGCTTTGTGACCGACCACTCGCCAGATGCATCTCTCCCTCCCACGAAGCAGACATGAAACGTCCACATTCTGCACCTCATCACTTGCCATTTCGGAGCGGAAGGAAATATCAGGGATAATTTCCCTCGATGGACAAGTATATGGGTGGAGAAGGAAAACGATACATATCCGGTTGTTGCGGCGCATCCCGGACGTCTGGGGATGTTTAAATCAACAACCTCATGTCCTTAACGACCACCTTCGACTGCCGCTCTCAGCCGCGGGCTGTGTCTACTTCGATCTATACACTAGGAGGGAATTATTCTCCACTGAATCAATCTCAAGAGCAGGTGTAATGAGTTAGTAGACTCTTGTATGGTTGTCAGCCTCGCACACAAGGCGAATACTGCCGGTACCGACCACCACCATCCACACATATTCTCAAAAGCCAACACACAAAATCTCTTGCTCGTTGTGAGTGTAAAAAGATCTACGCGACGCATCTCAACTCGAACCCCCTACCCATCTCCATCTACCTGGCGGACAAAAGTGCAAAAAACTCAGACTTGTGAGAAAACCCCCCTGGGAGAGGAGTTTTTTTTTTTGTATGGCATTCACTTGGCTCGATCAATGTGATGCTCCCACCTATAGCTTCTGACAGAGCTCCTTAGCACGCTCAAAGGCCCAAGTCACTATGATCCTGGACGCGGTCGCAGACTATGAATTAGGGAGTTACCACCACCGCACACCTAGGTGTGAGAGTGGATGGTAGAGCTCCTACATAGCCAATGCTCCGGCCCAGCCACTTCTAACATGAGACTTTTTGCGAACTAAGGAGATGAGGAAGACTGTGGACAAGCCTTACTGCAAACATTGGTTTCGCCGGTCGAATGTGATGACACTTTTGGCGTTTGTTATATTTATCATGGAGGGATGGCAATGTGGATCTTCTGTTGGGTCAAGTGATCAAGTGATACATACTAGCACTATGTGTCGATATGACTTGGCGAGGGAGGTGTGTGATGCGCGGAATATGGCTTCTCACATACGGGAGGCTTTCGATGGACGAGGCTGAGAGCAACTTCCACCACCATCACACAACCAAGCCGTCCACACAGAACTCAGGACGCAGCAGGCTATGCAAGCCGGACTCTCGCCTCCTGATGAGATGGTTCTAGATGGAATCTGTGGTGTTTCTACAAGCCATGAGCCATGGTCACAATATCAATGGCCTCCAGTGTCTCACGACTCACTCTCAGACACAGTCAATGGTCAACCATGTCCCTGTTTACCAAGCCATATTCGTTTGATCGAGACAAGGAGCGACCATCGACGCCTCCATTGCGCCGAATTACCGATGCCTACTCTGCGTGACTCTACCAACGACCGCCTGACACATCTCTGTCACCCTGGGGGACTTACTGTTTGTCCCCACGCGTCCAACCTGGTGAACGGCCGCAAGATATATGTGTCAGAGGAGATTTCTATAGCCATCTCGATGGATCCGTCGCCAAAATCGTCCTTTGGGCCCCTAGACCAACAGTATGTGCAAAATGAAAGCCCAACAACCCTGCTTTCCAAGAGAGGACGATGTCAGGCGTCGATGCTCAACAAGAGCAGCCCGGGCATTCGGGGAATCAACCAAAGCCACTATGAAGAAGCTACCAGTTTTTGGGTGTTTCCCGGGTCCTGAGCAATCCCACGATTGTGCTGGGAATGTTATCAGAAAGGAGGATGCATCTTGGACGGCATCGTCATGCCTCAAGAGTTCCCCGTCGCCCGCGTCGAATGTTCCCAGCCTCGTCGTGTCAATTTCCGTATCCGACGAAGAGAATGCCCGTGCGTCGCCGACCCAACATGAACGGAATGATGCCTTAGCTGCGACCGGGCTGCACGGACCACATGCGACGAAATCTCCCGCATCAGGCTGGACGGAACAACAGTCCACTGTGAAGTCCACAGAGGATGAGACCGGGGAGCACGAGGAGGAGGGAGAGGAGAAGGTCCACGAGGACCTTGATCCCAGCGCGGCTGCGTGCCCTGTACGGGCGGCTGCACGCAGTGTTGTACCGACGTTTTCGTCTCCCGAGCGTCTGGAACGCCGAGTCTTTGTTCCATGGGTTCGACATGCAGGTCCTCACGAACGTGTGGTTCCGCGACAAAGAACCACATGGCTCGACCGCGCCGTTGGTTCCGACATCTCGAAAGTATCGGTTCCTCTAAATACGAGTCGGGAGTTCCAGTGGACTTCTCAACACGCGCGCTCACGATGCGAATTCTTCCCCCCTCGAGAGGTCGCAGTCGACATCGCAGGTCCTCGCAGGTCCTCTTCTCTCAACTATTCAAGAAGGAGGTTTCGTCGTGCTAGGTCGACTCGATCATGCAGTTCGGCATTGCCATCGAGAGTTCCTCCTTTGGTCGATTCCTCCTACGTTCGCTATCATAGCCAAGCTACACCAGCACGGAGAGTAGTCGCTGCTGCTATATCACCAGATACAAGACTACAAGACAGTCATCACGCTATCAACGATCCAGCCACCATCGCCGCCAGTAACAACATAGTCACCACACCTTACAAAATGTCGAGCTACACTATGACCTGCTCCCCGATGTCCCCATGCCTGCTCACCCTGTCGCCGGTGGTGAGGATGCCGGCTGCACCGCCCCCGACCCCGGCTCAAGGCATTCAAAAGCGACTCTCTCGCAGCCAGGTGGACGAGGCGGACATGAGCATCGACGACATCCTCTCGGCGCTCCCCATCGGCATACCCATCCCGTCAGCCAAAGGAAAAGAGCGGTGTCTCTCACCTCTTGAGACAATCCCCCCGACCCCGCCCTCTTCACCATTGTATGGTCGTCGAAGCCGAAGCTCAAGCACCTCGAGCAGCATTGCGTCGAGCAGTGACGACGAAGACCGGGGCGGAAGCGTCTGGCTCCGACGCGACCCATTCGTCTCCATCGTCTACCCGGGGCGAGGTGAAGTATCGCAGCCCCGCCCAGCGGAGCCGGACAACAAGCTCCTCGCCGCGCTGGTGGAGGACAGCGTGCCAGACGACTCTGTCGACGACTCCGCCCTCGCCGACAAGGAACCCGACTTCGACGACGAAGACCTCGTCACGGTCGCCCTGGACGACCTCGCCAGCTACTGCCAAACCGCGAAGCTATGCCGGAAGCACCGCGTCCACATGCCCTGCGAGCGGGGAAAACGCGCCCGCGACGTCGACCACGGGCCCCTGCGCCAGCGCCGCGTCACCCGCCAGATCGACATCCAGCAGGGCGCATGGGTCGACGTCGAGGCCCGCGGCTTCTCGTCGCAGTACAACCAGTTCGGCGCCGTCGGGCAGCGCGTGACGGCTCGCGCAGTCCCGCCCCCGGTCCCGACCGTCCAGAACCACGAGAAGGTCGTGTGGCGGTCTCGCGGATGGACCGTGGTGCCGCACTCGGGGCCGGCGACGGCACTGCTGAAGGTGAAGGCGCAACCGTGGTTTCCCGAGGACCAGTATGGCTGCTAGAAGGGGGGGGGGGGGGGGGAGGGGGCGTCACTATTCCCCTCTAAAGCGACTATGGGAGGTGCCCTGTGCGAGGGAGTGTTATGGTAGTGAGAATAGGAGTGAGATTAAGAGTGAGAGTGAGAAAGGATGAATGTTAGAGGAAGCAAGGACATGCATATTCCCCCTTGAGCCGAACAACCCAGCCAGGTCACGAAAAGGGAGGGAATACCTACCTACCTACCTACATCGGCACATCATATAGGTTACTACAGCAACGACAACAATACAAAATAACTGTGCCAATGACAATAACAATGACAATACTTTGACACGGAGCCACGGTCCACGTTCGTGATATTTCCACTCACTCACTCACCTTCCCCTTCCTTCATCCCTCCATCCGTCCCGGACGTCCATCCCATAGCCAGAGAGCGAGCACATACGTTCGTCGACCGACGAGTTCGATGACAATCGCAGAGACTCCATGTACATACATGCATACATACATGCCTGTGTTGTTATATGTATGTATTGATCAATTATGGTCGAGCATACCTACCTCGCTACTCAATATACAGAGGCAGAGGACGAGAACAGAAACATGGAACAGGGCTCAGTCAGTTCTCAATATCAATTTCGACCGTCAACCTGAGCGTCCAAGGAGTATCGAATAAACTAACCAAAAAGTAGTTCGTGACGCGCAAAACAACAAGGGTATCAGTATCAGTCAAGCATCTACAAACGTTACAAGTAAGTAGGTCAGGTCAATCAAGACATTCTCATCAATCAACAAGACTCCAGCCAGCCAGGCGCCGTCGTCAAACTCCCAGACACTAGAAATTTCATCTTCTTCACCGTGTCGAGTTCACAACGTCCTCCTCGTGCTGGTGGTCCCTCATTCCCCTGGTCGGCGGGTCACAGCGCTTGTTATGTCGATGCAAACGAACATTCCAACTAGTTCTTTTCCTGGCATCCTGACTCTTCCAATCGCGGAATTCTTTCGCGGACAGACGCCCCAATATGCCACTTGCTGCTTCGTAGTCTGGTGCTAGCTCGTGCACTCTTGCGACCTCAACTCTCCTCTTTCTCTCGCTAGATGCAACTCACATTGTTGCCCCCGTGAGCGGTCCCGAAACATTCTTCCTATCCAAAATGTTGCCGTTCGCGTCATTCAGGATCTCGGCGCCCGTGGCCCTTGCATTAGCTTCCAAATTCGGGCTGCTGTTTGCATCCCCGTTCTGCTGCGGGTGCCCTGTGTCGTCCAACAGCGGGATTTTGTCGATGGATTGCCTTTTCTCATGTCTTCGGCTCGGATCCTCCTTTGTCGCACTCAAATTTACGTCCGAATCCACGGGCCCGTGCGGTGGACTGAACATCGCTCCCGGAGAGTTCTGCCATTTGGCCACGTCGCGCTTCATCTGTTCCAGCTCTCTTTGGAATCGCTTGCCGAAGATGTCCATATAGTAATTCGCACCATTCCACACAGACCAGCTGAAAACGAACAACAAAAACAACGCGCTGGGCCATCGGTACCAGAACCATATCGGGCACGGGATTATCGTGAGGCAGGCGTACAGGTATTGAATCACCATAAACGCCGGCTCTTGTAGATAGTCTGGCAGAGAGTTGACCAGCCGGCCAATCCACGTGTTCGCGTACGAACGACGAAGCCACGTGAACGATGTGGGCCTTCCAGCAGCAATCTTCTCGGCACGCCGGACAGAGATGAAGAAGTGGTAGGACAATTGCCAGACCGCGTAGGGAATGGTAGCCCACAGGAGCATTGCGGCTAGTTCATAGTGTCCGGGGGAACCCTTTGCGCTGCATTTGATGGCATGCACGGCAGGAAAGCGTTTGAGCAGGTATTCGTCGGGGGTGAGGTGGACCATGCAGTGCAATGCCACCGGAGGCATAACGTGGATAAACAGGCTGGTAACTTTGTCCAGTGAATGGAAAACCAGCGAGTTTCTCCACAGGACAATGGCAACGGCGTTGTTACCGTAGGCCAGACAGTAGGCGCTGATCAAGAGACGTTTTGAGCGAGGAAAGGCCCAGATGCTGCAGAGAACGAGGAAGTTGACAAAATAACACAGATCGGCCAAAAAGTAGTGATAGCCCTTGCGGTGGTAGGTGTAGGCTCGTATGGGCATGAAGTAGATGAGCTGTATCGTATACCACCAGTAGAAATACTGGGGTACAGCCCCTATCAGGTACCCACTGATGAAGACGTTGAGGACGGCGGAAATAAACGAAACCTTTTCGCGGATCGAGATTGTAACCACTTCGTTCCATCTCTTGTTCAGATCATCCACCGACTTCTTCATGCGCGATCGATATCTGGCCAGCTGTTCGTCGGCCGGAGGGACTCGCTTGCGCCATTCGGCCACGGCGCGATCTTTCGCATTGTTGCCCGAGCTCCTTATCCTCTCCTGCTGGCGCGCCAGCTTCTCTTTCTGGGCCTGTATAGTCGCCTGCCATTTTTCGATCTTGGCCGGTAGAGCGAGATTGTCGAAGATGTCGAAAAAGGTGAGTTTATCGAGAGGAACCTCCCAGTCCTCCTGCAAAGATTGGCTACCCACGTAGGAGGGATTCCTGGAAAGGAGGTATGGACTTCCAGGGCTGGACGACTGATATCCCGACTGATAACCCGGCGTCAAAGCACCTGTGAATGAGCCTGTGTGATCGGAACCAACACTACCAGCGATGTCGTGGGAGGTCATCTCATCTAGGGCGGTTTCCGTTTTGGAGTGAGGTATTGGTATAGGATCCGACATGGTTGAAAGATACAGCTAGAGAAGGTACATAGGAGAGTCGTAGGGGGTGGTAGGAAGAGGCGGCAAGGATATCGAGCGCGAGTAGGAGGGAGGACGGGTTGCGGGAGAATGTTGTAATACAGGGCGGAATGCGTGGATCGGAGACCCTGGGATGATGTGATGGATACGCCGGGGGATGATTCTGCAGATGTTTATAGCAGGTCGGCGCAGGACAAAGGACACGCAGGCAAGAAATGGCGACGGTGCTATGCTGAGATGAATGGCACGTGCCAGATAACCAGCAACACCGGAGGCTCGAGGGTCATGCTGCCAAATGTGCACATGAGTCTTGTGAGAGAAGGTGCTTTGTCCTCTACAAGGCAACTTTTGTGGTGTTGAGAGCGAGAGGCTGAGGAGCGTGCGGACAGGACGCACCATGAGTGGCAGAATCGCAGCGTCGCCTCGCCATACGTCAATTGTAGACGCGCATCTGGTGGCATCTCACGGGCACCAGTGGCACCCACAGTGGCTCCCCCAGCACCCGCAGGCACCCTTAGCGTGGTGGTTCTTAATGCTCCCAAAGGCACTTACTAAGCCTAAACAGCTTCCAACCTGGGTGCCACCAGCTCCGTTGCCTCAACCTAGCGAGCGTGTGAGCCTAACCCGTTTTGAGCGTAGCTGGCCATTAAACTCATCTTGTCCCCATCCTTCCAACACGCGCCTTGTCTGGGCTTCGCGTCTCTTCCTCCCATCAAGCAAGAATCCTCGCGTTTCATCTGCTCAATGTCGACATACTTGTACATCAAGGGCGCGCACATAGTCAACACTCCGATACAGAACAATCGCATGGGCGCACATCTTGACGCCATCCTCCGATCATCTTAGACTGCTGGGGTGATTTCCTGGATCCTCTCATTCTCCATGTCTGCGATCTGATCCCTTCACGGTCAACTCACTCTGTCGTGCGACTCCACCTTTTCTTCCGCCTGTCAAGCTCAAGATGGGGAAACTCAGCAGGCTGGAACTCTACAACTTCAAATCCTACAAAGATCACCACACTCTCCTCTTTGGCGATGCCTACTTTACGTCCATCATTGGGCCCAATGGCTCGGGCAAATCAAACGCCATGGACGCCATCTCCTTTGTCCTCGGAATCAAGTCGTCTTCTCTTCGATCCAAGCATCTGCGCGAATTGGTCTACCGTGGTCGAGTTCTACGAACGTCCGTGGCAAATGGCGGACAGGAGGCAAATGGAGTAAATGGTCATGAAGAGGAAGAACAAGGGTCTCAAGCGAACGGCACGCAAGAGCGCAATGATCCCAAGTCTGCGTGGGTCATGGCAGTCTACGAAGATGACGCTGGTCTCGAACAGAAATACAAGCGCACAATCACCAACAATGGTGTCTCAGAGTATCGCATCAACGAACGCATCGTTACCGCGCAACAATACAACGATTCGCTGGAAGACGAGAATATTCTCATCAAGGCGCGCAACTTTCTTGTGTTCCAGGGCGATGTGGAGGCTATTGCGACACAAAAACCCCAAGAAATAACGCGCCTGATCGAGCAAGTCTCGGGCAGCATTGAGTACAAAGCCGATTACGATCAATTAAAAACAGAGTTAGATCAGGCAGCGGAGCAGCAGGCGTTCCAACTCAATCGGCGTCGAGGCATCAACGCAGAGATTCGTCAGTACCAGGAGCAAAAGCGTGAAGCGGACAATTTTCTGAAGAAAGCCGCCGAACGGGATGAGGCCATTGTGACTCATGTTTTGTGGAAACTGTACCATCTGCAACGCCAGATCGAAGAATCCAGCGCCGAGATTCAGAAGCACCAAGAGGAACTCAAAGAATACCGTCGCGGCATGGAGAAATATGAAAGAAGTCTCGAGGTTGCCAAAAAAGAGCACGCCCAAGCTTCACGAGGCGTTGGTAAGATAGAAAAACTGATCAAGACCAAAGAAAAGGAAATCGAGGACAAAACCTCATCGCTCATCCCGATTGACGAACAAATCTCCGTCTCCAATCAGCAGCTCGCCAAGTACGCGAACAGATCCAACACGATCATCAAAGAGCGGAACAAGCAGGCGGCAACTGTGGCACAACTTGAAAAAGACCTGAAAACCGTCGACAAGGCGCAGATCAAGTGGCAAAAAGAATGGGAGCAGAATGCCTCTCGGTTAGGTGGTCAATTGAGCGACGCTGATCTCCAAGAGTACACTCGTTTGCGTGAGGAAGTTAATAAGCGTGCAGCGGCTGACCTGGGTCGCATTGAGAGGCTCAAGAATGACCGAGCTCCGATCGAGGCCACCTACAGCAATCTGAAAAACAGCGTCGAAAGTACCGAATTCAAATTGAGCACCCTCCAAAGTGAGCATGCTGCCCTCGAACAACGGCGAGATGCAGTCAAGGAAGCAGTCCAACAAGCACAGATGGAGATTGATGCTAAGAAGAAAGAGCTTCACGCTGCCTCATCTAAACGACTGCAGGCCTCCCGGAATCGGACTGAGCTCGATGAGAAACTCGCGGAAGTGGCTCGAAAACTCTTGGAAGCCGACGATGGTCGTCGGACGACTGAAAAGGAAGTGAGGATGCGAGAGACCATCGCTATGCTCAAACGCACTTACCCCGGCGTCAAGGGCCGGGTCCATGAACTGTGCAGGCCCAAGCAGAAGAAGTTTGCGGAAGCTGTCAGTACTGTGCTAGGTCGACACATCGACGCCGTTGTTGTCGACACCGAAGCAACGGCTAAGCTGTGCATCCAGTATCTACGAGATCATCGCTCGGGCCAAGCAACTTTCATTCCGCTAGACACCATACAGGTCAAGGCACTCAGCTCAAATCTGAAAGGCATGCATAAGGGCATGCGGCCAGCTATTGAGACGGTGGATTATGACCAGTCTGTTGCCCGAGCAATCTCGTATGCTTGTGGAAATTCAATAGTTTGTGACAATCTGAGCATTGCGAAAGATCTGTGTTACAATCGTCATGTCGATGCAAAGGCTGTCACGTTAGATGGCAGTGTCATCCACAAGGGCGGTTTAATGACTGGCGGTCGTGGCAAAGACCAACCGTCTCGACGATGGGACGAAGCCGAAGTTGAAAGGCTTCACAAACTCAAAGACAGGTTGATGGGGGATTTGGCTGCCCTGCCACAAGACAGCTCTCGCCGGGCAGAGGAACAGACCCTCCAAAATGAGTTGAGTGGTCTTGAAAGCAAGCTACGATATGCCAAAGATGAACTCACAGCTCTCGACAAGAACCTCGAGAGCAAAACGCGGGAAGTCCAACACGTCAAGCGGCAGTTAGCAGAGGAACGTCCGAAGATGCAACAGGAATGGAACAAACTGGAAAAGATTGACGAGGACATCTCAGACTACCAAGAGTCAGTCAGCAACGTGGAAAATGAAATCTTTACAGATTTCTGCCAGAAACACGGCTTCGACGATATTCAAGACTACGAAGCTCGACAGGGCTCCCTGCAGCAGGAGGCTGCTCAGAAGAAACTCGAATTTGTCACGCAAAAGGCCAAAATCGAGGGCCAGCTCAGTTTTGAAAAGACCCGGCTTCAGCAAACGGAGGATCGTCTAATGGCTCTTCGAGACAGAGAGCAAAGGGATAAGGAGACGATTGACGATCTTAATGAACAGCGGCAGGGGATTCAGGACGATCTCAACACACTAAAAGGTGAACTCGATGAGCTTCGTGCTCAACTGGACGAGCAGAAGGAGCTCCTTAACGAAGCCGCTGAAAAGCTGGGAAAGCAAAAGTCAGAGTTCGAGAAGCGGGCCAAAGAGATGGAAAGCACTTACCGAGAAATCAATGCCCTCGAAGCAGAAATACAGCGCCATTCGTCGGCGAGATACAGCCTTCTTCGCCGCTGCAAGATTGAAAACATTGCCATTCCACTGACGGAGCAATCCGCAAGCTTGGACAGCGTGCCCATCAACGACCTGCCGCTTGAAGATGCCGAAGCAATGGAGGCTGATGAAGAGGAGCCTACGGCTTCGGCTCTCAAGACTTTTGCCGTCAATGACTACGGCGTCGAGCCCGACTTTGATGCTCTCGATGACGAGCTCAAGGAGGAAAACAGTGAAGCTATCGAGACCAAGCTGCTCGAGGATATCGTCAAACTTAACGCCACTCTGGACAAGATGCAACCCAACGCGCACGCCGCACAGCGTCTTGCTGCTGTAGAAGGGCGTGCACGCGACACGGAGCAGGAATACGAGGACTCACGCACGAAATACCGCGACCTCAAATCTCGCTTTGAGGATACCATGGAAAAGCGCAATGAACTCTTCAACAAGGCATTCAGCCACATCTCGGAACAGATCGAGCCCATTTACTCCAACCTGACCAAATCGGATGAGTTCCCGGCTGGAGGGCGCGCATATCTTACCGCAGACGAGGAAGAGCCGTACCTCGCCGGCGTGAACTACCACACTATGCCCCCTACGAAGCGCTTCCGGGATATGGAGCATCTGTCAGGAGGGGAAAAGACAATGGCAGCGTTGGCACTGCTCTTTGCGATTCACAGTTATCAACCCAGCCCGTTCTTTGTCCTGGATGAAGTGGATGCCGCCCTGGATAATGCTAATGTGGGCAAGCTGGTGAATTACGTCAAGAACCATGCGGTAAGTCTTGTGTCTTGTTGTCGCTCAGAGGAAGGACCCTGTCGTGGTGTGGAGCTAACAATATCTTGTGTTACTATAGGGGCCGGGAATGCAATTTATCGTGATCAGTCTCAAGACTGGCTTCTTCCAGGGCAGCGAGGCTCTGGTGGGTGTGTATAGGGACCAAGGAGCAAACAGTTCCAAAGTTCTGACGCTGGACGTAAGTTGCTTCTCGCCTCCTTTATCCGTCACTGTGGAGAGCTAACTTGAGCTTTAGTTGAGGAAATACACCTGATTGTTGGGGACTGTGACTTTTTCTTCATGTGAACCTCCACCATGAGGGTCAGATCCAGACTTATGGAGGTGTACCAACAGCCATCTATGGTGTCACAGTTTCCAGTGCGGATGCTATGTTATGCTATGCTATGCTATGCTATGCTATGATATGACAATGATGCCGGAGAGCTGTTGAACGACAAGTTGTTACATTGGGAAGGCAGACCCATCCATTCTCCACAGGACAGGCCAGTTTCACGACGAATACCCACGGGCACACACAGCGTTGATACTACTACGACAGTTTCCCTTGGATACTCGGTACTTATCTGCGCAGCGTTGTCGAGGCAGTCCACCTGCGCCCCTTGAATGCGATGCGACCTTGTACATCCAGTTATGTACCGCCACCCACCCTATCTTAATGGACTGATGAGGGGGACGAATGAAACGATGGATGGATCGGCTGGACTGATGACGACGGACTAATGGGACTACACACACACAGTATGTGTTTCTGCCACTCACCATATTAGGGAGTTATGCGGTCTGCGTTATGCGTTCCGTTGGTAGTCTGGTAGTCTGTCTACACGTTGATACCTACTGTAGCTAGCTCGCTAGGTAGAGAGATATCATGTGCATACGGATGGATGTGCCTGTGAACCATAAATCCTCCAACGAGGTTACATACGAGAGCCTGATTGAGGAACTAACTATCGATCCATCAGTCCATCTGAAAAGCTCCTGTCAAGGCACGATGGAAGAAAGCGAGGAGATTGGAAAATGTTTTCGTATGATTTCTTTTTTTTTTTGGGTCAAAACTCTATGGAATTCGTTTCACAAGAGAGAGAGAGAGAGAGAGAGAGAGAGAGAGAGAGAGAGAGAGAAATGGTGTCGTCTGGCCTGGTCTGTCTTTCGTTCTTGTGCTGTTCCGGTCCAGGGTTCTCGAGAAGTCTTTGCAGGACAGACACATAAAAAGTCAACCTCGTTGCAATCTCATTCCCCTTCTGCTGGTCCCAGTAGTTCCCATTGGCGGAGATGACACGTCCAAAACTGCTGAGCTGAGTCTATAGAGAAGAAAAAAAAGGTATAATTTGCCCTTTGTGTGGCGCCCGCCGTCTCATGTTCTGAGAGGGAAAAAAAACATCGAGATCAAAAAGTCTTCAAACAGTCGTGACCCAAATCGAATGGGGATATCTCTCTCTGCATTTCACAAATCGCGTAATGCAATGCGAGATTGTAGACAAGGCTTCTGCAGCGGCGAGACACAGTTAGTTTTTCTTGTCTTCAGGGACCTTCTGTGCCTCCTCTTGCTTGCCCTGCTCCGTGACGTCCTGTTCAGCCTCTTGGGCCTCGTCTTTCGCATCTGCCTTCGCCTCCTGCTTAGCATCGGCGGCCTTGGGCTTGGGCTTCTCGTCAATATCTTTGTCATCTTTGACCGTCGAGCTCGCACTCTTTTCACCCTTGGCCTCTGACGTCTGTTTACTTGACTCGGCCTGCTCGTTCTCTTCCTCGATCAACTCCTGCTGCTCCTTCAACACCTCCAGACGTTGTTTATTGGTGGCCGCTCCCTCTGCATTGTGGACCTCGAGTTCAATCTCGTGGAATAATTCCTCCGGAATGGAACTCAGCACAGCTTGCAGTGCATCAATTTGAGAGTCGATCTCGCTATCTTTCCCAGACGTGTACATGTACGCATTGCTGAGCACCAGCAGGGTTGACGGGATGTTATATTTGAGGCGGAGGTCGAGCCACATCTGCAAATCCTCCCTCAACTTGCCGGGTGACATACCGTGGGTCCGAAGCCCGCGAGAAGCGCACGCCATTTGGAGTTCAGGCACAGAGAGGGAATCCACGCCTTCAAAGGAGATAGCTTTGTCGTCACGCTTGATCTGGCGCATACGGTGGCGGATTTGATACCGCAGCATGGCGTCGGTTCCAAAGGTGTTGAGGTTCATGTACTTGCACATGCCCACGAGCTGTGGTCTGGAGAGATTGTCCAAGGTCAAATCGTCCTTGAAAATCTTACAAACCTTGATAACATCCTCCCTGGAGGGAGACTCGCCGGTTGCGCGGACTTTGCGGAAAAACTCGGTAAACTCTTCCTTCTTTGCATTCACCGCCGAGACCGGGAGGCCCGTCTCGCGAAGTGTGTTGCGTAGAAAAGCAGACACTTGTTTGCGCGTCTCCCGGAGATGTGCAGCCTTGGTTTCACGGCTTTTCTGGCCTTCGAATGTCGACGGGAGGAGATTGGGGAACAATTTCAATGCGACCGGGAGCAGGAGTTCGGCAAACGGGACAATCACGAAAACAGAAAAGGGTACCAGTCGGCCGAGATCTTGAACTGTCCGTTGCAACTGAGTGACTGTTAATATCTCCGCGCACACACACGCCGATCAAGCAATCCTTACCTGTCTGTTCTCCCGACGACTAAGTTCGTAGCCGGCGGCCATTTTTAACGCAAGCTTCGAGGAGATTCTGACCTCGGCGGCCAGCAACTTAGTGCCGTCCCAGTAATGTTGGATTTCCTTCTTTATCTTTTGGCCAAGGGTGAGTTTCTTAGATTCCTCCTTCTTGGTCGTCAGGTCCGTCTGCTCTTTTTCCGTCTGTGCAGCCGCCTTTTCGGCAGCAAGCTCGGTGAGACTGGCCTTTTCCATGGCTTGAGTCTTTGCGGTCGCAGTGGCCTGACTTTTCGGGACATGTAGTTGTTCATCGGACTTTTTGAGTTCTGACACCGTAGGGGCAGACGACGCCTCGGATGACTTTTTGCCCTCATCTTTTGGCAATGGTTTCTTAGCCTCGTCAATGTTGAAGCCCGGAGGAGGTCCGCTGTCAGGACCATGCGGAGTTGTCTCGGTCGCATAATTCCGGTGCGGCAAAGCAATGGCCAGAGCTGAGAGTCTAGGGGGTAGGTCTCTTGGAAATTTCGAACGAGAGGAGTAGACGCTCAAGAGCGGAGAGTGCGACGCCCGGGAGTATGCTGTTCACACAAGTCAGTCGGGATCCAGTTTCCGAACCAACACATAGACGTACACTGTATAACGAGTCTCCTCGCCGCAGCATTGCTGATTAGTCTAGGACCGGAACTCATGGTGGTCGGATTGGGAGGCGAACGGGAACGAAAGGAATGAAGTAGACTCGAAACTAGAATGATGGACAGGGCGTCAAGCCAGTCAGGAAGTGAAAGAAGAAAATCCGAACGGTTTGCTGGGACAAATGATATGAATGAAGATGTGTCGTGGTGTAGAATTACGAAATGTACGGAGAGGATTAGGGAGCGTGAGGGATGCGTTCAGGTCCCAAGTTCCAGAACCCAAACCCAGATCACTAAGATGCCCAAAAGGGAAAAGCGCCAAAAGCTGAGCCGGGATGTGAACAACGCAGTTGGCGCCTTATCGGAGTTACCAACAAAAAGCCGGCTTTAAATCACAGTCACGTGATACTCACTCAAACACACAGAATAACGTGAGCAAAGATCCACGGTGGTTATATGCACGAATAGCAACCCTGTATTCTTATGCTACAGATGAACTTGATCGCAGGTTAAGGTTGACCAGTCAGTAGGTGCCAGATCTGGCACTTTGAAGAGCCGCGTATTGCCCCGGAGAGACCGATATAGGCAGAGCAAACAGAGCCCAGGAGGTACCCTTGTAGCCATTTCAAGCCTGATCTCTCCGATGTTCGCCACTGAGCAGCTACTCAATATTGCATTGAGCTCAATGCCCTGAAATGCTTCGGGTTTTGCCGTCATCAACACCCTCGACTTGCGAATCACATAGTTCCGGAAGGCGACGGAGTTCGAGTTCTCCAAAGCTTACTCCGAGTCACCATCGCCATGTCTATCCACACTTTGCTTACCAGGTGTATCCCTCATCACTTCATCGTCTGAAGCGTCACGTTTCCGCCGTTTCGCCTCTGGCGAGGACTCATCCGACGAAGTATTGCGTCGCCTGCGCGCAGCAGGCTCGTATCTCTGTAGTGATAGCCTTCGTTTATGGTGCGGGCGTCGACTTCTGCTTCGGCTCCGACTGCCTCTTCGCCGAGAATCATACTCGTCGGGGCTGCGGCTCAAACGGCGGACATCGCGTGCATTGCGACCCTTGAGAATATCAGCTCGCCTGTTGTTTCGATTGCCATCAGAGGAATAGTAGGAGGGAGATCGCCTATAACGTCTGTCACCCTTTCTGTAATTCCTCCGTCTGTCTCGTGATCTTGACCTTGACCGGGACGATGAATAGGAGCGTTCTCGGCGGTATCGCCGCCGTTTGGGGCTCGGACTTCGACTGGGGCTTGAAGCTGAACGGCTTCGACGCCGTCGTCTTCTAGGCGACGGTGAGCGTGATATATCAGAACGTGTTGGAGATCGTGTGCGTCTATCACCGGGTGACTCCGAAGGTCTTCTCAACCTGCCGGAGCCCCTCCGCGGGGGTGACTTGGTCCGACTCTTGCTCCTTGAATTGCGTTCTCTTCTGGGTGCTGGTGAAGGGCTCCGTGAGTATGGTGCCGACTTCGACCTGGACCTGGACCTGGTTCTGGTTCTGGATCTCGAGCTTGACTTGGACGCAGATCGGCCAGCACGACGAGAATGTGGTGAGGAAGGTGAGCGAGACAGGGAACGAGAGGGAGACCTGGTCAAAGAACGTCCTCGGCCAATGTCCCGGCCCCCTCTACCTCGATTCCCAGGAACATAAATGTCGGCCTCCCTGCGGGACGGAGGGCCTCTATATGGAGATCTTCTGCGACGTGGGGGAGACCGCGAGTATCTCGGAGGTCGCGTGTCAAATCCTCGTCCACCTCGTCCGCCAGCACCACGGCGACCACGACCGCGCTCGGCCCGCTCACGCTGTCGAACCGAATCAATATCCCGCTCTTGAGCTTGTTCGTGGTCCCTTTTGTTTTTAGCCTCCACGGCCGCTTTCTCGGCGTCGATCTAGCCATATCAGCCAAGTTCAATATGATCGTGCGATCGTTGTACCTTTTCTTGTATCAGCTCCAGCTTCTTGGCTTCGAGTAACTCCTTCGGGACTCCCTGCGCGTTCGACTGCGCACTCAGGCACAAGTTCCACAGTTCCTTGCAGAACTTGGGTGTATCCTTGTCAAGAAATCCGGTGAGCGAGATTTGGAGCGCTTTGATATCGGGCTGAGGCCGTTAGTCCAGCTGTCGCAAGATGCGGATGACACCAACGTACGAAACGCGAACCCTCGAGCAAGTTGAAGCAAAGCTCGATAACAACGTCATCCTCGGAGCCAAGTATTTCAGAGATCTTGCCTGCAATCCATCTGTAATCTTAGATCAGCGGCTGTTCCCACTCTAGAGACAGAGGAGAAGCCATTGACGCCTAGCTCACTCACTTTTTCATGACCTCGACGTTGACCTTCTTCATGTCGACCTTCTGATTGAATTCGGGAGGAAACTTGGTCTGCCGAAGCAGTTTTTGGTCAACTGCCGTAGCCATGGTGTCGCAAAAATGCTTTCACAAAAAACCAAGTGTAGGCAAACGAGCGCAGTGCAAAGACTAGAGGACTAGGACCTGAGTTGGGACTGGAGACTCCAAACTGGAAAAGTCGAGAACGAGGCGGAGATGAGTCTTGAAGGCAGGAAGGTTGAGCGACCCCCGCGTATTAAGCCGAGCCTTGCGTCTAAGCCTTGTGGCGCGAGCCTCACAAGCTTAACAGATAATATTTCTTGTAGTAATATCATATTGACTACTGGATGAAATGGGCGGCTAAGGGTCGGGTCGTCTATTTGATGGCGGTGGAAGGCCAGCTCTTTCCATTTCCACTGCTGTGCAAGCGCGTTCAGGTTTCTTTCCTACTGTGCTTCAGTCTTCGCATTTGCTCAATGAGATACTTCTTCATGTCCCCTATACTTCTTACTTAGGCGTGCCTATGGCTTTGCTTCAACGTTCGTTCAATATGAGTAATGACCACACGCTGTCCGTGTGGTTCCTCGAGTAGACATTATTCTCCCCATTCCACCGGCTTGGGCTGGCCCTGGCCAGAGCATCCTGCCTGCGATCACGCGCCAGCGTCTCCAGTCCTGGATTACCAGCCCAAAGACGAACTTCCAGGAGAAAAAGAGCTGGCATGGATTGTACCCAAGCAACAGAGGGCATCGCTCATGTCTGACAGGCGTAGGACTCGCAAACGTCGACCACGGATTCTCGGAGGAACAACCTTCGTGAAGCTCCAGAGCTTCGATTCGGCTCATCTACGTTGCCCGCAACCTGGAAAACTTCTACTTCGAAGAGGCCGTCTGTTGGAACGCTCATTGGACATTTTGAGACGGTTCGTATGGCAAACTGCGCAGGTTCACTTGTTGACAAGACTAGAAAGACCACTTCGGCAAAGCACCCACAACTCCGCTTGAACGCGCGGTTACGAGTCCATCGCTGCTCTTACGTGAACGATATCAGACCGCGCTCAAATCACAAAAGCACACTTCTCCTGTTTATCGCCCTGAAAAATCCGTTCGTGGACGAGGACTTCGGGAAGAAGAGATCCACTTCATCGAGCAAGCGATTAGGAGAAGGCTCTCTGATAGCTCGCTAGGTCCAAGCACACCCCAGATATTACCGGACTTCTGCCCACCTGCGGACCGGCCACAGATCAAAGTGAAAGCATCAGCCCAGTCCATATCAATCATTATACCAGAGGGCATCAAGCTTCCGATTGTTGCCACCATCGAATCTGCGGGAGAGTTTGATTTCGAAACTCAGATGTCGACCTCGAATGTTGGAGAAAAAGGTGAGCCAAGTAGGACCACAGGTGATGACCCAAGTGCGCGAGGGATGAGCCGTCGGCAGAAAACATCGTCAGAACAGACAACGACTGGTGCCATCCAAGCAAGTGAGAACCAGGAGATAAGAGCAGGATTGGCACTGCCCTTTCTCGCAAGAGTCAGCAAAGGCCGACTGAATGTCTCTGAGGCGTCAGTCTCTGCACCCCAAAGCGCCGACGTATCGGCTGCAGGACAAGTCTTCATTCCTCCTCACGAACGATCCCCCGAAGAGGTTTCCTACCCACTACATGACCATTCCAAAGAAGCTGAAGTAGAGGAAACAGGTTCTCCAGACGCCCCCACGCCGGTTAAAGAGCCCAGAGAAGGTTCAGACTCGGAAGACAGAACGGAGCCGGAAATCGACCCCCTGGAGCCTGTGGTGACGGCTCCTCTCCAAGTTGAGAGTGCCCCTGCACCTGAAGAAGCAGACCCCAGCTCCGTAGAACCTACTTCAACCTCCTCGACCAAATCAGCGAACGCGGTCGATCCGGTCGCAGACTCTGCCCCTCAGGTAGAAGACCCCCAGGCCTTCTCTATCCCGGAAATCAGAATACACAGACCCAGCGGCACGATCATGTCTGAGATTGTGGGAATTTCAGGCGTGAATGACGCGAGTATGGCGCCCATACCTGAACAGACAGCAACGGAACAAAGTCCGACTGGTACGCCGCTCAATGCTGTTTCCAATCCAGCTGGGGCTGTGTCGGCGCCTACCACTCTCCCCACGGATCCGACAGCTGTCACGAATGTGGCGCCCATCAATACAGTGGTCTCAGCTGTTCCAATTCCCGTACCTGGCTTACCACTGGCAGGCAAGGTTCCCAGAAGGAAAAGAGTAATGCGGAAAGCCCGTCGAGTCATTGTTAGAAAGCGCCTGCTCGCTCTCATTTTAGGCCGGGACTTGGCCAACGTGGTCCATCCTCAGCTCAACACAGACGGGGAAAGTGTGCCTAACGTCCCCTTGCCTCTAGATGGACCGAGTGACTTGATGAGCGGCTACGAGAGACGGGAGGAGCACAGAAAAGTTGTCCGACAGAGACACCTCGAGCAGAAGATCGCAAGCGCCAGAATACATACGGAGGCGGAGGAGATTCAGAGGTGTCGGTCGTGTCGAGGGCTGAAAACGACAAGCTATTCACGCAAGTATCAACGTTCGCAGCTCCGACGGGACAGGCCTGACATGGGGGTGCTTGAAAGGCATGCAAGGAGCAGAGCTCGGGTGGCAAGGTCCAAATGTCAATGTAAAAGACGGGCATCTGGAGCTGGAGACGAGGGAGGGAGGGGATATACTCTACCGGCAGTTGCACAGCATCTACGAGGTCCTGGCGCTGACGAGGCTCCTTTGGCTGTAATTATAGGAGACTCGACGCGGTGAAAAGATGGTCGGAAATATCATTAAACTCCCACTAAAAGAGGTTGCTGTGGTTCATATTTTGCGTCTGTAGCTCGTCATTATCTGGCGCAAATTGGACTCTATTGATCGTCATGGAGGATCAAGACTATCGGTCTGATCTGGACAAGTCCGCCAGGACCTGATCGACCTCCCTGCCCGCTTGGACAAAGTCAGGATCGGGGCCTCTCTCGGTGAATTTCACCTTGACGTCGTAGTAGAGCGAGACGAGTTCGTCTGCACGGTGCAGGTCCTGATCGTCTTGGTCTTTTGATGGTGGAGGCCGCGCTGGTTGCCCACTTGTTTCGTCCGACGTGGTTGACGAGGACTGAGGGGTCCCGTCATCGGTTGGTCTTGTTGTGGTGGTGGTGGTGGTGGTGGTTGTAGGTGGCTTGACGAGGGCGAGGGCCGCTTCGTGGGACTGTCGGGGTGGACACGAGTTAGTTAGTTGGTTGGGTTCGTCGGTCAGTCACTCGATCATTTAGTCAATCAGGTAGGTACTTGGTACTCGGTACTCGGTACTTGGTCTAGAGTCGAGTTGGCCATGGAGGTGTAGCTGCGTAGCCGCGTAGCCGCGTAGCTACGGTGGCCCAATACAAGTTTGTACCCACTGGGTATTAATGACTTGAAAAGTGCGAAAACGTGAATTTTGAGACGTGGACCACCACACTTACACACACGCTCAGGGACTTGAGATCTGATAGGAAGGCTGCGACTTGCATTTTTCTCGTTGTGTCTTGTTGTTATTGGCTCTGCGGAGGCGGTGGCGGAGGTCGAGGTAGTGGTGGGGGAATGGGTATGTACTCGGTCCTGGTACTGGTACAGGAGATGGTACGAGTCCGATCGCGCCGCCGTCAAGGGATAGGGGAGAGTGGAGGGTGAAAGTGACAGGTTGATGGATGGGTGTTGTTTGAGTGGTCGATTGCTGGATGATGGATGATGAATGTTGGATGTTTTCTTGGTGTCTAACGTAGAGAGTAGTAAATAATACGAGGTACATGGTTTCTTTTTTGGCTGCGGACACGCACATCTCAATTCATGTCGTACATTCATCTTGGCCATTACAACCACCACCATCACCATCACCATCACGACCAACCCTCCCTTCTTCTCTTTTTCCTCGACCCGACTTCTCCTTCGACCTCGACTTCGAGCTCAGAACTAGGATCGAGGGTTACCATGCAACCACCCAAATTATGCACTGACTACATTCTCGCACTCATGCTCTTAAACGCCCAAAAAAAAAACCAGGTCTAGTTTGGAAATCCTGGCCATCTCGCTTTTGACCTTCCCTACTTACCGACCTACCTACCTCTGGAGGTAGTATCCGTACGAGGTAGGTACTCGGACGCCTGTCCCGTAAGACGAACAACCTCTTTTAATTTCCCATCGCGTAAAGAGGCCTGGTTGAGGAGTAAGGATATGAGATGAGATGAGATGAGACAATTCAAGATGTGCAATGATAATTTCCGCATCAAACAGTTATCGTCCCTCTCCAGACATTTCGGCTTGTCCGATCACCCTTTCGGAATACCCACGGCGCGCGCTACATATCATAATAGTCAGAACTGGCAATAATCAGGCGTCCCGTACTATTCGACGATTGAAACACAGTACTCGGTAGGCAGGCCAGAGAGTCTGCTACTGACCCGTATACGGAGATAGTGGACTACAAAAACTTGTCGTCTTGGCGTACAAGAAGTGTCGGGCGGTGCCCTGTCAATGTCTTTTCATCAGAATCAAAGATTCACGTATTGATACGCAAGAAGTCTTGCTTGGCTAGATCCCGAGGGGATAAGCCATCCTCCCGAGGGGCTGCAAATGGACAACGAGACCTCCTATGTGGGTACGAGTATGTTAGTAGGTCTCCGCTCGACTGGGATGTATTTGTTTGTCTTGGTTCGTTTTCTGTAGCATCCACGTTTCATGCTTGACATGGGCACAGGTAGACATCACAGGTCCATATCACACGCGTGATGCACTGCCGAAAGTCCATACGTTGCGACCATCCGGAGGAAACGTCGGTCGGCCGGTCGAGTCATGCGACATGGTGGGCGACGAACCTGCACGTGAATGAGGTGCGACATTGTGGTCGAATGTTAGCGAGAACCACTCTCCAAAGGGGCAAGTCAAGAGCAAAGTCGCGTCAAGATGTCAAACCAGACACAACAGTGCGGAAGGATTGCCATTCGAGGACCGGCGATAGGACTGGGGCCACATATTCCATTCCAAGATTGTAACGATGCGTCCAACCGAGCTGACCGTAGGCGTACCGATCACGCAAGAGGAGGTAGTTCGACGAAGCCGTCGCCTTGTGCCTACGAGGGCCCATGTTGTCGGGTCCAAGTCGCCCCGGTTCAAGTTCTGACCGTGGACAAGACTGGGTCACCCACGGGAAGTGGGTTGATTTGAAACGTCGACCCTCCAACAGTTCATCAGGCCTCGCGGTTCACGATGCAAACGAGGTTATCCAGGATCTTGTAAGTATTCAAGGTTAATTCCCGGGGGCCGGCCAGGATGATGGTTGAATCCAACGAAGCGAACGTCCAGTTGGCGTTTGCAATTGTAGATTCCCAAACTTTGTGACCCAGCCGTACCAATGTCTGACTTCGAAAGAGGGAGAAAGGATTTGGTCTCCAGGCTCGGTACCAAGAAGCAGGGTCGCACAGAGGTGTCGGAGTTCGCCAAGAGGGCAATTGTGCTCAATTCCACTGGGGGCCGAGGATTCTAGAGGAGTCGACGTCCTTAGCCAGCGTCGGTTCATGCAACGTCTGGGCCTGGCGGCAAACTTGCAAGGCTGGCAATTTCCCTTTGTGGAAAATGGGCTCATTTCTCAGCATCGTGGACTTGTTTCACTGTCAACCGGCTATATCCTTGATTGTTCCGACCTTGCTTTCATCCTTGGTGTGGGCCACGGTTTGATCATTCAACTCGTACTCGTACACAGTACCGAGTACAAGGTATAGCCATCATGTCCAATAGTCCACAATGCCCAGTCCTTTTGGAAACGGTCCAACGACTCTTCTGAGTAACGTTGAGAATACGACCACCCGAAGAAAACCCGATGTTGCCACCGTGCCATCCTCTGCTCGCCACCATTTTGCTCACAGGGCGTGGCACGCATGAGCAGTTTATAAAAATCCCAAATCGAGAATGAGGAGACCTACCGCATTTGCTCGACTCGCGCCCCACACAGAGTTGGGTCTGCAGGGATAGTATCCGCGTGGTCGCCAGGCGAAGACAGAGGCAACGACTGGGGAGGGCTGTTTCGCTTCTGCATGCAACAACAGAGCCCGCAAATGATTTCTAGTCGGTACTCCGTAGGGACGTGGTTCAACGTGCCGGTGTCCGGGCTGGTGCCCCATAAGGCCATAAGGCGAGGCAGTGAATGTCCGGGCGGGCGAGTGAGTGTATGGGTGCTCTGCGGGAGGAGTTCATTGCGAGTACGATCCTCCGAGCTAGGCGGGCGCTGGCAAGAACATATGCCGTTTGGGGACTTGCTTTTGATGACGACCAGCCATGCAGCCGGCGGAGGATGCTGAGCTGAGGATGAGGATGAGGGAATTCGGCTTCCGGCGAGCGCCCAGGGGCGTCAAGTCAGGGAGGAGAAAGGACACATGCATGCATGTCCGACAGCATGAGACTGTTCCTGCTCTGCTTACACAGTGGTAAGAAGTGTTTTTTTTTTGGAAGGACGACGAGGATTTGGGATAGAAAAAAAGTGTCATCATACAGACATTGTCATGTATGAATGTAACGTGGCGAGTAGGTCGACAAGGGGAACAAACGCTCCAAACATTCCAAGATTGTCCCATCAGCTTGGAGAAGGAGAAATGAGTTGAAATGACGATCTTGTCGACAGAAGATATCACCGTCAATCTGTCAACTTCCATGCCCGGTTTCAGCCGCCGACCAGTCATTTCAAATCCTTTCCGGCCCCCTTTTCTCACCGCGGATCCAGAGCCTTGTCGGTACATACCATTAGGTCAGACAACTCGAAAAAGGAAAATGGACTAGAAAGTAAAAAACCCTTCATTTCTTACTTGCGTCCATTATTGCTGTCGTTGCTCCTATTCCTGCTCCTACTCCGGCTCCCTCGTCATGAACTCGTCGTGTAGTCAAGGGTCACGATTACTAGTATGGGCTGCCGTCATCATTCGACAGAGCCAGGTCACCAAGGTCCGAACCATGAACCATCACCAGCGGGAACATCATCGTCATCGCAGGGATCACCTTGACTTTGTTCTAGTCCTTGTCCTTGAATCAGTGAACGCGGTTCACAGCCACGGTCAAAAAGTACACGGCAAAGACCAAGACACATGCAATCCATCACTCTCACCCATTCTCACTCGCTCACTCGCTCTCTCTCTCTCTCTCTCACCCCGGACCCGCACCCGCACCCGAACCCGGACAAAAGAACAAGGTGCAACGTGCAAGGTACAACGTGGATTAATCCATGGAGAGGCCCGCCGCCTCGCCTCGTCGCCTCGCCGTTCCGGTCGCCGAGAGGAAGGGCGGGAGGGGTTCCCTTGGACCGAATACTCTGTATACGAGGATTGTGGGTAGGTAGGTGGGTAATATACTTCAATATTCTCTACTCCGTGGTACTCAATATATTCCAAAAATGGGTGGATATGAAATACTCCGTACGAGTTGATGATGACCATCAGGCTGAGACGCGCCGAGACGCGCCTTGCAGCACCAAGCCTTGCCTTGCCTTGCCTCGACCCTCTACGAATCAAATAGATATATACACTAAGGCACAGACGCACCGATGCTGCCTCGGCTGAGTCGTATGTACACAAATATGTAACGCCTCGTGCCTCACAACTCATACTCATATGCACGCTCACGCTCACGCTCACGTCAGAAAACGGTCGAACCCCTTGCTCCTCAGACGCGTACTCGTACTCATTCTTCACAGAGGGTCCGAAGAAAAAGTGAATCGTTGACACCACGACGTCCACACCTGTATAATCGTAGAAAAGAGTATACGCTCACATACTCATATACACAATGGTGCACTACTATGAGCTTGCTTATTCGTTACTGGCTGCTTGACAAACATACTCCTGCTTAATAACTCGCACGCGTGACACTCCGAACTTCAACCGCAAACCAAGACTGTCAGAGACCTCAGCCGATTTGTCGACGCGTCGCTTCTCTGTCGGCATGCGCCATAACTTCCCCCGTCCGTCGAATGATAAATGGACTGAGCTGCGTAACAAGAGCGCCCTCCTTGTGCGAGACGCAAGGCATCCTCTCGTACAGGGGACGTGAAACCCACTAATGTCACATACCTTGAACCCCTTGATTCAAACAGTTGCCAAATGAATAAGTATGCGCCATGGTCAACATCGACATGCTGGCCCATTGCTCAATCAGGCTCGACTGCGTCGCCACTGCTCGACCCTCTCGTCCCCCGTGTGGTTTGTTTCGCCTCCGCCAATTGACGTAGCAATAATACGACGTCTGTACCTCCGCCTCGCCGTCCTTCTCGCACTGACGACAAACCAAAAGCAACTCAAGACCGACTGGCCGGGCAGGTGATATCGGACCCACGCAACACCCCAGAGTAGGATCAAAGCTTGGTACAGGAATTACCCGCTGGCGGCAGGAGATGGAAACTGCGGTCGTCCGGAACCAAGTCATTCATTGCCACAGGGGGGTCCGTATTCCGGGGAGTTCAATGGCGCCCTCTTTCATTGGCGGCCGCAATGGCTATCAAAAGGGTCCCAGACACGTGGGATTCGTGGACTAGGCTGATTTGCCCGGTAGTCCTGCAGTGTTGTCTAGTCGTGTCAGTGAGGTGGCAGCAAAAGTGCCAGTTGAGGCCGTGTGCAGAGACACCGGCACACTTGATGCCACGACTACCCGAATGGCGACATGAGCCCCTTTGGTAGCCCTCTGTGTCTCCTTCCCGAACAGATCACGGCCAGAAGGAGGGTATTGGTCCAGCAGGGTCTGCATCAGAATCGCAAATGCATGTGGGATCTGGTCACTCATGCCAGAGTGCAGATTGCAGGACGCAGGATGAGCCGCATCTGCCATCTCAATCCAGAGGTGTCGACGAGGGCCAATGACACATGACCCAAGGACGGCCTTTTCTTCTGCTGGACTTGCTTCGCGCCATGTCAATCACATCATTCATTATTCATGGCTTGATCGTCGGGCCGATGCCGTAGGCTAGAGGTCAGAACTCGACCGGCGCAATGCATGACCAGGTTGATATGCCTTGGATGACCTCAGCAACAGTTGGGGGTTGCTGGGTGAACTGCTGGAAAGGGAAGTTGGCACAAACTCGACGGCGTTGAAAAGGGTTACGCTTCTTGTTCCAACCCCCAGAATGGCCTTGATGGCTAATCCTCGAGCTGTCTTTCTTCGTTTCCACTGATGATCTTCACCAGGTTGAGTCGTGAGGAGTCAAGACAGACATCACCCACCACACCCTCGACAGCACCAACATCACGCCAGCCGGCTAGGACATCTTGATTGAGGTCAGGACAGACCAGATCGACGCTGTCGTTGAATCCATCGGGCGTCTACTTCCCTCCCTCTATCGGGCGATATACCCTTTCTGCGTTAGACCGGAACAAGGACGAAGAGAATGAAGCGCTGGAGAGGCCTGGACCGCCGTCGACCCGGGACATTAAGACGCCTGATGATGAAAAGAGTCTGCTAGGGTACAAGCAGGGTACTTAGTCCAAGCAAGACCGCCTCTTTGTACCCCGTGCAGCCAAGTAGGCTAGAGGTACACTCCCACTTCCTGCCATGACCGACCCGTCCCTTTGATCCAAGGGGACGGCCAGTCGCAAAACCGAGAAATGACGAGAGACGTGCTCCTAGACCGCAAAAAGGAAAATGCTCAATGGAAACAAAAGACTGAAAAATCGACCAGAAGGGAATAGGTAGTGTCATTTTCTCGTCGTGTTCCGGATTGACTTGTCCTGGTCTCTGGCCGGGATACAATACGGTCAACATGCGACCCTAGAGATCCCAGTCAACTGACATACAGAGTCCAGGAATGCGTGTGCACGGGTATAATCCCGCAGGTCACAGGCCCTGGTCAATGCTGCCACTTGAGAGCCTTGTATGCCTGCAGAATATTCAACCTGGCACTTTTGTCCCGTGGTTGTATCGCTTTGGGGTTCCCCTTTATTCGCCTCAGTCGTCCTGGTCGTCTCTCTTGTCTATCTGTAATGGTCCCTGGTGCCCTTTTGATTTCATCATGTTACATTGCAGCCTGCAGATGGACTGGGACAGTTCACTTGTTTCTCTCCGTGACATCCCCTTCCGTCAAGCCGGCAAACTGTGTTTCCACCGCCTTTCCCAGGGGACCGTTCATCCGCTGAAACAGGAAAAGGAAGTCGAGGCGAGTCACGTATGTGGCTGGACCACGGATCGCTCCATTGCCATTTGGCGAACCCTGGGGGTCGGATTTCGGAGAGGGGGGGGGACCCTCTCCCTAGCACATGGTTATGGTGGTCGGATACCCATACCGAAAGCGCTAGCTCTGGGCGGCGGTGATTCGAATCGTTTTGCTGACGAGGAGAGAATCCGGTGTGATACGCTGCAAGTCGCAATCCCCGGTAGGTCGCTCGTTACTGAGAAAGAACCTTGGCATACATAGAGACAAAGGTGCTCCAGCAAAAAAAGACCGGGACTGTCATGTCACAGGGAGGGGGGTTGGAAATCCTTCCAGCGGCCTCTGAGCTTCCCATCCTTCAATTAATCCCCTGGGGGCTTCGCACCACCCAACTAGTCCGAATGGTCTAACTGAAAAACCAATATGCTGGTCATTCTCCGATCCATTTGCAGGCCGTTTGTTGATCCGATCTCAAATCATTGACTCCATACGAGGTACACTGGATTCAATTTCAAGAGGTCCCCTCCTGGAATGGGCGGTAAGCACTAAGAGGCCCGGATGAGGGGTCAACAAGGCCGTGTCGTCAGCAGGCTGTCTGCGTTGTGGCTTGTCAATTTCCAACCTGCTCTGCCGCTCTGGGTTTGGGCCAAACTGGTCAGGGAGAGCAGTTGTGAGCGACATCCAATGACTGGTCCCGCTGGTCACCACGGATGATAGCAAGATGGCGTCCAGGTCGACGATTTCTGGTTCGTTCGTTCTTTAGGGGCGTGGCATGATGCAATAGGTCCAATGCAAGCTTTGCGACTCATTTCGTGATAGTCACAGGCCCGTCGAGTCGTCGGTACTGCTCGGGCAGAACAGTGTGAAGGGGATCCCCTTGACCCAGTCGCCAGCAACAATGTCCAGAGCTTCTGCTGGTTCTCCACATTCCTTGGGATTGGGCCACAGGTGAAAAAGCAAGCCCAGTTAGTATTGTCGAGCCTGAGACCAGCACACCAGGGGGGGAGTTACCCACAGGCGGTCCGAGGCTCTGCAATCCCTGGCCCAGGGTGAAATGTTTGCCGCCTGTGGACACGGCGTATGGGCTATGACGAGTACGCTTTTGCCGCCCACCGAAGGTGTAGGTATTCATTGGTACGGAATGGACTGGAGGGTGACCAACCTTCTGCTAATCGCCCATGGACACAAACTGTGGCATGGATAAGTCTCCATCAACCACTTCTCTGCACATGCCACAAAGATCCCTGATACGAAAAACATGTTGCCTGTTTATCCTGCCAGCCGGTGAGGTTGTGCGGGAAAAGGAAAAGGTGGTCCTGGCCGGCGCGCAACGGCGGCTGGGTACTCCACTGTCGGGTTAAGGACTTGTGAGCCCCCCAAGGGCTTGTCTCCCCCACATTCGTCTTCTGTGTGCGACTTGTAAAAATGGTTTCTCTCGAGTACACAGAAGCATGATACAATGGCATAGTTAGTGCTATGCTCGTAGCTAGTCTCCCAGGGTAGTGCCGTTGATTGGGATCCCGTGTTAATAGTCTGACGTCAATTAAGGTATCATTGAGACTGCCATTTGCTGCCTCACCAGCAAAGAAAAGCGCTGCCAAAAACATGCCAGGTCCATTGGCCTGGTGGCACTTTCGTCCCTTGTGCCTCCAGTGCGCGGGTGGCAGCAAATCGTAACATCGTCGCGCATGTCTTCGTCATTGGCCTGCAAGAATGGACCCGTTCTGATTCGAAAGTCCTGTCCACGGCAAGGGCGAGGAGTGCATGGACGAAGAGGATCCGGGCACAAGCCATCCGACCAAATTTCCAACCCCCCCCTTCCCAGAGACCTTTAGTGGGATGAAGCGCAAAGGGTAAAGCTGGGATCGGCATTCTGGATCCTCTGCACTCTCCTGCAAGACTAGGCGTTGGCGACTGTTGGCAGACCAGCGAGGAAACTCCAACACAAGGATGGCGGGGTTGTCGGTCGCCAGAGAATTCTCGAGCGGGTTAGCATGCCTATCCTGCACCTCGGGTCCTCCCGCCGGCCGTAGATATCAGTTGCAACCCTCAAACCTGGCCTCTCCATCCTTGCAGAAATGGAGGGGTTGTTAGGACCGAATCCCGGTTCCAAATCGTCGTCCGGTCAAGTTTCATCCTGGGCTTCGTCAATCGTGGCACCACCCATGGGTCTGTCGGAAAGGCCGCTGGGTCCTCGTCCTGGACTTGAGTCACTTCCACTTGGTGAGATTCCAATAGGATCTTGGGGAATTTCCTCGCGCAAGCACACATTTTCCAGCATGTTGGTCCATTTCCCACTCTGTCCAGCGTGGCTGTGCTTGAGATGCTGTCTGAAATGATCGGCCCTGTAAAACTTCTTGGACTGGTTGCACTCGCCAAATTTGTGGACATTGGTGAGGTGGTCGATCCGGCGATCCCAGTCCGGCTGAGGGAGATTTGGGAATTCTTCTCCGCAATAGCCGCACACATCGGTCGAGGCGCCACCACCTGAAGGAGAAGAAGACGGGTGAAACGCGGCCTCATACCTCGTAATAGCCGCACACGACCAAGAATGGCGCCGTAGATGTAGAGAATTTTGGTGACGTTCGGCCTCATTTTTGTTCTTGAAGCGGTTGTTGCAGTATTGGCACGTATACTGCTTCTCCATTTGATGCGCTCTGGACGGTAGTCAGCATCAAAACCGCTCACGGGTGGAGAGTGGCAGAATGAGAGAGCAGGGTGAGTGGGGGGTGCGTGGTGGGCAGGACCAAAAATCGAGAAAACGTCCAACTTACCTGAGCTCTGCCTCTGTGTCGAATTTTTTGGGCTTTTTGGGGCAACAGTCGCAGATAAAGTAATTGCCCACGCGGGTCGCAGGCGGAAGCCTCGAGTCGCTCATGACGGGTTGTGTGGATGACTTTGAAAAGGGAGGTTTTGTATCAAGCGGAGACTGAGTCGACTGTTTTCTGGAGGGAGCAATTGACGTGGCAGGGCTCGAAACAGGCTGGGCCGAGGTTATATATGCAGGCTGTGAAGCAGGGTCCAGCGGTGACTGTCGCTCGAAGGAAGATATGCTGGTCATGCTACTGCCGGCCACTGAAAGAGCCACAGACGATGCATAGGAGTTTTGCCTCACGCTCGACGCGGTCGACGAGACAGATCCATACTTTGGCTGCTGATAATACTTGGACACGGGCGACCGTGCAGACGCGGTCGTGGTGACCTTTTGGAACAGCTCTGCTGATGCGGTACCACGTGACGGGGATTTGTCGTCCCGAGCCACATCGGACGGGGGTGATCCTGCTCTCCGCTTCATACCCTGCTTAGAAGATCGCCGACCCACTTGCTGCTCTGGTCGGTCACTCAGATTGAGATTGCGGAATGCGTTGCCATCCTCGCCGCCAATGTCGGATTCTGTCTCGGCGAAAAACCCCTGGTCATAACTGCCGCGATGTGAGCGACTCGCAATACTGGCCACCTCGTCGAATCCCGGGGTGGCGCCGCTGCCGCCCGCCACGGGCAGGCCGGTCGGTCGAGGCTGAAGAAACAATTCGGGATCCAACACGAGCGAATTACTCGTGCTGTCCATCGAGGGGCTTCGATGATCCATATTGTAGTCGCGCCAGCCGGCTCGCGATCCAGGTGAAACACCTGCCGATACCGGGCTTGTGATCCATCTGGACACCGGATCAAAGACGGCCGATGGAAGCTCATTGGCTGACAACAATTGGACTTTTGAATCCTTTGTTTGCAGCGAAAGTTTCGTGCCATAAGATGAGGATTCTGTCGACCCCGAACGCTGATGCCGCGGTGGCGAGTTCGACTTCCCAATCTTGGACAAAAGCCTTTGGTCGTATGCTTGCGACGAGCGGTCGAAGTTTCGCTGTGCCAACGGCACTTCCCCTTGCAATCTAAAATAGAATATCTCATCAGCATTCCCTTGTCTATTGCCACTTGCGGCTAACGGCTCACGGGCGGCAATTTAGCCCCCATGACACGCGCGAACGACCGGAAAAAGAAAAATGGTGCAGGGATCCGCCCAAGCAGCACACGTCTGTGGAGCGTCGTTGATCGGGCACAATACGTTGTGGTATGACCCGATCGCGACAGAGAATGAAAAGACGTGGAAAAAAACCAAATTATATGGCAAGGGGCTGAAAATTTGGGGCTTGGCTCAACGTCGCACGGCTGACTCACCTCTGACTCGTCAGTGTTGGAGATGGCGGTTTCCGAATCAAGGCGGGCACTGAACCCGCCAGGCGTATATCGGCGTGCGAGGGTGACCTCACCGTCGAGACATTGCTGCTTCGGCGGGTGTAGTCGTCGTCGTCGAGGTCCATCTCGTCAGGGTCCTGGGCACGGCCCAAGTTGGTCCTCGAGTCCAAATAGCCACCGTACAGGCTTGAGCCCGGCTTGATGGGCGCCAGGTGTCGTTGTGTTTCAAAGGTTTCGCCGTTGGCCCATTTCCAGGCAACGTCTACACCCTGAGCCAACTCATTGTTGTATCGCGGGGGAGGTAGTGGTGGAGGGACGTCGTTGAAGCGTGCACCAGGAATGACCATGGCTTCTCGAGGTTGAAGAGAGTCCTCTGAGGTTTGGGAGTTGGATCGGGAAGTAGATCGCGGTGTGGCAGCAGTGTCCCGGTAGGGTGGTAATGGTATCCGCATTCCGGCGGCACCTGTCCTGCGGATGTCCATGTTTTATTTGTCTCCGGGCCACTGCAACATTAGAAAGTGGTGGGGAGGCAACAAAGGCTCAGCTGTGCGTGATACTGCAAGGAACGGCCCTCTGGCGATTTGGACCTGCTTGTGGCGAAGGGGTGTGCGACTTCTCGCAGGTCCCCCGTCCTTCGATATATATACCTTGGTTCGATTGTGTAACTCTTTCGACGCACATGTGCCTGACGCTCGGTCACATGGGGTGCCTCTTCTTCTCTTGGGCGATATATCCTGAACGATCCGAGGACTAAACTCTTCGCGGTTCCTCTTGCTTGGCCAATGGATGGTATAGCAGGGGGGTGGTGTGTGGATGTGGCTTCCCTTGAGGGTATAAGTAATGTAGCAGTCTATGTCGTAGGTTGGAGCAAAAAGTACAGGGTTGTTACAACAGAGTCTGGCGGTAAGGACAGGATGTAGAGTAAAGGGAACTATTTCGTGTCCCTGTCTCTCAAGGCGGATGGGCAGTAGATTGGAAAGGACAGTATTTTGAGGACCAGTCAACCAAGGGATCGCAGATATGAGGACGGGGCCCTAGGAGGGGTTTGTCAAGCGGGTCGAAGAGCCACAGTCAGGCGAGCAGCAAGCTGGAGGAGCGATAGACATGCTGCATGAGAATGAGGTATGCGGTGTGAGGGAGGATGGGAGGTGAGGGAAGGTTGCAGACGGTGATTTGCTTGCAGGATTCGCACTTTTCGCAGGGTTTCCCGTTGGGTTAGGGCTCCCGGTATAATGTGAACGGAACTCAAAGGGTCCTTTCCGTCTTGGTTTTTCAGGATTGACACAGTAATGGCCGTAGCAAGCGTAGTGTACGAAAGGGTGGGAGTACGAAGTCTCTCAGTCGACTTGGAGGGGGGGAGGGGGGTTTGAGTGGTGTGGGAGGTCGTGGCGAGGGAGGACTAGAATAGTTTCTCTGACGAAGACAAGAACCTTGCACGAGTAAGGCGATGGAAGTAAAGGCAAATGGCACGCTCCAAGGGCTTGGAGCTCCACGGGTCCTTGTCTGAAGTCAATCATGCAGCAAAAGTTTGCCAATACAAGCTTGCCGCCATGCGATTGCGCTTTGCTTCTTCCTTCGCAAATCGGGCCAGGGTAAGGGGGGTGGTTTAAGGCAGGGCAGCTGGGCTCCAAGTGGAGTTTGGCTTTAAAGTGGTTGAGTGGCTCAAAAAAACATTTCAGCAGCGGCAGGGCTGTTCGGAGGCATCACAGCCAGCAACCAGCCAGCACCAGCCAGCACCAGCCAGGGAAACTCTAAGGGGACCCAAGGCCTAACGGCCAGCGATAGCCATGAGCTTCTGGAATGAGTGCGGGGATGTAGTCTGCGCAGGCGCCGATGGATGTGTACCGAGTAGTTTTCTTCTCTTCTCTCTTCCTCTCTTCTCCTCTGTCCCTTGTTCGCCTGAGCTATCTGATCCAGAACTGGGCTGGAGCTGGGTTGGTTCAGCCCTACAGCACGCATAGCCCAGATCGGCCGTGGGCTGCTCTAGCGTCAACACCGTGAAAAAAAGGCTGCAGCCGTTCCGCAACAGGATGGTGGAGCCCTAAACCATGACCCTGCCACCCCTTCCACCTTGCCTAGCGCCTTATGCCTAGGAACTGGGCTAGTCCCCTCGCAGGTGGTGTCTGAGCCTATCGCTGACCACGGTGCAAGGGTTAATTTTTCTCTTTCCCTCCAGGTGCCTCTACTTGGTTACCAACGCCCTCAAGGCGCCTGGGCGATGGAACATCGGGGTCGGGAACGGGGGGACGCGCTTGGTGCTTTTGCTGCCCTCCCGCATCTTGTCCTGGCACCTTGGGCTCTACCACGTACTGTACGAGGTACCTCGTTCTTCGAAGGTACATGTACTTTGAAGGTGCTGCACAACAAACGTGTGTGGCGGAAGTCCCCTTTTTCCCGGGCCAGTGCTGCAAGGTTCACACATCCCGAGTCAGTCAGTGACGAAGTGACTTTTTGACTTTGGTTGCCCTCGTTTACTACCTACTCGGTGGTGTTCATGTACGTACCATCCCGAAGTCTTCTGATCTGATCCCCCCCTTAACAATTCTTACTATTTGTGCGCATGATGCACTCCTCCTCACACCTCACCCTCACACGGCTCGCCGAGAGCCACCCACTTTAGAAATTCATAATAATAAGCAACCCCCAATGGCTGAAACTGAAACTCAACCTTGCAAAGGTTGAGCAATTGACAGATGGGGATCGGGGGAGAAAGGCGGCACGGGCTGACCTCGTGCTCCCCCTCCAGGGCGGTAATATGGTCCAGAGTCCAAGTGGACACCCGATAGGGCGAGCCTACCAGGCCAACTCCAGACTTGTAGTAGGTTGGTTACTGAGACAAAGCCGAGTAGTACTTACCTTCGAGTAAAAAAGGGCCCTTGTAACGCTGGGCGACCATGGGCCACGGGCGACGATTAGGGCTACTAAGAGTGGCTAGGCTGCAGTGCCCCGCCAAAACCTGCCGGCCGCTTAGTGGTGGGACCTAATTGAGGAGACAGTAGCCCTATGAAACCCACGACCGGGGGGCGTTCCATGGTTGGTGCCACAGTGCTTGGGTATCTCGACCTCAGCCGACCCAGGGCCCAGGGGGTGTTTTTGTGCTGTTGCGAGTACTTGTACACAATAGGGAGGTCCTTGTACGAGTAAGGCGAGCCGATACTAGAAAATGGTAGCCAACACGGCCATTGTTTGTCCGCCCATCAACCCCGGTATCGCATCGTAATCACCCATCACCACCTGGTGCACCTAGGCATTACCATCACCACCACCACACAATCATCACCAGCGCCCACCCACCACAACCACCACCGCCATCATCCTCATCATCATCATCAGCATCATAATCTTACGATAAAAACAGGCCTTGGTTGGTGTTTGACGCTTCGGTCCACTTTAGAGCTTGGCCGTTCGCCGGCCCAAGACTCGGTCCCAGCTGAAGCCTTACGAGTATGACTAGTATCTCGGAAAGCGCGGGTTCCATGGCCTTAGGTGGCGTTGTTTGCATTTTGCATAATTTAGCTACGCTACATATGTACTCCATATATGAGTGGCTCGGGGGACGATGCGAGATGGTTTTCCCGCCAAACCCATCGCCTTCCACAAACGGACAACGGATCTCTATAGGAAAACCTTTTTTTTTTTTTTGCAAAATACCGATCCTCTTGTTTCCTCTCTTTCCGTAACCTTTGCCAAAATTCCCCATGTGGTAGGGGATCGCAGCAAGGGAAAATTCAATGTGCACTAGGTGTGCGTGATGTGAGCACATATCAATTATGCCTCGTCTTCTGCAGCCAACAAGGTTTTTGTGGATACGAATACTCATAGGTTCGTGCATATACCGAGTACTCTGAAAGCATTCACCGTAGACGGTCTAGCCGCAATCCCAGGCTTTTTCTTCGTCAACTCCCACGCTCCAAACGCCTGCGAATACGAGAGCTCGGATTATTGGGCGCTTTCACGTCATACCTACTCCGGACTTGAACAAGTAGTCCCGAGGCCACGCTGACAACGGCACTACTACTGGGCCAAATCCTACTCGTAGCACCCCATTCCATCAAGCGGGAGCTAGCGGGTCCCCATTACGAAACGAGTGTCTGCCTCAAGTGCTTGTTGTGTTGGCAGTACCAAACACGAGAGGTGATGTGGTAGAGGATACTTTGGAGCGGAGTGTCATTTGACCTTGGCCTCGAGGTTGGGTACTGGTTGGTGGATAGCGCATGCCGAGTCTGATGGCCTGCAGGAAGCCATGGCGACTGACTCGAGCGACAGGTTTTGCTTCTGGGCAGTGTCTCTCCAAGTAGCGTTTGTTTCGGGGATGCATAGGCTTGCCACTCACCCACTCACCCACTTAGCCCTGGGCCCCCTGCCCCCTAACCATTGCCCTCGGATCTCCATCTGCGGAAACATCAAGCACAGCCCTACAAGTACTCATAGGCCCTCTTTAATGGAGTACTTGGTACTCTGCCTTACCAAAAACTGCCATGAGCGTGCCGTGTCCACCCCCTCGGCGACTAGTCAAGACCTTCCATTGCGGTCTCGCTCGGTTGCCCAAATTTTTATAGCGAGGGTGGCCAGACTGCATGCGCATGGTGAACGAACGAGGTACCTCGGTGGGTTGATGGCTTCGACTTGTTCTATTGGGCCAACCGCCGCCCACAAGGCCGATGGGACCTCATCCAATCAATCCAAGGAGGTGGCACCAGCACCGAGTACATCGGCGAAAGCAACTCCCGAGACGATTGAAGGTCTGCATGAGGCTTGTTCTGGCTCTTCTCTTTCTCTTTCACTCGCCCAAACGAGATCCTTCTGCCACAGATTGACTGCGTGCTCCATCTACCAAAGCTCTCTGGATGATACGCGGCCGCGTGAGGCCGAGATGACACTCGAGTGGAAGCAGGTAGGATGGCACGACATCCTTCGGTTTCGATTGATCGTCAAGTTGTGATTGGCGAGGGTGAAGCAGGACCTGGCATGAATTTCCAGAAGGTGGATCGTATCATCTGCGAAGATTGCGAGTGATTGTAACGGTGCACAAACTCGATCAGGTAGCGGAATCAGTCTGAATCTGAGTGTTTTTGGGACTTGGCAACCGACAAGGCTGGAGATTCCTCGTAGGCACCTGAAACAGAGGGTCAGTTTGATCAACTTCTCCAGCCTGTGGCCTGAAGGAGTAATCGGCGAGTGGATGAGATAATTTTTTGAGAGGTGAGGGTGCTTGACGAGGAGGCGTTTTGCGTCCTGTGTCCTGCGTCTACGCTCTGTACATGTGCCTCGACAAGGTGCCTGGCTTCGGAGCAACAAACCAGACAGGGACATAGAGCCGGGTTGAGACTCGGAAAATCACCTCTTTGCGTGCATTGCAAGGAGCGGCGAGGCGGGTCTTGACGAGCCTGGGGAAATATTGCGAGTGGACACAACTGACGTCGTATCTTGGATCGACACCACCGACACGGACGGCAGAAGAACAGGGGGTTGTTAGGACCTGCTATGCCCAACAAGGATGACCAGAATGTGGATTAGATCCCTCTGGCCCTATGCTATGTCACCAAGCTGCTGCCCTGTGGCTCCGTGGGGATTCCTACCAGACCCTACGACTAGTAGGTATCAGATACCACCAGCACAACGTCCAACCTCTCTCCCCCCATCCAATCCCGATGACACCACCTCATCCGAACTTGTAAACTCCAGTAACTCCCAGACCGACAAGCTGCAGACCAAGTAGGTGGCTAAGGTTGGATTCCAGAAACTTCATCAAACATCGCTTGCAGTTCTATTCGTGGAAGGTGAAGCCATCCATCGGCAGGATATTGTTTCAAGCCAGAGATAGCCAATGAATGCCAAAGGGGTTGTTGACGTGTTGATGTGCCACGCCCGGCTGTTCCGTTGGACCCGTCGACGCCGACCCCATATGCCCATCAAACCGTTTGCTCCCCCACCTGACTCTCGCCATCACCAATGAGGCCCCTTGACCTCGGTCTCGTTCTTTTGTTGGTTGCCCCTCGCCATGATGCCGGGTAAACATGACGGAAAGGTATTTGCAGTTAAGCATAATCTATGGTTGATCCCTTCTTTACGTACATGTCACCAGCCACGGTCTATGGACGGGCCAAGCCACACCCTTGAGGCATAATGATAGGGTGGAGGAGAGGATTGTCAGATTACTCTTCCGAAGAACTCAATCCACAAATTAGACACTTCTATACGAAAAGGCTATCTGGATAAAAACTTATGGTCAGACGTGGAGGTAAAGGTGAGGTGGAAGTGAAGTGGAAGTGAATTGCTATTACCACTCGTAATTGCCCTATGTGTCTCTCTTTCCCTTTTAGTCACGAGATGACTTATCAGAGTCTTGGCATTAGCCGAGGCTCAATATCCGATTTTCTCTTCCCGCTTCAACCTCCAAGTGTTTCAAGGCTTCAAGGCTTCGAGGCCACCATTACCCAGACTTCCCAAAGCCGATCCGATCCAAGCCCTTGTCCCTCCTACGCTACTCAAACCGTGGTGTCTGCGAGTGTGAAGCTTGACAGGGAGGAGATAATTGCCACCGACAAACAAAGTAAAAAAAAATCTCAACCGGGAACCCTCGCCCACTTTCCGGAAAACACAGAAACCAAAGCCGTTACTTCACAATCCACATTTTTGGTCCTTGCCCCTTCACCGCTGCTTTCACTCTTGCGAAGGGTGGTTGGCCTTGGCCCGTTCTTTGCCTCTATTGGGATCCGGCATCTGTTCATCACCTCAGCCGCGCTGTCTTCGGAGCCGACATGGACATCCCAACCCTGCCCAGCAAGGTCCCAGGCTACGATTTGTACATTGATGGGTACGTGGTTCGAACTGAGTGCCCCCCTTTTTGTGCGTGGCTGGCGACCTGTTTCTACCCACCTCCAAGCCGACCCGATGGAGAATTGAGATGAAGTTCCAGTGACAACTGTTGACAAGTCCCTTCAGATTTCAAGCCTTGCGTCGCCCGAAGATCCTCCAGAACTCCAACATCACTCACGTTGTTTCAGTATTAGACTGGAAGTTTCAAAAAGACTGGGCCTCTCTTCGCGGTTTCCAACACCTGCACATCCCTCTGGACGATGTCTACGACTCGAATATTCTGTCCTATTTCCCACGGAGCAATGCCTTTATTCACGAAGGTTTAAAGTATTCGAGATCCCGTCAACTTGAAACCTCTGGCACCTCCCTCAAAGATGGCTCCAACGACCCAATCCCGGGCGGAGTCCTTGTGCACTGGTAGGTGAAAATTCTCCTTTCTCTTGACTCTTGGCCATGGCAGCTTTTGTCTAGCTTGCGCAAACGTGTCACATGGGACTCCGAAACCTGGTTTCCGTGTCCACGGGCATTGTCTATTGTTTTTGTCCCTTTTTGCGGCCTGTCGAAACCAATGGTTGGTATCCATCAGCGACTCTAGTTCTCACACAGCTCAACGCCTGGTCCACATTTTGTACGGCAGCACCTTCCCAGGAGCAGAGAGTCGGTCTCACCGACCGTACTTCTGAATGACAGATCTGTGCCGTATGATGCCTAGGGTAGAACGGGCCGGCGCCTCCACCAAATCCCAACATTCACCTTTGGTGGCTCCGCCAAATCTCGGCTTTGCCACGCTGAGCACCCTGGTCGAGTACCGCCACTCTGGACCGGAGCCGGACGTGTTTACCTAGTTCAGTAGCCGAAGCATGCGAAAACAAAACTGTTTCTGGCCACTAAATCATTCAGCTCCACGAATTATCGGCTGCAGCTCATCGACTTGAACCTCCCGTGGTGCCTGTGATTCTCGGCCAGCGAAGCACGTGACAACTCCTTTTAGCCACAAGGCTGAGATCCCTTGGGCGGATAGGGGCACTGTCACGACGACCACATTGAAGTCACACTTACTGTCTTGAGCTGGAACATTATGGAGCCATGTTATATTGGGTGCAATTCACCGTCATTGGCTGAAATTGTACGAGAGTAGCCACGGCATAAGGTCGTTTTGCTCGTCTCTGAAAGACTAGGAACTGGTTGCTGCCGTTGCCATCATCATATTACGAGCAGGATTTTGATGAAGTTTGTCAGAAAGAGAAATGGATCGATGATAACTAACATGTATCTTCCAGTGCAATGGGCGTATCTCGTTCAGCGACAATTGTCTTAGCCTACCTTCTCTGGCACTCCCGCCAACCAGCCAACATCATCTACCCTCAGTCTCAAACAACTACCACGGCCCAGTCTCCCGCCATGTCTTCGCCGTCATCATCAGCATCCCCGCCAGAAATGGTCTCCCTGCCACCCACGCCGCTGACTGTGGACACGGCACTTGCGTTGGTCCGTGAAGGCCGTCCCCAAGTTGAGCCCAACTCGGGCTTCATCAAGCAACTCCGCATGTACGAGGCCATGGGCTGCCCGACGACGCAGGAGCAGCTGGAGAGCCACAAGATTTACCGAAGATGGATGAACTCGCGGAATGTGCTGGACGCGCTGAGCGAAAACCGGGCGCCAGAGATGGACCACATTAGTTTTCGCGACGAAGAAGACGACGACGAGAACGGCCAGGGGGACGGTGCTCAAGGATTAGGCCAAGCCTGCGCAAACGCAGGCGACAGAAGCGACCCCTTTAGCGACAGGGTGCAGAGCCTCACCTTGCTTGACCCGGACAGCGACGAGCCGACCGAGATCCTAAACCCGGACATTACGCTGTCGTCGCCCTCGCCGGCGCCTCCCCTACCGGCAAACGTCGAGATCAAGTGCCGCAAGTGCCGCCGCCTGTTGGCCAGGTCCAGCTTCATCCTGCCTCACAAGCCTCCGGCGCACCGTGACCCCTCGGCAGCCGTGGGCGCTGACCCTTGCGCGCACATCTTTCTCCACCCTCTCTCGTGGATGAGGCCCATCCTCTCCCAAGGCCAACTGGACGGCCGACTGACGTGCCCGACACAATGGTGCGGGGCCAACATTGGCAAATTTGCGTGGCAGGGCCTGCGCTGCAGCTGTGGCGGGTGGGTGACGCCTGGTTTTGGATTGGCCAAGGGGAAGGTGGACGAGGTGCGCCGCCATGATGTAGGAAGCTCTACACGGGCAATAAAAGGAGGACCACCAGGCTCAGGCCAGGGCCAGGGATCTGGGAGTGGACATGGAAACGGAGACGCCACGAAACCAGTCTTTAACTCTACGAGTAGCAGTGGTGCGGTGAGGTATCCTCCTGGAATGAGGAGGGCGGGGAATGGCAACTTGTGACGATCGAACCCCCTTTCAGACACTCCCAATGAATCGTGTCCGACAGGTCGAAAGGGGGGTGGATGGATGGATGGACGGACCCAGCCAGTCCTCGACCATCGACCAGAAGGAGAGAAAAAAAAAAAAAAAGAAAATCACTTTAGAAATTTCCGGGCCCGGGGGGAGAGGGGTTTCCGCGACGCGCAATACATACATACCACAAAGAAACGCCATGTTACGGGGATACACGGTACAGGTTACGATTTTAAGACGACGACAAGGCTGAGAATGGAGTGGAGTGGAATGGAATGGACTGGGGTGACACTACGTGCGTATCGCACGAAACCGGTCGATGTGATGTGATGTGATGTGTTCCGGTGTGGCCGAGCTCGATTGAGACTCAAATCATATTCTCCCTTGGCCGTGGAGACCGCTCATAGCAAATACAGTATCCAGACTCTACAGTGCCCATTACGAAGGGCCTCACAATGGAAAAGTGGCTCGAGCGCAAAAAACCGTTGTCCCATGCGCCAGAGTCAGACCCAGACCACCTTTTCTTTGCGGTAACACGAAGCGACATCAGCCCCCTTGTATCGACGTCGTTTTCAGGAGAATCGGAAACCATACCGTTCATGGCGGTACGAGGTTGAACCCGACCATCTTTCCCGACGGCATGGTTTTTTCTTTTTCTCACTTTTGGGTTTTTTCCTCTCGTTCTAGAATTCCGACGCGACATCTCCGTCAGGGGCCTATGACTAACGCCTTCCCAGTCTGTCCTTTGTCTCCCCTTGGAGGCGCTGGGAAGAACCTCTCTCCACACAAAGCGATTCGTGGTCGGAACGGGCGGACTGACACTGGTCGAGCTCGGCTAGTGTTGACAGGCTTCCTGAAAAGTTTGCTGCTGCTTGACGCCTGACGATTTTTCACTCCCAATGGACCAAAGGGCGCGACCAAGCATTCGTTTAAGCAACATGGTGCTCTTGACCCCAACAGACTTGTAAACGGGCTGACATGCCCCGCGTTCGTCTTCGGAAAAGCGCTTTCGGCTCCTCCATCATCATCAAACGAGGCCTCTCGGCCGGCACGTCGTGGGACGTTCCGAGCTGGCTGGGGAGAAGTTGTCCCGCTTACCAACAGAGAACATTGCTGAGGAGGTTGAATTGCTCGGCGTAAAGGTTCTCGGCAGCGAAGTCTGACCCGGTCTTTACCTCTTCGACCTGGGCAACAAAGACGACTCATTCAACCTGGTTCCATCACGGTTGCACGAGTAAGCACATTGTTTTCCAGTCCACCTTCCCCATAGGGGGTTCCCGATCGCCTACCGCCATTAACAGACCTCACTCCAATCTTGCTGGATCACTTCCTGAGGAGCAAGTTGCACTTCTCATCCCTTCTTTAGTCGGTGCTCTTCTACCTGCCCAGTGGTGGAAGCTTGGCCTTAGCTCGTAAGTGTAGGAGGTTGCTGTGTGTGAAGAATTGATCAGGGAATGCCTCAGACACAGGGGCTCTAACGGGGACCGAAGTATTCCCACGGCCTGGTCCAGTGTGGCATGGCTCCTCAATATCTCGATATGGAAGGCAAGTGGCACCTCCACAGCGCGTGCCGACACAACTGACTGGCACAAACGGTTTCCTCTTTTCGAGCATAAGCCATAGGCGAGAATCCTCTTGACAAATTCCTGCAACTCGAACCGTGGTCGCCGTTCTCGGGATATACCAGTGCTCCACGTCAGCTTGCGAATGGAGACCTCATGGTAGAGTGTGTTTATAGGTTTCAGCCTTACAGGGCATTATCCGCTAAAATGGCAGATGGAGCACTTGTGGAATCCATACGGGCTCATCTGCCGCCGACTCTTGGATCCCAACATGAGGAGCTTAGTAAATTATCTCCGCAGCAGTGATCCTCTGGCCAGAGCTCGGTTGCATATTCATGTTGATCCGGCAAGCAAGCCAAATCCTTCGATGCTGACGTGCGGCGCAAGCTTTGTCGAAAATGATTACTGGTTCCTCGGTGCCGAGCGCAGCCTTTTGCCTACCTTAGAACACTTCTTCGCTTGGCGTGTTTCACGGTCCTCAAACGTGCTTTGGAGCTCGGCTTTGTTGTAGCAAAACGGGCTTGCTGACTCGAACCATCGGGCATCCCGAAAGTCAGACATGCAATAGTATGGGGGGTTGGACGCCAACCCTTTGGAAGGTGATGACCACCAAAGGAGCCCCAGACTTTGTCCGAAAGGGCGACAATCGGAAACATTCCGTTGTGTTTTACTCCACGTGCCAACGGTTCGCTTATCTAAATCCACGAATCTGGCGGCGATAGAATTTGCGAGCATGATGGATTGGCAGAGAGAGTCCATACTGTCGGAAATGTACAAGCGCAGGTTGAATAGTTAGGGATCGGGGTAACAGTGTCTGTTGTGAGTCGTAGCTGAAGTTTAGCCTCGTATACCTCGTGAGAAGTCGAGAAGTTTTGGTCGGGAAAGACCCCAAAGCTGATCTCCAGCATTATCCCAAGCAGGGGATTGCTAGCAGGCAAGCAGAGAATTCCGCCTTGTCCGTAGAGGGGTCCAAATATGCGGGTTTCAGTCTCGTGACGGCACGCAAGGGGTCTTCGGCCCTCAGCAGTTTGGATGGGGGAGGAAACCAGGTTTCGTCCTTGCTAATCGCACTTGTGTACCCGACGCTCACCGGAAAGGGCAAATGGGCGAACGAGCCTCTAAACGGGCAAGATGGGTGGAGGTGACAGCTCGGCGGGAGGCCCAAATGCAAGAGCGGGATCGTCGTATTGAAGCCGAGCAGGCCTATCCGGGCAGCGTTCCCTCGCCTCGAGTGAACACGAACTGCACCATGCGAGCTCGTGTTTACCTGCACCTTGCGAGCGACGCTCATTGTACTCAACCACGTGTCGTCACGACAAAGGCTGAAAGATTTGCGTGCCCTTGACATCATTCCCATCCCGATCCACGAACGGTGACAAGGAAATTGAGGACCGCTGACTCTGGGCTGACATCTGAGCATGGATGAAAGCAGACACAAACCCATCATCAACTCCACCAGCGAAATGATTTCCACACACCTGGACGCTAGTGCTGACAGAGGCAGCCAGCCTTAAACCACGAGCGGTCTTCAGCTGTACGGCACACTGCAGACAACTATGCACCAGGTGGGCAGGTTTTGATCATGCATGATGCAGCAGCACTGGCATCAACGTTGACAACAAACAGTGGCCGGGCATTGAGTGGGCATCTTAGGACAAGATACAAGCTCCAGCTCTCGGCAAAGCCGGCATATTTCGAGTCACCAGTGTGGACCATCTTCACAGCTTGAGCAGGGAAAGAAAAAAGAGGCGTTGAGACGAAACCACGAGTCTAGAAGGTCGTCCATTTGGCGTCGGGTCATGAGATGTCGCCCTTCGGCGCTGCAGGGAAGAAGCTGGGGTCTTTCATACGCTGTTGGTTCCGTTTTGCAACCTCTAGATTGCGCAATCGGTCAATTCGCATTTGATAGAAATTTCTGTCAAGATTAGACTGGAGGGTAGGTAACCGAGAAGAAGGGGGAAAATGACTCACTTGTGCAGGGCATAGACACGAGGAGCATCTTCCGATTTCTCGCTGGGACTCGAACCGGCTTGTATGGCTTTGATCTACAGACGATCACAACATCAGCTTCGAGGACGAAAAAGTAACCGCAAGCACTAGCGAGATCAAACCGACCTTATCATCCCTTTCTTTCTCAGCCTTGCCGTCATCGTCGTCGTCCTTCTTTTTGTCCTTGTCGTCGTCCTTGGCCTTTTTCTTGGCCTTCTTGTTGCGCTGTTTCTCCTCGTACTCCTGCTTGATTTTCTCTATCTCTTTGTCCATCCATTCTTTCTTCTTCTTTGCAGCTTCTGCCTCGGCGTCTACAACGGGGGAAGCAAACCCTCTGTCGCTAAGGTGGGAAACACAGATATAGAAGAAATCCTGGCACAGACCAGTTGGTAGGGTGATCGTCATGGACCCGACTCAAAGGACTGATCGTGTCTGAAAGAGAGGAATGGCACTTACTTTGTTGTCAGGAGTGATCAGCACCTTGACCGAGGGTTTGTAACAGACATAACAGGCCTTGGATGAAGCTTCAGCGACAGTGCGGAGATGGTAGACGTTTGGGAAGGGCAAGGACATGGTGGTTACAAGAAGACACAGTGTTTTAGAGTCTTTCCCAGATGTTCCGAGAGAGAGGACTACAGAAGGAGGGGAGAGATTGGGAATTGACCAGTTTGTCGAGGACGGTGGATGGTGACAGAGAATCGAGTCGCATCTGAAGTGGAAGGCACCAGAGGCGTGCTGTCCGTTTCTGGTATTTCTGTCTTGCTGCTCTTCGGACCACATTGGACTAACTGTTTCGGGCCCTATAGAAAGGGTGGCTTCAGATGTTGCGTCTTCGAAGAGCATTACAAGAGAATTATATTGTCGCTGGTAACGGTCGCTTGTCTAGTGCTCGTCTCAAGTTCTTGTCGGTCAGCCGGCCATTATCGATAGAAACAGGATTTTCCATTACTACCTCCATTGCAATAAGGCAAGACCAGGAAGTTCAAGCCAGCGGGTAGAATGGACATATAGATGGGAGAAAGACGTCTTGCCACGCAGTTGAGATACTATAACACATTTTGCTGAACCCCCAATCCCCGCCCCTGCTTGAGCACATACAATGCGGATCTCCTATGGAGAACCGGGACGTCTCGATACACGAGAGTCCAACTGCGCTTGTTGAGCAAACACCGCAGCTCCGATCGCCGGACGACCACCTGGCTGCTGCAGCCGGGTCGTACTCTCTTCCAGCACATTGTCCTTCAAAGCCTCCTCTTCAGCGCTGGCGACGGTGCCTTCAAAAGCGGCAGCCCTCGATGTTTGCTCAAAGACGACCTGCCGGCTCCATTTCTCCCAGTCATTGTACATCGCATTCTCAATGCCCATGCTAATCTGCAAGGCCGACTTCCCGAATCGAGCGCCCATATGTCTCGCCTCTTCAGCAGCAACCCTATCCCTCCGTTCTTGACGTCGGCGCAGGGTGTAGAACTCTTTTCGCGCGATGTCGTAAGCTTGCGGGATAGTAATGTCGGGGGTATTTTCCAGGAGCCAGAGTTGTCGCTGGACCACACATTCGCCAGATAGAGGGATGCCGGGTTGAACCAGGCCTTTTGACCAGTCTGCGTTCTTGTATTGCTCTCCTGATGTCTCGACGATCACTCGAGGCCGCGCAAGCTCCCAGGGATGATCGCTGTAGAAAGTTCTGCGTAATGAATCCTCCTCATAATGTAAAGATTTGGGGCTGAAGACATGGCGAGCTTTCGCCGACTTCGGTCTCTTGGGTTCAATGATTTGCACATATTGTTCGGTTTTTCCGCTCGGGAGAGTTCGTGTGCGGACTTTGGTCAGGGGATGCTTGACGGGCTGCTGGCGGACGAGAATTTGTGCGGGCGGGATATCATGTACGATATCGACCCAGTTGGGTACCGAAGGAATCTGTTTGGCCTTGAATTTGGCCAGCGCAGTCTTGCGGACGTTGATGGCAGTGAGGTTTAATCGGCCCATAATTGGGGTAGCTTCACAGGCAGGTGCCCGTTTCGACGAGTCCAAGGAGTCGGGGGAGTCAGAGACAGCAGGAGTCTCTCGGAGGTAATTTCGAATCTAGAGAAGCGACTGTAAGTCTGTTCCCACGTTCATCGAGATAGCCAGCTTGCTTGTCAGGATATCTTGAATCTCCATTGACGACTCGCTACAAGGAAAAGCTGCGGCGAAAATACGCGCTAGTGGAGCAGTTTCCAAGATGCCCATTTTGGGAATCTCAACCGCGAGCGTTTTTTCGACTGTCAAGACTGCCTCTTGTGCAAGCACCTCCAGAAGAAGATCGTCCACACCTTTTCAAGTCCGATGATGAAGAGCTGACAATATGCTCCCAGGCATATGCATTCATCCTCCAAACTCATCGGATGCAGCAGCTTTCCGAATGCGACGTCAATAATACGTTCCAATATTTCGATATGCGACTTCCTCGCCCCTCGCATCCGGCCACGCGCAGCCGTTGCTTCAAAGCAGACGATATGTGGACGAAGTGTACCTCCCAATGGAGGGCCCAATGTTAGAGCTGTCGAAGCAACTTTTTACGGATGGTTGTCGCGTGCAGGAGAATGCTCGACGAGGTCTCGTCCAGTACCACCTTCAACCTCGGGTTGCCGGACACCGAATCGATCGACGCATGGAGATGGGCGAAGAAAAGGAAAGAGTCTGTTGAGGGAACAATACCGCAGCATAAGCCACGGTGTTAGGGAACGTCACGTCGCAGTATTGGATAAACCTGAACAACCAAGGGTCTCTAGAAATCGGCGCAAGGACAGGACCAATGCGTGGGATTTTTTTGATTCCAATATGCTCGAATTTGCACAAAACAGTCGGCTACCGGCCGCCTTCTTTGATGATCTGAACACCCTGCACGAGAAAGTGAGACAAGGGAATGATGGACAAAAAAAACAGGATGAATCCGAGCTATCACAGCCCCTGCTTGAGGAACAAATGGCCCTGTTGAAGTCGGTAAGAGACCTCGAGGAACGGCTGGCGGCGGCCAAGGCCAACTTGGACAGCTCGATACACAATAAGTCTCCCACACCCGAGCGTGCGACGGCAGTGACACCTGTGACCTCGAACCAACCCGCCGTTGTGCTGTCCAAGGACGACTACAAGAATTTGGTGGATCTCTACTTCTTCAGTCACAGCAATCGTTTCGACCCGGAATCGCCTCATTCGTCCCCGACGCCGAAATTCCTGGAGGACTATGCATTCCGTCTGTCCGAGGACTTTGCACCCCCTCAGGCCTATGCGGAGTTTTATACCGAAGATGAAGGCTACGAGTCACCCCTCAAGGAGGTAGAGAAGATGCTCAGGTCGAAGCAGCTACGCGAAATCTCTGCCTTCAAAGCCTTTGTCGATCTGCTCCTCGACAATCACTCCTCAAATGCAGCACTATTCAGAGCTTACAAACGGCTGCCACAACCAGGGGTCGCCTTCCTCCCCAAAGGGACTATCAGATTGTTTCTGCAACGCATGTCGACACCCTGGCAGAAGAGCGAAAAATCAATGATCAGATATCTGTCATTGATTGACGACATGCAAAAGGCCAATCTACCAATCGCAAGGTCGGAATGGGCCTCTGCTATTTACCTGGCTGGCAGGTCTTTCTCCAAGGTGACGGAATCGGAACTGAATGCTGCGCTGCGACTGTGGAAGCAGATGGAACAGGAAGCTGGTGTCCAGGCTCACAATATCACTTTCAACATTCTTTTTGACATTGCAGTGAGGGCTAACAAATACCCACTGGCTCAGATGATCCTGAAAGAGATGCACGATCGGGATCTTCATCTCAATAGGCTTGGCCGTGTCAGCGTCATCTATTACCATGGGCTACGAGGCGATGGTGATGCTGTTCGAAAAGCTTATCGCGATTTTGTCGATGCCGGAGAAATCGTCGACACACTTGTGCTGAACTGCGTGATGGCGGCCTTGTTCAACGCTCAAGAACCGGCGGCGGCGGAGCAGATCTACGAGCGGATGAAGAGTTTGCATATGAATACCCGTCGAGAAGTGCGCAACGACGGCACTGTGGCATCATACCGACAATATCCAGGCCCGGGTCCGGAACTGATCCACCGCAAGCTGGCTGCGAACTCTTTGAGGAGAGTCTTGCTCTTCGCGAGTAGACTGAAACACCTTCTGCCGGAGCATCACAAGGAGGCACAAGAGTTGATGCCGCTGAGACCGGACCACACAACCTTCCGGACCATGATCTCTTACCACGCAAACGTTTCTGGGAACCTCAACCGAATCACAGTGTTAATCAACGAAATGTCAGAGCTATTCGGTTTACCATTACAAAGTATTCACTACCAGCTGCTGTTCAAGGGTTTTGCTCTCCATGGCGCCACAAGAAACCCGCATGCGACTTGGAATCTGCACCGACTAAATTTGGCCTGGGAAGCGTGTCGAAAAGACATCCGAGAAGGCCAGATTGCCCGCCGACGAGCCAAGCAGACAAAATCCGATGACCAGACACTCCCCTCGATTGACATGATCAACGAAACCTCTGAAGACCGAGAGCCGGTGCACGGAGAACCAAGGGGCCTCAAACGCATGAGCGAATGGGATGATTTTGTTCTGGACCTCGCTGCGTTTCCTAGAGAACGAAGGAAGCACATCGAAAGAATCCACGCCGAGCTCTTCGATGAGGAGAGAGAGAAACGAGGACCTCTCATCCGAAATCCCTTCTCTCGTGGTTCGAGGGAGTCACTCCCACATGATCAGAAGACCTACTACCCACTAGGAGAGCGCAAGTTGGATCAAGAGGAAGGGGAATATGTGCTGCCGTCGCCGATTCTGGCAATCGACCCGTCAAGCAGCGAGGTGCACGGTGAATATCCCGCTGAAGAGAGCATTGAAGAGCCTATTGAGGAAACAATCCAGATCGATCCAGAGTCTCGAACACTCCCACATACAACAGAATCCTCAGGCACAGAATGGCACAGCAATGCTGGATCTAGCACGGACAATGCATCACCGCAACCCGAAGCTGAGACAGACCCGCATTCTGATCTCGACGGTGAAGATGGCCGCGACGTCCCACCTGTGCCATCCACCTCGCAGTACCAGGTGGAAGCCACACGCCCGTTGATTTGCTGGCTCTTGCGCGCCTACGCCAACGCGACGGGTTCGCGCCAGCAAGTGGAAGCGATCTGGGACTCTGTGCGACCGCTGTGGCACTCGCGCGAGCCGAACGACCAGGCCGCGGTGATCCGGGTGCTGAGGCGGTGCCTGAGGAATTGTGATCGGTATGGTCCGCCATTGTGAAAGGAGGGGAGAGTCTCTATACGAGAATTCCGGTTGGCTCAGGAAATATAGCTAAGAGGAAAAAAATGAAGGGCCATGTATGAAGAAGGTATAGATCCCACCCAGCCTCTGCGAGATTACACAGTCCTTGTTACATGTACAGTAATGTCCTCGGGTCTTTTTAGTCTGTACATACATTCCCAGGTACATTGATATAGACATACATACATCGCGCACCAACTACGGGGCTCTCTACTGTGCTGTCATACAGAGTGAGAGACAGACAATGAATCTAGATATGATACATGACACATCAGGCCATGAGTACCGAAGATGTTGAGGTACGGGGTATAGGCACTATATGCGACCTGGGCTGTACGTCGGATCAGGCTGTATTGTATATACAGAAAAGGAAATCTCGCCTGAACCAGAATGAGAGTCATCGAGGAAACGTTGAGAAATACGTGACCAACTATCTACACGCTCGCACGCTCGCACGCTCTAGGTCGCGTGCGCACGTGAGGTCTTGTTGTTCCTATCCAGGCGGTGGATAGCATGTCTAATCTCTATCTCTATCGTGTCTAAATGACGGACTCGGAATGGTAGGGGCCAGGTAGACGCCCGTCTGCTGGTGATGCTGGCGGTGGTTTCAGAGCAAGCGCCCTTCATCTTACATGCCATTGGGGATTGATTTGGGCGCCATCTCTACAGCTTGCTCTCTCTGCCTGTGCCGAAGAGACTGTTTCTACCGACACTTTGCGTCTCTGGCGTCCACGCCACTGCGTAAGGGTGGTCGCGTCTTTTCACCACCAACCGATCAATGGCGCCCGTGTTGACGTATTGAGGCCCGCACTCTTGGAGGCTGGTGACGCCGATGTTGCGCATGGCGACTTCGAACTCATCCTTGAGGATGTCGATCAACTGGTCGACACCTTCCTGACCGTACCCCGTGGCGAAGAGGGCGGGTCGCCCAATCCCCGCGGCTACGGCGCCCAGGCAGACCACTTTGAGGATGTCGCTGCCGCGCCGGATGCCACCGTCGACGAAGATGCTGAAAGGTCTCGATTGGCCTGCGAGTACGGCCGGGGAGGACGGGTGGTGCTGCGTGATGATTTCCGGGTAGCGTGCGTGGATTTCGAGCAGAACAAGCAGAGCTGGAGGAGACGTGTCCAGGTTCCTCCCCCCGTGGTTTGACAGCACCACGCCCTCGAGACCGTAGTCCAGAGCCAGCCGCACGTCGTCCGCGGACATGATCCCTTTCAACAAGAGCGGCAATTTGGTCTGAGAACGCAACCAGGCAATGTCATCCCAATTCAAATTTGGGTCGATGAAATTGCCCATAAGTCGCCCGTACCCGCCTCCTTTCTTGTCATTCTTGGCCTTGGTGGTCATCATTGGGTTTTGGATCGTTTCGTCAGCTTTGACACGCTCGTCCGCCTCCCTTTTACCCGCCGCAGCGGCATCAGTCGTCACGAATATCGCGCGAATGTTCTTGTGCTGGTGGATTTTGCGAATGAGCTGTTCGGATTTGTGACGCTCCCGGTTGACGTAGAGCTGGAAGAAAAATGGATAGTCCGAGACGGCAGGCTGGGAGACGATTTCGCTGGCAGAATAGCTGGCATTGTTGGAGATGCATTGAACGATTGTCTTCTCCTTTGCGGCCCGTGCAATGGCGAGTTCGCCATCTGGGTGGATCAAGCGCGCCATTGCGGCGGGAGAAACCATCAGTGGGAAGGAGACGGGATAGCCCAAGATATTGGTCTCAGTGCAGATCGTGCCCACACGACGCATTACGCGTGGGCGAAAGAGCACGCGGCTGAACAGACTAGCATTGAGGTCCTTCGTGATCAGATCGTTGGCTGCGGAGGAGTAGAAAGCCCATGTCTTTGCAGTGGCGCTGTTCCGAGCGGCGAGCTCGTAGTCGTGGGCATTTATGAGTGAATCCAACGGTGGCTTTTCTGATGTAGAAGCAGACTTGGATTTGGGCGCCTCTGTAGGAGGTGGCCTCGACCATTCTTGCGTTATTGTTGACCTGTCCAGCACTCCTTTGAGGGCATCTGCTGGAAGGTTATTTCTGATGATCGCTGGAGAGTGTATCTCATTGTATGCTTGAGTGGCGTCTCGACCAGCGTACTTGTATATTATCCCTGGACCGCCAGGGTGTTCGGGGGCGAATTTGGTGATGTCCCATATTTGATCATCCACGACTATCCAGCAGTCGGTGTCTGTATTGTGGGCTGAGATCTCTGACACTGGGATCTTGCGTGGCGCCATCTGAGAACACTTCTAGGAATTCGAGGACTATACTATCCTGCATGTTGGAATCAGCAGTAGACTACCGAGGAGATGCTAGTTATATAGGTGTTTCACCTAACCTACTATCGGAATCCGCAGTTTGCTCCATTGTTTGAATGTATTCTGCCGGTCGGTGACACCGTTGGGGACCATTTTACCCAGCTCGACACTGGCGGGAGCATATCTGTGGATGGGAGGCTTGTCGGTGTCAAAGCCGATGCGGAGAGAGACAATCTTGATCGTAAAGAGGCGAACGGGATTGGAGCGGAGACGGCAGATCAGGGACAGAAGGGGGCGGGTCACGTGGATGTCGGGGTTCGGCGGAATTGATGCCGAGAGAAGTTTGGCATCTTTTTCTGGCAGCCGGAGTTCTGACCATCCACAACACTCCAACTGTCGGTCGGATCTTGTCGTAGCAGCTAATCTGATGCTGTTGCGGCTACAACCCTTTTTCAGGTGTAGCTCCTTTCGTCTCCTGAAACCATCAGCCTTGTCGGCCTCTCCTTCCCAGTCTCGTCTGTGTGGTAAGTGTCGCACCCCTTGCGCCCAGAGTTTGAGACGTGTCTGAGTCTTGTCACAGTATTGCAGTCCGGGGAATGGCTTGCTAGAACCCACGGAAGTCTCTGGCAGAATAGAGTGGCCAGCTACGCCACCATGGCGAACAACACGAAACCGTTGAGGTACGCAGACGTGCGTAGCTGGATGAGATGGATTGGCGACTTTGGAGGCTGACAGACTCAGGTCGGCATCAACCTCGGTGATCCAGTCTTTCGAGGAGTGTACCATGGGAAGCAAGCACATGAGGACGATTTGGACGACGTTGTCCAGCGAGCGCTGGCTGTTGGCTGTACCAAGTTGATGGTCACCGGCTCCAGTTTGACAGAGTCCAAGCATGCGGTTGACCTTGCAAAACAATACCGTATGTAACGAGGATCCTGCGGATATCGTTTACTATTCTAACACGTTCCAAGCCGGCACTTGTTTCGCGACCGTCGGAGTACATCCATGCTCGACACAGGACTTTGAGAACCACGAAGGCGGGGCCAGCACACTGATTCAAGAACTTCGTGCTCTAACCCTCGAGGCGAAAGAGAGTGGACACGCTGTTGCCTTTGGAGAAATTGGGCTCGACTACGACCGATTGTTTCTCTCTCCCAAAGACGTGCAACTCAAATATTTCGAGCTGCAGCTGGATCTGGCTGAGGAGATGCAGCTTCCACTATTCCTACATTCACGAGCATGCAGTGAAGATTTTGAGAGGATCCTCAGCGCACGCCTACCCAAGCTCCCCAGGCGTGGGCTGGTCCACAGCTTCACCGGCACCATACCGGAAATGGAGGCACTGGTCAAGCTCGGGTTTGACATTGGAATCAATGGGTGCAGCATGAAGACCGCTGAGAATCTTGAGGTGGTCGAAGCAGTGCCTTTGGAGCGGCTTCAGATCGAGACGGATGGACCGTGGTGTGAAATCCGCGCATCCCATGCTTCATCGCAGTATCTGAAAGACGGGCCAGCCATCCCCAAGGCAGTGAAGAAGGAAAAGTGGCAGAAAGGGATGATGGTCAAGGGACGTAACGAATCGGCGACGATTGTGCAGGTTGCACACGTGATAGCCCAGGTGAAGGGGATTACGGTGGAGGAAGTCTGTGAGGCAGCATGGACGAATTCGACCGAGATGTTTGGACTGGGATGTTTGTAATATCACAAGTACAAGGAGGTACGGACCAAGTAGAGTAGAAGGCGGCTTGATAGAGGCACTCGATTCGAGTGACCAAGTCCGATAATTGTCCCTACCTATTTGTAAGTGATGGTAGTAATCTGAGATTAGTGTACTCGGTACACTATGCCTAGGCACCAGTAGGCACCATTCCAACCTCCTGAACGAGGTAACAAGTGAGGAATGTGCCACCCATGTTCGGGTGTGTGCCAAGGTACCACGAGATGAGTAATACGGAAAGTATCTCTCACGTGCTCCCCCCTCACTGTGGCTATTTCTACGGTACATTCTAGACCCCCACGTGACTCACTCCAACGGCCAAGTCAACGCACGTGCCCTCTCGATTCATTTCTTGGTTTCCAATTCAATTTCATTAATTATTCACCGCGTCCGTGTCTCGTATTTTTTCGGTTGCTCGTGTCAATTTCGCTCCTTTGCTTGATTCTTCTTCTCCGCTCTGCCCGGCCTTTTCGCCTCTCCGCGTTTAGCTTCAGCTTCCTTGGTTGCAACCCTAACGAGCTCATGCGTATGAGTACCGAGTTTGTCCTTGGAGACCCTCTTTCTTATCCCCGTGTCTCTCCATCCTCTCGTTGACTCCCTAGTGGCCCTGGTGGCTCCTCGCCTTACCACTTTACCTTCTCGTGCCTGCGGAACCACAATAATCAAACCACTACTCGACCTCGAACACTGACCGCACGCACCCACATTACTCGTACGCTGAGCAACTGACGCCTTGTCGCGCTGGTGACGCTGGCTGCCAAACTTACCAAGCCAGAAACTCAACCTTCTGCTCGCCGCTTGTTTTTCCTTTGCCCAAAAACAAAAAAAAACTCTCTCGTCGTCGATCGAGCTCCATTCCTTCTTCTCCTTCGCTACCAACACCTCGACCCTCGTTCTCCAATCCTCAATCCTTATTTTCCTTCTTCTCTACTCTCCTACTAGCCAACAGTCTGCCACAGCATGCCGCCTGCGATTCCCTCTGCGGTGTTTTCCACTCAGAGCTCTTCAGAAACACTCGTCGCCATGCGTCCAATCACCATGCCTCTTTGTCAGGGCCGATTCCCGTCCAGATAATTCCCTCGTCTGCTCTACATAATAACAAGACCGACCACCTCCCCCGATTCGACCAGGGAACCTTAGTCCTTAGCATCAGATCACCCCGTCTACAGTCACCGCTGTTTTGGAGGTCCTCGTCCTTTGATCAAGAACTCTAGCTCGGCCTAACCGTTGGCACACGCACACGACCCATGCACAATGGCCATCTAACCACCTCTACAATGTCTTCACCAGCCATCGTGCTTCAACTTTTGAGGTCGTTATAAGAGCCCACACTAGAAGCTCTTTTTCTCTGTATTTCTCCTCGATTTCCTCCCTCGTCAGCTCCTCAGATCCACCGATAATATCGTCACTCCTCACCACTTAAGACCGCTTGAAACGCACAGTTACTGAACCTCCATCCCCCGTGCTCAGCACAATCGCCGTGTCATTTGTTTCTATCGAAGCGGGCTCGGCAATCTCAAAAATGAGCACGATGGATGGTACCACGAACCTGACCGATCTAGACGTGTCATCGTCCTCCAAGACGCTCCAGCTGGACCAATCTCAACCCCCGACTCCAGATGGCACGGGACGCCCTGTCAACTTCCAAATCATTGCCCCTGGGCTCTACCGATCGAGTTATCCCCAGTACGCACATTTTGACACCCTCGCCGAGCTGGGGCTGAAGACCATTGTGACGCTGGTCTCGGGCACCATCCCCATCGACTATCAGATGTTTATGACTTCGCATGGCATTACGCATTACACCATCCCCATTCTCGCCAACAAGGACCCGGAAGTCTACACACCAGATACGGTCGTCTGCAAGGTGGTCGAACTTATGCTAGACCCGGTCAACTATCCTATGCTCATCCACTGCAATAAAGGCAAGCACCGAAGCGGTTGCATCACAGCTGCATTCCGCAAGGTGACAGGATGGACCCTGGACGCTTGTCTGGAGGAATACGAGTTGTATTCCAAACCCAAGAGTCGCGATTTGGACAAGGTGTTTATTGCTCGCTTCGACCCATCTCCGTTGAAGCATCTCGCCATCGACCGAGGATACGTTGGTGGTGTCTATCGACAACCCGTACGCACCTCGACCAAATCTTCCATCTACACCAACAACACCCTGGAGACGGTTTATACGACTCCTGACGATCCATCCCTCGATTTCCACGACCCCATCCGGAAAGAACGTGACACACTTGTGGCGCCGGTGAAGGTGGGGTTGTCCGACTAGGGACGCATCGTTCTGGTAGACATATTACTACATGCACATGACACAACACAAAGCAGTACTAGAGTGAGACTCTCGGCATTTCCAGCCACAGACACTCAACTCTCTGCATAATTATGTGGCCACATTCTCCGAGCCACTGGAAAAAGATCTCTCTCGCCGCACGAAAACAAGATGGGAAAATGTACTATATCGGCGTCTGTTGAAAGAGGATTCTTTGGGCGGAATTATTCGTTGGAAAGAAAATGCAAAGGTATCAGAGTAAGATAGAGGGTTGCATTTCGAACCACAGATCGACCACGGAGTTGGAATTGAATACTTGGTTACTTGAAGCACAACATGGTCCGCCCGGAAGGTAGCGGAGAAAACGGTGTTTGGCCCTCTTTGTTCGGCACCACATGGTCGCTCTCTCGTTCTTTTTATTTGTCTCTTCTGAACAAGACACTTTTGAGTTATTTTTTTGGATGGAGGGGGAGATCCCAATCTTGGATATCAATCAAAGGATCCAAGGTACATTCGTTCGTCTCGAGTAGTTGGAAGAGGTACAAGTCTTGGATGATCTGATATGTTCTTCCTAGTGATGTACTTGTATTCTTATGTCTCGAATCATGACCGAGGCACACTTGGTATACAAACACGCCTTGTATAACAATCACTTGGGCCCCCTCTTAGCATCTGGTATAGAAGCAACAACAATGTACTCCGTATGTATCGGACTCGCTGCAACCAATTTGGCCGGTCTGTAGGATTGTAGATCATCGTCGAGGTCGCACATAACTTTGATTATGATGAAGGTCCGAGTAATTTGGGGGCCGTCGGGGCAGTTTTGCTCTCTTTGTAAAAATGGCGCACCTTTTCCATGTTTTGAAAATTGCGGGACTGGCTGCCTTATGAGCCGCAGAGTCGCGAAAATCACACACAAGGACCACCGAAGGCCCCAGCATGGGCCCAGCAATGGCTGTCAGGATGGGCGGAGTTGGCGGCTTTTGACACGCTAGCATCAAAAGTCCTGTGGGAGTTTCTGAACCAACGATATATTCGTCTGGCGGCCCGAAGCTTCCACTAGAAGAGCCTCGTGCGTCGGACAGTTTGCAACAGGCATCGCTTGTTCGACCCTAAGAACAGCCTAGGATGGGTTAGGATACGGTTAGGAGAGACACATGCAGACGAGAAGAGAGAGAAAGTGGGGGGGGAGGTTTGGTTTAGGGAGACCGTTGCCTACATCTGAAGAGGCTGAGGAAGAGAACAGAAAGAGAGATACACGTATACACACACACTCACATTCACTCACACTCACACATATATAAAGCCTCGTCAGCTTCTCAGCCTCTCAGCCTCTCAGCTTCTGTCAGGCGACATCCTCTTGACACCCCTGACACCTTGACGCCTTGACACCCGTGCTACGTGGCGCCCTTGGAGGGTTTGTTTTTCTCAGTTCCACGTCTCTTTCAATATCGCTTTTTGCCTAATCCTCAGCCTTTGAATCTTTATGATATTTTGATTTCTCGCATCTCCGTGCAGCTCCCTCGAACAGGTTTCACCATGGGTTCTTGTGGCATCGTGGCCACGAGTCACAACCTCAGCCACGTGGATGAAGATGCAGTCAAATCTCTTTCTCTGGTCAATCCCTCCATGGTCAACCCCAGTCCAGGCGATCCTGGAAAGTGGCATGCCACCCTCGACAAAGCCATCAGAAGCGTCGTCGCCATCCACTTCTCCTGCCCGCGTCCCTTCGATACCGATTCGTCGTCGTCCAGTCAAGCCACAGGCTTCGTGGTCGATGCAGAAAAGGGATACATCTTGACAAACCGCCATGTCGTCGGTCCTGGTCCCTTTACTGGTTATTGTGTCTTTGACAACCACGAGGAGGTCAGTTGTGCGTCTCCATAACTTGACAGTTGGGCTGACTTTTTATCTCCCCAGTGCGATGTTCATCCCGTCTATCGTGATCCCGTCCATGACTTTGGCTTCCTGAGATTCGAGCCCAAGGCCATCAAGTACATGAAACTCGAGGCGCTCAAGTTGAACCCCCAATCGGCGCGTGTCGGAGTCGAAATCAGGATCGTCGGCAACGACGCGGGCGAGAAGCTCAGCATCCATTCAGGTTTCATCAGCCGATTAGACCGGAACGCACCTCTCTATGGGGGTGGGTATAACGACTTCAACACCAATTACATCCAGGCCGCCGCGGCAACCACTGGAGGCAGCTCCGGAAGTCCCGTGGTCAACGTAAGTGGCCATGCCATCGCCTTACAAGCCGGTGGCCGGGCGGACAAGGCGACGACCGACTTCTTCTTACCTCTCGATCGCCCCCTGCGAGCTCTAGAGTGTCTGCAAAAAGGCATCCCCATAAGTCGAGGCACCATCCAGACGCAGTGGACCTGGAAGCCCTTTGACGACTGCAGGAGACTCGGCCTGACATCGGAATGGGAATCCATCGTTCGCGCTACCTTTCCTCACCAGAATAACATGCTCGTGGCAGAAACTGTCCTCCCCGAAGGCCCGGCGGATGGCAAGATCCAAGTGGGCGACATCCTGGTCAAAGTCAACGAGCAGCTCTTGACGTCTTTCGCCTCCCTCGATGCCATCCTCGACGCCAGCGTCGGCAAGACAGTAGACATCCTTCTGCAGCGCGAGGGAAAGGACCTTGCCGTCACTTTAGACGTGCACGACCTGACGGCCATCACGCCAGACCGCTTCGTAGCTGTTGCGGGCGGCACCTTTCACAATCTCTCGTACCAGTACGCGCGACTGTACCGCATTCCGTGCCGGGGTCTATATGCCTCGAGCGCCGAAGGGTCCTTTGGCGAGGTTTATAGCCTGTGGGGATCGATCGTCGACACGGTCGACCACAAGAAAACGCCCGACTTGGACACTTTCATCGAGGTGGTGAGGAAAATCCCGGACAAGTCGCGCATCGTCGTCACGTACCGCTCCATCCGCGACCTGGACACGCAGAGGGTCGCCAGCTTCTACGTTGACCAGAGATGGGATCCGGACCTGACCATGGCCGTGCGCAACGACGAGACAGGTCTGTGGGATTTCAACGTCATTGACAACTTGCCCCCGGCCCTCGCGCCCGTGGTGCGGTCTGCAGACTTTGCCCAACCCGAAGGTTTGTCTCCACCCGTGGCCGACATTGTCAGGTCATTCGTCGAGGTCTCGTGCGCGATGCCGCTCCATCTCGACGGGTTCCCTCACATCCGCCGCACGGGCTTTGGCCTCGTCATTGCGCCGGGTTTTGTGATAGTGTCGCGGGCGGTCGTGCCTCATAGCCTGTGCGGCATCATCGTGACGGTGGCCGATTCGGTGAACATCGAGGGCGAGGTCTACTTTGTCGACCCCCTCCGCAACTACACCGTGGTTCGCTATGACCCGGCCCTGGTGGAGGCGCCCGTGCAGGTGGCCACGCTGTCGACCGAGATGATCAAGCAAGGGAGCGACACGTTCTTCGTTGGCTTCAGCCGCGGTGACCTGTCGTTTGCAAAGACGACCGTGTCCGAGGTCTCGAATCTGTACATCCCCAAGGACAGCGGGGGTCCGCGGTACCGCGCCACCATGGTCGAGGGCATCTACGTCAACGCGTCGCTGCCGTCCAAGTGCTCGTTCGGCGTCCTCATGGAGCCCGACAGCGTCGTCGTCCAGGCCCTGTGGCTCAACTACATGGGCGACAAGGACAACGAGTACTACTTTGGCATGGCCGCGAGCCTGATCACGCCCGTCGTGGACCAGATCAAGGCCGGGTTCGTGCCCAAGCCCCGGATCCTCGACATCGAGGCCAGCGGCCTGTCGATGGCCGAGTGCCGCACGGCAGGCGTATCGGAGGAGTGGATCAAGAAAGTGGCCAAGGCGAGTCCGTCGCGACACGAGCTGTTTAGGGTGTCTAACGTGGCGTGCCGGCCGGAGGGGGAGGACGATGAGGATGAAGCGGAAAAGGGAGATGACCCAGATCAAGCCAAACAAGCCAATGGATGTGACAACCGCCCTACTAAAGACCAATCCCTCCAGGACGGCGATATCATCCTCTCGCTCAACGACCGGGTCATCACGCGCCAGCACGACATGGACATGATGTACGACCAGGAGTGGCTGGACGCGGCCATCGTCCGACGCGGCGAGGAGATGACGCTGCGAGTGCCGACGCTGGCGACGGCGGACCTCGACACAACGCGCGCCCTGGTCTTCTGCGGCGCCGTGCTGCAGCGCCCACACCACGCCGTGCGCCAGCAGGTCACCAAGCTGCACTCGCAGGTGTACGTGAGCGCGCGGCGCGCGGGCTCGCCCGCGCAGCAGTACGGGCTGAGCTCGACGACCTTCATCACCGAGGTCAACGGGGTCAAGACGCCCAATCTAGCGGCGTTTGTGCACGAGACGGCAAAGATCCAGGACAACACGAGCTTCCGGCTCCGGGTGGTGACGTTGAAGGGCGTGCCGCAGGTGGTGACTATGAAGAAGAACAGTCACTATGTGAGTTTTCCCTTTTTTCCTCCTTTTTCTGCCTCCTCCTCCTCCTCCTCCTCCTCCGCAGCCGCCGCCGCCGATCTCCTAATTTTACGCACGACGTGTCTCCTAACGAGATGGGTTGAAAATAAAAACAGTTCCCAACAGTCGAATACGTCCGAGGATCCAACGGCGGCTGGACCGTCCACCGGATCGAAGGGCAGCCGACGAACGAACCGACCAACGGATCCATGAGTGGACAGGTGGATGAAATCGTGGATGAGCCAACGAATGTCCCGACCAACGAGGCGACGACAACAACCCCACAAGTGAGCGAGGGCAAAGAGTGAATGAGCGATTCGAACGAATGAACGAAACAAACAAACAAGAGAGTGAATGCACGAAATGAACGAAATGAAACCGATCAACGACAGAGTGACACATCTAGACGAAGAGAGAAATCTAGAGTTCTTTGCACGAGAGAAGAGGGGATATATCCAATCTATCTATCTACCACACTTATCTATCGGTATTGGTATCGGTTTTTTTATTTTGGTATGGGTATTTGTAGGTAATTGGTGTTTGAGGGGAGCCAAGGAAGGACAGGAACGAAAGGGAACAAAGGCATCTAAGGTAATATCTGAGGGATCTAATGATTTGGTCTAAGGAAGGTTGAAATCGAATCTCGAAATCGAATAACTAACATACTCGCTCGGTGTATGTCTTCACATCGAATGGATGGAAAATCAATGAGCAGGGAAATTTGGGGGTTACGGTCCGAGAATAAATCACTCCATTTACAACCAGTTAAAAAACCAGGTTAAAAGTGCCATATGATCATCATGTAGATCAAAGGTGCAAAGAGAAGCAGAGAAAAAGACACCACTGACAAAGGTAGAGAGGTAGGTGACCGAGTCATGTTTCATGTTTATATACCAGGTACCTCGTAAAGAGACACCCTCTTCTCGTTATAGCTGTAAATACCGACCGGCATGTATCGGCCTCCATCTCCAGTCTATCGAGTCTACATGTATTGTGTTGCAGGCAAATAATACCGTCGCCGCCGTTATAACCTGGCATGGCCACTCACCAACTTCTCCCAATCCTGCGGCGTAAACGGCACGTACTCGTCCGCCTTGGGCGTCACCCAGAGGAACACGTCGTCCTTGCCCTCGGGCACCTCCTTGCCGACCGCGTTGGGATCGACGCCTTCCTTGCGCAACGGCACCTTGTTCTGCTTGTGGTTGTGGATGTGCGTGCTCGCCTTGACGATGCGTAGAAACACCGGCACCGCGTACCGGGGCAGTCGTCCACGCATGAACTTCAGCAGGTCGTTGTAGTCGACAGGCGGCCCCGTGTAATTGGGGTCGAGGTGAATGGCCGCGCAGCCTGCTCGACCCTCGTGGTTCGGTACCAGAACACCGTACACGTTGGCTTCAGCAATGCCAGGATACTGACCTATCGTCAGAGCCACCTCGGCCGTCGAAACGTTCTCTGATTTCCACCGGAATGTGTCGCCCAGGCGGTCCAGGAAGTGCCATCGTCCGTCTGATTCGCGCCTCAGCGCATCTCCAGACCGATAGTAAATGTCCCCCTTCTTAAACACGTCGGTGCAAAATTTCTTGTCCGTGGCAGCCTCGGATCTCCAATACCCCTGGAATGCCTCTTTGTTGGGTACAGCGACAAGCATTTCGCCCCCTTCTTCGTAGGACGTTCGCTTGGCAAAGCCTGTCTTGGGATCCCGCCAGATGTCGCCCGTTTCGTGGTCGATTCGGACCGGGATATAGACATTGCGAAGCATCGTTCGGAGAATCAACCCGTGGTGGCCGACACATGCTCTCAGATATGGCCCCTTGTCATAGTTGAGCAGACTGAACATGCCCTCGGTGGAATTGAAGAACTCGCCGATTTCAGGGATGTTGAAGCGTGTTTGGAACTTTTCCCACACATCGGGTCTCAGACCATTGCCGTAGGCACATCGGAGCTTGTGTGCTCGCTCCAACGGGTGAGGTGGCGCGTTGAGCAGATATCGTGCTGTTTCACCAACATACACAAAGAATGTAGACCCGGAGTCATGAATGTCGTTCCAGAACCGTGAGACGGAGAACTTCGGTGCGACGGCGACCCCCAGACCCTGAAGCAGGGCACACGAGGTTGTGATTGCCCCTGTGCCATGATATAACGGCATGGAATTAAACCAGTGATCCCTGCCGGGGATGCCTCCACATAGCGGCATCGAGTGACCACACGCCGTATAGACCCGTTGCAGTGTGAAAGCACAACCTTTGGGAAGACCTGTGGTTCCGCTGTGACAACTTTGTGAGTCCTCGTGTCTGGAGATAGAGAGCAGTGGACACGACTTACCTGGTATAGATCAGGCAATAAGGGAAGCTGCCTTTCGTGCCCTTGCGAAGGTCATCGGCCGGTCTCTGGGCGGGTTTCGCTGCAATCTCCTGCTTTAAAGTGTTGTCGAGAACCGCGATTTTGGTGCCTCTGGCTTCAATGTCTCCCCGACTCTGGTTGATCCTCCTCTGGCAGGCTGCGTCTGCGTCGACAATCAAGAGTCTTGTCTCACACACATCCAAACAGTGCATCAACGCTTTCCCCTCGAGATTGTAGTTGATGAATGCGGGCGCCGCACCGACAGCCGAGCAAGCGAACCAGGTCACAAAGAATTGCGGCGAATTGATCATGTACATTGCCACCAATTCCCCAGGCTTGATACCCTCCTCGAGCAGCCACTGCGCATATCGGAGGACCTCGTCGTAAAACTGACCAAAGGTGTAGATGCCCCCTTCTCTCGACCAGAGAGCACGATTGTTCCAGCTCTTTTTGCATTGCTCTTCAAAAGCGTAGAAGAAGCAGACTTTGTCCTCCTTCACAAGCTGTGCATACTCTTTGGCACCCTGTCTCAGCCGGCGGAGGACATCCAGGTCCTTTCGAATATGGAACTTGGCATCGAGGTAGGCCGCTGCGGCCCATCCACCGGCTGCAGCGGCTGCAGCAGTTGCTGCGAGAAGAATCGAGTCAGCTTCGAAGACGTCGCATGGTTCGAAGAAAGAAAGCAGAGTCTTACCAAGAGCCATGGGTTAGTTCTATGTGCAAGATCCCCCGGTACCTGTCTAATTTGGTCAACGTAGTGCCGGTCGCGATCGACACATACAAGAACGCAAAGAACACCAGGTGTCTAAAATATCCGCCGTTATCTGATGTAACTTAGGAAGCCATTGAAGATAGAAGGAGAAAAGAAAGATCCATCCTCAACAGACCACAAACAGGCTCCCGAATCGTTCACCCACGCTCTCTCCAAAGCGACACTCATGTCATCAAGATACCGAGGTTACTGTGGATGCTTTCAACGCACTTTGAGGAGGCCTTGGAGCCTCTCTACCAGGACGAACCGGGTGTGGAGTTCCCACTCGTAAAATAAGTGGGCACGCACTGACACGGCAATTCAGCGCGGGGTCAAGTCTTGGTTGAGGGTGGCTGGCCTGGGAAGTGGGAGGGCGCCAGCTGGGCGCCTAGGCATTTCTCTGAGCACCGGGGATGGATTAATTGGGCGCCGATCGGATGACAAAGGACCTCATTAGTGGGTGGCACCCAGGTGGGACACCGTTGTGTCTGGGAGATCCAATGGCATCCATCCATCAATCTTTCACGTCTGATATCAGCACTTCCTCTGACGAAAAGGCCTCGTTCTCGTCCCTTCCCTATCACAAGAAAGTCGCTCGTCAACACTGCACACTCCGCCGAATCACGTATACAACGAGGCCAGTCTGTCAGCTTCGCTTATCCACCCTCTACAGCCGGACCATAATGGGCTCCATTGACCCTCCGGACTGCAGTGTCCTGATTATCGGGGCAGGGATCTTTGGCGCCAGCACAGCATACCATCTCGCACTGAGTCATGCAGATCCATCACGCATCACAGTCCTGGATCGCGCCTCCGTACCCTCCCCCCTGGCTGCGTCCTCGGACATCAACAAGATCATTCGTGCGGATTATAGCAAGGCGTTTTACATGGACTTGGCTCACGAGGCTATGGAGTCTTGGATGCACCATCCAGTGATGAAACCGCACTTCCATCAGACGGGGTGGGTGATGCTGGATGAGAAGGGCAGCGATCTGGCGGACCGGATTCGAAAGAACTTTCGAGAAAGTGGTCGTCCTGATACATCTGCGGATATCTCTCTCGAGGAAGTCAAGTCGAACTGGGGAGGTGTACTCTCTGGAATAGACACCAGTGAACACAGCAAGGCTTACACGAATTCCAGCGCCGGTTGGGCAGATGCTTCTTCCGCCGTCGCGGCCACTGTGGAGGAAGCCGTCAAAGCTGGTGTCAAGCACGAGGTAGGAGAAGTGAATGAGCTGCTCAGCGATGGTGATAAGCTGACTGGTGTCCGCACGACTGACGGGCGCACATTTACTGGTGACAAGATTGTTCTAGCTACAGGAGCATGGACGCCGTGGTTGATGGCACCACTGGAAAAGAAAATGACCATTTCCTCAGAAATCAGCATCACAAGACAAGTCCAGGCGGCAGGAGTATGCGTGGCAGCATTCAAGGTGTCGGAAGAAGAAGCCCGGCATTACTCGCAGATGCCAGTCTTGATCTTTGGCGCAAAAGGCGAGGCGATGCCACCGAATGACCAGGGCTTCTTTAAATTTACAAATGCCAACACTTTTCTCAACACTCAACCTCATCCGGAGACTGGCCAGAATATCTCGGTCCCAGCACCTGATCAACACTCTGTCCCGGACTTGCTCAAACGCCAATCCATAGAAATCATCCGCCAGCGCGTCCCACAAATCCTTGACGGGGATAGAGTGCCTGATGACTGGCGCCTTTGTTGGGACGCCATATCGCCGGATCAAAACCAGCTGATTGCGCAGCATCCTGATCCGCGACTATCGAACCTCTACTTTGCCACTGCTGGGTCGTTTCACAGCTGGAAATTTCTGCCCAACATTGGAAAGTACGTCGTCAACGTGCTGAACGGTAAGTCGAATGGGCAAGAAAGGGACGAGGCCTGGTGTTGGAAGAGGACATTCAGTGAGCGGGGAGCGCACGAGAAAGTGCTACCGAAAGGAGAACTGAAGGATTTTCAGTAATGCACAGGGTAAGACTTCTGTGATCCCTTGAACTGAGGAGTGGAGACGTCGTCGTTTTCATCGGTTACAAACACTATCACTCGTTCATCGATATTGCTGGTGCGGAAATGACCCAGGAGAGAGCCTCAGAAGAAAGACGAGTACTGGAAACGTCCTCTTGACCCTCGTGGCCATTGACGAAAGCACCAACATGCTCAAGGAATTCTCTCCTTCCGGCGCAGGCTATCGAAGTTTTGGAGGCTTGTAACGGTGATAGAGAGCTTAGTGAATGACGACTCCCTCTATATAGGCCCGTGGCTGTGTGGTAAGTTGACACATGGATACCTAAATGCAATTCTCAGGTACCTGGATTGTGCACATCCTCCAACCAGGGGCACCCGGAAGAAAAGGCAGTGGTTGAGTAAGGCCTCCGGACACAAGTACCTGGTAGGTAAGGATTGAGTGCCTAGGTACCAGTAGTAGGTAGCTATTAACTCCTGCTGGGCACCCCTTACTCAGGCGTAGCTCCAGCGGCCACTTATTAGGGGTTGGTGGGGCCACCCGAGGCTCCCTAATTGTCGACGTCATGCAGACCTCACGATGGTTTCAGGTCTTTCAATGAGCGCGTCATGGACCACGATGATGTGGGAAAGAAGAAAAAGAAATATAGCAGCGACCAAGCGCCTCGATCAGATTTAGCCTTCTCGTGTCCTTCTCCTCCTCCCAATACCTCCCATTCCGCTCTCGTGATAGAAAGCTGGCACCTCGCTCTGTTGTTCTCCATCGGCTCGCCCGCTTCGCCTCGACCATGTCGCACCCCACGCCTTCGACCGTCGCGCCGTGGAAACGGACGTTCCAGGAACACCTCGAACGGGCGGGCGGCGCTGGGTTCGAGTTCACCCTCGCGACGGTGACCGAGTCCGGGTTGCCGCGGGCGCGGACGTGCATCTTCCGCGGCTTCTGGGCCACGCTGCCGGAGAACGAGCACAACAAACTCACCAAGAACCCGCTCGTCTACGAGTCCGACTGTCCCACGTTTACGACCGACGCGCGCATGAGCAAGACGTACGAGCTGTTCGCCACGGGCAAGGGCAAGGGAGATCTCGCGCAGTCTCGCTCCGGGTCCGGCGGGGGCGGTCCCGTCGAGGCCGTCTACTGGGTCAAAGAGACGCGGACGCAGTGGCGCATCCGGGGTAAATGCTGGCTGGTCGCGGCCGACGACGTGGAAGGCGGCACGCCCGAGGCTCAGAATTCGGGCACCGTGTCCCTCAAGGCCGAGGTAGGGCGATACATGCGCGTCCGCGACGGATCCGACGACCACGACGCGCAACAAGGGACCAACGACTGGTCCTGGCGACGCGAGGTGGAGAATTACTTTGAAAACATGTCCCCGGTCATGAGGGGCTCGTTCAAGAACCCGCCGCCGGGCCAGCTCTTGTCGCAAGGCAGAGATGAGGCGGCGGGCGAGGCGCTGGGCCAGAAGGCAGGCCACCTCTCCGAGGAGACGCTGGCGAGGAAGAACTTCCGCGTCGCCATCATCACGCCCGAGCAGGTCGAGGCGGTCGACTTGACGGATCCGACAAAGGCCACCAGACAGATCTGGACGCTGGCCGAGGAGGGAGGCGGCCCTGGCGGTCCCCAGCCGAGTGAATCGATAGGAGAGTGGAACAGGGTTGAGACGTGGCCGTGAGGGTCGATCCGACAAGTGAGTGGATGATGATGAGGAGAACCCCAGAATTGCACCTAGCTCCCATAACGGGCTGAACGCGTTGCTTTGGGTCTCTCGGAAATGTCTACCTCGTACACCTCCCCTCGCGGCACTTCTAGGGCGTGACTAAGGTCAGCGACATCCCGTTACAGGGCCAAAAGCAGTGCATGATCAAGGACCTCGGTAATGGCGGTCGTCAACGCCTCCACTACCAGCTGGTGATATGGTAAGGAACCAGAGGACACCTGTCAGCTTGTCGAGTCTGCACGGAATCAAACCATTCTAGACCAAAACCAGAACCGCCGCGATAAATCGTCGGGTAGATCAAGAATTCACAGATAAAAACACAGGACATCAAGTTGGACGCATTCAAAAACATTGTGCTAGGTAAAATAAACGACGGAACATCGGGTCCGTTTACCCCCCTACACTACTGGGGAAAAAAACCACGGTCCATGAAAACAATATCAAGACCATGTACGAGGTAGTCGTCATCACTGCATTTTCATCTCGGAAGCACACCCCAAGACATCTATAAAATGTGCTCTAGAGACCTGTTCCCTGCGCCATAACCCCCCAAAAGTCGCTTGAAAGGCTGTAAAAAAAAAGGACATGCTCTCTTTTCTTTCATGACAGCGATAACAAAAGTTTGTGCGTCAAAACAACCTTGGAACCTCTGTGTGTGCGCGCGAGGCAAGGGAGACACTCGGCCAAGTTCCGCAAAGGATTTGGAGCAAAATATAAAACCCGACAACCCAAGAAAAAGGTCGTGTATCTCAGTGAAAGTTTTCGTCGTTCCGGGCGAATCTACCGACGGCTAGCTCGCCGAGAAGGACTCCCAGAAGCACGGAGAGAAAGTAGCCCACGTTCATGGTCATGACGGCCAACATGCTGATTCAGACAGTTAGTAAGAGGGGGGAGAGAGAGAAAAGAGGTCATTGGACGTACAGCAAATATGCCATGGCGGCAATCAGGGTGGTCAAGATTGCTCGAGGGACATCGACCGACAGCCGGAAGGGGGGGAAAACGTCCCTGGCCTCGACGACCTTGACGTTCTCCTCGACGCCGTTGACCGTGATGAGGGCCCCCGTCTTCGCATCCGGGTCCTGGTCGATCCGTCCAGCCTCGGTGGGCCGGCCCTGGACCATAACGTAGCGCCGTCTCCGTGCGGCGACCGCCCATCTCTGTTCGCACACGGCCTTGCCCGCAAAAACCAGCCGCAGGGCAATGGAGAGGATGACTAAAAAGATGCAGGTGCCGGCGTAGCCGCCTCCCGTGGTGGGCGTCCACCCGGTCCCGTACAGAGGGGTGCTGTGCGATGTGGTGAAGACCATGGGCATCGACATGGCGTCGGAAGAGGACATGGGCATGGACATTGAGTCGTGTGACATGGTTGTTGGAGGGGGAGGAGGAAGAGTCCAGGCTCGGGAGGGAGGTTTGAAGACTTTGTTGTTGAATTATTACAAAGATGGGTTGTCGTTGGTTGCTCACTGATATGTGGCGGGTGGAGGAGTTCGTTGGATCTGGATCTGGCTCTGGCTCTTGTAGAGGGAGACGTCGCAGCTGAAGAAGTGAAGTCTGTGGTGTGTGTGTGTATATACACTCAAAAATGTCTAGAATAACAATAGGGCAAGAGAGTGGTATGTAGTTTTGGAACGACAAAGTTCAGAACCCCTACAAAGGATGTCGCTGGGTAGAAGAAGATTCGACGTAGTTGCCAAGTGAGCAAGTTTTCGGTTTGGGCGCCGGTTGTGATTCGTCAATACGCCCATTCATGCAACAAACTGACGGGCAACGCACCAACACCAGAGACGGTCATGATCTGACAAGCTCCACTGGGCACCTTTTTTTGGTCTTCCTTTGGTCTCTAACTTGCTCCTATTAGTACGGTCTCTTCGGCTCCCCCGCTCTCGTTGGTCCCTGTATCGATCTATACATTACAAACTTGCTCAACTCCTCCTTCTGCTGAGCATCGACCGGTCAGACGCCGCGATGAGCCTCCAGATATGTTTCATATTGTCTCCTTATGTCAACGTGAGGGTGATCAATGTGCTCGCTGCTAAGGATATGCGGACAATGAAGAGCATGTTTTTTTTCTCGAGTGCGGATAATAGGACATTTGTGCGTGCGTGTGATGTTTATACAGGCATAAGCTACCTCCGGCTTGGTTACAAAGGGAGAGGACGCTCAAGAAAATGCATCGGCTCAGAAAGATCGATGGTGGAACGGTGCTCGACGAGCTTGGAGATGGGTTTCTCGAGGACGAAACGGATTTGCACGCATCCTGTTATGTTATTACCCGCAACGTGTTGACCCCAGTGTTGATGCGAGAGGCTGTTGACTCCCCGAGTTGTAGTCATTATATCGAAGTCCGCGTCCTCCTCTTCAACCCCAATCCATCATCTTCACCTCTGTTCGTTGGCTCGTGCTCTAATAGTCGCAGGCGCCGGACAAGGTCGAGAGTTCAGCCGTTTGTGTGCCTCGGACCTGGGAGTTGTTCAACAGTCGACAGTCTGCATTCAGTAACTTCTCGTGTAGACATACAGACATGCAGGACATGATAGGGGGATACATACGATGAGGGAATCGGCGCCCAGAGGAGTTATTCCGAAATCCTGGGATTTGCACATCCTGATTGGTTGGTCAAAGACTCGGAGCTTTACGCCCGTATTGCTTTCGCTCGCTCTCGCACGAACCACCCGTGCCACATCGTCAACCAAACTGTCTCTGTCAAATCTCATTCGCTCTTGGAGGATCGTGCTATACGGGACGATCCCTGTCGAGATCTTAAATCGCTGCATTCAAAATGCTATCATTCTCATCAAGACCGTCGGCGTAATATTGTTGCGCGCATGTCGTCACCAACATCAGGAGCATCCAACAACTCTGAGGCTGAAGAGTTACAAAAGCACGAGCAAGCCAATGCCGCAACACAGAATCATTCTACCTTATCGCACACCACTCCTACACAAAACAACGTAGAGCCGGCGCACCCACAATTGTCACACGTCCGAGACCTTTTCAGTCTTGCTACGGGCCTCCTGCTACCGTACGCCCTACATCCCTTGCTTGCCATTGAAGTCTTCCATCCCGCGATCGCCAACATGTGGCCATTCAGTACGAGCCCATCATTTGCCCCGGCCACCAGCATTCAAACCCTTGCAGGCAAGGTTATCCTTGTGACTGGTGGTAACAACGGGATTGGCAAGGAAACAGTCCTGCAGCTTGCAAAGCACAGCCCCCAAAAGATCTATCTCGCTTCAAGAACCGAATCCAAAGGACGTGACGCTGTAGCATCAATCAAGGCGCAAACATCACAGGATGTCGATATCGAGTACCTTCCTCTTGATCTCACCTCGTTACCCTCCATCAAACAAGCCGCAGACCGAGTGACGAGTGACAGCGACCGACTCGACATTCTGGTTCTGAATGCTGGTATTATGGCTGTTCCTGCAGGCAAGACGGCGACAGGACAAGATATCCAGCTGGGCACCAACCACGTCGGCCACTTTTTGTTGACGAAACTACTTCTTCCGACCATGGAAAAGACGGCCAAGGAACGTAACTCTGACGTGCGTGTTGTCTCTGTCTCATCCGAGGCCTGGAACATGGCTCCAAACCTCGATACGATCCTGTCAACGGAGAGGCTCACCGCCACTGGTCCTTGGACCCGGTATGGAGCCTCCAAAGCCGCCAACATCATATTTGCAGCCGAGTTGGCTCGACGATACCCGGCGCTGACCAGCGTGTCGCTTCATCCGGGCGTCATCAAGACCGATCTCTACATCCCAAACGCCCAGTCCAACCCTATCATGAAGTACGGCTCAATGGTATTTGGGCCCTTGCTGTTCCAGACGATCGAGAACGGCGCCTTCAATCAGCTCTGGGCAGCGGCCGGCGCCAAGAAGGAGGAGCTTGTCAATGGAGGATACTACACCCCGGTCGGCAAGCACAGGCCGAACAAGTGGACAAAGGACGCAGAGGCGGGACAGAAATTATGGGAGTGGACGGAGAAGGAGTTGAAGACTGCTGGCTATTGAGCATCAGGTTGTGGAGGGTGGTGTTCTTGTCGGGATGGTTATGGCTGGGGTGGTGGCTGTGTACAATTGTGATGGGTCATATGTCAAGGGGGTGTTCTAGTATCGACTGTAAATGGCAACAGTTCTAGTTCGTGTTAATACAGGCCACGATGATGATATGAGGACAGCAGGCGAGCTTCCTGGAATCTTGCCGCATGTTTAGTTCCGGGGTGATCCGATCAAACCACTTGTTACAGCACAATCGAGGTCGATCCCACCCGACCCGTTGAACACTTAGAGTGAAGATGGCTCACAAGAACGACTGCCATTTCCAGCCAAGCAAGGCTTTGACCGACAGACACCAGGGGTGCTGAGTGCGATCGCACTTTGTCCAAGATAAAGATGCTGGGCCTGAGAATGGCGCAGTCAACCTTGTCTCGAGACCCTGGATTATTGGCGACATGCAGGCAATGCAGGCAATGCAGGCGATGCAGACCACACACGACGGACCTCGTAATGACCAGCTCAGCAACGCCACCAAATGTAGGATTCTCAGCTTATGCAAGCAGAGTCTCTTTTTTTTCCCTCAAGACCTACGACTAAACAGAAATATTCGACGACGGTAGCGAGAACGTCACAATCTCTGGACAAAAGGACGACAAGTTTAGAAATCAAGTCGGGGCATTTTGACGATCAAAACACCAATAACTCCACCACTCAACAAGACTCTTATTACATCTCCCCATTGGTTGGTCCAGCCATTACCGCCTGCTATATTCGGTTGAAAGACAAACTCAGAGGGATAAACCTCATTGCTCGCCAATACTAATCTACAAGAGTCCAGGGAAAGGCTCGACATATTCCCACCGACCGCCCTTGGGCTCCAGGTTTCCACCGGCACGCACCGATACCGGTCGACGGTCTTCTATAAGACCCGCATTCATCTCGGCCGCCGTAGCCACCGACCCCCTTTCCACATTTACATCCTGGAGACCTCGAAAAGACTCACTCACATCTACCTCCAATCCCTCAGTCGAAGTCGAAGTCGCTCCCGCTCGGTCTCGCCCATGCCATCTGACAACGCGGACAAGATCGTCCTAATCACGGGGATCAATGGGTACATCGCCTCCCATATCGGTCTCCAGCTCCTCCAAAAGGGGTACAGAGTGAGGGGCACGTCTCGGTCGATATCAGCCAAGGACCACCTGCTGGCCGGCGCTTTCAAGGGCTACGAGGCTCAGTACGAGCATGTCGAGGTCAAGGATATCGTCACGCCGGGCGCCTTTGACGAGGCGGTCAAGGGCGTGCACGCGATCCTGCACACGGCGTCGCCCGTCGACTTCACGCTGAAGACGGTCGACGAGTACTTTGGCCCGGCCATCGGCGGGAACCTATCGATCCTCGAGTCTGCAAGGAGTGCCGCGGGACCTCAGCTGAAAGCGTTCGTCGTCACGTCCTCGATCGCCGCCATCGTGGACCGGTGGAGGCAGCCTCCCGACCACGCCTACACCGAGGCCGACTGGAACGAGATGGGCGAGTCCGTGGCCCGCAGCGAGTTCACGGCTCCTGTGGCGTACGGGGCGTCCAAGGCTGCCGCGGAACGGGCGGTGTGGAAGTGGGTGGAAACCAACCACCCGCCCTTTGCCGTGGCCGCCGTCAACCCCGCCGTGGTGACAGGACCGCCGGTGTCCTGGCCCGCGACGCCGGACAAGCTCAACACGACGCTCCTGCCCATCTGGAACATCTACAGCGGCAATAAGGCCATGCCCCCGCAAATCGGCGGCGCGGGCTACATTGACGTGCGGGACGTGGCGCGCATGCACATCTGGGCGATGGAACACCCGGAGCAGAGCAACGGCGAGCGGTACCTGATGTCCAACGGCAAGGCCCCGCCGCAGGCCGCCGCGGACCTGCTCCGGGAACGCTTCCCCGAGCGCGACATCATCGTCGGCGACCCGGGCCAGGGCTACACCAAGGACTACTGGTTCGTGCCGGGCGAGTCGAGCACCGCGTCAACCAAGGCGTACCACGCCCTCGGGGTCAAGCGGTTCATCTCCTACGACAAGAGCGTCCTGGACACGGTCGAGGCGTTTGAGAAGCACTGGCCGGGTCTGGCGCAGAATTTCAAGCACAAGAACTAGATTTCGAGCCCCCCCCCCCCCCCCCCCCCCACAAAAAATGGAGTGTGTTTGCGAACTATATGTTCCTGGGGGTGGTTTGACCGCGAAAAAGAATGGATGTCGGAGCGATACTTTGCATATATCTATTCTCGTTTCTTGGAGTAACACGTACGGACATTCGGGTTGGAACAGGTATTATAGATAGATAGCCAGGTACCGAGTAGTTTGACCAGCGGGGTGTGAACGATAGCAAAAGAACCCAGAATGTCATCTGTTTGGCACGCTTCGTGAACAACGACAAAACAGCGCAGCAACAGGTGTGCGCCCTCCACATTCATTCCTTCGAGCCCTGGAAAGAAAGAACCCGGCGTCTTTTGGCCCTCTCAGAGAAAACGACCAGGTGTGACTATGCAAGCATTGCCTGCATATGATGTGATGGGGTCGGAACACGCCTTCTCAGCTGGGCTTGTCTCAGCAACGTGGACCCCGTGGAGGGGGAGTTCCTCCTACCTTGACGCTGGTGACGCTGAGGCTGAACAATCAACACTGAACATGACCGAAAGTCCTTTTTGGCGGTCATCAGATCCAAAAAAAGGGGGGGAGGCCGTGAACTATCCTATCAACAAACCAACGACATCACCGAGCAGGGGAAAGGGTCCCAGTCGAGAAAAAAAGCACCTTCGTCTTTTCTTCCTCGCATCGTCCCAGAGAAAGAGGCCTCCCTTCCGAATCCTTCCTGTTTCTTTTCTTCCCTCCCTCATTCCCCCTCTTCGATGATGGCGATGGCAAAATGCAAAGTCTCACTTTTCGATCAGGCCAGACAGGAAAAAAGCGCTGTGTAACGCGAGTCCCTGACGATTTGGAATTTTCATGACTACGTGGTTTGGTTTTTCTGATCCCGTGTCTCTCTTTCTCTCGCTCCTTTTTGTGCGACATTGGACTTGATGTGACCAGACATTGCAGAGAACAAACCTCCACTTTTTTTCAGCTACCCGTGGCTCTTTTTCATCGTGGACAAGGTCGGTTCCGCTCCCTCCTTACCGCGGGGGTTGAGAGGCAGCCTGACCAGCCAGACAGCCAGCCTTCTTGCCTTGCGCCTGGACCTGTTGGGTGGCTGGCTGCGGCACAAGGCTGGGATGTCTGGGGGGAAAACAACGACGCTTGACATGCCCCAGTGGTCTGGATTGCGATGTTGGTCACACGTTGCGCCACGGACTTATATCGTGGGTCAAAAAGGTGCCGGGGAAGGGATTCGCTGGTTAGGTGACAGCCAGTAGTGGTGTCAGTAGTCAATAACGGTCGTCTAATTTTCTGGCCACAACGGCTGGTTAGCGAGCGGGGTTTGAACGCCACTTGTCTCAAGGTGAAGAGGGGGGGAAAATCAGTAGGTGGATCAAAAGCCAGGCTGATGATGGGCGGAGATGACCTCTCATCTTCGTTGAAGTGGCTACCGAGCAGAGTCGCCTGTCTACCCCAAGTCCAGGCCTCCAAGGGTACCTTTTTTTCGATCCCCCTGTATCTCGTGGGGCGGGGATTTGAGGCCTGTGGTTCGAAGCAGTGAAAGGCGGAGAGAGACCCTGAATGATATAACATTCTTCCTGGTTGGAGCGTCTGTGGCATGGCTGCGGAATCACGGATGATGGTCCGTCGGCGGCGATGCAGACAGGATATGAATCAATCCATCCTTATCTCACGTGGGAGTTTCTCGCTCTCGTCAGGTTCCTGCGTGTCGGGATGGAGGAGATAGGGAAAGGTCGGTGGTGGAGAAGAGGGCAGATAGATAGAGATGACGGATGGCGGATGGCGGCTCGTGTCCGGGGGATTCGCGTATCTTTTCCTGGGCGACTTGCACGTCCTCCCACTGCCACATTAGCAAAGACCCCATCGAGATAAACAAGATAACGAGCGGAATTGAGAGGCGAGCAGGCGAGTTAATCCTCATTCTCTCCCATCTCACTTGCTGCCTGCTACTCGTTCATTTGACCCTCCAGCCACTGATCGTCCAGTCAATGGTCCCTGTGATGCGACTTTCTGGACATCACCGCTCACACTTTTTATTCCAACCCATTTTCGATTTCATGGTTCCTTGCCCACCCCCCAGTTCTCATGTGTGTCTGTGCGTGTGTGCGTATGTCTCTGCTTGCATCGGGGTCTTTGATGCTCCAGGAATCCACCTCTCGTTAGATCTTTTTGGGTTCAAATGTCTCTGCATCTAGAGGCTCGTCATTGACCTACATCACCCTCACCAATCCGCACCCTGGTACTGGTGGCTGCGGCGCTGTAACGCACCCATCGATACTCCTTCACCATCTTCAATTTCCCACCCCTCCTTTCAATCCTCTTTTCCCTTCCTTTCTGGACAATTCGTTTAGTTCTTCCTTTCTGCGGATACCTGTCTTGATCCTGCCTAGTTGCTCCGAGCAATACGATTGTACTACGAGTTACGCTCTCCTCACAATTACTCCTCCTTCGGTCGATATACCACCGTACCCACCGAACCCCTCCATACCTCAAAGCCCCAGTTCACGCTCGTCTGCTTTCACACAATCCATTTGTCAACGATCAGGTCGCTTGGGTCCATGTCGCCTGTCTCTGTCTGCGTCGCATGGAGGTCCAGATCCCATCTCCGTCTGTTTTCTTGAGAGATTCTCCCGTCATTACTCCCGCGCCTGTGGTGCAGCCAAAGAAGGCCGCCATCACGAAGCCCAAACCCCATCCTCCTCCTAAACCCCTCAACAAATCGGTCCAGGATGGGGCGGTGACGAAACCAAAGCAAAGCAAGAGTCGAAATGGTACGTGCTCTGAACTCCGAGTTTATTGGCAGCGTGGTGCTCCCAGCAAATTCATCTGGGTGTCTCTATTGCGGGTTCCATCATTTCCCAACGTCATGGACTAACTTGGCTTTTCCCTTTCACAGGTTGTATGACATGCAAGAAGAAACGATTAAAATGCGACGAGACAAAACCCTCTTGTGCCCAATGTCAAAAAAGAAGTGTGGTATGTGAAGGCTACAAGAAGGACTACAAGTGGAGAACATTTGAGGAAACTACCTTTGCCTCCCGGCCTACCGTGAAGAGGAAAGCTTTTCGTTCCAACTCCCTGTCGCCGACCCACAATGTAGCCAATCCCCTTGGTATCGCGGGTGGTGCGAGACCAGAGGTTCGACAGCACCGGATTGAAGCCATTGGATCTGCTCAGACATGGTCTCCGGGTTTGCATTCTGCCTTCGAGACGGCAGTTCATGCATTCCAGGGCAACGGCGATGACCACCCTCAACCTCAGGGATCAGTGTCTAGTCCAGAGCGACAGGTCGACATGCAGGTGGACGGGGACCTTTCGCCGCCTCTCAATCTCACCACCCCGGATTCAATCTTCATGCCTGCTTTCGAGACCGACGGCATGTCTCCCGGTCTGACATTGGGCGATTCGGTTGATCCGTACAGCCTGACCACGACAACGACGAGCTCTTCCATTGACAGCAATAGTGCCGAGTCTTTCTCCTCTGGCTCTCCCCAACTTCTTGACATTATGATTTCTGCTGAATCGAACCTGAATGCACTGCCTGATCCCTGCGAGCTCGAGCCACCAATGCCTCTTCATGATGGTATACCGACGGAGGATGACTTTGACGAAGAGATTATCAGATCGGATGCCATCGCCACATCTGCTGCCATGACGGCCATGCAACTCCCCACACCCTCGTCAATGCTCGACCCTAGCTTTTCCAACACAGCATTCCAGGCTTTCCGCGCGTCTTCTCCTACCCCTAGTGAGAGTTCTACAGCATCTTCCAAATCCAGCGACATGACAATTCTCGCTCAGCCCTCTCTGGACGCCTCGTCACCAGAGATGCTTATGCTTCGGTTCGACAAGCAAACTTGTGGCATTCTATCTGTCAAGGACGGTCCTACTGAGAATCCCTGGCGGACGTTGATCTGGCCTTTGGCTCGAGAATCTCCTGCTCTGTACCATGCCATTTCATCCATGACGGCGTTCCATGGTGCTCATGAAATTCCCCATCTGCACGTGCCGGGTATGGCACACATGACCAAGGCGATCAAACGTCTGGCCTTTGAGATCGAGAACATGCGACTCGATTCGGCGCTGGCAACTTCACTGGCGCTGGCATTCAGTGAAGGCTGGGATCGACACGTCAGCACTGGCGTCCAGCATCTCCGGGGCGCTAAAGTCATGGTCAACAACGCCATCATCAAGCACCAGCGGGACATGCAGCTGGGCCAGATGACAACCCAAGACGCCAATAGACTCAAGTTCCTCTGTAATACTTTTGTCTACATGGATGTGATTGCTCGATTGACATCGCTGGAAGAAGCACCGGAGCTCAATTTCGAGGAAATCCTTGCCACTGTCAATGCCCCTTTCGGAGATCAGGTCGAGGTCGACCCGCTGATGGGCTGTGCCGCGACTTTATTTCCGTTGATGGGCCGCGTCGCCAACCTCATACAACGAGTGCGCAAGACCGAGTCGAATTCTCTCACCATCGTCTCCACCGCCATGGAGTTGAAGGAGCAACTGCAGCAGTGGCAAGTGCCCAGCGCCTTGATCTTCGAGCGGCCGGAGGATCCGAATTCAGAAGTCCAGCACTCGATTCAAACAGCAGAAGCTTACCGATACGCTACGCTACTCTATCTACACCAAGCCGTGCCGGAGATCCCCAGCGACCCAGCGGCATCCCTGGCGAAGAAAGTCTTGGTCACATTGGCGTCAGTCCCCTTATCCTCAAGAGCAACCATCGTCCAGATCTTTCCTCTTTTTGCGGCAAGCTGCGAAGTCACCGACTCCGATGATAGAACCTGGGTGGTGCAACGCTGGCAAGCAATGATCAGGCGTCTAAAGATTGGGAACGTGAACTCGTGCTGGAACGTCGTTCAAGAGGTCTGGGCCCGCCGAGACGCGTACGAGGATGAAAAGTCCAACAGATTGCTCAGGCAATATGCGAGCCGCGGAGTGCCAGGGGGTAACTTTGTCCCTCCAGTGCTAGACGTCCCTCCGGCATTGAAGAGAAAGGCTTACACGGCGGATTCTCTGGGTATGGGAGACCCCGGTCATTTCAGTCATGGTCAACACGGACCCCAGGACCGGCAGGGTGGCGGACCAGGGCACTTGGACGCAACAGGGAGGCCGGTCAAACGTCGCTTAACGATGGACTCGCTCGGAAGCGGGAGCGCCATGTCGGCCATGTCAATGACCATGCCACCTCCCCCTGTATCCCTCCCTCGCCGACACACAAGCGATATCATGTCTTCAGATCAACTAGAACCCGAATACACCGTGCGAGGGCAATTGCACTGGCTAGGTGTTATGACCGACTGGCAGTGGGAAGGTATGTTCGAATTTCCTCAGACGTTTTGCTTTTGGAATTGCTTTGTCTCATCCTGGAGTCACACGCTCATGCTGGCTGCGTTGTTCTTCCGCACTTTCTCTCCGCGAGCTGCTTCTTGATGAGACTGTCTCGCATAGCCTGTGTCCGTGGTCACCATCGTGAGGCGTGTCGTGGAGCTTGGCGGCCCAAGTTTCATTCTCCGCACGTCAAACAGGCAGCTGACATATTACGCTTTTAGTTTTTCTCGGTTGATTTTGCTTCGGTCTGCTTTGCGTGCCTCTTGCTGAGCAACGCCTTGCCCCTGGGGCTCGAAGACCGATGGTCTCTCTGAAGCTGGCGAGGGTCTTTCCCGATCTGATGGTGGTGATGATGATGGTGGTGGTGATTGGTGGACTTTACGGTACTCTTCGATATCCGATTTTCAGTTCCTTTGCCAGCGCTAGGAAGGCTGAGGTTTACGCTCCCGTGTTCCCTCCTCAAACTGGCGAGGTCCATCCATCGGAATTCGGGCGACTTCTCTCTCTCACCTCCATCTACCCTCTCACTCCGAACACTACTCCTCCTAGAGTCGGTGTCGCTCCCGCTGCTGCGGCTGTCGTCCTGACCCGCATGGTCGACACTGGCCAGGTAGTTCCGCATGCTTGCGGTATATTCGTCGAGTTCGGCGCTGTGTGTCAACTTTGACATGGGGATTGTTTCAACCGGGGCACTCGATGTCGGATGCGGACTTGGGCCCTGCACAATGGTCTGGCTCTTGCTGCGCTTGCTCGCAGGATGGGGTGCGGTTGAGGTTGTCATTTTTGGGTATGTTTGTTGTTTGAACGTGATCGACCGAACGGATTTGGCGACTGAAGATTCTACGAAATCCTGTTGTTTTCAAAGTATCCGGGTTGAGCCAGGTTGAGATTGCCTGGGTCCTTGGACTTGTGTGTGGCGGGCGGGATGACTGTGATGACTTTGACGCTCTACAGCTATGAACGGACGAACGCACACTTTTGCGGCCTCAAATGGAGTTTTGGCGGATCTAGGCGATTGCTCTTTGCTTTTGGTGTGGGAACTCGCGGGCCTGGAGACTGCGCGCGATGGGGGGATGGGGGAGTTTATGTTGAGGGCCGGACGTTCCAGCCTTGCCGACAGGGTGCTTTCTTTGTAGCTTCGGTGCCGTTGAAAGTCGGGTTTCAGTCCCCTGCGAAAATTGGTTGGTCTTTAACGAGCAAGGCGTTTGGGAACCCGGAGCTGTGAATTTTTATGGGAGGGAGAAGGCGCCACGGATGATGATGTTGTTGTTGCAGAGAGTGAGAGAGCTGATATGTGCACCTGGTACGAGTTGGGCCGGTGGGTAGTAGTGGCTATATTGGTTCGTGTGATATCGTGGTCGTGGTCGTGGGGAAGGTTTCTGATGGGGACGTGGTTCTAGTTCTAGTAGGAGTAGGAGTAGTTGCAATGAGACTGGGAGAGTGATTGACTGCCGGGACCGTCATCTGGAGTATCGATTGTTCTTGGTTATCATTGTCGTTCATCGATGCGCGTGCGCTGCTAACAATTTGCGGGGCGTGTGGTGTGCATGTGTTTTCTCGTCGTTGTCATCCTCTCGTACATACGGAGTTGCGGGCGTCCAAAGGTTCTGGGTAAGGGGAATGGGAGATCAGATCAAGCTGGGCCCTTCGAAAAACTAACCCGCGTCTCTCGCTGTTCTATTCTTGCGTGTTTGCGTGTGTGTTCGTTCGGTTTGTACACGAGCAGAGTCGCAAGTTGCAGGTCGCCTGTTGGAAGATCCCGAAACGGTGGTTGTGGTTATTACACAAAACGTAAAAGATGCTGCCGTTTCGTTTTCCGATCTCTCTCCTCTCTTGGTCCCTTTGTTCGCTTCGTTTCGCGCTCTTCCCGTTTCTTGGCGTGCCGATACAGACGCAGAATGTCGTCACTGAGGGGGAGGGAAGAGGAGGGGCGTCGAGGCGAACGGCCGTTGTGCGGAGATTGTCGTTGTTGTTGTTATTGTTGTTCCTCGGTCTTTGCCTCTGTACGGAGTACAATAATGAGTGAGCACAGTAGTTTAGTAAGGTACATTAAAAGGCGTTTTTAGTCTTTCCTGGCTGGGGCTTCGGTCGAGGAGAGTTTAAAACTGCGGCCGCACACGTGGGTAAATCGCTTTTGTTTCCGATCCACTTAATACGCGCTGTCCCTTGCTCGCTTCTTCTACCTGTGTTTCCGTTCTCGGAGTTGGCCAAAACCCCGGGCAAAAGATCCTGTCTGTTTGAGGAGACTGGATGTCAGGGCGGAACAGAGTAGAGTGTCTATATCATGGACAATGGTAGAGTAATCCTGGGAGTTTATGCCTCTGGGGAAATAGGTTCGGCGACGAACAAAAGGGCAATGGGCGAGCGGAGGTGGTGAAATGGACTGCAGCAGTGGTGGGGGGTATAGGAAGAAAGGTCGCTCCTTTTGCCTGTCTCGTCTGCTCTCTCCCTCAGCCGGGTCTGTCGAAGCTGTTCTGGCGCTCCATAACAAAGTCTCTGTTTCGTACTGAGTAATGAATAGTAAAAGTGAGTTGCGACCTAGAGTAGTGGCCGACCTGCTATGCAGTTGCTTGATATTAGTCAAGGTGCCAAATAGAAGAACCAGCAAGTTGTTTCTAGTGAGGCTTGGAGATCTAATATGTCAGAAAGCAATTCTCGGAATGTGGCATTATAAGCTCATGGGATTCACAAATTTCATTCAAAAGGGTAAAATAATGAGGGAGAGAAGGCCTGGAACAGAAAGCTCAGGCCATTTGTTGCGACAGTGCCTTTCTGTTTAAGCCGGTGTAGCCAAAAGGTAATATGTATTGGTGGCGGCGTGGGTGGTATGAGAGAGGACGGGGAGCCCCGAGGAGGAAACAATCAAATGGGTCACCAGTAGCCCATCTGAGACCCGAGCAAGAAAACCTATACCTCGTTCAGCAGGTCCCAAAGGCATCGAACTCGCACAACGAGGCGGGAACGCAGAATGGCATCATACGACAGTAGTGCCCACGCTGTCGTGCCTTTTGCTCAGGCGACGCCGCATGAGGCATGGGAGCCGTTGATCTCCAGACCTCAGCCGTATGCGAGATGGAAGGGAAACAAACGGGGAACAGACTACACCATACCATTCGTCGACATGATGAATGAGAGGATTCAGCGTGTGTGCGTTGGTCTGCCTAGGAAAGATTGCGTGCCAAAGACAAGGGAGTGGAATGACCACACGGATCCGCTGGGTTCGACTTTGCCAGTACCATGCCAGTGGGCCGCATTGTACGTGTGGAGAAGGGTTGGTCGAAGTCGGAGGCCCAGCCGTGCAAGTTTTGCAGAATCTAGAAATGCTGGATCCGAGTTGCAGATTGTGGAGTCGTTTCTGCCCTGTCACCATGTCGGCGGAGGGATCTCTTTGCATTTAAGTGCAGGTTTGTCCCTCCTGACTTTCCCCCAATGCGCAGGACGTTAGAGAGAAGTCAGCCACCAATCCGGTCCTCTGAGGAGGCAACTTTCATCAGTCGCTGTAAGCCTGGAATGCTGTATTTTGCTAGAACCCGCCGCAATGGTGGATATACCCGTCTCCGTGAAAGATCTTGAAAGACGGTAGTCGAGATTGAGCCACATCCGCATGTCTACTACTGGCTTTGTAGGATTTTTCTCCATCTGCTAAGGTGATTGACACCTTTCATGCGGCAGTGGTCGATTTCACCGGTCTTTATCAAACCTGTTAACCACACCCGCTCTCTCACAGCCAATTTTTCAAAGCTCAATGAATCCCTTCAGTGTCGATCCTTCAGGTCCAAGAATTCCCTGCCCTAAAGAGGTAAGGTGTAAAAGGTTTATGTAAGGAAAGGTGGATTTAGATTTATCCAAAGATATTCCGGAAGCGGAGAAGGGGAAATGATTGCTAAATTGAGCTTCGCGCGAGGGCAAGAAGACAAGGCTGGATCCACCAGGACGGGAATCGGCTCGGATGGCGAATGAGAGTACCTCGTGGGTAGGGGTGTACGAGTATAGGCGGCTAGGTAGAGAAACGGGTCGGTTAAGGCAAAGAATGGTGGGCGGACAAGCGTTGCTGTTCCCCTTTGGAAGCATTGGCATGGCGGTACTGAGTGAGATCTCCTTTGCACCGTGTTCCGGAATAGGTGAGAAGGGCCATCTTGATGCCCTCTGATGCTTGGCTGAAGCAAAGTTGGGTGAGAGTGTAAGATGCTCAAGGGTGGGTTGACTGGGCGAGGATCGCCTTTGGCTGCGAAGAGCAATCCGCATTTTACTAATCGGAGGAGTACTCGATAAGCTGATGGAAGGTAGAAATTTGCCAAGACATCACGTGAATCAACTTCTCCCAATGGTCGGGCTTACACCACATCTTGAGTACATTTATCGATTTTACATAACATGAAATATCATAATCTCTCTGGATCCAGTATCCGATATCATGCCCTTGAAATCGGTATATATTGAGTAAGGCTGTGGTCGCGGGTGCTAGTTGCGGAGGTCTAGCCCAACTCATAAACTGCGATGCAAAATATACAAACTTGCCAAGTATCGATTATACCCCTCCTTGCGGCTGTTGCATCCCACCTCCTTATCTATTCCCGCTCGTGGTCAGCTTCCCATTGAACCGACCATCATCTTCACTCGCCTTAACCATCTTGGGCATTTTGTTCCCTTCTACTCTATCATTCCAACCCTTCTGGTGCTATTGGAGCACTGTGACTGGTCCCAGAAGCTTCCTGTCTGAGTTCTAGGCACGGAGCTATACACGCTGACGCGGGTCTTTGGCCACCAGATTTCCATCAAACGCGTTGTTTGCATGAGAGTAATCCCTAGCCTAGACTGGGGCAACGCAGTCCGAGCCAAATGAGCAAGGCAAGTTGTGGGTAGCTGGGAAGTCTGAAGAGGTATATCTTATAGACTGCTGCATCCTGGTTCCTGCATTACTCTCTCAATCTGCAGCTTCTTCCTCTTCTTTCCCCAAATCCGTTTGCATTTCCCTAGGTCTCGTGCAATCACGTCCCAGACCGCTTATCGCAACTTGCCTCTGCTTGCGACTGCTTCAGGACGACTTTCAGATTAACAATAAAGGTGAGTCGGAGACCTATCTTTGCGAGAACCGAGGCGACCTGGTTAGAAAACTATTACAGACACCCAGCGCGCCCTGAGAGGGATTTGGCTGGTTTCCAAGCATCTGCAAAGAATCTAACAAATGGGACATTGCTTCAGCAGACTTTCCTCCCAAACCCAAACATCCAAACCTGAAAAGATGGGTTCCACACCAGCTTTCAAGCACTTCTCCAAAGTCCAGTCCGAGTTCAAGCCTCCCTTGATCGCCAACGAGAACGCCTTTCTCGGCGACGTCGTCAGCAATGACTCAATTGACCCCGAGAAGCCCATCAGCTGTGGCATCTACAGACTTGAGAAGGGCACTCCCCTCGTCTACACCTACACTTACCACGAGATGAAGATCATTTTGGAGGGTGAATTTGATATTAGCGACGAGACTGGCCAATCTGTTCACGTGAGAGCTTCCACTCCATTGGTTGGAGACCTGCGCGCTCGCGAGCACGACTGACGTTGGATTCTAGGCTGTTGCTGGCGACGTTTTTTACTTCCCCAAGGGTAGTGTTATCACCTTCAAGACAAACACTTATGGTTTGGCCTTCTACACCGGCCAGCGCAAGCAGGGTGCCGCATAAACGAAGCAGGACCATAGCCAAAATTAAAAACATCCAAGCAATTTCCATGATTGAAGGACGCTTGCAGACCTATTTCTGGTGCCAAAAGCTCAGCTCATCTATACTCTTTTTGCTCTTTTTGTTCGTGGACTTTGACGCCGACTCCGTGACCTTGAGAACAGAATGCAAGCGAATAATACCACAATGGTAGTGATGCCAATATATGCCCAGTGGTGAGCTTCTCGGTTTGCAGGCACGACATCATCTAGTCACAGCGCGCCACTCGGTGGTAAACATTGCTTGATGAACTCCTCCAAGTCATCGATCTCTTTCATGTCCGCCGAATGAGCGAGACCCCTGCGCACAACCGTCAATCACAAAGCCTGGTATGGCTGGCAAGGATACTCACGGATATGTCTTGAATTCGACTTTGTGGCCCAACTCGTTCCTCAAATACTCTGCCGATTGCACTCCCCACTGATGTTTGACCAGTTCGTCTGCGTCCCCGTGGCCCATGAAAAAGGGGGTGTCTTTGTTCGCGCCGTTGGCCTCTTTGGCAAAATCTTTGATCTTGTCCCCAAGCACGAGATAGCAGCTCAGTCCAAAGACTCCGCCGAGCTTGTGCGGTGTCGTAGCGCCAGTGAACAGCGACATCGCACCGCCTTGGGAGAAACCACCCAAGATTATGCGATTGGAAGGCACACCGGCGTCGATCTCGTCGGTGATGAGTTTGTTGAAGGTCGCGCGGGAGCGTAGGATGCCCGGTTCATCGAAATCGTGCTTGAGGTCGGAAAAGTTTGTCTATCGTCACGCAACACACCATCCATTAGCCCTTGCATAGCGTAGAGGCGTGGTTGTTAGGAATGGGGGAGGCGAGGAGGGGTAAGGGGATCCGACTTCGTCGCGGCGCCTTACGATATCGTACCATCCAGGCATGCGCATGCCAAAGTTCTGCTCTCATTGTTAGCACCATTGATCCCGCACTGTATGTGAAAGAGTAGCTCTTTCGAGTACGTACCACGGTGATGGGAATGTTCGGTGCATTGGGGAAGATGAACTTGACGTCCTCAAACTTCCCCCGCCGTCGCCAGGTCTCTGCGAGCGACACCCTGGCGGCTGCGATGAGTGCTCTGATCTTTCCGAGGGGACTTCTCTTTGGGGGACCGTGATGAACTCACCATCCTGCACCGCTGTTTGTTTCCCGGAGAATCAGTCAAAAAGTCCCAAGAAGACTTCTCCGCACAAATCTGCGTTGGGACACTTACCTGTCCCCCAACCCATGGGCCATTATCACCGTCGCCGTATGTGTTTTGAGCGCAGGTACGATCAACGCTTGTTTGCCCGCCATCTTTGCGCACGCGAGATTGATTTCTGGACCGGTTAAAGAGAGGAGCCGGAGGAATGAAGCAGAAAGAGAAACGATGTTTGGTGGGTAAACAAAGGCTGGTGGCATGGACACCTCAGTACCGTTACTGTCGTAGAGAGCGGGACATTGGGCAAGCGCGGGTCGTGTTGGCTCAGCCGAGGTTGTTCCGGATGGTGATGAATCAAAGCCCCAATGCAGAATTTCTACCTCGTATTCTTTCCCAACTCTCTATCATGATCGTTGCACATGGCTTTACACATGTGCCTGAGAATGCTCCCCGGCTCGAGCGAAATAGTCGGAGACTGACACTAGAATTGAGACCAGGATGCGTAAGACCTTGAACTGTCCAGTGATGTAAGAAACACGAGCTGGATTGTGCTGCTGGTCATAGTTGGTTCACGAGACTACTGGCAAATTAGTGGTACAACAAAGCTATGTGGTCTCGTCTGGGGCAAGATACACTGTTGGCCGTGAATCAATGCTCTACTAAGACTGCTATTACCATACCTCGCACGCCTGCTTGTACTTTGTTCCTACACTCCATATCTGTAGCTACACGTGATCTCACACACACACACACGACTCCGAGGTCTCGAGCCGCAGCAAAATCGCCAAGACTGTCATAAAGGGCACAAATCCCCAGAAAGTTGAACGTCCTTGAATCATCCCGCAACCCGAAGCTCAACCCGCTCTTCCATCTCCCATCTTCATCCTCTTGTACAGCTAGGACGGAAATCCGAGCGTTGTCTTGAGATTTTCCTGAGCCTCTTTTCCGCTTCTCGGTCCTTCCGCCACCTCTGAAGCTTTTCTGAGTCTTGGATTCCAAGGGCTCGGCGAAAACGTCTTTTCCACCCCGAGAGCAATTGGATTTGTGTGCTTGCGCTTTCTAGCCGTGACATCTCTGAGCTGAGTGAAGCTCAGCAACAGACACCAACCCACCACAATGGATCAAGAAAAGCTCAAGCGCATGCAGGCGCAGGTGCGAATTGGTAAGTCACTCACAATATCCCAAGACAACTATCGTATGTACGCACCCTGCTAATAATGAATGTAGGGTACGTTCCTTAATTCCTTCCTCGTACTCACTGTCAATCTGCAAATCCAATTTCACAAGAATTCATGTTTGACCGCCGAGACCCACTCATCTGACATCCTGATTTTTTGATACAGAGGCAAAGGGACGCCGCGCCGCAAAACCAAGAAGGTGCACAAGAGTTCGGGGACCGACGACAAGAAACTCCAGACGACGCTCAAAAAAATGAACGTGCAGCCCATCCAGGCCATTGAGGAGGTCAACATGTTTAAGGAAGACGGCAATGTGATACATTTCGCTGCACCAAAGGGTACGTGATCTTAGCATTCAAAACATTGCAGCAAGGACGCGTGTACAGGGACAAGAGTCCTAGAAATTCAAGAGGAGGATGGGAAGGGCCCTAAAAGGAAGCGGAAGCTAACATGCTGTTTTGTTTTGCACCACAGTCCACGCCTCAGTGCCTTCGAACACGTTCGCCATCTACGGTAACGGCGAAGACAAGGAACTCACGGAACTCGTGCCGGGCATCCTGAACCAACTCGGCCCCGACAGCCTCGCCTCCTTACGTCGCCTGGCAGAGTCGTACCAGAGTTTACAGAAGAAGGAAGGTGGTGAAAAGGGCGAGGGTAAAAAGGAAGGCGAGGACGAGGATGACGACGAGATCCCCGATCTGGTCGAAGGAGAGAACTTTGAAGGCAAAGTCGAGTAAGGGAGAAAGAGAGGCCCCGAAGTACGCAAAGCTGTGGGTAGATGGGCGGAGGATGTGACTTCCCCTCCCAAATATGTAAAAAGGGTCCTAAAAGAGACAGGGAAAAAAACTCCGAGGGCTCCAAAAGGAAAAACAGACTGAATACACATCGCATCCATGTCCCCCCCTCTCCCCTCTGCATTGTATGCGAGGGGGGAGAAAAGGGAAAAGGTGGTCCAATTTTCTGGCGGCAATGCGTCGGTGTGAATGTGAGAGAACGGTCCTTTTTTCGTTCCTCTGCTCTCTCTTTGCCTTTTTCTTGAGTCTTTTGCTGCCTCTTCCGTCACTGTCACTGTCATCGTCACCACCACCGCCACTACGACCACGACGGGAAAGCCACGAGGAAGAGATGTATGTACGGTATGTGGATGGTGAGAGGGACAACCCTGCTCGTCGGCACTACTGCTGCCACAACACTGTGACTATTGAGAGGATGTTCCCTTTCCCTGTCCCCCTTCCTCTCCGCATGTGTGTATGTGCGTGATCAACCGCCCCCAAGCGCAGCTACTTACCTACCCAGTTCGCCCAACTACCTAGCTACGCTGAGCTATGCTGCTGGTTTCATTCCAAACATACTCGGTACATTAGGTACAGTGTGTACATAGGGTCTGACTAGGTGGCGCTAGTGCTCAACTGCTCGTGGAACGGTGTCTCATCGTATCCTAACCCCTTCCCCCAAAAAGTCGTGTGTAGCGTTGCGAGTTGGTTTTGTTCCTGTTCCAATTACAGTACAGTACCTATCCCAGACTCCGGACTGAGAATGCCAACACACTCAATCGTCCTTCAGGCCACAAAAGTCGGTTCCGAACCACCTGTCCACGCCGTGCCAGAAGCTCCAGTACCAGCCATTAGCTGGGTCCCAGCTCCCGTCGTCCTTGACCAGTGGCCCCTCCCCAATCACATCACGTCGCCCCGCGGCTCCTTGCTTCGTGCTGCCCATAAAGTACGACACAATCGGGATGCTCCGAAGAACTCTCTCTGCAAACGTCGGTTGCGGGGGAAGGGCTTCCGACATGGGTCGCAAGACCACCTTTTTCACGTTTTTGATGTGCGTCATGTATTCCGAATCCGGCGGGTGCTGGGTGGCTTCTCCGGGCAGCTGGGGCACAGAGCGTGAACGTAGACCAGTGGACGAGGATAGCTGTGGGGGTGCTAGGTCGGTCGCCGTCGCCGTCGCCGTCGCCGATGATGCGGTCGCGGAATCTACCGAGATTTCCTCTTCTTCATGGTTGGGAGGCTGTCCGTATTGCATGTCGGGCATGGTGTGAGATCGGGGTAGGGTCTGGAGCGCCCGCTCAAAGCCCGCAATGGCCGACTGTTTGCCTGATAGCATACGGGAAGATTGCGACGAGCTCAGGGTCCGTGCTCTCCGACCATCATCAAGATGTCGCGACGACTGTGGCTGGGGCTGTAGAAGGTCTGACCCATTGAGCCCGGGAGCAGGGCCTCTGGGCAAGGGAACGTCTGCCGCTGGGCCTTTTCCGTGCCACATCTCGCAATGCACCATGTAACCATCAATATCAATGGGACTGTAAAAGCATGCCCTCTCTGCGGCCTGGTACGAGTCGAATGTGATCTTGATCCAGTGGTTCCCACCACAATAAATCCGACTCTTCTTGATGGCCTCACGGCTGAGGTTCTGGTGGACCACCACAGAGGCTCTCGAGAGGCCAAACGGCGAGTTCGAGGAGAGGTAGAGATTGGGATCTTCTCGTGGGTAGTCTTCGCAGATTATGCCGGGGGAGACGATCTTTTCGAATTTCGACAGGACCTTCCATTCCGAGTGTTTACCTGCGTAGCCGTAGAGTAGACATTCCGTGGGCACGGCTTCTGGTTGGATCGGCCGTTCTGTCGCGGGTACTTCGCCTGGAGCGGTCGGGGGAGATGGTAACGTGGTCTTCCTCTCTTCCTCTTTCGCCTGTTCCTTTGCAAACAACCTCCCAAACTCGGCCACAGCAGTATTCTCCTTTTGTCGAACCGGTGTGGTGCCTGTCCTCGCGCGCGGTGTTCGTGACGCCGTGGATCTTATACTGCGATTGCGACCGAAAGGCCCGCTCTCTTCTGGCAGCTGTCTGGCATTTCTCGCGGAGCTGTTCGACGACGAGTTAGAGTGTGGTTCTCCGGTTGGGAAGACTCCCGACAAGAATTCAAGGTTCGCATCGAAAATAACTGACTCTGCATAGCGATAACCCCAGGGAAGGGTCTCGCCTTTTGGATCTCTTGCTCGCTCTTCAGGTAACACGGAGTGGATCTCCATCGGCAAAGTCACTCTCCAGAAGTTGTGAGTCGTTGAATAAAATGCGCGGCGGCGTCGTATTCGGGTTGTGGCAAGTTGAGGGATCAGACGAAGCTAGTTGTGAGTCAGATGGTGCAAGAAAAACTGGTGACAGCCAAAGGCAGCGCGCATATTTGTAGAGGGCAGCGTGCCTTGTACCTGAAAGCGAATAATTTATTGTTTACCCTGGGAAGCCCTTGTCTCCGCAGAATCTCGGGTTGTCGAGGGTGAAAGGCCCTGGCACGTGACACCCGACTGAGAAGTGGTGGACTTGACATCAAGTCGTCACGCAACTGAGAGAATAGACATTATTTTGAAGTCAGAGATTTCCCTCTTGAGTTATAACAACTAACGATCGTCTTGGGGTTCTTACTCGACTATATACCATGTTTGGAAGAATCTACAGCCAGTTGCGTCCATGACTCCTGTCTCCACGTGACAAGGCTGCCTCCCCTTTATACGGCGCCAACACCGTCATCCTCCCTCATGAGACAACCACCTTCTCCACGTTCTGTTTGCTCTTCTGCTTCTGTTCCTCATACTTGGCTTGTAAGTCCTTGATCTTGGTCTCGTACAGCTTGCTCGCATCTATGCCCACAGCCTTCATCCAGTCTGGGTCAATGGCCTCCGGGTTCAGATAGGGCGACACATCCTCTTTGTTGACCAAGGCTTGCACTGTACCCATGCCCAAGAACGCCCACATGTTCTTTTTGGCAGGTCCAAGGTATTCGATCTCAAAGTCCTCATACCGAGGGGTCTTGATGGCTTCGATGTAATGCAAGGATGAGCCTGGCCAGACGGCATTGACACGACCCGTCTCGTTGTTCTTGTACCTGATGAGGAGGTCAGTCGATGGTGTTCACTTAAACGATTAACAAGGGGGACAACGAACCATGACCGGCATTCTTCGACCCACACGGTATGCCGGACCCATTCCTGGCAATGTTCATTGAACGCATCCGTCACATCTTGTTTCGGTGCGATGCTGCAAATGTACTCGGACTGGAGCTTCTTGATCATCTGCAGAGCGTAGTATGAGACGTACATCAACGGGCCCATAACGCTGCCATTCTCCACGGGCCAGTTGGGACCGATGAACGTCAAGAAGTTGGGGAATTCGGGAATCGCCAGGCCAAGGTAGCCCTCGGGGCAAACCTTCCATTTATCGGCCAGGTCGACTCCGTTTTGGCCGACAATGGGGAAGCGAGGACGGTATGAGACGTCAAAGCCAGTGGCACAAACAATGGTGTCGACTTCGCGGTGGATGCCATCGCCACCAATAAGCCCTGTTTCGTCCTTTGGAACATTAGCATGCCACCAAGATGTTACGTCGAAGCTTGTCCAACACTTACAATCTTTACGACGGGCGTAAAGTGTACGTCGACATTGGGTTTCTGAATGGCTCTGCCGAAAATGTCAGATCGAGGGAATAACCAACAGTGCAAGGGGACGCCTTACTCCATATATGGGTCACCAGGAGTGATCCTGCGACAACCAATGCCAAAAGTCGGGGTAAACCCTTTCAGGAGTCTCTCATCCTTGATCATCTCGGCCATACGGGCCTTCAAAGCAGCCTGGCCCTCTGCCTGCGCTTTCGAGTTCTTGTAAAAGGAGCCCCAGAGTCCATTGACCTGGTCCTCGATGGATTTGGCATGCTCGGTGACCTTGTATGGATCGCGGAATTCTTGTTTCTGCTCGTCCGTATATTCGTGGTTTGCACCAAAGTTGTTCGCAATTTGCACGAACCAAACACCTGAACACACCAAGTCAGAACTCCATCTCCAACAAATCGAAGCATCAACCACGAAGTGATCGAGTCCACGGAACACATCCGCTAAAGGGCTGTGGAAATCGTACCAGTTCGGACGAACACGTCGAGATGTTTAACGTGGGGCTGCATCGTCGGTACTGTCTGGATGCTCGAGGCCTGTTCGAAGAGCTGGAGTTAGATATATCCCACAGTGAGAGGTGATGGCGGAAACATACTCCAGACCCAATGACAGCAACACGGTCTTTCTTCCACTGCTCGGCCTGGTAATCCTTGGGCCACCGGGCTGTATGCATAATCTTGCCTTTGAACTTGTCCATGCCTTCGATATCGGGCCATTTGAAGTTATTCAATATCCCTGTCCCATGAAGAAGCATGTGGCATCGGTCTTCAAAGAGACGCGTGCTTCCATCCGCATTCGTCTGCTTGAGTTTGACGAGCCATTCGCCCGTCTGCTGCTGCCAGTAACATCCAACGACTTCAGTGTTGAAAGTCATGTACTTCCTCAAGCCCCATACTTCGCAAACCTTGTCAAGGTATTTCCAGATATCTGGCGAGTAGGAGAAGAAACGAGGCCAATCCGGCTGCGAATCAAGAGGTGAGAATCGGCTCCACGGACGTCGCGAAGACATCTAACTCACATTGAGAGCAAAAGGATAGGTGTAAGCATGACTCGGAATATCACATGCGCAACCTATTTCCCCCCAATCAGCGAACCGAACTCTGCAACCACCATGGTATGCATGTCTCTGAACAGTGAGCGTATTCGTAGAGCCGACGTTTTGGTTTGTAATACGCCCACTTGATCTCCAAACCAAACCACCAAAGAGAGACGCCTAAACAACTCAGAGAAGCAACATACCTGGATATCTGTTTTCCAGCCAGGTGCCCCCAATATCGGAATTCTTCTCGTAGATGACATGCTCTACGTTCTGTAGAAACTTTTGAATGTGATAGGCATTCATGATCCCCGTCACACCGGCACCGATCGACAAGACACGGATCTTCCTGGTGTACGGACCATGCAACACGATATCTGTAGCAGTTTGATCAGCAAGCGACGTTCCAATCCACGAAGCACGCTGGAAGTAGAATCAGGAGGACAGGAAGGGAACAACGACTCACCAGGAATTTCATACTCCTCTCGAGGCACCCCATTACTGGCATAGCCATCAGTGGCATATTGGGTCATTGAGTTGATATCAGGGGCCATCTTGACAACCGGATGCTGGGGCTGTTTGGCAGAAAGTAGTAAGAATGGAAGGGAAGGAAGGTAGAAGCCGGCGTCTTGGTCAAATATGAAGAGTCACTTTGGTTTCAAAACAAAGGCAGAGTAGATGTCGCTTCAGGGTGACTTTGTCATGCAAGGAGTCGACGTGTTGGCAACTTATCACCGAAGGGGTCACAGCCCACGATGATGAATGCTGTGTGGGGGGGGTATGAGTTCTGCCAAAGTCTACATAGAATGCTTCAAAGTGCCTTGTCGCTCCTTTATACCATTGGAGGTGGGGATTTCCTGGACTTGGGCATCATGACCAGTATAGTGGCTCGCGTAGCCCGCGGCACCCTAATGACCCAATAAACTGTACTGAATGGGGGAGCACATCCGCCAGAGGGAGCATCTGTGACACCAGGAAGGACACTAGGTTTCTTAGGCTGCCATCAGGAGAGGCTCTGGTTTGTAAACGTCCATGTGGGGGAACGCAAAATGCGGGGACAAGGTGGTAGCAAACCCTCCTTTGTTGAGCTGTGGCGATAAGGAAGCAACATTTGGCCGAGGTACAAGAAGAGGAGTGAAATTGTCGGGTTGATAATGTCGACTCAGATATCAGATGATGTGCCCCTGATTTGCATCGACTCTCCAGTCCCAGGAGAGCAGATGGCGACCATGGCGAGCATTGTCGTCGCAACCTATACGAGCAAGTCCCCAAATGGTATCATGTAGCCGGCTGACTCCGCGATCTCTGACTCGATATGCGTCTGCATGGGAGCTTCAGTATGTGCCCTCCAGAGGCAGGTCCCTCGAACTGCGACCCACAGCTAAGGTGAAGAGACCTTCAGGCATCACCCAGTTCTGTCGGACCACGGACCAGTAACTCAAATCCTTTCGTGTCAGACTGAGGTTGACCACTTGTTCTGCTCCTGCCTCGAGCTCGATCTTGGTAAAGTTGCGCAACACTCTTATCGGTGTTTCGATGACTTCATTCGTGGATGGTTCCTTGATTGCGGAGGGAAACGACACATACAGTTGTACCACGGACTTTCCTTTGCGGCTGCCTGTGTTTGTAACGCGTACCTGGACGTTGACATACTCTTCAAAGAGAGCAGGATTGCCACCTTCGCCGCCTCCAGCGGCACTGGGATCTTGTGCGATGCCGTACCCATCAGGATACGGATACTTCCCCTTCTTCACTTCGTCTGCACTAGATATGTATGGGTAAATGAACTTTCGAATCTTCGTGAATGTGCTGGGAATGAGCGCACTATCGACAGGTGGTATGTTTTCATCATAGTCTGGTGGTGTCAGCCCTGCAGGCCGCGCAGAAGGAAGGGCTGATTTCGGTTTCAGGCTTGTGACAACCAGGTCAGAGAAATCGAATGTCGTGAAAGACAACCCGTGGCCGAATGGATAGCGAGGCTCCACGCCTGCCTTGTCGAAATGCCGGTAATCGATGAACAAACCCTCCCTGAAATCAACCTGAGGAATGATGGCGTTGGGATAATAAAGTACTGGAGCACCCGGGCCATAGTCAACAAGAGACTTGCCGACCGTGTATGGAAGCCGTCCAGAAGCATCGGTTCGGCCGAATAGGACGTCAGCGAGGGCGTTTCCACTCTCTTGCCCGGGCAGGTTCGCGAAGACAATGGCCTTGACGGACGGTAGATCGGCAAAGTCTTCAAGGATGACCGGACCAACAGAATGGACAATGACGACGACAGGACCGCCACATTCGTCGGCCACAGTGCGGATCAACGAACCCGCACCTTTTTGAATCTCCAGGTCATTTCTGTCTGCACGTTGGCTATGCCAGATACGATGTCCTTCGCCCGAGTCTGCGTTGCCAAAGACCAGGCATAGATGTTGTTCCCTGAGCGCCTTCTTCAAGCTGGAAGACACTTTATTGGTAAGTGAGCTGGTCATTTCGACCACCGACAGGTCGAAGCTCGAATTCAACGCTGAGAGCGGATCCACAAGATAAGTAAAATCGGTGGCACCAGAGCCCCAACCCACAGCGAGAGTGCCTTGATTGCAAGCTCGATCATCGCAGTAGTTGGGTCCCTTTCCAGGGCCTGCGTCCTCCCCAATAACGGCGACGCGCTTGGAGCTACTGGGACCAAGCTCGGAAAGTGTGGGACTCAGCGGCAAGATCGAATCTTCGTTCTTCAGCAGCACGGTGCCCTCACTTGCAACTTCTCGAGCTACTTGTCGGCTCTCGTCGTTCTCTGTCTCGACATACTTATTGACAAGCACTTTGTCCTGTTTGCTGCTGCTGCCAGCATGCGGATAGCCGTATTCGTCGTGCGTCCACGAGGAGAAATTGGGCCCCTCGGAGTCCCAGGAATCCTGTCCCAGCTGATACCACGCAGCAACGATTCGGGTGACCATGTCGTTGAGCCTAGTTAGGGGAAGAGAGCCATTGAGTACCGCAATCGTGAGCTGCTCACCGAAGAGTGATCTTCCATCCTGCCAATACAGCCCATCCCCGGGCATGGACATATCAAGGCCTGCCAGAGCACTAGCAACACCACTGCGTTGAGCCAACCAGTCTGACTGAACAAAGCCTTGGAATCCGAGTTCATCCTTCAAAAGACCATTCATCAACTTGCTGTTCGCACAAGCATAAGAATTGTTGACCATCTGGTAGGAACACATGATGCTTGCCACTCCAGCTCTTACGCTCTCGGCAAATGGCCATGCGTAGACTTCATGCAGAGTGCGATCATCAATGTTGGAAGAAAGAGCCTCAGGAAGACCCCACTCCAGTCCTCGACGGAAATGCTCTTGTTCATTGCCGATATAGTGTTTTGCAGTTGCCATGATTCCCTGGGACTGAATGCCTTGAATGGTCTCGTATGCAGCTATCCCTTGCAATACTGGATCGCTGCCAAACCCTTCCCACGTTCTGCCACCTGCTGGGTTTCGACCCAAGGGTCCCATTGCTGGCCCAAGAAGGACGTTGACACCTTTGAGTCTTGCTTGACGTGCATGGGCAGCACCACGACGATGCATCAAATCACGGTTCCAGGTGGCACCCACCGTGATGCCAGCAGGAAAAGAAGTTGCATGGTCTGCAAATCGTATACCCAATGGTCCATCCTGGAGACAAAGGCCGGGGAACCCAACACTCGGTGCAGGAGCGGTATTGCCCACACATAATCCCATTGACCATCCTGTACCGGTGGTAATGTTGACCTTCTCTACGAGGCTCATACGCTCAACCAACTTTTGAGCCTTGTCGTAGCTGACTTGCCATGATGCCAAGGTCCCGCCTGGCGGTGTCGGGTACCATGGCGGAGACTGCCCATTGATCTGACCCTTGGTATACACCCAGTAGCCACCGCCACCAATTACCGAGACAACGACAGCTAAGAGGAGGACCGAGAAGGCAATGTATTGCTTGGTGAGTTTGGGGCCGACGCAGAAGCGGCTGGCCACGGTGTCGGAATATTCTCGCCGTCTGGGGAACCTGTCGTGGGCGGAGGAGCCTAATAAGGCGACCTCGCTTGAGGAAGCGGCATCGCTTGCTGGCCGACCGGAGCGGAGGGTGAAGGTCTGGGGTGTCTTCAGGTCATCATCGGACTGGTTGCCTCCATCAAGCTCAACTTCAGTGGCATTTTCAAGAGGCTGGTAACGGGCCTGTCTAGAGGACATCTTTTGCATTATTTCTTCTCAAACTGTTGCGAGCATTAGAAAGGCTGACCGCGAGCCAATCAACCGCGGACAGGATAGAATCGGAACCTACCTACCTCGTACAGCTAGCAAGAATCCAGGGGCATCCAAGCGGGGCGGCTTGGAGGCAACCTTGATGGGGGAGCCACTTGCGATGGGCCGGCAATGGCCGAGGCAGTCGGAGCTCGATCGGGGGTGCGGCACAGCAACGATGCTGGGAATGGCGGGTTCAATAGGTCAGTTGCAGTCTAGACGAGACGGAGAATGGAAAAGAGGGTGATGTAAAGTAGATGGCCAGAGGTAGATAGCTTGCAGTACTAGTGAGTGAGGGACGTTGCAGAAATCTAAGAAAAAGTGGTTGAGAGAATGTCTGAGCTCTGACTTTTATTTTATTCCTCTACTTTCCCCCCCCATCGACCCTGCCCTTGTTTTCCCACTCTCTTCACTTTCTTTGGTTCTCTCTCAAGTCGGTGAGTAAATCGACCAAAGCCTGACCAGCACAGCCCTGTCGTGGGCTCGGGGAACACAGACACCTGTCACTTGTCACTGCCTGCATCGAGCACTGAGTGTTTGTTGGCTCGTTACCTCATCACCGACCTCACGCCTTCATCAGCCTCGATCTGACCCTGCTTGATCGCCCTTTACCCAGCCATGCTGGTGTCCTCTGCATTCAAAAGAGCTCCAGTGCGAAGGTTGGCTGCTGGTGCTTTGGCTGCTCGACCGCAAGCATCCTCGTCGGCAATCCGTACACCGCAGAGCTTGAGACTCCCTCGTGCTACGCTTAGCCTGACCTCCTCCTTCTCAACTTCTGCGAAGATGGCTTCCTCGGCGCCCTCCAAAGCCCCTACTCAAGCCTACGACCCTGAAATCACCGACATCGCCTCTTACGTGCACAACTACAAAATCGATTCGGACCTCGCACTCGATACCTCCCGCTATATTCTCCTCGACACGATCGGCTGTGGTTTGGAGGCTTTGCGTTTCCCTCAATGCTCGGCTATCCTCGGCCCTGTCGTCCCAGGATCCACCATTCCTCATGGAACTCGAGTCCCAGGAACGCCGTTTGAGTTGGATCCAGTGAATGGTGCTTTCAATATTGGTGCTATGATCAGATGGCTGGATTACAATGACTGCTGGCTGGCTGCAGAATGGGGCCATCCCTCTGACAATCTTGGTGCTATTCTTGCAGTTGCGGACTGGATCGCTCGGACGAACAGAGCTGGCGGTAAGGTCGGCAATGGCAAGATCCCCACCGTCAGAGATGTCTTGGAGGGCATGATCAAGGCCCATGAAATTCAAGGCTGCTTGGCGCTGGAGAACTCGTTCAACCGAGTCGGTTTGGACCATGTTGTCCTTGTGAAAGTGGCCTCAGCTGCGGTGGTCAGTAAAATGCTGGGTCTCGACGAGGGCCAGACTGCTGCTGTTGTCTCTCAGGCATTTGTCGACGGACAGAGCCTGCGAACCTACCGACACTCACCCAACACCATGTCCCGCAAGTCCTGGGCCGCCGGAGACGCGTGCCAGCGAGCTGTAAACCTCGCTTTCAAGGTCTTGCAAGGCCAATCCGGCATCCCCACGGTGCTCTCGGCTCCCGTCTGGGGTTTCTACGACGTTCTCTTCAACGGGAAGAAGTTTGAGTTCCAGCGTCCTTATGGCTCCTACGTCATGGAGAACGTTTTGTTCAAGGTGTCGTACCCAGCCGAATTCCACTCGCAGACCGCGGTCGAGGCTGCACAAAAGATTTACAAGATCCTTGCCGATATGGGCAAGTCTGCTAAGGACATCAAAGAAATCACCAACCGGACTCACGAAGCCTGCATCCGAATCATTGACAAACAATTCAAACCCATGGACAACTTCGCTGATCGTGACCACTGCGTTCAATACATGGTTGCCACCATGTTGTGCTTCAACCGATTGGAAGCCACCGACTATGTTGACGGCAGCGAGGCCGCCACATCCCCTCTGGTAGAGGACCTCCGAAAGAGGATCAAGTGTGTTGAGGATCCCCAATTCACCAAGGACTACCACGACCCTGCCTTGAGAACAATTTCCAATGCTCTGACCGTGACCCTGAACGACGGAACTGTGCTGGATGAAGTCGTGGTGGAGGCACCACTTGGCCACCGCCTGCGGAGAGACGAGGCCAAGCCCGAGATTCTGGCCAAGTACAAGAGACATTTGAGCCATCACTTCCCAGAGGCTAAGATCAAGGAGCTTTTGGAGCTGGGCACTGATGCCTCGAAGTTGGACTCGATGGACGTCGACAAGTACATGGATCTATATGTCAAGGAGAAGATGGAGTGGTAAATTACGGACACGACTTGCTAGGCGATCTGCACATTACAAAAAAAAGGGAGTGGAAGTCTTGGAATATTGCTGTCCAACAATCTGTTATTCTGTGGATTGCCGAGAATAGTGTATAGGTTGTTTTCCAATATATTCAAATGTTTTAAAACGCAAGCTTTTGGAGGCAGTCAAACGGCGGCGTTATAGTCCAGTTTTGGCTTGATGAACTCCCCGAATTCTCAGTTGTTGTCCCTCAGATGCAGCTCTTTGTAACTGCAACAAGCATATTGTGCACAATCCATCCATACCTGAGCGTTCTGAATGTGAGATGCATCATCGGTGTTTGGTCCAAGCCCTTTACCACCAGCATCATTCTTAAAGCGGCGGGTTGCCGATAAGCTGATAGACTTGCACGTGACTGCACCACAGACCCTCTGGTTGCCCATCGAAACAAGTCGCCGCTTGTTGATCTCTCCAAATCCGTCGTTAATATATCCCTTGTCCTATCCCCAGCTTGTCGTAGAGCGGTCTTGTTTGCCTGCGGTGCGCAACTGACCCAAGCCATCATCCTTCCTGTCTCGCCCATACTGATCAGTCGCTTGAGGACTCAGTGGACGGAATCAATTGCTTGACGACGCTGCTCTTGCGTTGATAGTGTCAAGAACCGCCACGGTCTTCACCGCCCGCCTCACCTTCCCACCATTACCACCGCTGTCAACACCAAAACACTCTTTCATTTGACTCGAAAATGGCTGGCGGCACCACACCTCTGTCTCCCAAATCACAACAAGACCTCAACATGGTCATGCCAATGCCTCCTCCTCTGCTGCATACTCGTTCTGGCAACGAGATGTACGATCGTCCTCAGACCCCGTCAACCCCCGGAGGTGGTGTTGTCCATGGCTTCACCAGCCCGGCACAAACTCCTCAAGGGAGTCCAAGTAAGAGACAATTGCCTCCTGGAGCCAACGATCTTCCCAATGTGTTCGAAAATGCCATGAAGTTGGCTCCCACGTCGCCTACCAAGACGCAGCCAAAGTCTCCAGCCAAACATGGTTTCTCAGGTGGTGATGAGAGTGCGAGTGAAGATCCCTTCGCAGACCCGCCAGCTCAGTTTTATGGCCGTTCAGAGAGTCCCACGCGCCAATCCAACAAAGAGAATGCGCCCACTAGTGGCCTGGGATATGGTAAAGTCGTCCAACAAAATCACGCTGCCCTCTCACGTCAAGAGCAATACCGCACAGCCGATTCCAAGAAGACCATGAACACAACCAAAGGTCTTACCTCCGAGGAGCTGCAAAAGTTGCAACTGCCAAAGGTCAAACGACTGGCAAATGTGACCCAGTTGTGTATGTATCCCCACGGTCCACAATACAGGTCGGGTACTAATTGTCTTGCAGACTTCCTTGACTACTATTTTGACCTGCTCTCGTACGTCCACAATCGTCAGTCCCGAGAAGCTGCCTTCAAGGCCTCGTTCCCTGCTCCACCCGAGACACCCAGAGAAGAGTTCGATGCTGCGCTCCACAAGTACCTCGGGCGTGAGCGAGCCAATCTGCGCAAACGCCGCACTCGCCTCCGCCACGGTGACTTCCAAATCCTCACACAAGTGGGCCAAGGTGGCTATGGCCAGGTCTACCTCGCCCAAAAGAAAGACACTCGAGAGGTCTGCGCCTTGAAGGTCATGAGAAAGAAACTGCTCTTCAAACTGGATGAAGTGCGTCACATCTTGACTGAGCGGGACATCCTGACGGCCGCAAAATCCGAGTGGCTTGTCAAGTTGCTCTACTCTTTCCAAGACGAAGAACAAATCTACCTGGCAATGGAGTACGTTCCTGGAGGTGACTTCCGAACCCTTCTCAACAACACCGGCGTTCTTCACAATCGTCATGCAAGATTTTACATCGCTGAAATGTTCTCCTGCGTTGACGCCTTGCACACATTGGGCTACATTCATCGCGACTTGAAACCAGAGAATTTCTTGATCGATGCCACTGGACACGTCAAACTCACCGACTTCGGTCTGGCTGCTGGCATGCTGAGCCCTATCAAGATTGAAAGCATGCGCATCAAACTCGAAGAAGTAGGAAACGCCCCTGTTCCCTTTGGCATGCCTGCCGTTGAGGACCGCTCCGCCGATCAACGTCGCGAGGGTTATCGTTCCCTGCGTAAGAAAGACATCAACTACGCCAAATCCATCGTTGGCTCGCCCGACTACATGGCGCCAGAAGTTCTCAAGGGTGAAACCTATGATTTCACTGTGGACTACTGGTCTTTGGGTTGCATGCTCTTTGAAGCACTAGCAGGATACCCTCCGTTCGCAGGTGCCACTGTCGACGAAACTTGGCAGAATCTCAAGCGCTGGCAACGTGTGCTCCGGAAACCCATCTACGACGACCCCACCTACTTCCTCTCCAAGCGAACCTGGGATCTGATCACTCGCCTTGTTGCTGCCAAGGATCACCGATTCAAGTCCATTTCCGAAATTCACAAGCATGAGTACTTTGCCGAGGTGGACTTCTCAAAGTTGAGAGAGCAGAAAGCGCCGTTTGTGCCGGAGCTAGATTCGGAGACGGACGCGGGTTACTTTGACGATTTCTCTAATGAAGCAGATATGGCCAAGTACAAGGAGGTGCATGATAAGCAGAGAGCTCTGGAAGAGATGGCGGAACGGGACGAAAAGATGAACAAGGCTCTTTTCGTGGGATTCACCTTCAGGTATGCAACTTTCTCTCTTTTCATTCTCACCCATGCACTTTTCGACCGATTGCGGGTGTGGAAGTCCACTAACTCACGATGTGATGATGCAGACATCGGAAACCAGATGCCGAAGGAAGCCCGCGGAAGAAGATTGAGACCGAAGGTACGTTTGGGACAATTTTCTGAGAAGATGAACGGAAGTCCTGGAGAGAGTCAATGGCATGGCACCTACACCTAGGCGCTCTTTGCGAGGGCATCTGATCTCTTCTCGACTTTACGCATTGTCGATCTGTTCATGGTACGATATGAGGCATGGAAGCAAGATGAAATACGAGGATTTTGTATGAGTGTTAACACAGCGCCGAGCACCGGATGTCGAAAGGGTAATGGAGGGTACGGTACGGCTGGAGCGATAAGAGGTTTCCCCTGGGTTTGCTGGGTTGGAATGGCATACAAGGCTATGGCAATATTGGGGGCAGGCGTTGGCGTCAGGATTGCTTCGCGACTCTCGTGGATCTCACCAGGTCTGTAATAAGGGAGTAGGAAAAATCATAATCCAGGTTTGAACAAGATTGGACATCCCGGGGATGGTCGGCCATGCTTCAACGAGTGTGAGATGTGCCGGTGCTGGATTTTTCTTCTTTACACGCTCAGCTGGAGCAGCTTGTCCCGTGTCAACAACAACCTGGGAACCATGCTGGAATAGACAAAAGCTTTGCCCGGCTGGCACGAAACTGGCCTCGATCTGTCGGGCGATATTCCAATCTCCCGACGAATCCTGCCAACTCATTTTTCGGTGACCTCTGAATCGTCCACAAGGAAGATGCCCGAAGAGCTCCTCTGATCAGCATCCGCGCGATCCTCGATTCTGCCCGAGATCTCCTCAAACAATGCCTGGTATCCTTCGCTGTCGTAAGTGGTGAACGACTTTGGCATTTCCAGCCTTCGGAGTCGAGGCAGCGCGGCCAACCTGCTGAGGGACCCAAAATCCGTCGGTGCATTCAATTCACCTTGGCTGTCAGGGTACCAGCTGTCAGAGTGCCATCTAGGCCGTGGCATGATTCTCAGAATCTCCAAGGGAGAATGTCTAATGGCCACTTCCTCTGTCTCTGCTGGAGATTCGCGAAGTGTATTCCATGCCACATCGATAGGCACAATCAATTCTTGAAGACCTGGAAAGACCTGCAGGATATCGAATAAGTTAGAGTTCCCTTCAGGTGCTCCGCTCGACTGGGTCAATTCGAGACGTTGAACATAGTCAGCTTGTTTGCGACAGTACAAGAAGACATCAGGTGCAAAGAAACCTGGAAAATCCGGACAAGTCAGAGTTTTCAGAGTCCGGGGCCAACTTTGGATCAGCAGATCCCACTCCGCGGAACGAGTACACATCACGTCGCTAGCATAGAGACGCGTCAAATTCCTTGGCCATCTCAAGTTCTGGATTGAATGAAGGTTCCGGTAGATTCGGAACCCTTTTGGCAGACTCAGAGAAGTCAGGTGTTCAAGTTCAGCGATGGCATGCAGAAGATCAATCACTTCTATCGAGTAAGAATCGGCCGACAGATCTAGTTGCCGCAGCTGTACACATTTTGACAATGGTGCTAATGAGGCGATCCTACCGGCAATGTCAGAGTTTTTGGGGCATGGTGAAAGGCATGACACCGACTCACGAGAATGTGACTGCTGGGGAAGCGAAACCCTCCAACGACAATTTGGTTCGGAAGATGAGACGGGCCGTAAGACTGTTGGAACTATCGTATGCTAGTCGACTCATATCCAGATACCTGATCATGTTTTCAAGACCGACACGCGATCTTCGCGACCGTCGCGCAGCACATATTGTTCGAACGAAAAGGTCGAAGTTGCGGCTAGAAAGCAGAGGCCGAGAGTAAAGCTGATGTACAGAAGCAGCATACCATGTTTTGGATACCAAACAGCAAGCCCAAAGTAGCCTTTGGGCATCATCGCCACGACCAGAGGCGACATGCGAAGTTATAAGGCGGATGAGCTCAAGTGGAAGATGGACTTGAGCGCCCCGATATGCTGGGTCACCTATCTTCATGACTGGTATCGTTCTAGGAGGCTTCGAGGAGTGACATGGTCGCCCACTGGTCTTCCTATGCCCCAGACAGCACCCTCTTGAGGAGTTGGGGGTAGTTTAGGGAGTGGTTGATGTCGTTCACAGGGTTGCAGGAAGTGGCAATGAAAATACTTCGTTGTCGTCCGAACGTAATACATGGGTCATATAGATGCAACCCCACTAGCCTTCGCCGATGTTTTTCCGATTTGATGACCATCCCTTGTGTTTTGTGTCCTTCCACCTGCCACCCTGCTCTTCCTTGATTATCTCTGCAGTGTTTCATCTCTTCGACGGAGGCTACATGGAGGAACCGGCGTCGTGAAGAGGAAGGATACTTGTCGCTGATTCCGCCTGTATCCTGAATACGAGGTTAGCCTGGGCCCTGGAGTGTGTCCAACAGACGACTGCAGAGCAACTGCCTGTCTTGGGAGGAGCATGTCTGTCCTGACGAGTTGCTCGTCGTGAGTACCTGGGGCCTTCAGGCAGTTTGTTTCCTTGGACATGTGACGGTATGCTCGACGAAACGAGAAGAGACAAAGATGGATTGTGGAATGAGAAGTGAGGCAGGATTGCCAGACAATGACAAACGGCTGCGTTTGTGTACAGCTTTGCCCTCTTCGGTCTCTCCTTCCTGGTGGCTCCAGCACCATCATGTCGAATTTCAAAGCGCCATTTTCAACCGAAGCTGTGCTGCTTTGTTGAGTCTGACCTGAGTTTGAGCCACTTCAGAAAGCGTGTTTGCTCTTCTTTCATATTCAGTCTTCAATATCTTCGGCCACGCCCTCTCCTCCTAGGCTCTCTCATCCTCATGTCCTTACAGCACCACTGTATCAATCCTGTTCTCCTTCCATCTGCGCTGTGCTCACTACAAAGAACGACACTTACCCTCCAGCGCTTTATCTTCTCCTGAGCCTGTTCAGATTCCGGTTTTGCCAGGTCAAGGCCATCCTCTCGCATTCTCCTTTCTCGCCTCTGGTGAGTTTCTCATCTGCTACAGAACCTACCTAAGCCTACATCATCTTGCTTCCCTAGAAGCCTACGTCCGCAGACGCAGGACTTGTAAGCTGGTTGATTCCACAAGGGCCAAATCACGATTTCTGCAGCTTTTGGATCCAGGTCAAACACCATGATACCCTTCCTCAACTACTGCCATACTCACAAGATCTAGACCACCTCCTGTGCCGGACACAACCACGACATGTTAGGTGCCCGAGCCAGAGCTGCAGAGTATCATGCTTTCAAAGCCGCTTCTGCAAGACAAGCGAGTCGTGAAGCAGAAGAGCACAAGTTGCCTCCGAAGCCTGCCCCCGTTTCTTTGAGCGCCTTCACCAAAAATCCCCAGCTGAACCGCAACAAGGGTCCAAAAGCATGGAAGCCGCTGATCTTGGAAGATCCCCTTGAAGACTACATTGACAATTTCGAGGATGATCAAGAGGCGATTTCGACCCCAACCCATCAGAAAGTAGTCAACCGCAGTAGCTCCATGAGCCATGGTTCCGACAGTGCTCCCGTGCCGAGTAACCCCCTGCCGACATGGTTCGAAGACAAGAACCAGAACTCGACAATCCCCACGGCACCCAAGGCAATGCTGGGAACATTCTTGCAGACGCCGTCGCCGCTTGTCAACCCGACTCCTCGACGCATCCAGCCACATGCCATCGTTCAGCACGCGCAGCAAAGCAGCCATCCCAGTGTAAATAGCTCCCCGAGTAATGCCTCTGGAATTTGTGGGTTCCCATACCCTGGTTTGACATGGTGGTTTGACTCACATGGTATGCCCGTGTTAGGTCCAGCCGCGATGCCCACCTTCCATCCCGGTCAATATCAGGGCAATTTGATGGTGCCAGACGATATCAGTCCCTCAAAGCAGGAGAACAAACTCGCGTCACTGTCTTACGAACACATGGATCCATCTGCGAGTTTGGTCACTCCACATCATCACCTCCTACCCTTGACAGGAATTATCGGAAGCTCGATAATGCCGCCAATGTCATTTGTTCCCTATGAAGATGAAGCTGATCCTGGCAATCATTGTCAAACCTGGGCCCTTCCATCGGGATCAGTCGAACATCCGGTGATGCAACATGTGAATTCAGACGGCGCTGTCCATATTGATGGAAACATCTCAGAAGCCTCTTCCTTGTCGATGCCGAATGCTATCAGACGTTTCTCATACCCCAATACTATCAACGAGCCGCCATCGACACAGGGATCGGTAACAGACCAGGCAACGCGTCGGCTTCTTCAGCAGGCAATCCACCCAGTCCTTGTCCTACCCGATGACGAACCATACAACCGCAAGAACAAGATGCAGAGTTTTGTCGCAGCACAACAGGCATTGGCAAAGACGGGGAAAACAGTCCTTCACAATCCTGATCTACATCGACTTAAGGCGAGCGAGTCTACTTCGCCAGCGCGCTCCACCAGCGACACCACAACAGCAGAAGGGACTTACCACTTCCAAACGTATAGCCCAGGATCCGTTATCGTTCGGAAAGCTCCTCCTGGGTTTGACCCCCGGTGGACCTCTCAAACCATTGCACAAAGCACCACCAAAGCCGCCTCTCCCTTTGGTGGCTCGACCCTGCGAGAGATCTTTGAGGTCGGAAAGGAAGAGTGGTTCGAACTCAAACCAGTCAGCAAGAGCCAGCGCATGAAGATGAGTCGAGTCATGAAGATATGTGCCAGAGCACAGAGTCCCGATGCACCCCAAGGCTTTCTACATGTATCGCAGACGGAGAGGAAGGAGAATCTTCAAAATTGGATACGAATCGCCACCAGAGATAACAAGCCACTTACGGGTGCTCAGAAGTTGTTTGAGCAGGTTGCCCAAGAATGTCATGCTAGCCATGTGTCCATCGACCGAGGTGGCAGAAAAGGAGCCTTCAGCGACAAAATGTCCGATGTGGAGATCGAGAGGGCCGCAATTCGCTCAGTTGGAGACATCATCGCCAACTTGATGGAGTCTGCAGAATCATCGGAGCTGGGAGTGGACTCTAACGCCGTGGTGTGCAAGTACAAGCCAGCACCAGAGTATGCAATTGAGAGAGGCCGGCTTCTGATGGGCAACATTGGGAGCACAAGCTTCTTTGAAGAGAACACGGGTGGGTTCTATAGCGCCCCCAGCAGGATTGCCCGCGACCCTAGGTTTCGACCAGCCGGAAAAGAAGCTATCAAGGCGAAGTCAGAGGAGGAATGGAAACTCCGACACGACATGTACGGGAGAAGAAGGATGTAGACACTGAAGAGGAGGTTTTTTGAGGTTGTGGACAAAGTGGTCAAACTGGCTGAATATCGGATAGGGGATGAGATGGATTCAACAGAATTGAAGTCTGACACATGTACTCGGAATCCATAGAATAGAGCTCCTCGAGCTGAGAGAGAAATAGGCAAGCCATGGCAAGAAGTATTCGGGATGGCGAGATGAGCTGGGGGCGCAATAATTACATAATCCATCCGTGTCCGTCCACACGGAGCCAAGTCTATGACAAGCGCATCTGTGATGCCTGCATCGGATCTAGGAAAAGCCCAGGCAAGCCAGGCAAATGTGCTCGCGTCAACCATTGCCCACGTTTCCCTCACCAGACCTTCCGTCTCGCCGTCTGGGTTACCATCCCGTCGGTTCCTCTTCTCCTATAACTTCCTGCCCTTTTGCTGGCAATATCTCCCTCTAGAGTGTACGCCAGTAATGGCGGCAAGTTTCCTGCGGCCGCAGTTGATGCGCTCGTCCAAAGCTGCCTTCGAGTGCGCATTTTGTGCCCATCGCCGCTCCACCCAATTCGCCAGACTACGATGTCCTCGCTCATTACGTCCGCCTCTGTCGAGATTGTACGCAACCGTGTCCCCCGGTGATCCAAAGCCACCTCCAGAAGATCCAGAAAAGCAGAAGAAGAAGCAGCCCGAGAATGCTGAAAAGGCCGAGAAGCCGGCAAATGGGTCTGGAAAAGAGGATGCAAATGTCGATGCTGCGTCAAAGGAGGCCAGCACACAAGAGTTTTCTCCCCTCACGCCCGAAGAGATCAAACAGATTGACGATGTCGCCCAAGTGATCAAGACGGGTCTCCCCAAGGCACAAGCTGACGCTGTGGACGAAGCTGCCGAGCTCATGAAAAAAGGCGGAATTCCTAAAGAGCTTCGTGAAGTCCTGGAAGCGCGGCGAAAGGACCCCAGCAAGCGGATTGACCTTGGGACCACGGTGCGTCTTGTGGGACTCTTTACCAAGATGTCACGCATGACCCCAGAAGAGGTTCGACAAAAGTACGGCAAGAACGAGACATCGGATGAAACACCTCTATTCGAGCAGTCTAACAAGAGCGAGGAGCATAACAAACAACGCAAAGAAAAGCAAAAGCAGCAGCAGCAACAGGGCGGACCTCGAGTGTACGAGTTCAAACTGGACGCCAGCACAATGATAATGACTGCCTTTATTACCTACTACTTGTATCGTAGCCTGTACCCGGGCGAGACAAGTCGAGAAATCACATGGCAGGAATTCAGGACGACATTCTTCGACAAAGGCCTCGTTAACAAGCTCACCGTCATTAACCGAAACCGGGTCCGAGTCGAATTGCATCGTTCCGCTGTGGCCCAGAGATACCCAGAATCACCCGCATCTCAACCGAACTTCTACTACTACTTTTCGATCGGTTCGGTGGAGGCCTTTGAGAGACATCTGGACGAGGCACAACAAGAATTGGGCATCCCTACGAATGAGAGAATCCCTGTGGCCTATTCCGACGAAGTCCCGCTGAGCGCCGCCATCTTCTCCTTCGGCCCGACACTTCTATTCGTGGGCGCTCTGTTCTGGCTGTCGCGAAGGGCTGCATCTGGTGCAGGTGGCCAGAGTGGAATCTTTGGCATTGGCAAGTCAAGGGCCAAACGATTCAACCATGAGACTGATATTAAAACCAAATTCACCGACGTTGCTGGCATGGACGAGGCCAAGTTGGAAATCATGGAATTCGTCTCCTTTTTGAAAGATCCTTCGAAATACCAGAGATTGGGTGCAAAGATTCCTCGAGGGGCCATTTTGTCTGGCCCTCCTGGTACTGGTAAGACGCTGTTGGCTAAGGCGACTGCTGGTGAATCCGGGGTACCGTTCTTCTCGGTCTCAGGCTCCGAATTCGTCGAAATGTTTGTTGGTGTCGGCCCATCTCGAGTGCGGGACCTGTTTGCCAACGCCCGAAAGAGTGCGCCGTGCATCATCTTCATTGACGAAATCGACGCCATCGGCAAATCAAGAGCGAAGCAGAACTTTGGTGGTGGCAACGATGAGCGGGAGTCGACCCTCAATCAGATTTTGACCGAGATGGACGGCTTCAACACTTCCGAACAAGTTGTCGTTCTTGCTGGTACGAATCGACCCGATGTTCTCGACAAGGCTTTGATGCGTCCGGGTCGTTTTGATCGACACATTGTCATCGACAGACCAACCATGGACGGTCGCAGGCAAATATTCAAGGTCCATCTCCGGAAGATCGTGACGCACGTTGACATGGAATACCTCACCGGTCGTCTGGCGGCTTTGACACCGGGATTCTCAGGCGCCGATATTGCCAACTGTGTCAATGAGGCGGCCCTCATCGCTGCTCGCTCGAATGCTGCGTCGGTCGAAATGCTTCATTTCGAACAGGCCATCGAACGTGTCGTTGGCGGTCTCGAGAAGAAGTCGTTGGTTTTGACGCCAGAAGAGAAGAAAACCGTCGCGTACCACGAGGCTGGCCATGCCATTTGCGGCTGGTACTTCAAGTATGCTGATCCCCTTCTCAAAGTGTCCATCATTCCTCGAGGCCAAGGGGCTCTAGGATACGCCCAATACCTGCCGGCTGGAGGTGGAGATGTCTATCTTCTGAACGTCAAGCAATTGATGGATCGCATGGCCATGACCTTGGGCGGTCGCGTCAGCGAGGAAATCTGGTTTGACACGGTCACCAGTGGCGCATCCGACGATTTCAACAAGGTCACACGGATGGCGACGGCCATGGTCACGGAATGGGGCATGTCTCCTAAGATCGGATACTTGCACTATCGCGACGATGAGCAACGACTCCACAAACCATTCTCGGAAGAAACGGCGCGGAATATTGATACTGAAGTCCGGCGGATTGTGGATGAGGCATACAGGCAATGCAAAGATCTCCTGCTTGAGAAGAAGGATCAGTTGCAGGCTGTGGCAGAGGAGCTGTTGAAGAAAGAAATGCTTGTGCGGGATGACTTGGTGCGGATACTGGGACCCAGACCGTTTGAGGATCCGGGCGACTTTTCGAAATACTTCAACAATGAGCACGGACAGAAGAGCGCACCGTAAGTCATGGCCTTCCATTCATTGTTGGACATGTTGTCTACCACCGGTGTCTACTGGAGATGATACTGATTTGCTTCGTGTTTTTATCAGCCCACCACCTCCTACGGAGCAAGCAGGTCCTTCAGGGGACATTCCAGAACAACCAGCACCCGCATTCAAGTCCCTCTCCAGATGACCGACATCTCCCTGAGGATGCCAGTCCAGTCTTTCCCTTTGTTGATGGTGGAAGACTGCGAACAACGTCACGATTCGACGAGGCTTCTATAGAGGTTTCTCGAGCGTCGTTCGTCTCTCCCTCCACCGGTCAAGCCAGCATCGAGGACAAGCACGAGAATCTCCCATGACGCCAATCTCCACTATGGATCCCAATCCTTACATCACAGCATCTTCAGCCATGAGTAGCCCCTAGTCATTTCGGCCACGGCCCAGCTGGCTCACCAGCGCCTGTCGCCATACTTAGATATGCATATTAGAGGGGAAGGGATGAAGACGTGATTGTGATTCTATCCCATGTACATATAGGTTAAAAAAAGGGTGGGGGGTTTGGGAGGCTCTTTTTGTTGTTGATCGCAGCTGGCCAGGTCCTCTCTCCCTCTCCACAGACAGACCGACAGCTCTTTCTGCTCACGATAGAGCGGTAGAGCGGTAGAGCGATACCCAAAATCCCCACACGTACTCCTCTTTGTTCTTCCCATCTGGGGCGATCCCTTTTCCTTTTCCCTGGCTTTTGTATTGGCTTTGATACCTCGTGCGTAGGATGCAGTACGACATAGTAGATCCAGTAGTGTCTCTCTCTCCGTCTGCGAAACTGTGGGTGTGAGTGTAAGTGTGAGTTGTGGAAAAGAACAAGAAAAGAAACAGAAACAGAACGAGCTCTTTTCTTAAACAAGAAGGACAACAAGATCGATTCATTGAGAACATGCTGAATTTAACTCTTCTTTTTTTTCTTCATCTGTGTATCTTCATCCATCTCCCTTGTCCTCCCTCTCCAAGGAGTTTCTGCTGCCGTCAGGTGCTCATTCCTATCTATTTATTCCTCGCCAAAACCCGCTTCGCCCAAATCCACGCGTCCGACGCTCCAAACCTCGCGCTCGTCTTCCTCTTCATCCGAACTTAGGCCTAGCCCGCCCTTGACGCCGCCTTCGGCCTCCCTCCTCTCGCGCGCCTGGCTTCCCAGCCGGAGGGCCACGCGTTTGAAGTAATCTCCCATGGCCCTGGTGGGGCCCACTCCCAGGGCCTTGCCGCCGTCGTCCGAGGCCATGTACTGGTCGAAGATGGCGGCTTCCTCGTCCGCCACGTTGAAGAGTTCCAGGAATGCGGCTTCGGCGGCCAACTTGACCGGAATGACCATGTCTCTGACCGACGCAAACACCGGGGGAACCAGGATCGCCAGCAGTTTGTGGTCCTCGCGCAGGCTGTTGCCGTGGTGCCGGAAGACCGTGCGGATGACCACCAGTGCAAGACGGCGCGAGTCGATGTCACCTCCTGGTGGGATTATCGAGGCGAGTGCTTCCAACAAGGGTCTGCACGTTTCTTCGATCTGGGCGTCGGATGATATTTCGTGCACTGAGAGGAGATATTTTCCCACGGCGAGAACGGCGTTTTGCTGCACAAACGTGCCACTCTTCCCAGCGAGCCCGTTGACAAGGACGTTCCTTGTATCTTCTGCATAAACCGGATTTCCAGTCAAAGCCGCTGCACTTTCCAGGAGAACGGCATTCAGCGCAAGGATCGATGCATTCGTCGATGGTTGCACAAGAACCCGAGTCTTGATCAGAGTCGCTGCCTTCTCCGCCGGAAGGACTTTGATCATGGCGCCCAGGAGACGAGCATTGGTCATCATCATATTATCGTCCTGGATGTCATGTTGGCTGTCCATCAGTCCCAGGATGGATTCACGAGACCCATCCGACATGTTCGATCCGACCTTGCTGACGACCTCCTGTAGTGCTTTTAACATGGCATTGCGAACTCCAGCGTCCGGGGTCTTTGCACCAGTGACGAGTTCGGCGATCAAGGGGTCGACGCGTGGTGTCAACGTGATCAGCGTACTGAGTGCCTTTGTTGCTCGTGTCCGCAGAACGTCGCTGGTTGGGTCGGCAATCGATTTTGTGAATGTTCTCTGCAACTGAGGCAGGAATGGACGCAGGAAAGTAGGGATTTTCTCGAGAAGCAGGATGAGAGTCGATAGAATGGCGCATTTGACATCCATTGATCTCTCCCCAACAACACGGATGAGTGGACCTGTGATTTGCGTAACAAAAGGTTTCAATCCGTCAGGGTTGGACCGTTCAATGATGTCCGATATGCCCATGGCAGCCTGGACCCGTTGCTCGGTTGTACCATTCATCAATCCTTGCAAGAAGATTTGGAGGACAGGAAGGATACCCTTGGGCAGCGCGAAACCAGGTAGAACAGATCCTGCGGTGCCAGCCTGCTGGAGGACTTGACGAGTGGAGGTGACCAATGCCTCCATCTCTTCCTTGCGCAAATGAGATTGCAGCTGATTCAGCGCCGACCAAGCGGCTTTGACGACTTCTTGGTCTCTATCGCCGAACGAGATCAGGAGGGCACGGATGAGATCTTGATTGTAGCGCGAATAGTCGACCACAGGATTGGCGAAGAAGGTCGCCAGGTGATTTGCAGCGAGTGCACGTCTTCTGTGATCGTCATGCTTGATCATCGTCAACATGACGCTCATGGCGGTGTTGAGGCCATCGAATTCGTCGATAGAAGACAAGGTCGCGTCGAAGGCCTCGTTTAGTTCTCCCACGAGCTCCTCATCCTTGCACATAACTAGGTTGTCTGCGAGACTGTTCAGGATTGTGGGCAGCCTGCGAGTCATGCTTGCACCTCCAACTTTAGCCAAAGACGCCAGAGCTCGAGCATTAAACGCCGAGATGGGGTTAGTGAGGAGCGTCGGGATCAGATTGGGCAGGATGACATTGGCTCTCGTGGCTTCGGTCAGCAACGTGAGCAAGGCGGACAGGGCATGTTCAGCCTCCGTGTCGCTTCGCAACAGGTTCAGGAGATGCGGCAACACCTGATCCACCGCTCGTTTGCCAAACATCTGTTGGAGCGAGTCGAACGATTCGGCGGCCGCCTCGCGCACTTCAGGGTCGGAATCTGTCAGTGCCAACCGGACAATGGAGATCAACTTCTTTTCGTGCTCCTCCAAGGACTCGGGCGTAGCGGCGTTGACAATCTCTCGTAGAGCAATACAGATGCCTTGTCGTCTGTCTGGATCGGTGGCAGTTTGAAGGCCTTCCTCAAGCGAGGGAAGCAATGAAGCAAAGATACCTTCCCCAGCCTTTCGAATCACTTCTCCCAGAGCGTTGGCGGCAATAAACTTGTGCTCGATGTTGGATGAGGCAAGGCGAGCAATAATCATCTGGGAAAGCGTAGGCACAAGCTCACGCAGTGTTCTCGGGGTTGCAACAAGTGCTTTCCACACAGCAATGGCAGCAGCTCGAACCTGGGCAGAAGAGTCGCAGCGGCAAATGTAGAGAGACGATAGCACCCGGTTGCGTCTTTCTTCTCCCAAGACTTCAAGCAAAGATTGTCCCGCCTGTGTAGCAGCTTCGCCTTCCTCTTCAGCTTCTGTTTGAGCACTGATTCCGGTAAGATTGAAGAGGAGATCTCCAACCAGTTCGACTGAACTGAGACGGATCCGATAGCTGTCGTCGGCCAACCCACGCTGCAGCTCTGGCAACAAGAGGTCAATGGCTTTGGTTGCGAAGTTCTTCACAAGCAACCTGCCCGCCCTAAGAGCAGTTTCACGAATCGCTTCAACATCGTCGGCCAACCCACTAAGGATAGACGGGATGATCTGAGCAAGATAATTCGCAAAGCTGTTGCCGAAACATGCCGGTAAGAAGATGAACAAAGTCATGAATCCCTCTCGTACAGTGGGGCGTGTGCTAGCGACGTTCTGTAGGATAGATGGCAAAGTCTCTTCAAGACGAGCAGTGCCCAAGCCGGCAAGGACTTCGCTGAGAGCTTGTGCCGACCCAAGGCGATCACTGGCACCAGTATCGGTGCGAAGCGACGACATCAAGCTTGGTATGAGATCTGGGAAGGCATCCTCGCCCAATTTCTCCACAAGGCTACCCAGAGCTTTTGAAGCAGTTGCTCGAGTTGCAGGTACTGGATCGACAGCGGCAAGACGTAGGCCTGTGACCAGAATCGGCAGGTGAGTGACAATGTCGCGTTTCTCGGTGAGATGTGCCAGGCTCCCTATGATCTGGGCAGCTTTACGTTTGGTTGCTGATCGATCATTGAGCCCGCGTTCTAGAATCCTCACAACAAGGGCGAGTGACGGCGCGTCGAGATAGTGGATGAAATGAACCTTGATCAATCCGTCCAAGGCTTCTTCTGTATATTTGGTTGGGTCGCTCAGTGCTTTGAGGAGAATGTCGACGAGGCTCTTGACCTCTGGATTCGTGATAACTTCGCCGAATCGCTTGAGACTGCTATTGGCAGCAGCCCGAACCTCTTTATGGCTGTCCGTCAGGACCGAAGTCAACGGAGGGATGATTTCTGGCAGACTCGTAGCGAGCTGTTGCGGATCAAGGTAAGCCATGGCACCGAGAAGGTCACAGGCTCCTTTCTTGCTTCGCCACTGGGTCTCATTCAACCCTTCCAGTAATTCAGGAAGGACGCGACGCACGCCGAAGGAGCTCAGACTGGCGAAGCACGTCTTTGCCGTGTCCAAGCAGGCTTCGCGGACTGATGCAACAGGGTCGCCGAAGCATGTCAGCAGCTGGGGAAGAACCTCGATCACATATGGTTCAAACGTTCGGCCAAGCAGCAAGGATAGTAATTCGTATGCCATCATTGCTCCCTGTCGCTCTTCAGGGCTCTTTTTATTCTCACTCGCACTTCTCAATGCGACCATCACCCTGTGCTGCCGCAATGCAGCTACACCTTTGCCCTTGACAACACCTGCAAGTCCGTAGGCGGCTCCTCGGCGCACGGCATATTTCTTTGAGTGGAAAAGCTGGTCCAAGAGAGCCGTGATGTAAGGTCCAGCATCAACCGAGGAAGGGCGGACCAAAGGAGGCAAGCAGTTGGCAACAGCATATTGTACGGACTCGGATGGTGTGCTGAGAGTGTCAAGAAGCTTCTGTATGACATTCCCTGTCCGCTTGTCGCCGTCAGGAAGATGCCTTGCCAAAGACCCGTAAAGAACGATAACGGCTTCATTAACCCAATCTGATTCTTCGGTTCCTTTATCAGGACCTTGGAGCACTCTTTCGAATAGCCCCATGAGAGGTTCTAGGCAGTCTTTTCCTCGCATTGCTACAAAGACCGTGCCTGTTTCGACCATTTCTGCGCGAACTGTAGCGTTACGATCCGAGAGGGCGCCGTCGGACACCAAGAAGTTCATAAAAGGCACCAAAGCAGACTCGTTCAGGACGGAAGAAAGCTCTTTAAAGGCCAGGGCAAGGCCGCTCCGCTTCTCCCACTGATCAACCAGGTCTCCCTTTTGCACAATCCCGAACTTGTTTCGCTTCGGGACCAATGGTTGAGCTTCGGTGCGATACGACTCTTCAAGCGACGCCAATACTGAATCGACCTTTGAAGGAATCTGAACAAGTGCCTGTGCGAGAGCTCTCGCTGCGGCAGCTCTGGTCGATCGTGCTGATGAGAATAAAAACGAAGGAATACTATCGACCAATTCTTTGGTGACGGTGAATTCGAACTCTTCCCAAATCGCCAACGCAGTCTCCGCATTTTCGTCTTCTTCATCTTGACAAGCAATCCATACATGAACTGAGTTGTCAATCTCGGACAGATCAATCTCTGAATGAATTGCCTGCAGAACGGCGGATCGAACAGCCGATTCAGGGAGAGTGACTGCAGAGAGGAGGATATCTCGCTCCTCAGCAGTGGTATTTTCTGACATTGACCGGCAGAAATCAAACAGGCAATCTCTGATGATCCGGTGGTGCTGGTTGTATTTGCGCATTGCACTGATCAAATGGCGCAAAATGTCGGCTCTTGGAAGGTGTTCATCGGCGCCGGATCCCATCTGGAAAGAAAGAAATTCGAGGGCAAGGAGGACTTGAGCGTCGGCGTCCTCGCCCGTCACATCCCCTATCTTTCCATGCTCGAGGACAGAGAAGATCAGAGGGAGAGCATAAGCGGTGGTGGCAGTGTCAAACGGACGTTGCTCGGCAGCAAATCTCAGTCTATACAAGACTCGTGTCCCGAGCTCTGCGAGAGGTTCCACACAGAGATGCTCTGGAACATTAGCATTCCGCACAGACCTGAGAGCAGCAACGCCGACGAAAAGACGCATGGTTCCAAGGCGATCTGAGATCTTGTCGGAACAGGCAAGATAAGCTGAGACGATCTCATCCTCAACGATGAGCGCCGCCCCCGCTTCAAGAGATCCCATCAAGGCAGTAATGGCTGGAGACATCCAAAGTCCTGCATCCGTGGGCGGACCGTGAGCAAGACTCTCAATAAATCTTGCACCTCTTCTGATCTTGCTCGAGATTAATCTCACTCGCGTACGCGTGGCACTTTCGTGTCTAAGTTGAGCGTCGACCTTGGCCTGTTGGTCTGCGGTCAACTTTTTCTGGGGAGCGCCCTTCTTTTTAGCCAACTGGGCTCGGATTTCTTCTTCCCACTTGAGGACGTCATAGTCTTTCTGGTTCTTGTTGTCAAGGATTCCATTTGTCTGCTGGCCAAGGACGTCGACGACAATAGTGCCTTCAGGGGCTCTAGCAATGAGTGCTTCGGTGGGTCCCACGGCTTCCAATTGCTCAGGGTCGAGATCTTCACGGAATTGGCGAATCAAGGCTGGCGTGAAAGAATCCGGTGCCACGAAGGCCAATGTAGCTGCTGAGTTGCAGGCAGCGATCTCGAAAATGGCCAATGATGCCATCTTGCCCGCCTCAAAATGTGAGAGTATCTCGCGGAAAAGTGGTTCCTGTCGTTCCTTTGCAAGTTCACCTGGATCTACCCCAGTAGCCAGGCAGGTTCCAATCCAGTCGGAGTTGATGATCAGTTCGGGACGTAGTAACACCACCGTGGATGTGGCCTGTTTCTTCAGCACCTCAGTTGCCGCATCCTCGGCCATGTTCTCCAGCCTGTCCCTCGGCATGCTTATGCATTTCACTGCCTGAAGCAAACGATTGTCGTTCAGAGATTGTTCGGCCGTCTTACTTAGCTCTAACGCGCGCGATCGAAGCACATCCCAGATACCAAGCACTATGCTGTGGCCGACAGAAGCCGGCTGCTTCGAGTAAGCCTGTGATAACGCAACTCCTGTCTCCTTGCGCACACTGGAGTCGACTTCAGGGGTGAGCAGGAGGTGTAAGACGGCCCTTGCCCATGCAGTTTTGCCTTCATCTGTAGCTTGCTCGAGATGTTGCGTCAGGTTAGTCAACGCATACAGTGCCCACTGGCAGTCTTCTGTAGAGGAGAGTCGAGTATAGACCTTTGAATTCAAGAGAAAGGACAACTTCGGTTGAACGGCCAGACATTGAGTGCTGACTTCATCATACATACTGGACTTGTACTCGTCGGTCCTCAATATTGGTGCACCAAGTACTCCGGGAAGGCCGTACCCAGCAGCAACATAGCCATTCTGGGTCGCTGGAAGAGGATTGAGGGCAACTTCGTCGTGCGCATCCTTCAACGTTTTCAAAGCCGACTTGACAAATTCGCGTGACCCTTGTTCAGAAGGCACTTCTTTGATGCGTCTGACGATGTGTGCAAGACACAAAACCCATAGTTTGCGGAAAGGAAGTCTCTTGTCAACGCAACCCTTGAGAAAAGTGTCAGAAAGAGTCTTATTGATCGACGAGGTGGTGACAATAAGTGGCAGATGTGTTGCTAATGCAGCAACTTCTTTCCGTAGTGCCCCCTCGTTGGCTTCCTTCGACGCCACAGGAATGACAGACTCGGCGATGACAGAAGACGTCGCCAGTTCGGGAGCAATCATCGACAGAGCATCGGCCAAAAGGCCACGCAGCTCAAAGCTGCCAGCTTTTGAAGATTTCATCGTGGATCCCAGTTCCGCAGCAATCTTCTGCAGCGCATCTGGAGACCCTCCTCTGCCAACAAGGGCTGACAGACCCTTACCTGCACCATCGCGAATGATGGCATTGGTGGAGTTCAAGGCTGATAGAAGAGGTTTCACAAGCCTCCCTTGGACAAAGCCTGAAATGTCGAGTGCCGATGGTAGACAAGAAGCCAGGGCCTCTATAGGGCCTTGAAGGATAGCCTCCGGGGACCTCAGGATGGCCTTCTCGATGGCAGGGATCAACACTCCATCGACATCCTGGAGAGTGACAAAGTCGAGGAAGAAATCCTTGAGACCCATACACTGTTGGTATGGCACGGGAGATTTTGAGCCTATGACAGATTTGACATAGAAATCAAGGATCTGCTTTTTCGACTCTTGAAGCTCTTCTCTCCTCTCAGTTATGCGGACACTGACCCCGGCAATCACGCCCACATAAACGGCGTAGCTAGCATTTGCGTCTGAGGAACCTGCAGTGTCTTGTAGGGCGAGCTGCAGTGCCCTGGCCCCGACTTGTTTTGTCTTGAAGACGTCGCGCAACCCTCTCCTTGCGATTATCAAGGCCGACCCCTGTACTCCTCCTCGGACAGACTTGTCTTCGCATTTGTCCAGAAGGCGGGCAGCGGCCGAGCATATTTTCCCAAAGCATTGTCCGAATGACTTCTCATTGAGCCGGATTTCTTGTTGGACCAAACAACACCACTCCAGCAGAACAAATGCATTGCCGGGGGCTATGACCACCTTTTGGCTCTCTTGTAATAGGAATTTGGTGACGGCAGCATAAGCAACGTCGGCGGAAGAGGGAGTCGTGAGATACGTTCGGAGGCACGACTGCACGGCTCTGCGAGACTTTCGATCAAGGTAACGAGGATACGTCCCAAGAAGCGCGGGCAAAAAGGTCAACAGCTCTTTTGAGACAGTCTCATCTGCAGCACCGGTGAGATGAGATTGACCGTATGAAACGTGGTTTTGCATGTCCGCCATACCTGCGATTGGAATACTTTGCTGCAGTTTGCGCAGTGTTTCGATACGGAGATTTGTCGAACTGCTTCTGAGAGCGGCAAGCCAGGCATCCCGAGTCTCCGGGGAGCCTTGTTCGGCACTGTCCCCCATTGTCCATAAATTGGACGTAGAAGATTGTCTGTTTGCAGAGACAATGAACGGGGTCAAAGGGCTGGACTCGAATGAAATTTACCACTTAATACGACAAAGTGGACTTGGAGATGATTCGCGCGCGGGGGAGTCCAAGCTGCAGCCTCGTCCCGCCATGGCATTAATAGAATCAGGCTGTGGTATTTTGGCTGCTGCTGGCTGCGCCCGAAGTCACTTTCCGAACCCTAATGGCACTCATCTCACAGGACAGACGATGTGACTTGCACTTCTCTTCAAAGACGCATCACTACAAATTAATCCGCCTGCATCACCGGTTTCTGCCGCTATTACTTGATACTCCGGCATCCATGCCTGCATTCATGGATCTCGTCCTTGGCTCTACGCTTCCAGAACAGCATGTCAAAACTGTTTCTAGTCCACGCAGACATTCCTATGTCATCTGTCTGCGGGAACAACCACCGTCCCAGCCGAGGGTCAGAGACTACGGCAACAGTCGCAATTGCCGATGAAATCCGCAGTTCAACCGAGACTATGGGATAGGAAAACCGTAACCCTGAGTGACATTGGCTCCCGTCAGATACCGGTAGCTGACTGCGATGCCGGATTAAGCGGAGAGCGCCCTGTGGGAAGAACATTGGTGTTTGCAAAAGAGTTGCTGTATTTGTGCGCGGAAGAAAATGTTTGTGGTGCTTGACGGACAGAAAGCGGATCTAGTCGAGACATTCTCATCTCGTTAGTAAGACCGGAAATGTGAATCAATGGGGATCTGCAAGGAGGACCGCCGATCTATGGACAGCCAGGTATTAGGTTGTGAGAGTCACTGGGTCGCGTTGCAGTTTCAAGCTGTAGATGTAGACCAGAGTCCGTGTCGTGGAGGATGAGCAAAACCCCCAGGATGGATGTCAGTGTGTAGACTCAATATCATCGAGGTCGCCCACAGAGAGAGGAGGGGCAGATGACACTCCGTGCTTTTCTTGCTGTAAATATGACCCGGCTCCTTGTTAAAGCAGATGAAAGCTTGTGACTGAATGCTGGGTCAAGGCCGGCCGATCAGTCTTGGATGTCCACAGACTCGAGATACATGTATGCACCGAGCACCGAGCACCGAGAACCTCGTACCTGCACGATAATAGTAATGCGAGGCAACGTGTCGTGACAAATTTGTGCATTTCCTAGTTCACTGTTCAGTTCGAGCCGTCGCTCAAGGACGGCTCTGCGCATTGCACGGCCCTCGGACCCAGAACCTTTCGCCATGGTGATTGTGAATTACATTTGTTCAAGCTGGGGAACCCGGGTCGTGTGCCAGTTGTATCATGAGTACCACGAAGAGTCTTGTATGGGCAGAGTATGCTCACGACAAACGCAGCTCCTTCTATATATCCCTAGCTTTTTTCCATCGAAGGTTTTTGGTCCATGCAGATCAATACCGGTGCGTCTCCCTCAGGCCAAGGGCGACTACCCTTTAGACGGTAGGTCAAGCAATTTACCGAGTGCTGGACGATGCATTCCTAACGAATTGAGTTTTGGTAGTGATCTGGGGTGTCGGGCAGATTTAACGAGCTTCGGAGATTTTTCAGTGGCATGCATCCAGCGATCAGGGGAGGCGTTGAGCCTTGTTGCAGGGGTCAACCTGGGGAAGCAATCAGGATGTGATGCGAAGGATTGAGTCCTTGATCGACACTGGAGATGATCACCGCGCAAGAGGTCCGAAATTCGGGTGGAACAGGTGCGAGTACTCGGTGTGGGTAGCGGAAAAGAAATACCCTGAGGTGGTCGATTTGTTTGCGGATGAACGAGCACCAGCAACAGCGAGAGTACCTCGTACGTGAGTAGGTAGCTCGTGTGTGCGAGGTACTATCCAAGGTTTGATTTCTGGGCGCCACTTCAGGTGCTCAGGGTACGTCCCGGTTTGGTAAGACCCTCTAACCATGAATGGGAAAGGCCTAGCCGCACGTCCTTCCCCCGGCCTAGCGCCCCAAGATTGGGCCAGCCCTGGCCTTAAGCCTCAAGACTCGTGCCCTCCCGGTGCTGGCTCCCAACTGCTCCCTCTGATTTGCCAGCCTCAGCGGTTTGTTCCTGGAACCACCCACTTGGGCTTACTAGGCTCGCTTAAGCCCCGACTCGCAGTGAGCTGCACGCTCGCCGATGGCGTTTGTGCATGGTCCGGCCTCGTCTTGGGCTGCGGTAACTTGGTTGGTCTCCTCTGGCACTTTCCTCTTTCTCCTCGATTCAATCTCTCTTCAATTTGCGCCGCCAATCACTTGGTCCATCGACACTCTCAACTTGCATGCTTCTTTTCATCACCCGAAGTCCCATCCTCGCTAGGTCGTCCTTCACGCTCCTAACGGCTGCGTTCGGGGTCAGATGGGCCAGCTGCTAACCTCAGATCTCACTGGTCAAACAGCCAGTCTCGTGGATGACAGGATGGCTGGCCTCGGACCCCTTTGCTGAGTGCGCTGGATGTTCCCACCACCTCCCACCACCCTCCAGGACCGTGGCCCACTCACACAGATCGTCTTCACAAGGTCAGCTCGAAGCTGAAACCTCGCGCTGACTGCCATCCATCATTCGCAGATCGCGATACTCATGGCCTGCGTGCGAGTAATAAGAATATCGTTGTTCGCGAGACCTCCTTGACTTTCCCTGGCCGTATCTGGCTGACGCTCCTTCTGTTCCCTCTTTGTTCTGTGCCAGTCAGTCCTGTACATCAAGCCGCGTCCCGCAGGTTTCACAAGCTCCGGGTGCTCTTCTCGTATATTAAATCTTTGACGCAGGCTTCCGTGGCAGAAGACAAATTTCGAAAACCGCTTTTCGAGGCGATAATATGCTGTAAGAAAAAAGAACGCAAAACATCCTCCAGCTTTGGCGACCAGCAGACGATCAGATTGCCGATTCGACCCAGAGGCTGCTTTCACAGTCTCCTCCGCATTACCTTCTTCCGATCCAGTCGAGATTTCAACCCTTACAGTCGCAATGAGCAAAAAACTTGGACTCCAGACGGACGCTCAGGTAGGTATCTCGGGCGAGCGAAGTGAGCCGAACAAACACTGACCTCTCTCTACAGGCTTTGATACCGAAGAAATATCGGGGCGACGATGACGATCCACATTTCATTCCTGACTCACCTCTCATCGACCGACAGGCCCTGACTGCACAAGAAGAGGGGGAGCTGAAGCGCATATGCGCCTTGGTATTGGCCAATGTACCACATTCTGACGACATGTCGGATGACCCTCTTAAATACATCGCTGCTCAGATCCAAGAAGGCAAAGCAGCACAACCGAAGCCCAGTGCGAAACGCGAACGGAAACTCGACCCTGCCCACAACGTTGAAACTGCCGCTAGCGTGACACACCAATTCCTCGACATACAAGATGACTCCGCGACATCCTCGGAAGTTTCTCATCGCGGTACCATAACTGCCACTGACTATTCAACGCCCTTGACCAGCGCCGGTATAACCCCCGGCGAGACAGCGCGACGTTTCTCCGACGCCGCCCGGAAATCCGTTAATAGCACCAAGAAGCCTGGCAGCAGTCTCCGAAATGAGTCAACCACGGTGGTAACCAAGAGCCGGACGACCTCTTCAGGTGGCGTCCACAAATCGATGGAAGCGACAAAGCCTTCTGCCGAAGCGGAAGCGATCAGAAAGACGCTGCGAGTCGTAACAGACGGATCATCACGACCCCAAAGTGGCAGCGCGAAATCAATGGAGCAGCCTCGTCCTGTCAGATTTTCGGCTCTCGACTTAAACAAAAGCCTTCCGCCCCCTCCGCCTGAATCTCCGCCTCCCGAGGAACAGAAGCAACCCCATATCAGCAGGTTGATGAAAACCATTCGCAAAAAGAAGAGCATGACGAAGGAAGTCAGGAGTTTTTCGACTGGATCGGTACCTCCAATGCCCTCGACCGATTCGCCGAGAACCCACTCGTCGACGACGACACCTGCAGCAGAGAATGCAGCTGTGACAGCTCAAGAACCTCCAAGAAAGAAATTCAGAATACCTCTTTTCCACAGGAGACAACGACCGGCAGATGTCCTGGTTACTTAAATATGCTCGTCAACTCGGACATAATTCCGTTTTTGTTTTCGGTTTTGCATTTCAACACAGTACACTCCACACACTCATTCTTTGATGACACCAGCAGCGTAGGCGTTCAGGACATTGACGCCCGGAGACGTCTAACTGATCTTCCTTTCTCAAGGAGGGCACCATCGTTTCAATACAATGTATTCTTTTTTCACCACACACGACGTTTTGTCATAACACTCGACGACCTTTTCATTTTATGGGCAACAAAGCTTTGGGGGACTTATGGGTGTTGATCTGTTTCCGAAAGAGATTCTCTCATGTTATTGCTATGGGCGGCCAGCTTGTCATGCAGCGACGAGGGAGGGTAACAGATGAGGCAGTGAGGGTGTGTGATGGGCACAAAGCGAGAGGACACCGTGTGTGGGTGTGTACACGGAAGGGTTACATACTACTAAAAGAATACGGAATCAGTACACTCAGGAGACCAGGCAACTCATAGCAAAGGGCAAAGTCATCTGGTCACTGACAAATAAGACGAAAATATACAGAATATGTGGCCACTGGCCTCATCATTGACTGCGACAGATTCAAAGCCCTCAATTTCACATGGTTCGACAAGGAGCTCAAGGTGCCATCATCGAGAGACTGGGAGCTCAGCATGTTCCATGCCGCGGAGATATTCGTCTTGGTCCTCGAGTTCTTTCGGTGTCGTCTAATCATTTCCCGCGCCTGACATGGTATCGAGTACAATACCTGGTACTTACATAGTAGTAGAGGTATATCTAATAGAATCCTTTGGCCCGTGCCTCCCCTCGAATTTTTTTGGCAACGCCATCGCTATGCATTGTGTACGAAAAGGACGCATCTATTCGTTCATGACCCATTGCTGTAGGACGATAGAGGGCCTGGCTTAGACACCCCCAAAGCAACCCCTGGTGATAAGAAAACTCCCCGTCGTCTCACCGTTCCTGCAAAGAGATTACCTCTGGAAAACAAAAGGTGGCCTGGCAACCTGGACTGCATCACTTAAACCATAGCCGACGCCCCAGCACTGCTCACTCCGCCAAACCCAGGAAACAGGTCGCTTTCGTCCATGCTTGTGAGGCCGCTTTGTCCACCAGGCCCTGTCCCGCCTCCCGTGCCGCCTCCGCCTGCACCTGCACCCTTCGCCCCTCCGGAAGCTTGATGCTTGCCTTTTGGACTACTCTTGTTCGCCTCCACGGTGACGGCTTTGCGACCAAGTTCGGAAAGTGCCTGGATGTCCTGACCGAGCAGGGCGAGGAGGCTGACGAGGGAAACATCGTTGGATTGCGCCAGAGAAGCAGATGTCAAAGGGTGTTCTTGGGATGATTCCGTGGGCGGGGTGAGCAGGGAGAGGCGTGTGAGCAGAGCTTGGATGTTGCGTAAGTGAGGGAGATGGGATGGGTCCGGTGTTGTCGGCGTCAGTCGTAGACTTTCCGTGTCAGTGCTTGGAGCAGAGACATATGAGGGTGGGAGGGACTGGATGAAGCTGCTCAGGAGTTGAAGACGTGACTGCAGCATCTTTACACCGTTGAGCCGGGTCGTTATATTGGCGATCTGGTCTTCTTCTTCCGGATTGAGCGCCTTCAGTGGTTCCTCTGCGCTATCTGTTTCCAACATGTCGGGAGTGTCTGGTTGTGGATCTGCTCGCTTCTTGCCCTTTCTGTCAGTCTGAGGAAGTTCAGATGACTTTGTAGTAGGCTCCTCGGACGGCGCATCGTCGATTGCCGTGGCGCCACCTGCGCCCTTGGCGACATAATCTATTGCAATCATTTCTGTCTCGTCTGTCTCGATTGTGTACGGTATTTGGCGGAACTTGATGCCGGATGGCTCTTCTCTGTCAATCTGCATTGATCCCTCTTCTCCGTCGGTTTGCATTGTCCCATCATCCTTGGGCTGTTCACGGTCGTCGACACTCTCATAAATCGTGATGGGCAGTTTTCCTTCTCCAGAATCTCCCGATTGGATTGCTTCAGGGTGTAAGGCCAAGAGAATGGCGTTTTCATTGCAGCAATTGGTCGCCTGTTCCTGTAGGGGTACGAATTCGGGCATGGGTCCTTCAGGTGAACAAAGCGTGAACCAGCCGACGAAAACCAGAGCGGGGGATTTGTGGACCGCGACATCTTCTAGACGTTAGTCGACGTACGCCAGGAACAGCTTGGCCGCAACCCACATTGTTGGATCCTCGAGTCCAGCCACGCAATGTCAAACTGCCATTGTCCTTCGGGACTTCTCACTAAGACCGCAGGAAAAGCATGTTCCACTGTAATTTCCCTACCCTTATGCTGCCCAAGAAGCCCTCCCGCCACGGGGCCTGTCTGTTTTCGCAACGAATGTCTTGTGACTTGGTCCGATATTGTGAGGAGAACAAGTGGATGGAGAGAGACGGTGAGGTCACTTTCGGAGGGCTTTGAGGACAGGAGAGGATTGTCCGAAGGTTCAGCCATATTAGGAATCACCGGAATGGCCGCGATATGGGGGACGAGGGATAGAGACTGGGTTGTCGAGGTGAGCCTGTTGAGCCTGTTCGACACTTGGAAAGATGCGGAGCCTCAGTCGGAGATGGAATCATAGACGGCGACCTGGAGAAGCAATGCGGGCAGCCTTGGCGACATTTTGCCTGGTGACTTTTGGTGGTTGGCGGACTGGCGGGGCAGGCCGAATGAGGAGGGGACGAGACAAGGCTGCCAGGGGATTCGTAACTCTCGTCTTTACTTACTTCACGACAAAGACATTATTCCTTGGATGGCTATGCCTTCTACTTCTTCGTTCTCTGAAGACTGTCCTGTAACCTGCTGATAATGGATGCCTTGGTCGAGGACTCTGACAAACTCTTTCCAGAAGTCTTTGCGCATCTCGCCGCAGTTGAAGCGCAACCAGGATTGACTTTAGACGAGGAACTTCTGAAACGTGCCGAACGAAACCTAACTCCTACTTCACCGAAAGACCTATTATGGCGGGTGCTAGGCACGGGTGAACAGCTATTGCAGACGCTGCAACAAGACCCTCGACCGCTTACTCGACTGCTCGAACAAGTCATCTCGCTACTCCCCTTCGACGAGCTGAGATCCACTATATCTGCGGAGAAGCTCCAAGAAGGCCTGAGTTCGCCATCGGTCTCGATCCAGTTGCTTTGTCTAGCATATCTGCGGAAAGCTGCGGACTCGCCCAGCGGCGCCTCTTTTGTTGCGACGAGTTCAAGTCTTGTTCAATGTCAGTTCACAATCTGGCTGTCGTCTGAGAGCACTGAGGTTGCGGAACGGTCACTGGAGGTGATCGAAGCGTTGCTTGCCGTCGACAGTCAAAATAGCACCACGGTACTATCTGCGGGCCGCAGCTACGCCGAAGCACAAGGGCAAGGCTTGCTTTGGCGTAGAATATTCCATGATCCTGATGTGTACACAATCCTCTTCGAATGGACATCACTAACGAAATCGAAACGAGACGTCAAAACAAAGAAAGGCATGCAACTCGTCACAATTTCCCAAGCACGCCTATTCGACTTCATTGCGAGAGTGGCACCTTACGACTGGACAGCGGTAACGACTTCTTCATTGGCCCAGATTGAGGCTGAATTCCTGAGAGACAACGGTGGCAGCGAGCCATTTGGTGGTATCCTTCGATATGCTGCTTCTCATATGATTGACCAAAAAGATATCCTGATGGAGGTGTTGCGTCAAGATTTCTTTGTCAAGTTACTGGGAGTGGTGGAAGAGAGCAACAGGCAGGGTGTATCTCCCCAGCTACTGGAGGCGATTCAACAGGGTGCAGGGATTACACCAACGAGAGATGGAGAGGATGGCGGCCTTCACCTCTAAATTTGAGCTTGTACTAGAAAAGTCTCGGATCTGTCTAGGCATTGCTGGCAGTCTCGTCTCTGCGACTTCACACGCTTGAATGGTGGATGTTGTCGAGTGTGCTGTACTCTAAAGAATAAGCCTCTGCATTAGTTGCCACTTGATAAACATGTACGATAAAAGAAATATGGGATGGACGTCAAGGCTCTTGTTCAATCTTCTCTTATAGAGTCGCTTTAATGGTGTCCATGTAATAGTGTGTCTACCTCTTAAAGAGGCCTGATGTCTCGATGACGTTCGCTTGACCTTCCATAATTCTGACGAGGCTGCAGCCTTGCAGAGAACCCACCCAGAAGTTTTTGCCTCCGATCCACCTGCCTCCGCAGGTCAATGCGATTGAAGACCTTCGCTTTTGCCCTGTATTCCTTGTCGTGTATCGTTTGACGGCGATGGTTAGGAGTCCTCTGGGGGTTATTGGCGTTGCTTTCAATCAGTTCTACAGCGGCATTTGACCAAAACTATGGCTACTCTCTCCACTGCAGCCCGACCTCTGCTTCGACTCAGAACACTGCGATCATATGTCCCCCATCGCTTCGCGACTTCCTCTTCGCCAGGAAACACCACCAGCTCCAAGCGAGTCCCTAAAATCTCTCCTCAAAGCTCAATATCAAAAGCGAGCATTCCCACCCCGAAAGGGCCCTCGACGCCTCTGACCAAGGGTCAACAACCTAGCATACCATTACTAGGAGGACCGGCGTTGCAGTTTATCAGAGAGCTGCCTCCAGAACTAGCGAGAAAACAATGGTACGCGCAAAAGCTATACGAGTCAGGGCAAACAGCCATATACAGGCCCCCTTCTCATTTTGGTATCTACGCCGCCTCATTTATCATGGGAAGCAGTGCTATTGGGATTGCTGGTCTTCTTGCCTACAGCAACATCTGGGCTTGGGAAGGTGACTCTGATTTGCCGTGGTTTGTACCAGTTGCGCATCGATTAGGCATTTTTGTCTTCTCGGCCGTGGGCTGGCTCATTATGATGCGATCAATAAGATTCATCAAAGCCATCGATCTGGTACCGGTGAATGGGGTCGTGAAGTTGGCGGTGCAGGTACGCCGACCGCTGCCTTTTCTGAAGCCAAAGGAATTTCTCATCGAGCCTTATCGCTTTCAAATGACCCAAAAGTTTGTGCAACAATTGGAGGAACCTGCTTTTATGCGGGATCCTGTAGGAGCATCGTCTTCAACAAACAAAACTTCGACAGGATTCGCATCAAGTATTGGGCGAGCTGTCAGTAAAGCAATCTATTACCCTTTTGCATCAACAAGAAGGTTGATGACGCTTGAAGGTATTATGTTTGTCAACTTTGAGGGCAGCCGTGGCAAGATGAAGCTGGATACACATGGTCTTTTTTCCAATGGAGCAAAGGATCTTATCGAAATGGGCACCATAAATCCCTGATTACCCTGGGCGCCATGTCTATCGAAGAAACTTTCCTGGATATCTCTTTGAACGTTTACCTCAGGACATCCTCGGACCCGACCTGCAGCAGATGTACCTCCGATTTCTGGACAGCCATATGACGGTCAGAAAGTCCGTGGACAGAGGCAAAGGAACGTGACAATATTCAATCAAGCTAAGATGCTTTGGCCCGGCTTTTTCAGCAGAAGTGCACGACCTTGGAAACCAAAGGTCGTCAAGCGAGAATTGATCACTGAATGTTAATTGGCAATGAGATCCCGGACGTTCGAGCCACGAGCTCCGACTCATGACGGATATGGACCGCGTACCGCGTGCGACGAAGAAGCTTTTATACTGACGACTGATCTTTTTCGAGTCCAGCTGTATTATCATTAGACTGTACGATACCCGGGAAATCTTCACATATCTTTCTGACTGGACATACTCGGAAGGTGCTCGCTTGTGGGCGAGGCGATCAACTAGTCCTAAAGCCTCTTCCACACATTCTGTCATCTATAATCAGTTCTTCCGGTCTTCATGCCCTCGAAGGCTTGCTAGTATTAAGCGCACAAGCCCTCGTGCTATATGCCCCTCTATTGCGGACTGAGCAACGACGCAGACCCTTTCGTCTCTCCCGCGTGTATCGAAGAGGATATGCTTGAGAAAGGTGGCATGCAGTGGGATATGAGGTGGCTCTTCGATGGAACAGTTTAAAGGGGGGGCGGTGTATACACAGGACATAGGGCAACCGGGAAAAGTTCTTTCAAGCAGCATGCTGTGTGGCTTCAGAACGTCTCTATCAAGTCACCCGCGATCTATTCCCCTAGCTCTATAGAAATGCCAGAAATGCCCAGTGAATTCGCCCCTTCGCTCTATCGCTGGCCAGAAACATATCCGCCCCGTACGCTCATCGCTCATTGTATTGCCATCATCTCCCATTCCCCACCGGTCTACCAATGCACGTTGTTTACCGGGGCCGCAGCGGGTGGCCCTTCGCCTGTCACATACGCCCTGGTCAACCCACCATCCACCACAAACTCGGTCGCATTGACGAAGCTGCTCTCATCGCTGGCTAGGAACAGGACCGCCTGGGCCTGCTCGATCGCCTCTCCGAATCGGCCCATGGGAAAGTGCACCTCTCGTCTGTGTCTCTTTTGCAAGTCATCGCCCAGCCAATCCTGCAACAAGGGCGTGTTCAACGGTCCAGGACAGAGGGAATTGAATCTGATGTTCTCGCGGGCGTGGACGATTGCGAGTTCGCGTGTCATGGCGAGAACAGCGCCCTTGGACGCTGTGTACGCGAGTTGCGGTGTCGCCGCACCCATCAAGGCGACGAAACTTGCAACGTTAATGACGGAACCCTTTTTCTTCTGATGCCGTCGCATTGACAGCACGGCGTGCTTGCTTCCATACCACACCCCTTTCACATTTATAGCTTGAGTCAGGTCCCAGATTTTCTCGGACGTGTTGATGGCGTCGTCGTCCTGGGCATGCATGATGCCGGCATTATTGAACATGATGTCGATGCCGCCGTATCGATCTTGGGATTCGACCGCTGCTTGGACATCAGACTCCTTGGAGACGTCGCACTTGATGGTCTCCAGACGGGGGGAGTTAGGGACGAGTTCTTTGACTTTGGCCAGGGCTTTTTCCAGGGCAGGTTCAGAGATGTCGGCCATCAGGACAGAGGCACCTTCTTTGGCGAAGAGGATTGTTGTTTCCAGCCCTATTCCGCCTGCTGCACCAGTAATGAGGGCATTTTTGCCCGCGAGGCGGCCAGGTCTTGACTCGGTAGTCATACTCGCAGATGTCCACCTCTTCTGGTTCAGCGGGGTAGAGGACGGCCGGGTTCAGTTAACGAGGAGACCCGACAACAAGTGAGACGGAGAGTGAATCAGAGGGACTTGTCCTTTGCAAAGGACGTCGAATTGAGGGCGATGACGGAGAAATTCTCAGAAATATCAATCACCACAAGTCGCACCGCCATGGATCTTCTTATCTAATCAAATAGGCCTTCGTTGGTGCTGATGGTGGTACCTTGGTGGTGTGGGTGGCATGTGTGGGCTCGACTCGTGTCCCCCTCCGAAGAAACCCGCCCGCCAGGAATGCGATGAGATGCCCAATGGGGGAAAATTTTAAGCTCGACGCCCCCCAAGAGCTCCTGGCTCGCTGGGTAAAGCTTGTCGATCGGAGCACATGAGCTATTGCTCTTATTAGCAGCGGGAGATGTGGTCCGGTAGTTGTACCTCGTACATCCACACTCAGATCTCAACCACGGGGGTTAGTGATAGGTGCTGCATTGCATTGCAGGGAGGAGATGACTATCGATCGAGAGGATTGTCCCTACGTGTGGGGACTTGTAGTTACCAGATAGGTAGGTATACGAGTAAATTAGAGATAGTCTCTCCTACTGTACTCGGTACAAGTGGCTGTGTGCATTAATATTGTTTGACTACATCATACCTGGGTCGGTATCTTAACACCGAGCTGCAACTGGCGGCAAGTGCTTAATTAAGTATCCTCCGTACATACAAGGGGAGCTTATCAGCGCCACCTCCACTTCGTCCCTCCAAGCATCCTCTACAACACCAATCATCTTCCCCCGCTTTCCCGCGAAACACAAGTACAAAGTCCAGCTGTTGGACGCCTCGTGCTTTGTCCTTTGCCTCTGCTCCCACGCAGCCCCCTTCTCTTCCTGTCTCCGTGTCTCACTTCTCGCCATGGTCAACAAGGGAGACGGTAAGATCCCGACTCTGGACGAGCTGGAAACTGCGCTGGCCTCGGATACAAAGGTCAAGCTCGCAGGTCTTGATATCGACGGCACGCGCCCCCTCCAGCTTGGTTACATGACACCTGCTAAACTCCACAGGGATCCTCCGGGGGAAACTCGTCTCCAAGAAGAAGTTCCTTTCCGTCGCCAAAGATGGGTTTGGCTTCTGCAGCGTCGTCTTTGGCTGGGACATGCACGATATGACGTACTTCCGCGAACTCGCCATCAGCAATAAAGAGAATGGATACAAGGATTTGGTGGCCAAGGTCGACCTGTCCACTTACCGGCGGATACCTTGGGAGGACAATGTGCCCTTCTTTCTCGTCAGTTTCTACGATCCAGACACCGACAAGCCCATCAGCGCGTGTCCCAGAAGTCTGCTGCGGACGGCTGTCGCGAAGCTGCGCAAGGCGGGCTATGGAGCGATGGCTGGCGCAGAGTACGAGTTCTTCACATATCGCGCTCCCAAAGACGAGTCAATCCAGACGAGCCATCATTCCTCTTCCACGACAGCTTCTTTCCTACAGAACAACCCCGTCCACGCCCTCCCGCACCTGACACAAGGCATGTTTGGCTACTCCCTAACAGATCCTATACACAACCAGGAATGGTTCTACAGCATTTTCAACACCTGTGAACAGTTCAGATGCAATGTAGAAGGCTGGCACACAGAATCAGGGCCGGGAGTCTTTGAAGCCGCCCTGGAGTTTGGCGAGGTCACCGAGATGGCAGACCGAGCCAGCTTGTTCAAGTACGTGGTCAAAGCTATGGGGAGCAAGTATGGTATTACACCAACATTCATGGCCAAGCCAAAGGAAGGCTTGCCTGGGAACAGTGGACATATACATTGCTCGATCGTGGACGAGTCTGGAAAGAATCTCTTCTACCGTGGCGAGAAGGACCCCAACCCTCCGTACAAGGACCTCGAGTATGTGTCTGATCTAGGCCGACAGTTTCTAGCAGGACTACTGGACGGTCTTGCTGATGTGATGCCGATTATTGCACCCACGATCAACTCTTACAAGCGCCTGGTCGAGAACTTCTGGGCTCCGGTCACGGTTTCTTGGGGTCTTGAACATCGAGCTGCGTCTATTCGTTTGATTGCTCCGCCAACGGCATCAGCGAAATCTACAAGGTTCGAAGTGCGGGTTTGCGGGGCGGACGCCAATCCCTCCTTGGTGCTGGCCACTATTGTTGCCCTTGGTTGGAGAGGTATTGAAAAGAAGCTAGAGATCAAATTACCACCCCTGGGTAAAGGCGAAGAGGTCGGGAGCCTCAACGATAAGGGAGAACGATTACCCAAGAACCTCAGGGACAGCACGGCACGATTTATGGCCAAGGACAGTGTCGCCCGCGAAGTGTTTGGCGACGAGTTTGTACAGCATTATGGTGGTACCAGAGAACACGAGCTACGACTATGGGACGAAGCCGTCACGGATTGGGAGGTAAGAAGGTATATTGAGACCGTATGAGACGATACGCGCTGGACGATTTGAGTGAGCGATGCTATCCATCTATCATGGGTTCTACGATATATCCATTTACGAAGTTCCAAGACAGCCTCTGCAGATCACGACACACTGCCCGTTTCGCAACAAAACGGCCGCCCTGAAGACTCCGGCGCTTGTCAGACAAGCAATTGTCGCGGCATGAAGAAGGCCGAGATCGTCTTCACAATGAACTGGGGACAAAGCATCTTTCCTGCCACCAAATCTGGAAATGACACCCCTCGAGTTATACAGCCACGGCTAGCTGGCTGACAGTTCTCACTTGCCAGATACCCCCTCCTCTTTCCTTGCCCGTCATATTGCTTGAAGGTCCAGCGATAGGGATTGGTGTTTTCTCATTGTCTCCGCCGGAGTATTCCTGTTGCTGTTGTTGATAGCACCGCTATCGAGACTTGTGCAAGGAAACAAAGACTGGTGTGAAGAAGCTTCTTTGTGCTGGACCTCTCACAACCGAGAGGACTCCTGAAATACCCTGCTTTGTTGTTTCTTTGCTCATACTCTTTGCCCTTGGTCTGTCCATTTATGGAAACATATAACAACGGCGCTTTATTGTTCTTTCTTGGTCGCCATTCTGTCGCCTCGCAATGCTTTGCTGCAAAATGTTGCTCTTATTCCATTGGAATTCTTCCACGCTCGCTCCCGTCTTCCTTCTTCTCCATCAAGCATTCTCGTCGTTACAAGTCTCTCGCTGAATGTGATACACCATGAGCTCTGCCCAACAAGCAAGGAGAAGCACGAGGGTGCGACAGCAAACTGCAAAGGGGCGCGACTATTCCCAGCTCCTTGCGCAAAAGTCTATCTCTCGAAGTGCTCAGAGCGCTGGCGCTCAAGCTCAAGCTACCAACGCGGCCAATACTTCCCCAACTAATTCTACTAATAACTCTAGGAGCAATGCTGACAGCGGCCGTCGGAGATCGAAAAGAATCCGAGCGCGTGTCGGTGGCAATCCTTCTAGTGGTACGTCCAAGAAAAGGCGCCGAATCTCCCCTCCACGTACTCCCATTGAGGTATTCATGATCAAACTGTACGCTGAAATCCACCATGCGGCTACAGCCAAGACGATCGGACAGTGGGATCGATATTGGACACAACACCTGCTTCGACAGGCTCGAACCCTACGCTTCTTCGATCTCCCTGAGGCGAGCACCAGTCAACGTTTGGCGGCAAAGCTAGGCAAGTTTGAAAGCAACGATCCCAAGGAAAAGAGGGTTGCAGAACTTGCAAAAGACGATGTCGACATTAGCCATGTGCAGAGGTTGATGGATTTCTGTGATGAGCCGAGCCTTCTCCTCCTGACCATCTGTGCACACTCGAAAAGCTTTCGCGACGCAATTGTTCGCAGCGACGTCGAGAGCAGGACACAAGCTCGGCCTGAATGGAGCCAAGTATATCCCAAAATCAAAGAGCGCGCGTCGAGCCTGGAGCTCTTCGCCAGAACGCACAAGTTTGAGTGGACAGACGCCCTCTTTACCTTCAATGACCACTTTGAAGATCTTCTGACATTTGTATACAAGGATTGTCGGGATGCCAGCGGCAAGGACGGCGCCAACTTCGGAATCGGCGACGATGATCTCAAAGAAATCCACCAGATCGGCACCGAAGACAGGGATCGTGTCCATTATCACTGGGTTCTGCCCGTTAACGATGGAGAACCGGCGGTCTGGCCCTCGATCAAATGCCCCATCACAAAGGACCTTACCGAGACCGGATTTGTGAACGCTGAGAAGGCGATCGTAGGCATTCCAACGCAAGGCAGCAACCTTGAAGTCAACCCGGGGTCTCTCTTCCCGTCGGGCTCGAAACTAGAGCTCCGACATTTCAACATTGACCAGGCAATCATCCTTCCCAACTACACGTGGCCCGCCGAGACGCGCAAGGTTGTTCACCCTGACGGGAGCGTCTACGAAGACCCGACTTTCTGTGGGTTCTCAAACAATCCCTGTCGAGTCTGTGGAGCCAAAGCAGCCGACTCAAACACGCAGCCGCAGCAGCAGTCGTCAGACCCTGCGTGTCAATGCACGTTTGCCGATCTTTGCAAGGTGTACAACAAATCCCCTCAGAACAATCACCACGACATCCTTGTGGAGCTGTACACCACCGCTAAAACGGGCAGGGGTGTGCGCGCGCTGCAAGTGATCCCACCCTGGACCTACGTAGGCGAGTACGTGGGGGAGGTCTATGCCGTGGAGGCAGAGGCGGACGACATTCCGGGCTCGATGGAGAACCACCGGTATGACATCGCGACGTACCACATGCAACTCGACATCGCGCGGGCGGAGGACTTTGAGACGAGAACCACCGTCCGATCTAAGAAGAAGGGACAGGCCAAGGGGACGGCGAACACAGCCCCTGCAGCCACCACGGTCGCCGCCACCAAGACAACCAAATCCGATGTCCGGCCGCAGTATACAGTCGATGCAGCGCACCGGGGCGGGTGGACGCGGTACGTCAACCACTCATGCTCGCCCAACACGCAATTTGTGTTGATGAACATCGGACAGCACACCCTCATCATCGTCCAAGCACTGCGCAGGATCGCCTTTGGAGAGGAGATCACGGTCGACTACGGCGATCAATATTTCGAAAACCTAGGCATCTCGTGCCGGTGTGGCAGCCCGAGGTGTAAATACAAGGACGTCGATAGCTCGCGGTCGAGTTCAAGCCCGAGTCCGAGCGGCGGTAAGTGAGAGTGGGAGTGAAAACTCCGCACTGACGATTGTGGAAACAAGTGTAAGTACCAGTAGAAAAGCCAAGCGACAGCTGACGAGGCTGAAAGATGAATAGGGGCCCTCTATGTGCTGTACCTTTGGGGGGGCCTCTTTTATTGAATTCGCACGGTGAGAATCTTTTCTTGTCATTTGTATACAGTATAGCTATGCCGTCATGCGATTTATTTCTTTTGAATATGTTTATATAATATTTTCGTTCAGATGATTTCATTCTTACATTTTCCCATTTGTGCATATCTACCTACATATACATAGATCCTTCCGCTGTGCAATGTGGGTCAGGATGAGTGGCGCACTCGGTCGAATGTGGAGGAGATCCTATCGATGCTCTTGGTCTCGGTCTTTCTTTGAAGATGGAAAGTCTCTTCTTCCTCTTTCGTCTCCCTTTACCTCATGCAAGTCAGGCCGGAATCTACCGACCTTTTTGATCTCACCACACCGGCCTCAGGTGTGCTTCGGTGGCCTAGGTGGCGCTCGTATATGTACATGTATTATTACTTGACGTCAGCTTCGCCAGGTACATATCGACGATGACGCCGAGTTTTACTTGGTACTCAAAGCACCCAAGACCCTAATGGTGCTCATACCTATTTATTTCAATTGGGTTAAAGACATCATCAATAGTGCTGGAAATTCCCTCCCTGCTTGGAACCGCCAGTCGCACCAGGATGATCTGCGCGGGCAAAACTAATTCATCTGGTGCTTAGTAACTCTGGAGGTGGAGGCTTTTGGCTGGACGTGAAGTTAGAATCTGACGTGATATTGTACGGGGGTTATGAACATACATACATTCTCGGCCTCGTGTGTAGGTGTAGCCACAGATGCACGGATGAGAATCACCAGGTAAAGAGATTTAAAATAGATGAAGAGCGTGAAAAAAAAACCGACATCAGGTCCAACCTTCAGCCACCTATTTTCAGCCTCGCACAGTCTATCGAATAAACGTCATGAAGTGGAGATGCCTGAACCAATGATATTAAAGATAATGTGGGGCGATAAGGCTACGTCTGTATTTGGAGCGAGTGTACGAGTATATAATTATCCCCATGTCCTCGTATGCTCCGTGACTTTCCTCGAACAGGAGCACTCTAAGAGGACAAGGGCTATGATGTTTTTGTATTTCACGACAAAAGGACTCATCGTCAAGTGCTTACTCCGTACGCATACAGATTCGTACTTCCCTTTACCAGGTTCGTTCGAGCCACGGCCCAATCCTTGTGGGGCACAACGGATCGTTTCTTCCTCCCTGGCGCCATCTGTGGGACGTTGCAAGTCGACCTTTGCGGAAGGGGACCGGTATCTGTGGGGGGGGCACTAACAATATTTCGACTCCTTATTCCGTATGTAGCTGTTAGCGGAGGGCTGGGTCAACTTTGGGAAATGTGAGTAGACAATATTACGCCCAGACGGGGGAACTCATCCACCTCCTCGACCGAGTATTAATCATCTTACCTTATACGCATTTTGTCACCTCGTCGCCACGCGTACGGTGTACAATAGCAACTCACGAACACATGGCCGTGGAGTTTTCCCACCCAAATGTTGCCCATCGATGCTTCGGCGCATCTTGAGTTCCATCTCCCGCGAGGGTCAGCCCCATTTTCTCGTGGCCAAACCTGCCACTGATGGTCGTTTATAAGAACTGCTCCGGGGCTTGATTCTGACCCACCAGCGGCGATCCCTCGTCGTGGAGCCTTTAAAGGATCGCGAGCGCCAGCACGGGTATATCGATCTCAGAAACTCCTCGAACAATGTCCGCATCACCCACAGTCACCTCCAAAGTTGTCGAGGTCAACGGCGTCTCACTGTCCTACCGGGAGAGCGGGAAAGGCGAACCTCTGGTCTTGGTCCACGGCCACATCTCCGATCAACGCACCTGGTTCGATCTCGAACACAGACTCGCGACCCGGTTCCGCGTCTTCAATTACAGTCGACGCTACGCTTGGCCTAATGAACCCGTCAAGGACGATCAGCCCACGCCCTGGGAGCAAGACGCCGATGACCTCGCGGCTTTCATCGAGACCTTGGACATCGGGCCCGTCCATGTCCTGGCCAACTCGTCGGGCGCCGTCATCAGTCTGTACCTGGCACGGAGGAAACCTCGGCTGTTTCGGAATTTGATGGTCGAGGAGCCGCCCGCCATTGGGCTGTTTATCCAGACCTTCCCCCCTCCTTTGACGTCGGTGCTCTCCTTCCTGCTGCACCACCCGATAACGTTCTGGCCGGTGATGAAGTTCGGCGCCAGCACCACCGGGCCGACGATCGTGCACTGCAAAAAGGGAGAATACGACCAGGCCCTGTCCGTCTTCTGCAGCGGCGTCATGGGCCCAAAGTACTGGCCGCGCATCCAGGCGAACCCGGAGCGTCTGCGCCAGGTCGAGGACAACGCCAAATGGCTGTGCCACTTCTTCCGCTACGCCTCCATGCCAAAGTACTGGGTAGAGGACGCGCAGAACACCAAAGTGCCGCTCCTGGCCATGGCCGGACAGGAAAGCGCGGCTCATCAGTGGTGGACTGTCCACGAATTGCACAGGGTCAGCGGCGCGCCCAAGAAGAAACTAGTCTACATTGACGCTGCAGGGCACCTGATGCACGAGGACAACCCGGAAGCTGTCTTTGAGGAAGTCGTAAAGTTTGTCTCTCAATGAAGTCGCCGTTGCTGCGTGGAATTGAAATGCGCTGGACTCGTAACGAGTCTTGGCTTTTGAGCGTATTGGACCTTCATATCGTGTCTCCTTTAGTGTGGCAGTCCTCGGGATAGTATACACAAAATACCAGGTTGTTTATTACAGTTTCTTGTACCAGTCGTTATAGAGACGACCTATTCAGGGGTGTGTGACTAAGCAAGGCTGCAGCCTCATACAAGTTCAGCCTTGCGCCTCGCCAAGCCGAGCCTCCAACTGCGCTGTTGCTCCAACTCTGGAATTCAGTGCTCTTCTTCTAAAACAATGCCGAAGGGATGAGCCTGTCATGTCCTCACCGGCACGTTTCATACGCGACGTGGCGCTTGGACGTCATTCGAACACTATGTCGGTCCGTCGACGACCCTCGCCCCAGTCCATCAGCCTCCCTCCGACGAGAATATGCCAGGACTCATTCGCGCAAGACCAATGCCAGGACTTCTCAATCCACGCCCAAGGACAAGGACGGTGACAAACCAAAGACACACGATGGAACAGCACCGGAAACTCCGTCTCACACGAAACTAGACAAGAAAGAATCCCCGCGCGGGGGATCCTTCAGTCCGTTCAGCGAACCTAGTCGTCGAGCCATCAAAGAGCTACTTTCGGATCTGAAGAAAGCAAGCAAGAAGATCCAATTAGGGAATGAAAGTGCCGAATCCTACAGCTTTGGACCACACAGGTCGCTGAATCTTGATGCACCCGCAGACGTGGACACGCAAGATAGCCTAGTTCCGCGGCTGTCAACCAACGTTCCCTTGCGAAAGTATCACTCTACCCAGGAAGAGTCTTCGGACGCGACCAATGCCGGAGGACACCAAGCTATTAAGGACATTCTCACGGAACTTGAAGATATAAGTAAGAGTGTCCTATCCAAGGATGAAGATGGCACTGGTACACGCCTTCGAGGAGGGATACCTTTACTCCCCGAGTCACCAATCATCGCACAGGTCGCCAACGAGGCGAGACGACGTGAGGAAAGGAAAGAGCACCCATCCTATCGACGCATCAAAGGGTTAAAGAATAACCCGTGGGCGGAGATTCTCGCGAGCCCCATCCGAGCTTGTCAAGGTAGCGGCGCAAGACTGCCAGCCGACCTTTTGTTGGACTTTGGATATGTCAAGAATGAAAAAGACGGCAAGATATATCTGATGCCTGCAGAGCTTGCGGACGTCGATGCTCTAGAAGCAAAACTGGCAGAAGAACTGGCGATATTGGAGGGTCAATCACAAACACTCGACAATGTGACTAGGCTGAAGACAGGCGATCATTTTGTCGCCAAAGATGGACTGATGGGAGATGATGGTGGTGCAGATGATTCACCAAGCAGTCCAACAGAAGCCGCCCAGAAGACCACCAACTATCCATCAACACCTCGAAGACACATCCCTATACAGAGCCGTCTTTTGCCCAACATCACTTTCCTGCGCCTGGTAACCCACCAAGCAACCCAACCCACCAGGAAAGCGTCCAGATCTTCATCACCAACTACACTCGAGACGATTCCCGGCCAGGTGGGCAAGTTAGTCCACTTCGACGCCCGTGAGTCCACGTCAACCGCGCAGCATTACCTGCAAAACAAGTATCGTTTTGACGCGCTTGCTAGTGGGCAAGGTACAGACAAGGAGCACCAAATGGACTCTGATCCATCCTCAGCCGAGCAAGGGAGAACTAGGTTCAACTTGAACAAGTTGCAATGGCAGCCTGATGTATATCTTCGGATCGCAGATATTATGCGAAAACGCATTCTCGTTGCCATGAAGATGCTGGCAGATTCGGAGTCGGCTGCCAAATCCGAGGCGCTCCCCGTCAGGCCATTGGGTGTTATTGCCCTGCCGACACCTCGGGATGGGAATTTCAAGGGTGAAGAGCTGCGACGGTTGATGAGGGGATCACGATCTACGGCCGTATCTGCTGGTATCAGAATTCGAGCCGTTACAAGTGAACCAAAAGAAGAACTGTCTGCAAAAGCCGGATCTCCTTCCACTTCGGAAGCCGGCATGGAAAGGCCGGCTCAATTCGCTCCTCTCACCGCCCAAGAACCAGATTACTACACGCTTGGCCATTCAGAGTGGCTCCCCGGAAGCGTCTTTCTACACGTCGGCAACGAGGACGATGCGCCTCCTTATCCCTCGGACTCGTCAATGACCCCCCTCCCACCCTTAACGTCAAACAACCCCCTGATCCCTCCTATGATCACCGTTCTGGATACATATCGGTTCCCGGTCTTCTCGCTTCGTCGTCTATTTGCGAATGCATCGGCACCGGGGTCTTCTGACCTGGAAGAACTCGATAGTCTGATTAGAAGAGAGTCGATCTTCCAGCATCCCAAGACAGCGGACTATCTCCTTCTAGTACGCCCCATACCCGGTCCGGCAAAGGCCGTCATCGAAGAAGTTTGGCGTCTCTGGCGGTACCTGGGTGGCAGGAACATGGACGTGTCCTTCGCCTCCGACACCAAAGGAGAGCCGAGGCCCGACAAGAAAGACGCTGACGAAGAGAACGGCCATGATAGAGGGTCCGATGGAAAGAAGACAAGGAGCGCGCGCGAGCACAGCGCCGGAACCAATGCAAAGAAGGACAAATCGACCAGCAGAACTCAGTTGCGCCCCAGGCGGTCCTAGCTAGTTATCTACACTGTGGATACGAGAGCCCCCTTCCTTCCTCCCTCCCTCCCTGGTTCTGGTTCTGGTTCTGGTCTGCTTCCCGACGAAACGCTCAAGCCAGGAAGGAGGCGGAAGACCCTCTCCCACTCTCGCTCCCTCGTCAAAGGGGTTCACATCATCTTCACCACCCTCCCCCGGCTGACTGTATACACAATGTATCGTTATTGTAATACCATGTATGTATGTATGTCCTTTCGAGAACCGGCCGGCCACCTGAACGAGTTCCGATCTGTGTTGGACCGAGAAACGTTGATCTGGTAAACGAGCCACCACCCAGTGTTTCAAAAGGGGGGAACAGGGATAAAATGAACATGTCTCTGACTTGGACATTATTGCAGTCATTGAAATCCTGTGTGTGCTTCATACCTAGTAAAGATGCTCGATAGGCAACCCGGGTTCGGCCGCTCTGTATTCGGTCGTGCAATACCGTCCGATTGGGGGACAGCAACGTCCTCCTTGTCCATGCTCCCACTGAACTATTGTTCATCCATCAAATCCGACCGCCGATTAGAGCTACAAGTAGCCAGGAGCATGCCGCACTGCAGCTGTCCCATTACTGCTCTTCCTGCTCCGCCCCGCGCCTGAGTCTCATCGCCGGTGAGCGCCCTAGAAAATACATAATAAGGACATGACTCGAGCATCGTCGCCTGCCATCGCAATATAAAGACGTGAGGAATTCACAAATATGTCCGAGGTCCGCATCCAATCATGGCCACCCCTACGCTCTCTTCATAGGCCCATAGCAGTTCCTCGAAATATAACAATGAAGCTTCGGTGGGAGAAAGTTCTTCAGGCTCAGGACTCTAGCCGACCCTATACGCATCATAGATGACTGTCCGGGCGTTAGCAGGATGAACTACCCTCCGGTCAAGGCACGACTTACTTTCACCAACTCTCCGAGTTCCACTTCCCACCCAAAGACAGGTGTTCAGAAATGCGTATCTCTCGTCGCCAGTCTCGAGCTCAACGGTGATGCGGAACTTGTATTGGTTGGCCGGAATGGTGTCTGCCACCGTGGGGTCGTTGAGTCGTTCGAGAATATCTTTAGCACCTGTTCGCCAACCTTTGGACCTTGCTGTGATGTAGGCTGGAGGGTCATCATTGGTTTGGAGCAGATAGCTGGCATCGCTGCGTGCAGAAAGGTCCTTGACGACCAGCTGATTGTCTTGACCACCAGGCTAGAGGCAGGGTCAGTTGATGAATGATTATGGGGTATTGACAGGATGCGACTTACAATGACAATACCTTTGCCCCATCGTCCAGCCCATTGTCCCCCAACAATGCTGACCCAGTCGCGCTGACCGAACAGGCCCGACCCAACACCAATCTTAGGATTGACCTTGATGCTCATGCGGAAGTCAAGTTCGAGGGTTGGGGCGGGTAGCTGGAGTGAACGGGCCACATCACCTTCATCAAACCTGTGAAGAAGGTTGTTTGCAGGTATTGACTCTTTCATGACATTTTGATATGTAGTGCACTCGAGGAGGTGCTGCCGTTGTCTCGATGTGTTCTTGGCCCTGATCTGGTTGCAATAGATGCATTGTACCGACAAACACTTGTCCTCCTCTTTGGCTCTGAACTCGACAAAAGCAGCATGGACATCATCGAGAGGTGGCGCGGGGAGGCTGGAGCCAGGAGTGGTCTTGGGAGCCTTTGTGGGCTTTGGGGTGTGACGTTGGCTGGGGGTGGTAGAGGCGGGAGGCGGCGGGATGGTCGAGCCATTGGACATTCCTTGCATGGGAGTGCCGTTGGTAGTGAGGCCATTGTTCATGGGGGTAGTCGCATTGTGGGAGATGGAGGGAGTGCTGTATCCATTGGGAGCGCTGATGGCATCGCCCGGAGACGATTGTGGACGAGGGGCATTGGGATGGTTCTGCAGGCCAGGACACTCAAGCAAATGTTGCTTCTGGCGCGAAGTGTTCTTTGCACGGATCTGTTGACAATAGATGCATTGAACAGACATGCATTTATCGTCCTCTGTGTGGAGACACGAATCAGTCAGCTGCTCCTCTCGTCTATCGTCACAGTACAGTATGTTGTATCGTGATACGCGTACAAGAGGTATAGTACAGTCAATACTGAAGGTGACAATACTACGTACGTACCTTTGGCCTTGAACTCGACGAATGCCGCATGCACATCCTGGTCAATGGTGCGCCCCATGGTTCGAAGAGAGACAGTATCGACAAAGAGGAAATTGGGCACTCGATTGAAGCAGCGTAATTGATACGGCGCACAGGGTGAAGTGGTCTGCTTTGAAAGAGGGAGCCTTTTTTACCCGCGACAGTGAGGTGCGGTGTTCGGTCACGGGCCATTGGCCTCCTCTGACAAACCGTGACTGCGCCGGCGCAGGGAGGCACGCAGGCAGTTAGTAGTGGCAGGCAAGCAAGCACGGCAAGGAACCGTCATTTCTCACCCCCCTTCGCCGGCCCCCAAAAACTGCACTAGTAAATTTGCCCAAGACAATCAACATCCACAACCCCATCCCCTTTCTCAGCTCATCAGGCCTACCGACAACCCCCTGTCGCATGCCCTGACACCACTGGTAGGGAAATAGAGATGACATGGAGCAAGTCGACGAGTATGGCACTCTCAGGCGGAGGGTCTCCGGCAGCAATCAATTTCTGCTCAACTCGAGTTATTGTCATCTACGAGGCCTCCCCAGAAACCCGTTCTAGTTGCTTCAAGCGTCCGTCATGTCAGTTCTACAACCGCCGAGAGAAGGGATTACTCTTGAATACCTCTTTAGACCCGTCCATCATGTTTTACTGCAACCAATCGTCCCAGCCGCTCTTCTTCTGCTACACCTGAGATACCCTGAGGGATTCCAAAGAGCTCTTTCGATCATTGGAACGAATGTACTTCAGCCCAAAGTCGTTGATCGAACCCTCGGGGGACTTCTCACATTTAGTGTCCTGTATAGGTTGAACAGATACCTCAGCCGGCTAGTGCTCAACAACTTTGTAAAAGACACGACATGGAACTGGGAGCGCGAAATTGTCATCATCAGTGGCGGGTCCTCTGGGATCGGGCAGGAGATGGTTCGACAGTTTGGCGAACGGAACATCAAAGTCGTGGTTCTTGATGTTAATCCTCCTCAGACGCCACTACCCCCCGGTGCCACATTCTACAAGACTGATGTTACTTCATCCCAAGATATTCGGGACGTTGCGGTGAGAGTCCGCAAGGACATTGGAGACCCGACAGTGCTCATCAACAATGCTGGTGTTGCCAATGCGAGAACCATTCTCGACGAAACAGAGGAGCAGCTTCAACGCACCTTCGACGTCAACATCCTGGCCCATTTCAAGATGGTCAAGGAGTTCTTGCCGGACATGATCAAGAAAAATCATGGTCATGTGGTCACAATTGCCAGCATGTCGAGCTTCGCGACATGGGCTGGCGTCACCAGCTACGCCGCGACCAAAGCAGCAGTACTTGCATTCCACGAAGGGTTGTCGCAGGAACTCAGGGCGAGATATGGTGCGAATAAAGTCCGCACAACGTAGGTCGACTCTGTCTCCACTCGACTATGTACTGACCATAATGCGTAGGATTGTGCATCCCGTATGGGTACGGACGCCACTTGCCCGCAACTTGGTCAAGAATATGGCTTCGGATCAGGTGGTGCTGGAACCAGGCACAGTAGCAGAAGCGGTTGTCTCGCAGGTGCTCAAATGTGAAGGCGATCAGCTTATTCTTCCAGCCCGATTCAACTTTGTGCCATTCATCAGAGGCTGGCCTAGCTGGTTGCAAGAGAGTGCCCGGAGTGATGGTGCACAGACCATTAAAAGTGACGACTGAATGATACGAGTACTCGTTACACGAAAGGAAAAGGGTGAGAACTCCGCTTAGTTGAAACCTGAGTTGGACAAGGCTGAACCAGGGAAAACCCCTCTACTTGAGAAACCAGAATACACTTGTTTCTCGGCCGAAAAGGAGGTCTTAGATGATTATACTCGGTATTACCAGTAATACTCCTCCATATGTCTTCGAGGTACTAATCTGTAGAGTTTTGTATTATTACCAAAGCCAAAACGGAGACGTTCCGCTCTTCCAGCGAACCGCTTAGATAATATTGGATTCCCTCAGCACAAGCCCTGCATCCATTGCCGTACGGGCCTCGTTCCGAGCACGTTGTGGTATGATATAGAGGGGCGTAGAACCAAGAATCATAATCGAGAGGAAGCCAAGTCTATAAAGCTTTTGAACAACATCAATCGAGGAACTGGAAAGGGAAATTGCAGGTCCCGTTTCGGCGTTTGAATGAATGCTTCCAACTAGCACGCGCTTCACCACCACCAGGGTTGCGACAGTTACATTTACTGTATCGATACTCATCCTGGTCCTTGCAGGAGTCATCGCTCAGTCCAACACTCTGCGGTCTCTGTGGACACCATTAGACAGCGACAGGAGTGACAACAAAGTGGCTGCCGCGGCCGCGCGCATCTTCAGCCCGTTCAGGTCGCTCTCGGTACTGACCAGATCTTTCTCGGGCACTGCAAGAGGAGAAATGGCCAAACGGACTCCCGTGTACTTTGTCTCCCATGGCGTAAGTCCCCTCTTCTGCTGCCTCGCTTGCTGGTCTGGGAGACCTCTTTTGCTGGGGTTGTCTGGTTGCTGACCAACCTTGGCTTAGGGCCCGGACACAATGTTCAACACCGAACACCCCGTCTACCCACAGTTGCAGCGAATTGGCCGCGAAATCACGCAGCAGGTGAAGCCCTCGGCCATCGTGGTCTTCTCCGCGCACTGGCAAGCGGACCGGCCCAACACGATCGAGGTCAACGTCGCCGAAGACGAGCCGTTGCTCTACGACTTCTACGGATTCCCTCGCAGTTACTACCAGGAGAAGTTCCCCAACAAGGGCTCGGCGAAGCTGGCTCAACAGGTCATAGACGCCCTCGGCGAGCATGGGATCAAGACGCAAAAGGCCGAGAGGGGGCTGGATCACGGCGTCTTCGTCCCTTTCAAAGTCATGTTCAATCCCGACACGAACCCCGTGACGGTGCCGATCGTGCAAGTCAGTCTCTTCGACGACCACACCGACGCGGCCGCGCACATCAGACTTGGGCGGGCGGTCCAGAAACTACGAGAGGAGAATGTCCTCATCATTTGCTCGGGCATGAGCGTGCACAATCTGCGACACTTGATGATGATGGGCAGGGGTTCGAATAGAACCATGCCCTATGCCGTGACGTTTGACGAAGCCTTGAAGGTTGCGGTGGAGACAAAGCCGGGAGAGCGGAGGGATGAAACGATGAATGAATTGTTGGAGAGGGACGATGCGAGACAGGCCCATCCGACCTTTGAGCATCTGCTACCGATCCATATCGCCGTGGGTGCCAGCGGAACGGATCAGGGAAAGCAACTGTGGACAATGCAGGAGGCGAGCATGGGTTGGGCTCAATTCAGATTTGGAGAGGTCGAAGCTTGAAATTATAGGGCTGGTGCAAAAGTTGTATTTTTTCTGATGTGGCTGTTGGCATTCAGTCGTATGTACAATCAAGTATTCTTTGCCAGACTGTTCTTCTATCCGGCGCAGCCGAGCCTGGTCGATAGCCTTCCTCCATGTCCAAGTAGTTTGGGTGTTATACATTCCCTGTTGATCGAGCTAGGGTTGACCCAAGCTCGTTCATATGGCTTATTCGCTCTTGACCAAGGTCGTGACTTTGTCCTCTATTTCCTTGTCCGAAAGACCTGCCACATTTGTAAGAACCAGTCGCGGGCTCTCTTTACTGCAAGGCACTCACCTGATAATGACTCTGACTTCTCTCTTCCGAATCCTGTATCATCACAGCAATCAGCCTCCTTCGCAGTGCCAGTGTGTTATGATCCAGAGTTCATACCGTATCTTGCCCACACCTTTGGTTCAACGCCTGTAGCTTCGCGTATTAAGATGGGAATATTGGGATTGTGGTGCTTCATGGTAGGGTATGCTCGCTTGAGGAAGGATCTAAATCGCAGTTCAGTATGCCGTTTGAAGCAGTCTTGAATGCTGCTGCGGCTTCTTGACAACGGTACGCACCTGCAGGCATCGCTTCCCTGGCCCGAATTGCTCAGGTGGAATCTCAACTCCCTCAAGCCTTGGGTAAAGGCATATTTGGTCGCCATTGCGGGCACCCCAGATCTAGCCGAGTGTCAACTGTGCGTGTGGAGGGAGCTTCTGGCGCATGAGGTTCGACGTTTGGTGAAGTGCTGGTTCAGAGCACGAATTGGACCTTGGCGGTATTGAAAGATAGAAATCTTTTAGTCTGACAGAAATTGTTTCCGAGCAACGGAATTCGAGGTAATGCTGGTTTTATTATGTCAGACACGGACTTCGGTGTTGAGCGAAAACGGAGATTGTGAAAACGATTTGCCGGAGATCTGACCTTCTCCTCATCCTCCGAAACCCCAGCAATTCGATTGACTCACTTCCTCTTCACTTCATCCTTTGGTTATCGACTTCTACAAGTGCGACAATCTCCACTCCTTTACTACCATCCTCCGTCGCTAGAATCCGTGTCACTATCGCCAGCAGTACTTCCAGGGCCAAAGCTCGCCCCGTGTAGCAGCACGCGCACCCGATTATCCTCGCAATGGTCGCCCGCTTTGGACTGCGCTTTGCGCAGCAAACCGCCAGACAATCCACGACTTCCTTCACTTCCCGTGCACCTTTCCAGCTGAGAAACCCCGTATTTCGACGATGGCAAGGCACTGCGGCGAACCCGGCCGTTGAGGGTGCGCCGCAGCAATCTCTGTTTCAGAGACTTTGGACCAGTGAGGTCGGCATAAAGACAGTGCATTTTTGGTATGACTCCAGCACTTCCGTACAAAGATTGCTTGCCTGCGTTTTGAATACCTGGAAATATGTGGTAGTTCGGCTGGACAACGAAATACACGGATGCTAACGCGGGTCGCTGTTCTAGGGCTCCTATCATGAAATGGGGTGTCGTCCTTGCAGGCGCATCAGACTTCCTCCGCCCGGCCGAGAAACTGTCATTGACACAAAACTTGGCTCTCATGGCCACAGGCTCCATCTGGACGAGATGGTGCTTTATCATTCGACCGAAGAACTTGCTGTAAGTTTTGGATTTCCCCCGCTTATCCATGGGACTTCTACAATATGCATGATTCTATGTGTACAGTCTGTGGATCGGCAATACTGACACTATATCAACTCAACAGACTTGCTGCTGTCAACTTCTGTCTCTTCCTTGTTGGTACCATCCAGGTCAGCCGTATCTTGGCGTATCAGGCTTCGCAAAAGGGCAGCACCACCGAAGCCTTGAAGGAGATGGAGAAGGAGGTTGAGGGCTCGGTAAAGAGTGTGGAGAAGGCCGTGGAAGCAAAGTTGTAATCGAGGGGAACGAGGTATACAGGTCTGTGGGGAATGGGCGGAAGTGAGTTGCCCGGGATTGTGCTGAACCTACTGTGCTAAGGCAACGCTTGCTCTCAGCGCGAGTTCGAGTGCTTCTGAATTTCCTCCACAGGGGTGATGTGACTATTGTTACCGGTTCTACCAAGTCTGTGGCTTCGATCTCTCTTTTACCGACAAACGTGGGTCTCAAGTTTCAGGCCTCAGATCTGTAGCAGATCTTGGGCTCTGGGTTGGTGGGTTCGTGGTTGGACAGGGCAGCTTAGACATTTTATCTTATCACACATACCGGAACAATAAAAGCATCGGGATCCGGTCAAGAGTGTCGAGTACCTTGTATACACTGCAACGAGCAACGTTGCTACAGACGAGAAGCGATAAAGCCATGGCATCAAAGAGTGTGCGGGATCGATAAGTGTCCCAGCTGCGCCACCACCAATCACGGGACATGTTTTACACAGCCACTTGTCACCACTCGATGCGAATAGGTACATATCCTCGCCTGGTTCTGCCAGCGTTGGCTATTGACACAGTCTGTTTCAGAGTCTTTTAGGGTCAAATGCCTCAAAGTCAGGAACAAGTCTCCCTGTACAAGTTAGACACCACTCTCGTGCCCACGATACGCTGTGTTCAGGAAAAGCCTCGGGCCGGGCACCGATTGTGTTCAGCCTCGTCGCTTGTCATTGGCCGAGTGTGAGACACGAGGCTGCCAACAGATGAGGTCATTTTTGGTCATCATCGTTTATTTCTTTTGGTACTTTAGTGCCACCACCAGCCACCCGGTGCTTTGTTTGCCCCTCGCTTCGTCTCATCGACAATGACCTAGTCCATCGACCCATGACGGACACTGATCAAAGAGATCTCTTGATGGTGCCTGGCAAAACCTGCAAGGCAACACCCTCCTCGATCGCGGAGAGAATCATGGGGTCACCATTGTCGGCTCTTTGATTTTTGCCAGTCAAGTGACTTTGTGGACCCGTCATCCCGCACGCGCCAGAAACGCCCCCAACGTGTCTCGCGTGTCTTTGATTTGGCCGGATGGCTGCTCCAGAGCCCGAGGCTTCAAACCGGAACAGCTGCCATCCCCCGCCAGCTTCGTCAGGTTTCTTGGTGGCCCTTTCGTGCTGAGGCAAGATCATCATCCTCCAACCCCGATTGGGCGGCTAGCGCATGCGGATTCGCCCTCTCCAATCGCGATCCCTGGTCCGATGAGATGGATCGAGTCCAGAAAGGAAAATGGGGGAGGTGGAGGCACGAGGAGAGAAGAGGCACCACCAGCATGAAACATCCTAGGACAAAGTACAAGTACTCAGCCTCAACCTCGACCGGGGCAAACTTTGTGCTTCTAGCTTGTTCTCTTCTTTTGCCTTTTAACCACGCCACACAAGAAACATATTCAAGGCCTCGTTCTGCTGTCGCATGGGAAAAGGAGCCTGCAGCACAAGGCCAGCCACAACCCGAGACACCAAGGCGCAGATCGAACTCTCACACAATCAACAGCACACTTATCACTCAGTGACGTATACATCTGCTCGATTGCCTTTTGCCCTACGATCCTTTGTTCGCTATCATTGTGCAATCGAGTCTCCACCTGGTTGCATATTGCCCATCACATATCGGATATCGCAAATATCGAGGCACCAGATAAGCCCGATTCCACATTCGATTCCTAGTCTTAAACCAGCTCAAGGCCAGATCTATAACGACATCGACCCTGCATTCAGGACAAAGCCAAACCCTCCCGACGACTTAACACCATATCCCCCCCATTATTAGTCCCTCTGCTCCCTTCCCAACCATGATCCGCTTTCCAACTTTTCGCTCTACGAGTACCGCTGAAAGCCCCTCGTCTGCGCAGGAGGCATTGCGGCAAATTCTAAGGAAAGCCTCTGAAGCCTCATCATCAGATCCGTCGTCGAAGGAAGGAAGCAGACAGATCAAAGAAAGAACAAGTTCAATATCCACCACGTCAACGTCTGGCACGAGTTCGAGAACGTCGAGTCCCAGAAGTAGTCAGTCCTCGTCGACATCGGGGAAGTTCAATCTCTTCGCGCCCCGGTAGCGATCGAGTCAATCCCAAAAATCGGTTGATGCTCAAGATATAATACCCACACCATCACCCTCTATTCTTCCGCCAGAGTAGGCAACATTTTAATAACCTTGCTCGAAATACATCAAACAATTGCACGTCGATCAATTAGTTCACATCTGGATTTGTCTTCTGACAGGAAATTACGACCATGCCCAGCTCCAAGGGAAACCCCACCGACCCTGAACTGCGCGAGAAGATCAAGGAGGAAGTGAAGAATATGGAGAAAGGTTTGTGACCCTCGTGTTCATGGGCTTTGTCCTGTTCCATCGTCGCCTAGGCATTGTTCCGTCGTCCTTGGCTACGTTTCCTGCGTCTTCTGAATAGCTGACGTTCCGTTGGTTGAACACCAGGTGGAGGCAAAGGGTCATGGTCTGCCTGGAAAGCCGGCGAACTGGCGCGGCGATACGAAGCAGCTGGAGGCGATTATGAGGATGCCGGGGACAACAAGAACAAGGCGCAAAAGGGCAAGCCTGAGAAGAAGGCGTAATTGGAGGGAAATACCTCTTTATCTTGAATTATTAATAGCGTGATTGTGCATGTATGTAACGAGTACCGAGTACAGATGTGGAGAAGGAGAATCTGCAGCGCAGCCAAATTCAATAATTGATTTGCCAAATGTCATCAGCCATGGCACGTGACTGACACTACTTTCATGTTCTTCTATCTCCTTTCTCACCACCAACATTGCCCAATGCCATCAATTCCACACCTTCTTCTGCTCTCGGACTATTCTATTACTCTATCATCAGTCATACGTCTGCAAGACCGCAGCCATTTCCTCTTCGAACACCCCTTACCATGCGTAACCTCTATCTCACCGCCAAAGCTCCGATGAAGATGGCTCGTAATGAATCTCAAACTGCAGAGGCCCTCCTCCATCCGGGCCCATAGTAGCTCTCGCCCAGGATAGAGACGGATCTCCTGGGTGATATTCACCTGCTTGACGGACGCCATGTGTGCTTGTGAGCTTTGCCCAAAACGCGGGGCTGTACAAGGCCTCCCGTCATGTCGTGGCAGCCTTGGACGAGGTCAATAGAACCATAGCAGACACCCCTGTCACAGCACATGGCAAGTTAAAAAGGTGTTACAATCTTGACGATACAGTTGACTCTTTATAAGTCTGTTGCCAGTCCTCGACGGGACATCTCGAGCCAACTAATCTATACTGCCCCCAAGACTTCACACGCAAAAATCGACGGTGTGCTTTCCGACAATACTACTATGGCTGGTTTCAGAGATCGCTACGATGTGGTGATATGTGGTGGAGGGCCAGTGGGCTTGTTGACGGCCTACGGGCTGCAGCGCATGGGCATCAAGACCTGTGTTGTCGGTAAGAGCGACATTCTGATTGCTGTCTGCCAGGCCTCTGTGCTCTTCTTTTCTTCCGCTAACCCATCACATCTGCACTTCTGTGGAGGCAGAACGACTCGAAAAGCATAAGCTGCCGATGTACGGCCGCGCATGTACACTATTCCCCCGCACATTGGAAATGTTCGACCAGTATGACCTTCTCACGCGCCTAAATCAGGTGGGATTCGTGGCGCGAAGTGGTGTCAACTACGACAAAGATGGGAGACGAGACAGCACACGGGGCATGCGCCATGTTTTTGACGCCATGCAGGGACATACATTTCTGGACTACATGCTCAACATCCGCTTGAAGTACTCAGAGGACATTTTGAAGGCCGAGTACGAGAAACTTGGTGGAGTTGTTGCGAGTGGATGGGAGTTGAGGAGCTTGACCGCACAGACTGATCACGAGGGGGATAAGAACGGCCACTCCTGTCCAGTAAAGGTTGAAGTCAAGAACGTGGATACTTCAGAAGTCCGGACAATTGCTGGGTGAGTGTTAGCGGCCTCCTCTATTCCCCATCCGCTCCCGATGAGTGTCGATATGGACGAGGTTATTATGTGACGCGGGAACTGAATTCCTTCAGAGACTACCTCGTCGGCGCTGACGGTGCCCACTCCGCTGTCCGTCACCTCGCCAGTATCTCGTCGGCAACAGATAGTACAACCCTCCGCTGGGTGCGCGTCGACGGTGTTGTGGAGACGGATATGCCAGACTCTCGCGAAGGCTTTGCGCATCTCGAATCACCCACACACGGCAACGTGTTTTGCGCAGCGCTGGACCACGGCCGTACCAGAGTGGGATTCGCACTTTCGCAAGATATGATGATTAAATACGGCGAAAACATGACGCAGCAGCAAGCTGTCGACGAGGCTAAGCTGGCAGTCAAGCCATTCTCCTGGGAATACAAGTGCGTGGATTGGTACACAGTATACAAGTAAGAGTTCCTGCAAGTTAATCCACTTACATTCCCCTACCCAAGGAGGGACTGTTCTACTCGCTGACGAGCGATGCACTGGACCGGCAACCACAACGCACTGACCAGAACCGACTTCTCATAACAGCGTGCGACATTCCCTCGCAGATACTTTTGTCAAAGACAGGATCCTCCTCGCCGGCGACGCCTGCCACAGCCACTCCTCAGGGACGGCGCAGGGCATGAACACGGGCGTGCACGACGCCTTCAACCTCGCGTGGAAGCTGGCTGGGGTGCTAAAGGGCTGGTACCACGCCTCGATCCTGGACACGTACGACAGCGAACGGCGACCTGTCGCGCAGCACTTGATCCGTCTGGACAAGACCTTTTCCGCGCTGATATCCGGGACCGTCCCGCCCGAGTTGGCCGTCGCGGGTGGCCTCTCGTCAACGGAGCCGACTGCGCTATTGGCCAGAGCTCTAGAAGACAACGTCCAGTTCAACATCGGCCTGGGCATCCGGTACGGGGCGAACATGCTGAACGTGACCACAAAGTCGACCACGGTGCCCTGCGGCTGGCGGGCGCCCGATGTCGCCGTCTACGGGCCCGGCGCCCGGATCCCCACGAGGCTTCACACGCTGATGAAGAACGTGGGCCTGTTCTCGCTCGTCGTCTTCGCGGGCGAACCACTCCTGACCGGGAAGAAGGTGAGGAATCTCAGGACGTACCTCGACGGCGACAGCATGCGCGGACATCTCGACAAACTGAGCCTCGTGACCGTCGTCGCAGGGAACAAGCCGCAGGCCGACGAGGCCCTGGGCGTGGCCCGCTTCGGCGACGCGTACTACGACCCCGACTCGACCGCGCACGCCAGGTACGGCGTCAGCGTGGGCAGCGGCGCCGTGGTGGTCGTCCGCCCAGACGGCATCATCGGGTTCGCCACCACCCTTGATGCGGACACGGATTTGGGCACCTATTTCGCAAGGGTTTTTGTCCAAGATTGAGATAGATGGACACTGCGTATCTCCTGCGTTCACATTGTTGGGGCCTGCCAGGTAAAATAACCTCCTCACTGCACTACTTGCTCCATGTACGTACCTACATAGGTTCCTAGCCAGTAGCCTAGTAGGTTAGACAGACGCACCTGGCGCCCCAGAGGTAAGTACGTAAGACAGATCAAGTCTGTAAGTTATACAAGGCAAATCCGTCCGTCATTGAAATTAAAGTAGCTTGGTTTTCTTTTCCATAACATACATAGAAACGTCGACGGGTCGAGACCACACACAGATTGCGCCCCCCCCCGCCCAAACACTTGCTTTGTCGTCGTCGTCGTTCCCCAAATTCGGGCATTCGACGTTGCATTGGGCTAATATCTCTGGACATTTTTGGACGTTTTGACGTTTTTGACATGCCACATATCAACATTGATTGACTGGGGATGAATTCTGTTTGTCTGCTCCAGATGTCGTCTTCTTCTTCCTCTCTCACACACTCTATCTCCCCCTTGTCCAGTCTTCCC